GATCTTTGTACAGGAGAACCTCTCCGTCGAGCGACTCGGCACGATGGCGCAGGATACCGCCAAATCGGCTGGAGATGTGGCGGCGGACGTGGCGAAGTCGGCGGGCGACCTGGCGGCGGACGTGCTTGGGCGCGTCAACGACCTGATGCCTCCCGCCGCGGCGGCGGTCCCGGTCACCCTCGTCGGCGGCGTCGGTAGCGGATACAAGGAGATGCAGCCAGCGTCGGCAAAGGCGCCGTCGCCGCCGCCACCCTCACCGCCCTCACTGCTTCCGCCCTCGCCTCCGCCCCCGAGCCCGCCTCCCCGCCGCCGCCATCGTTGCCTCCGCCCTCACCCACGCCGCCCTCGGTGTGCGTTGTCTGGGCTGCGCCTCCGTGACATCTCCGTGACACCTCCGTGCCCCGCACCGCAGGAGGTGCCGGTCGACGGACTCTGCGCGGCGGTCGAGCGGCAGGCGTCCCTCTCGATGCACCTCGGCGCGTTCATGCAGCTGATCGTCAAGCTAGACGACGCCAACATGCGGACGGTGCGCGTACACTTCACCGCCTCAACCCGCACCTCCGCCCCCCTCCCCGCCGCGTCGCACCTCCTCTTCTGCCGGCGCCGCCGCCGCTCCCCTGGATCGGTGACGCGAATCTGCGGGCGGCGCGCGCGAGGCTCGCAGACAGCGGAGGAGCAGTCGAGGACCCCCACCCGCGTTGCCATCCGTCCCCGCCACCCCACGCAGGTGCGCGACTCTTGGGAGCGGCACGGCCGGCCCGCCCCCCTTCTAGATGCCGGAACCAGTGCTGGAGCACGCACGCGTGTGTTCCGACGAGCACTCGAGAGGACGCGCACTCGAGATAAACGAGCACTCGGGGCGGCAGCTTGGGTGTTCGCGCGATGCGTTGAGTACACTGCACGGTACCGCGGGGCTCCCGCCCTGACCCTAGTTTGCTGGTGGCACAGGCCGGCCACGCTGCGCGAGTTGCTCGCCGCCGAGGTAAGGACGAGATATGGGGGAGATATGGGGAGATATCGCCGCCGAGGTGAGGAGGACGCGGGTTCAAACACACGCAGCACAAAGACAGGGGCGGGGGACTGCAGCCACCCTCCACGGACTGCGACTGACGCCCACCCGGACAGCGCCCCCGCCCGGATCGGCAGCTTGCGGAAGGGGCGGTGCAGATCCATCTCTCCCCATCTCTCCCCATCTCTCCCCATCTCTCCCCATCTCTCGCAGGTTGCGGAGGGGGTGGTGCAGCCGGCGCGGCTCGCCGAGGGGTCGGCGGCTCTGTCGCTCCTCTGGTCGATGCGCATGAAGCGCTTTTGGACCCGCATGGCCGACGGCTTCGCCGATCAGGCGAGCTCGAGCCGCCCCTCTGCCCTCTGGCGCCTGGCCGGGACACGTCCGCCTCCGCAACGCGTCCACGACACGTCCACGACACGTCCGCGACACGTCCCGCAGGCGAGCACCGAGCCGACCTCCGCCTTTGGGCTGCGTGCATACGAGGCGCGAGAACCGAGATGGGGGAGGCGTGGGGGAGATGTGGGGGAGATATGGGGGAGGTGTGGGGGAGATGTGGGGGAGATATGGAGGAGGCATGGGGGAGATGTGGGGGAGATATGGGGGAGATGTGGCTCCAGCCGCCTCTCCCTCCCCTCCTTTCCTCTGCGCCTCCCCATAGGCCGAGGTGGAGCCCTACCATGGCTTCCTGCTGCGCAGAACCTTCCGCACCGCGCTGCGGGCACTGCCCTCGCGCGCGGAGATGCTCGGCAACATGGCGATGGCTCCGCCGCCCGACAGCGCGGCCCGATGGCCGGCGTGGGAGGAGCTCCGTGAGACGTGGCGCACGGTTTTGACTCTGGCCTCTCCTTGGAGACCCTTCCTGAACTTTCCAGGCGTCTGTCGCGGCCGGCGCTTCCCTCACGCCCGACGAGCGGATGACGGCGTGCCACGCCGAGCTGCGCGAGTGCTCCGAGCACACCAAGCGCATCACCGACCTCGTCCAAGCCCAGCTCGACGAGCTCGGTTTGAGAGACGACCGAAGGCTGTGACAGTGTGAGGCTTTTGGCGACTCCGTGGGCTCCCCGCGGCCGTACCGGCTGGGTCGTGGTTCTCGGTGGAGACAGTGTGTTCTGTAGCTCCAGCGGCGTGCGCACGCGCGCTGCGCGGGCGACGGCGGACGGGCCGACGGCCGACGCTCAACGAGCGGTCCGACCCGGCACACCCGCGCCATCTCTAGTATCTCTAGATCTCACACCGTAAAGCCGTGGTACACGAATTTTTTCATGAAACTTGAAAGGATGGGGCTGCCTGGGTGGTCGACGTGTATGACACCCGGGCGCGGTTGAACCCCCCGCCGCCGCCCCCCCCCCCCCCTGGGCGCCCTGCGCGCAAGGCCGCAAGCAGACGGTCCAGACGGCGCACAGGTCCAGTGGCGCACAGGTCTTATGAGATATGACTTGTCTCGGATCTTGCGTCTCATTCTCTCTCGTTGGCGGTACAGATGCAAAACCATGTGCAAAACGGAAGTGCCGGCGCGGGCGCCGATGGAAAAGAATCAACGCAACGCAACGCCTACGGGCGCAGGGTATCGCGCGGCATGAGGTTGGAGAAGGGCGGGGTCGTGGGTGCACCAGCCAGTGCTGCGCTCAGCGTCAAGGATATTGTCAACAGCTTTTGTCGGAGCCATTTTTGTGTTTGACCATCACTGCGCATGTCGCATGTGCATGTGCATGTGGTGTGTGTGTGTGGGTGTGTGTGTGTGGGGGGGGGGGGGAGTCTATGCGTGATGGCATCGGTGGGGGCGGCATGGGCTCAGATGAGGCTCGTAGCATTGAGTGTGGCACTCGTCACGTGCTGTCCGAGAAGCCGGCATCATCACAGCGGGAGGCGGGCCAGGGCCGAGGGTCTTGCTTTGGGAGAGTGATTTGCAGCCAAGCTGGCAACGAGGCCGGCGCATTTCAGGCTCGCCGAGACTGTGGGAGTCTATGTCACACCACATCGCGCGATGGGGCTCATGAAAGCCCCGCGCGCATGCTGAAACTGGACTCCAATGTCGGGCTGGGGAGGGGACGAGGGGTGCGCTGATGTTGAGGCATGTGCGGGCGGTGCACGCGCTGCCTTGTTGGTCCTCGTGCAGGTAGGTCAGCCCACCACAGATGCGAGGACGTCTCCACGACACCTCCCGCGTGGACAAGTGCCCGTGTGATGTTGACACCAACGAAGTTGCACTGCAAACGAGACACGCGCCGAATCATAGAGGCGGAGAGATCAGCGCACCGGCTTGCTGAGAACGGATTTGTGGAGCCACCACGCTGTGTTAGCGGCCATGATGGCCAGTGCGAAATAGCCAAAGCGCCGCTCGAACGGTGACATCGAGCTGATCGAGAGGAGTGCGGGCTTTCGCGTCACGGGACCTTTCAAAAAGAAAAACTGGGCTGACACACACACACACACACACACACACACACACACACACACACACACACACACACACACACACACACACACACACACACACACACACACACACACACACACACACACACACACACACACACACACACACATGCATGCATGCATGCATGCACAGACACACAGCCCCTTCCCTCCCCCCTCCATAGCGGGTGGGGAGGCCCTAAAACGGCGGGAGGGGTAGGGCTATATCGATAGAGCTAGAGGGCTCAACCACCCCTCCACCCCTCCACCCTCCACCCCTCCACCCTCCCGGAGCGAGAGAGGTCCGTCTTCGAGCCCTCCCACTTCCACCCCTCCGACCGGAGGGCTCACCAGCCCACAGGGCTGGAGGGGTCCCCGTCGGATCGGCGTCGGGAGGGCTCCACAGGGCTAACCCCCTCCCCGGACGCCGGGTGGGCTCGGAGGGACGGTCGGACAGGGGAGGATCTTCATGGCGGGAGGGCTCGAGAGGGGTCGGAAGGGCCCTCCGGGAGGGGTCGCAAAAAGATAAAGAAAACGAAGTCGCGGCTTATGTGACTGCCCCCCAAGAGGGCTCGGAGGGCTCGGAGGGCTCGGGAGGGCTGGAGGGCTAGAGGGCTCCATTAGGGCTCGGAGGGGTCGATCCTCTGAGCCCTCCGACCCCTCCGACCCCTCCGACCCCTCCGACCCCTCCGACCCCTCCGACCCCTCCGACCCCTCCGACCCCTCCGAGCCCCCCGAGTCGCCCGACCCCGGCTCGGAAGCTCGCCTCCAACCCCTCCGAGCACTCCATCGGAGGGCTTGAAGGGCTCGGAGGGCTCGGAGGGCTCGAGCTTCCGAGCCCTCCAGACCCCTCCGAGCCCTACTGTGGAGCCCTCCAGCCCTCCGAGCCCTCCGAGCCCTCCGAGCCCTCCGAGCCCTCCGAGCCCTCCGAGCCCTCCGAGCCCCCCGAGCCCGGCTCGGCGGCTCGCCCCTCCGAGCCCTCCGGGCACTCCATCCCTTGTGAGCCCTCCAGAGCCCTCCACCGAGCCCACCAGCGCCACCCTCGTGCCTCTCTGCCCTCCGAGCCCTCCGACCCCTCCGAGCTCTCCACCTCTCCCAAGCCCTCATGAGCCCTCCTACGCCTCGCTTTTGGCCAGCCCTCCCAGCCCCCACCCCTCCTGGGCCCTGCCGCCTGACACCTCTATCGGTGGAGGGCTTTAGGTCACGGTCCGCACTCCCGCCCTCCCGACCCCTCCACACCCCTACAGCGGCACCCCTACCCCTCCCGCCGTTTTAGGGCCTGCCCACCCGCACTCATGACAAGACTTGTCCGTACCGGCTGGAGCCGAGCAGGAGGGCCCGGCGCACAACCCCCTGGTCAACTCTCACCCTCCACTGTCCACAGCGCACAGGACAGCTCCACACCTTTACGAGAGGTGAGTCTGAGAACGTGTGATCGAGTGTCGTGAGGTCGAGTCTGTCGGCAATACCAAACAAATCCCTTCACGCCCGTGCAAGGCGCGCAGTCCGCTCAGCTCTCGTCCAGACAGATTGACAGGTGAGAGCGAATCTCGGGGCGCGGTTTGGGGTCCGGTCTAGGGGAGTTGCACGCTATCACGCAATATCGCAAACAGAAAACACAACCTCTCTCTGAGCCAATGCGAGGAGATTGCCAGCATCACGGTGGCATTGTCGGCCTTGATAAGGCGGCGAACCGCACAACCGCCCGTTTGTCCGCGGGCCGCGACTAGATCCGAACGGACTTCCCAGCCCCCGCGGCCGCGACCGCCATCACGCCGTCGGCGGCCAGGTCGGTCGAGGTCGGGATGGTCACGCGCGCGGGCGCGAAGCCGGGCGAGCTCGCCTCCACAACGATGGGCGTGGCCGTGGTGTCTGCTGCTGCGCGGGCCGCCGCCGCCAGCGGGCCACGCACGTCGATCTTGGCGAGGAGGGCGCGCTCGGCGGCGGGTCGGCCGGCGGCGGAGGTGACGCGCACGACCGCGCGCACGAGGCCGTGGTAGGCGGGGTAGGTCGGGCTGTCGTTGGGCAGGTGGGAGTGCACGTCGCCGTTGTGCGTGCCTAAGGCAGGGCAAGGTAGGGTGAGGGAATTGGGTGATGTGTGTGTGTGTGTGTGTGTGTGTGTGTGTGTGTGTGTGTGTGTGTGTGTGTGTGCGTGCGTGCGTGTGTGTGTGCGTGCGTGCCCTGGATGCGGCCGGGGCCGGAGACGACGCGGAAGGTGACGTTGCTGCTTGCGAGGTGCGCCACCCGGCCGGCGCCATCGACGATGGATGCGCGTAGCAGCGCCTGAGGGAGGGGGCGCAGCGGCTTTGGACGATGGACGGCTGTGTCGATGTGCTGTATGCGTCGGCGGACGCATCTGCAGCGAGGGCACGCCCTCACCGCGACCTGGCCGCCGAAGAAGTGTCTAGGCAGTGTCTAGTCAGGTTCCAGGCAGCGTCCGGCCAGCGTCTAGGAGGTGCCTCTCACCGCGTCCTGCCCGTCGAGCAGTAGCGCGGCCCCCGTGCCGGTGTGGGGGCTCGGCGCGTCCACAGAGAGCTGAAGCGCGGCGGGCTTGCCGTTGGTGTGGCGAGACGCCTTTGCGACGGGCGCGCCTACAATCGCGGATGGTCTCGGGTGAGCTCGACTGATCTCCTCGAGATCGACTGGCCGTGTACCCTAGCAGCAACGCGCCGCCGCCGTCCTTGGCCACCGCCGACAGCTCGCCCGCCTCCCACGGCACCGCCTCCCACTCTGCGTACGAGCCAGGCCCGTCCACCATCCGCGTCACCTGCGTGGCGGTGGCGGTGGGGCAGGAGGGGGCCAGCGGTGGAGGCGATGTGTGTGTGTGTGTGTGTGTGTGTGTGTGTGTGTGTGTGTGTGTGTGTGTGTGTGTGTGTGCATGTGTGTGTTGTGTGTGTGTGTGTGTGTGTGTGTGTGTGTGTGTGTGAAATGTGTGCTTAATGAGAGTCTGTCGAACCTGGTGCTGTTCGACAAGATCACCTACGACAAGATGCTCTCCGACATCCCCTAGCTCAAGCTCATCACCCCCTCCGTCATCTACGACAAGCTCAAGTGCGGCCGCCTCCCTCCCTTGGGCGAGGGGAAAGAATCGGGCGACTCCCACGACTCGACCAGGTGCACCTGCGGCGACATCCGAGACACGTCCACGACACGTCCACGACACCTCCCGCGACTCGACCGGGAGCGCCTCGTGGCTGCCCTTGGTCGCGAACGGCTTGTCGGGGCCGTCTGGCACGCCGAGCAGCCACTGCGTGCGGTACCAGCTCGCCGCCGCCTACGGGAAGGTTCAGAGAAGGTTCAGGGAAGGGTCAGGGAAGGACGTGCGGTACCAAGCTCGCCGCCGCCTTTGGGAAGCCGCAGAGGTCGTACTGGCCGTACGAGGAGGAGACCTCGAAGCCCCCGACTGGCGGCTCGCCGTAGTAGTCGAACAGCGTCCACACCATTGTGCCTACAGACGCACGAGTGCAGCCTGACACACACGCCGGCTAAGACGGAGGACCGCACGCCATGTCGCCGACGGCGTACGCGGCGCCGTCCGAAGCGTTGGTGGCAGTGTTGGACTCGGCACAGCGCGCGTTGAAGCTCTTTTGCGTGCAAGCGGTGTGAGGGTTGTCGCGCAGCGTCTCGCACCTGGTTCAGAGGGGGAGGTGTGAAGAGACGCGGCCCGCACTCACGGCCGACGCGCTTGCCACGCCGCGTGTCGCACCCCTCGTCCTCGTCGCGGAAGGTGTGATCTCGGGTGATCTCGGGTGACCTCGGGTGACCTCGGGTGATCTCGGGTGACCTCGGGTGATCTCGGGTGATCTCGGGTGATCTCGCACCCCTCGTCCTCGTCGCGGAAGGTGTTGCACGAGCAGCACTCGCTCATGTAGATGGGCTTGTCGGGCAGCCTCGCGTGGCACGCGTCGAGCTTCTGCCGCGACTGGTGCGAGAAGCCCTGCACGTCCACCGTGTGGCTGAGAAGGTCGTCGAAGGTGAACATGTTTGCGAGCGTCGGCCGCGAGCCGTCCAGCCGGTGCGCGACCTCCTGGAAGCGAGGCCCGCCCCTCTCACGCCAGCCCTCGCAGCCGGCCTCATTGCAAAAGGACCTGTAAACCATGTGTGCCGCCGTCACATCCCCCGAGCTCCCTCGCAGTGCAGCCGGCCTCGTTGCGACTCGACCAGATCACCACGCTCGGGTGGTTGCGGTCCCGCCGCACGAGCGCGCCCATGTTGGCGACGTACTTGGACGAGTTTGCAAAAAGGCGGTTCTCGTCCATCACGACGACGCCTGCGGAGGAAGCGACGTGGACGTGTCTAGGACATGTCTCGGAGCTGTCTCGGAGCTGTCTAGGACGTGTCTAGGAGGTGTCTAGGACGTGTCTCGAAGGTGTCTCGGAGGTGTCTCGGAGGTGTCTAGGACGTGTCTAGGAGGTGTCTCGGAGGTGTCTCGGAGGTGTCTAGGAGGTGTCTCGGAGGTGTCTAGGAGGTGTCTCGGAGGTGTCTAGGACGTGTCTCGAAGGTGTCTCGGAGGTGTCTAGGAGGTGTCTCGGAGGTGTCTCGGAGGTGTCTAGGAGGTGTCTCGGAGGTGTCTCGGAGGTGTCTAGGAGGTGTCTCGGAGGTGTGTGTCTAAGCGGCGCCGAGCCGGTCGTAGATGTCGAGCGTCGAGGTGGCAGGCGGGTTGTGAGACATGCGCCGCCCGTTCCCGCCGAGCGCACGCAGCGCCTGCGCGCGGAAGAGGTCGACGCGCGGAGGCACCGCCATCCCGACGACCGCAAACGAGTTGTGGTCGCAGAAGCCACGCACCTTGAAATGCCTCTGGTTGAGGAAGAAGCCCGCGTCGGCGTCATACCGGAGCGAGCGGAAGCCGTGCGTCGTGCTGACGGCGTCGACGACGCCGTCCGACAACGAGGCGGCGGCGGCGGAGGAGGAGGAGGAGGAGGCGGAGGCGGAGGAGGAGGAGGAGGCGCAGCCGGATTGCATCACGGCGGCGTGCACCGTGTACAGGTGCGGCGAGGCCGCGCTCCACACCTCCGGCTCGGCGACAGACAGGGCGAGGGAGACCGTCGCCCGCCCGCCCGGGGGGACCGACACCGCCGCCGTCGACGCGGCGGCGAGGAGACGCCCACCGCCGGGCGGGGAGAGGGAGAAGGCGACACAGATCGTCTGTGCGGAGGACCCGGCGTTGGCGACGGCCGCCGACGCGTGCAGCACGCCGCCCGAAGGCTGCTCCCCCTCCTGCTCCCCCTCCTCCTCCATGCCCCCGCTCGCGCGCCAACTGAGGTTGGAGTAGGCGAAGAGGCCGTCCCTCTCGATGTGCAGCGGCGGCACCTGCTCACAGCGCAGCGAGGTGTGAAGAGACGCCGTTCACACCGTCCCGCTCGATGTGCGGCGGCGGCACCCGCAGCAGGGCGACGGAGCGGTAGAGGCCGCCGCCCTCGTACCACCATCCGCTGCCGTGCGAGCGTGCGCCCTCGTCGCCGTTGTCCGGGTCCACAAAGACAGCGATCGTGTGTGCGCTGTCCCCGCTCCCGAGGCGGCGGCGGAGCGAGGTTGCGTTGTCTAGTCGCACGCGGAAGGGCGTGTAGCCGCAGTCGTGCGCCTAGGCTCAGGGTCAGGGGCAGGCTTAGGGTCAGGGTCAGCGCTGGGGACAGAAGGGCGTAGCCGCAGGTCGTGCGCCGCGAGCAGCTCGCCATCAAGCCACACCGTCGTCTTGCGGAAGGAGCCCTCAAAGTCGAGGAAGAGGAGGGAGCCCGCCCACTCGGCCGGTAGCGTGAACGCCTTGCGGTACCACAGCACGTGTCGCGGGATGTAGCTCTTTCCGCTGCAGCCGTCACGGCATGCGGCCGACGACGCTGCGGCGGCAATTAGGCCGTCGTGAGGCAGCTGGACTTCCGCCCAGCCAGAGTCGTCGTAGCCGGTCTGCGCCTCGGCCGGGTGCAAACCCGGGTCTGCCGACGCCGGTGGCGGCTCGTCGCTCTGTGCGGGGTGCGTGCTGAGCCCGGTTGTGAAACGCCAACCGAAATCAAAGGAAACTTCGTCGCGCGGAGCGGAGAGAGAGAGGAAGCAAAGGAGGAGCATGGTGGACAGACTTGCGGAGACTGCGATGCTGATGGCGGTAGAGAGGGCGGCGAGGAAAGAGTGTCGCACCAGCCCGACGCTCACTACAAGTGAACGGCCGGCGGAGCCAGTTTAGGGCTTGGTCTACTTGGAATTCTTTTTGAATTAGCCTTCGATCAAACGCACGGCGGGCACAATTCTTTTCGTGCGCAGAGGTTGGTCAGGAGGATGGCGCGGGCGGCGCGTGCGCGGGCCTGGCGTGGCGCTCCTCGACCTCTCCTCCTTCCTCTTCCTCTGCGTCTGCACGGGGCATGCAAGGACCAAGGTGCACCGGCCTTAGAAGCCGCCCGCCGGGCCAGCAGCCGCCAGCGCTGTCGCCACGCTGCTGGCCACGCCCGCGTGCAACAACAACAAACACAAACGGCCTACTCGCCCAAGTACTACTCGCTCTCTTTTATGTCCCACCATGCAGAGCGCATCTCTCTCTCTGTTGTGCGAGGCGTGAACCGCGCCATTCGCTCTCACCTGGCAACCCTGTCTGCACGTCTCGCGCGCGCGTGAACAGGGCTCCAGGCCCCAAATTACGTGTGAGTGTTAGAGTTGTTTGGTATTGCTAAAAATCTCTCTCTCGCGTGCACGCTGCTCGCGCCATCCTCCTGACCAACCTCTGCGCATGCACAGTTGCATCCGTTTCGCCGCGCGAGCCATGGTGAGTGAGACCGTAGAGGTGCACTGTAGGAGACCAGTGGGCTGTGGGCACCGCGGCGTCACCTCTCCGCCACACCTTTGAGCTTTGTGGCACCCCCCCTCTTGGCCTGAGCTCCTCGAAGGCTGAGCTCCTCCCTGCATCTCTGCAGAATGTCCCTTGTAACGTGAGAGAGTGCGTTTCCTCGCTGTTTATGTTTTGAGCTTAGCCTTCGATGTTATGAGAGAGAGAGATTTTTAGCAATACCAAACAACTCTAACACTCACACGTAATTTGGGGCCTGGAGCCCTGTTCACGCGCGCGCGAGACGTGCAGACAGGGTTGCCAGGTGAGAGCGAATGGCGCGGTTCACGCCTCGCACAACAGAGAGAGAGATGCGCTCTGCATGGTGGGACATAAAAGAGAGCGAGTACTTGGGCGAGTAGGCCGTGCGGTCAACGCTGCCGCGCGCGACTTTGCGCGCGAGGCGGCGCAGCTTGAGAACGGCGGTGGGCGAGAAGCCGCCGCCGAACGTCTCGTGGAGCAGCAGGTTGAAGTTGTTGCGCTTGACAAAGATTTGTTTGTTATGTTATGTACCGTCGGGTACTTATTTTAAGACGAGGTAAACAGCAATAGATCCGGGTGCAGTGCCGGATCAGTTCCTGGAGCCAGGGGGACCGATTCGCGCTTGCCAAGGGACCAATTGCTGGAAGCCCGCGCAGGCGCGCAGCCTGCGCTCCGGCCGGCAGAGGGCTTGCGACCCGTGGCAGGGTGACAGCCCGCCGGTGGGCGAGCCAAACTCTGGCGGAGGCAGCCCGCTCAGCCCCAGGCGCCCCTCGAACCGGAGGGTGGTCTGCCGCCGCTGCGCGTTGGGCGCGCCGAGGGCGGGAGACATCAGCTTCGCGCCACACACAGGTGACCTGGGGGACCGATTCTCGGCAAGTTGGCAGGACGGGCACTGTGAAGGATCGATTGCTGTACAACGAGGGACCAATTCCGTGAGGGCTGGGTATCGATTAGGCCGCTTGAGGGCCGGATCTATTGCTGTTTACCTCGTCTTAAAATAAGTAGCCGACATAAAACAAAAACAAGGTTTTTCTCTGAAGGCTCTCTCGCAGCCGTGCCGTCGCGGTCCACACCAGACACCACCCCCTGGCCACCCCTCCAACCTCCTCCGCGTCGACATTCCCTCACCCTCTTCCACATCCCGCGTCCTCGCCTCCTCCTCCTCAGCGACGCGCATCGTGACGCTTCCGCCCGCCCTGCCGACCAAAGGTGCAGCTACGAGCATAGAGTCTTCGCCTCCTCCCTGCCGGCATGTCCGCGCCGCCACTCACGCTCTACAAGCAGCTGATGCGAGAAGCCAAGCGGTTCCAAAACTACAACTTTAGAGAGTACGCCATCCGGTTCGCTGCATCCTTTGGTGCGCGCTGCACTCTCTCTCTCTCTCTCTCTCACCGCCCTTCCTCTGCGGCGATAGGCATGTGCGGGACGACTTCCGCCGGAATGCCGGCCTGCAGGGGGAGAGCGCGGCGCGAGAGCTCGAGCATGGGCGGCTCGAGCTCGAGAAGCTCCGCCGAATGGCTACCGTCTCCTCTCTCTTTCCGTCGGCGCGCCACCGCACCTCGCCGCAGGCTTAGAGCAAGGTGCTCGGCCTCACCCCGCCCGCCCTGCTCGCAGGGCAAGCACGCCATGGAGGACTGAGTCCGCCCGTACTCGTTTAACGACCCGCTGCGCCGCCGTCCCCTCGCTTGCCGATGCTAGCACGTTGTTTCGTGTCTCATGGCTGTCGCTCGTAACAACTGTTGGGACAACTGGGCGGGGGTGGGTTCGGCCTGCCAGGCGCCTCTTTTCGCCACCCGCTTTCCCGCCGCGCGGGGTTGTCGTGGCGCGGGGTTCCGCGTGTGTGGGCGCGCGGTGTCGGCCGCGCCTGCGGCCTACAGCGTACAGGGCCTGGCGCCCGCGCGCGCGGCCGCCGCCGCGGGGTTGTGGGCGTTGGGGGTAGCGCGGGGGCCGCGCGCGCCCCGGCGCGCTCGCCGGCGCCGGCGAGCCCGAGAGCGAGACGCGAGACCGAGAGCGGGGACGTGTCCGCCGACCACCCCGCGGTGTGCCGGTGCCCCGCTGCCTCGCAGCTCGCGCTGCGGCTTGAAGCCCATGCGCGGCATGCTATCGCACAGTTTATAGATTACCGGGGGCCGCTGCGTGTGCTTAGGAGCACACGCACCCGCTCTCGCTCCGGCGCTCTGCGCGATGCGAGGCGGACTGGCCCCCGTACCCCCTCCCAGACAACAAAGCGACAAGGTGTGCGGCGGGGCGCGGCTACTGGTGCGACGCGCGCGTGTAGACACACTGCGACTTGTGCGTCAGGATGGGCCGGATCAGCTTTTGGCTCAGCAGCTCCTTGACAGCCTTGCGGGCGAGGGAGCCATTGCACCTGGGGAGGGGGGGGGGGGGGTTCAGGAGGCAGGGTTCAGGGGGTCGGGGGAAGGGGGTGGGGGCGTTGGGGGGTGGCAGCTAGCCACGGAGGCGGCGTTGTGATACCAGTGACGGCGAGGGGGTGGGGCGGGTTGAGGCGTCGAGGGCAGCAGCAGTAGGCGGCGAGGAGAGGAGCTCGGGCGGTTGCACGGGCGGGGGCATGGAGGGGGGGGGGGGGGCGAGGGAGGCGGCTGCACTTGAGCTTCTCGGAGATGATGGAGGGGGTGATGAGCTTGAGCTTGGGGACGTCGGCGAGCATCTTGTCGTACGTGATCTTGTCGAACAGCACCAGGTTCGACAGCTTCTCCTTCACCTTGCCCTTCGACCACTTCTTCTTCTTGGCCTTGCCGCCGCCGCTGCTCTTGGCGCTCTTCTTCGGGTCCTCCTTCTTCGGCGCCATGGCTGAGAACACAGGGGGGCACGCGGATGGGGCGGTCGGTCCTCGAGCACTCTGGGCGTATGGGCGTGTGTTTTGCCGCCGGACGGCTGGGCAACAGCCCGAGAGCGAGGCCCTCGCTGCCGGGGTGGCCGTTGCGCACGCCCTTCTCTCCCCCTGCACGCCCTCTCCGTCGTGAGAGAGGCTTGCGGCGGGTGCGCTCGACGCGCACGGGCCGGCCAGCACCCGCGGTGGCACACTAGGAGGGAGCGCACGAGAGGCGCGTTGCTAGGTGGCGGGGCGAGCACCAGCGGTGGAGACGAGCCAGAAACAAAAAGAAATCGCGATGCGGTCTGCTGCTAGGGGAAACCCGACCCTCGGAGACCCGTGTTTTCCTTAAGGCCCTTTCCCTGCGAACGCGTACCCCCAGGGCTAGGGCTCTCTTGCCCGTAACCCGATACCGATCATCCGGCTCGCTGGGTGCGCTTCTTAGCTCCCCGGCCCTGGATGTGAGGTTGATAACTGCACTCCAAGTGCTCCAAGTGCAGGGATCCCTACTCACAAAGGCAGCAATGTAGTGTATGTAGTGTCCCCAGCTATGGGCGTGTCCACGTTGGAGCCAGGTGTGGTGTGGCACAATGTGTGTGTCCGTTGTGGGTGTCCCTGTGGTCGCCCGGCTGTCGCCATGGGCTTGTGTGACTGCCCGTGGCAAGTGCTTTGCGCGGGTGTACGAAATTAAGCCCGACGGCTTACCTCCAAAATCGCGGATTTTCCCCGGCTCGACACAGGCCTCAGGCGCGGACTGGCACGTGCTGGGTCGAATCGTGCTGGAACAAAACAAAACAAGAAGGCTGAGCCCCGGGAGGAGCCTAAAAAAGGATCACAGCGCATGCGGGTCGCACACTCACGGTAGATACCGTGTAGTCGGCCGGCAGCCTGGCGCCGGATGTCACAAGATGAGCGCGTATAGCGCCACGACGTGCGCTTCTGTCAAAAACGTTCCGTTGACCGTCAGATCACCGTCGTGGAGTGTGAACACAGCCTCTTCCGTCTTGACGTTGACCGCAAAATTTGGCGCGGACAGAAAATTGTAGAGCGCATTGTGGCGGCCGCGGAAGTCAGCGCTGCCACCATATGCGAAGTTCACATGCGGGTCACGAAAAACCTCGGCGTATGCAGTGCACGGGTCCTGAGCCAGCGGGGCGATGGACAGGGGCAGCATGTGCTGGATGTGGAAGCCAATAACCTGGGCGACCTGGGAGCACGATTGGAGGAGGGCGAGTGCTGGAAAGCACTCTTCCTTTGGCCGCGTTGGTAGCGAGGAAAGCACGCTGCAAGTGCCGAATGTCTTACGAGCTGCAGCCCGTTTCGCATAGCAGACCACGAATATTTGGGCGAAATGAATTACAAACTATTGCTACCGCAGCGACTACGTCCCCCCCGACCGGCAGCGCACACCTCTCTCTCCCCTAGCCCTCGCCAACGAAAACCGCCTTGAGGATGGTCGTCAGCCAATCATCATGATCCTTTGGTAGCTCCCCGGGGAGACCCAGCCAGGGCAAGTCTTTTCGAGACGACGGCTAGCCTTTCCCGTTTCCTCGAAACCACCTCGGGTGGGATGCGTGCGAGCGTGTCAAAGATCCCGGGAACCGCACTACGGTTGCGGGGCGTGTCGAGCACAACCGCGAAGGCGCTCCAATCTCCTCCTACGTGCCAAAGCCACAGCTTGTCCATACATAGGAGGGAAAATGACCGGGATGCAACCGAGGTGATGGCGACAGCGGCGGAGAAGAGGGGCACGGTGGTGAGGGAAGCGGAGGGGGTGATGACGTCGGTGGTGAGGGCGGCTGTGGGGCTGGCGGCGGTGGGGCGGGCGGCGGTGGGGCGGGCGGCGGAGGCACCGGCGGCGGCGGCGGCAGCGGCGGCGGAGGCGAGGGCGGCGGAGGCACTGGCGGCGGAGGCGAGGGCGGCGGAGGCACTGGCGGCGGCGGCAGCGAAGGCGGAGGCGAGGGCGGCGGAGGTGTGGGCGGTGGCAACAGCGGAGGCGAAGGTGAGGGCGGCGGAGGCAACGGCGGCGGCGGCAATGGAGGCGGAGGGGTGGGCGGCGGAGGGGCGGGCGGTGGCGGCAGCGGAGGCGGAGGTGAGGGCGGCGGCGGATTGAATGGAAGCGGATTGGAGGGCAGCGGATTGGAGGTGAGGCAAGGGCAGAGGCGGCGCCGATCTCCCCACCCGCTAAAGCACGGTGAGGTGTTGCCGTAAACACACCTCACCGTGCTGCCCTCGGGCGGGTCAACGCGCACGAAGAGGTCCGGCCGATGAACGTACTCGGTGCATCCAAAACCCCACCCGACCGAGATTGCTTCCATCTGCGCCTCTGTCGTCGGCCAGACGGTTTTCGGCCACTCGTCGGCCGGCCAGGGCGGGGTGTTGGGTGTCTCGTCGGCGCAAAGCATGCCGAGCGCGCTGCAGGAGTCGGTGCAGCTGCCACCCTCGTTCTGGGACCAGATGAGCGGCGGCTGTGGCGGGTATGGAGGTGGCGACGGGACCGGAGGCGGTGCTATCTTCTTGTACGCGTACTGGTCTTCCGCTGTCGCTCGCGTGTCATCCCACACCTTCCTCGCCAAGCAGAAGCCTCGGTAGGCGGGGCGGCAGACCACACCTGCGCACTCATCCCATGCACCACAGACCGCGTCCACCTCGCTTTCGCGGATCGCGCACTGGTGAACATTCGTATTGTGAGGCAATTTGACGCAAAAATCGTCATTCCAAATGCAAGGACCGCCGAACTTGTTTGCGTACTCGACACCCTCGAGGTTGCCGTAGCATTGAGGTGCCGAGCCAGGCTGGCCGGCGCCGACGGGTTGGAAGAGCACGGGCGCGTGAGTACCAGTGCCAGAGCCAGGGGTTGAGCGCAAGGTTCTGAGCGCTTGGTTCTGAATGTGTTCGTCGTCGTCGCCGGGTTCGGTCGTAACCGGCGCCGCCTCGACGATCAACAACAGGCCAGCGGCAACAGCCAGCAGCATCTCACAAAGCTTTGTTCCTGCTTTGGTCCTTCAAAATGGGCCGTCTTACTTTTTCATCCCTTGTCACGCTCGCGGGCGTCTGGCGAGTGAGACCACGCTTGTTGTGTACGCCCACCAGCCCAGCTGGCTGTGTGTCTTGTGAGCTTGTTTGTGTCTGTGTGTCGTTACTCAATCAAGCGTGTTCGTCACCTTCTGTCCCCTCCCGACTCCCGACCCCTAGCGAAGAGCTTCCTCAGCCACTCGATGTGTTCCTCTCTCTTCATAATGCGCGCCGGAGCCTCATCATTGAGCTGTATCCACCTCTGCACCGCTCCCGTCGCCGCCTCGGCCACGACTTGCAAGTTCCTCGTGACCCCGGTGCCAAGGAAGGTCCCTTCCTTCGGCTCTTCTCCGGGAGATCATCTACCTTGGGCTCGGCCAGGTTTGCCTCTCGCACCCCGTCTGTTTTCCTTTCCTTTTTTCTCTGCAACACCCTCTCTTTTCCTCTCTATTTTCCCGGGAAAACTCCGTGGAAATCGTCAACTTTTGGGCTCTGAGCCGAGTCTGAGAGGCTGGTTTGGGCCCAAAATCAGCCAAATTTTACGCCAAATCGGCAAAATGCCGGGAATTTTGCGGAGAACCCGTGTATACCTGGAAATTACCCTGCGACCGCCTAGGTATTTTGTCGATTTCCTCAATTTTGCCTCAGATTTTGCCCCAGACCAGCTCTCAGACTCAGGGAAACTCGAGAGAAACAGAATGGAGCACCAAACACCCTCTGTTTTCCCTGGAAATTTCCGGAAACGCAAAGTGCTGGGGACCCTCTGTTTTCCTTTTTGTTTTCCGGAAAACCTGGCCGAGCCCAACATCTACCAGCGCCGGCAACACCCCCCCGACGGCTGGGGCTAGTGCATCGTACCCGTCCTCATCCAGCACCCTATAGCGTGAGCCCTTCAGCGCAGCGACATGCGCTATCCTCAGCGTCTTCAGCGTATCCTTGGAGTCGGGCGCCGCCTGTGCTACTTTGCTGATCGCCGTCCCCGTCTGCGCTCGCGCTACTCTGAGGAACCATCTGGCCTGCTCCCTATTCCCCAGGCAGGCGCCGCTAAGCACGTGCGCCATTGTCGCTCTAGGCGGGTTCTCATCTTCCTCGCGGTCCATTGCTGCGCGGCTTTCCGCACGATCGGACACAGCGGGTCCCGCTTTAGTGCTGCCCTCCTCGCCGCGTCCCTCGCGGCCTTACAGACGAGGCAGCCCCTGAGTTCGCTCCTTGTGGCGGCGCCCGGGGTCTCCCTCCCCGCCTCGCCCCGCATAATCCTCTCGTGGCGCGCTCCGTGTGGCACCCCCGCCTGCTGCCGCACCCGCGCTCCCACGACCGTCTTTGTCACCACGTTGTGATCATCCACGTCGGCGAATTCAATCTCGCGCTCGCCGTGCTGATCCTTGATCCGCTGGCGCTTGTCCCATTTGTGTCTCGTCGTTCCCCTGACCACATCGCTCCACAGCGGCCCCGTCACCCCTGCCGTGTGCGACCCCGCCGTGAGCCCCTCGCCGAGCCGTCCTCGCACCCACTCGTTCGTGTGGCCGCGTGTGGCGTAATAGGTCCTCCGGTCCAGTACCTCCCGCCCCCCCTCTCTGTCTGCCGTCCTCCGGCGGTCCGTGTACAGATACACGGGCGCGTTCTCACTGCTTCACGGATGACGGCGGTGGCATCCTCAATCTCGCTGGCCCCCATGTATGCCGTCGCCGCGGCGTCGGCGTAGGCGTTGCTAGCGCACCCCGCGTGGCTCGGTACCCACAGGAACGTGACGGATTCAAGCTGGGCGCGGTATCTGCATATCCCCTCCAGGCAACCTCCTCGATCCCACTCCCGGAGCCCCTCGAGATACTTTATTCTTTAAACTCCCTTGAAGATCTATCTGTTGTCCACGAAGCTCTAAGTGCCGGGGCTCCAGGCCCCAAATGATGTGTGAGTGTTGGAGTTGTTTGGCACGGGGAGCGCACTCTGGCACACTAAAGAATTTTACTAAAGAATTTTACAACTAAACACCCCTTCGAAGTAAGAGAGCGTCTTTCGCACAGAATTTGAATTACATAAACGAATCTTGAGAACACCCTCAAAAAGAAACGCGACTCTTCTCTCTGAGTGCAACAACCTAGTAGACAAACGTACAAAACACTCAAACGTACCGGAGGACTAGTCGACATGACTGCACATTCAGACGCTTCATTGAGCTCCGCGTCTCACCTTCGCTGTCCGACCTAGCGGCGCCGTCGGTCCCCGTCGATCCCCGTGCCTCTGCGCGCCTGCGCGCCATAGCTACATGCACTTCAGCCGAATCTCGCCTTCAGCGTGTGAGCACACCGACTCGGTACTCAAAGGAGATGCGCGGCTCCGCAGCCTCGGGGGAGGCCGGGTCCCTGAAGGCTGTGTGAAAGGCTGGCATCGTCGCCGCGGCGTCGCCCTTGGCGTGCTGGAACTGCCGAAAGACGAGGACCTCCTCAGTGGTCATCGCGGGGTAGTAGTACCATCGCTGCCGCGCGTTGTGCTTCAGGCCCGTGATTTGTGTCGCCCTCGGGTCATCCAGCGCGCCAATGTTGTGCTCCACAAAGTCCTCGGCCGTCACACTTTTTGCGTCGCACACGCACAATGGCGCCGACTCGACTGGCTTTGTGCTCGGTGCGATTGGGCGCCACAGATTGCACACAAGGAGGGAGGAGTAGTCGCAAGTCTCGAGCAGCTCCCGCTGCTGCCCCATGCGAGGGACAAGCCTCTTGGCCCTGTTGCAGGCCTTGTCAAGGTCGAGCGGGAGGTCGTTGTGGACAGTCCGGGACGCGCCCTTTCCCGAAAAGATGCCGTTTGCGCTTTTGCGAAGAAACCCAAACGACGGCAGCTCAAACGAAGCAGCCTCCGGTATCAAGGACTGCAGGATGGCCTCGGCCTCGTGCGACCAAATGCGGCGAACGGGCGTATCGGCCGTCATGTACTTTTCATCCCTCGCGGCAGTCTCGCCCTCGCCGGGGTGCTCTTTCAAATCGACGTCCGAGTGCTGCCAGTCCGCTGCCGTCATAGCAGTTCGGTGCTTGACGAGTATGAAGCCATGCTTCGCGAAGAAGTCGGCCGCTGACATGCCTTGCTCCTCCATCTCGAGTCGCTGAAGCACACGGGCGTCGCCCATCTCGCACTGAGTCCCGCGTAGCACTGAGTTCGAGAGGGCGGCGAAGCTCTCCAAGACATGCCCGCCCCGTAGGAAACGGAAAAACTCCCTCGGGCTCTTGGTGACCATCCAGCGCAAGTCCTGGACGACCACTGGGGGAGAGTTTGGAGGGGCGAAGCCGGTGAGTTCTGCATGCACGACAACTGGCGAGGCTAGCGGAGCCGGACACGCTGACTCCTCTGCGATCACAGAGAGGCGTTTGATGGCAGGACGCTGCCGCGTGCGCGCCGAGCCGCGGCGCAGCCTGAGGATGAGTGCGCTCGCCAGCACAGAAGTGGCGGCGGCGACGGAGGCGGCAAGAGTGGCGAGCAAGACATTGAGCTGGCCCGAGCGAGGAGCCAGCGCAGCGCTCCGGAGTGTCACCCGTGCCGGCGACAGCAACCGGGCCGCGGTGAGCGACATCATGGCTTGAGGGCTTGGACAAGGACCAAGGGCTTCAGCTGGTTTCTTCAGATGGAGTTTTCTTTTTTTGGTCCCATTTTTTCTTTTTCTGAGCGCAGGGTTCCAACTTTTTCCGGGGTATGGTATGGTACGCTCGCGGCCCAAAGGGTGGGGGGGTATGGTCCCGACCGCCCATCCCCGGTCTCCGGGAGGCTGGGTCTGTCAGCAGGCGGGGGGGTATGGTCTCGAGGTGGGTTGCGCGACCACACCTACCAACCCCGCAAAAGTCCAAACCCAGGCCCCGTCTGCTGGCCGGGAGGTGTGTGGTGTGTGCGTATGGGCGTCTGCGTTGACAGAACCTCCGACTGGCGCGCGGCTGTTCGCGCCCAGCGGCAGCGGATCGGGCAGAGCACGCCGTCCGACGAGCTACTCCGGCGTCCGCGACCCGCCCGCGACGCATTCTGCGCCGGCGCGCTCGAGGCTCACAGCAGGATTGGCGAAATGGTGCGGCGGCTGCGCGCCAGCCACGCCGCCTATGTGCTGGACGACGGCCTGAACGGGCTCACCGAGGCGGAGCGGGACGCGCTCGATGGTGAGGGCGAACGGGTACTCGGCTCGAGCCGCGAGGCCATCGAGCGGCTCGCAAAGTCTCTCGCAAAGTCCGTCGGCGGCGGCGCGAGCGCGCGTGAGGCGGACTCTGGCGACGCCGTGGCAGGCGAGGCGGTCGAGACGCGCGGGGGCGAACGCGGCGGGCAGCCGCAGCAGCACCGGAAGGCGATGCTCGACTCACTCAACGACGAGCTGCGGGAGCTAGGGAGGCGCCTGTGTCCCACACCCGCGCCTCTCCTCCTCTCCTCTCTCCTCCTCTCCTCCTCTCCTCTCCTCCTCTCCTCCTCGCCTCCTCTCCTCCTCTCCTCCCCTCGCCTCCTCCGCTCCGGCTGACCGCAGCCCCACGCCTCCCCACCGCACGCAGGCTGCGCGATGCCCAGCGCGCGAGCCGGCTCAAGCGAGCCATGGAGGCACGCGAGGGGCGGCTCAGCGCCGATGTAAAGACGCCTGCGCACCAGTTCAGCGAGGCTGGGAACAGGTGCGGGAGGGGCGACTCGGAGCCGCGAGTGCGGCTTCGGCCTCGGCCGCCCCCGGCTGGGGCGTGCGCGGAAGCGCCGGCGGCGGAGGCAGAGGCGGAGGCGGAGCGTGCGGGAGCGAGCCATTGCCGCCGGAGGAGCGAGCGATTCATCGCTCCTCCGTCACTCTCCTCCATCGCTGAGTAGGAGCGGCCTTCCGCCGGAGGAGTGGCGCGGCGCCGACGTGCTCGAGGACGAGCCGCTCGACCAGGACGAGGAGAGGGAGATGCGGCTCGAGAATGCGGCGATCCGGGCGGAGCTCGAGCAGCAGGACACACCTCCGAACGCACCTCCGACGCACCTCTCCCACACTCCTCTCCCACACACCTCTCCCACACACCCCTCCCACACACCTCTCCCACACACCTCTCCCACACACCTCCGACACACCTCCGACACACCTCCGAGATGCGAGGGATAGCCCACGCCTGAGTCACACCAGCGTGTGGAGAAGCGCTGGCCCCACCCTAGCCTCGCCTCGCCTCAGGTCGAGCTGGCGCGCCGAGCCGAGGCGTGCTGCTGCACGCGTCAGTCTTGATGGCCTCCTTCTCCTCTCGTCACACGATATGAATAATTCAACTGTCTCTGTGCAGGCGTCGATGCTCGAGGTGTCGAGCCTGTCGCACATGTTTGCGTCAAAGATCGAGCAGCAGTCGCACCAGGTCGAGACACTCTTCACCGACGCAGAGGCGCGCCGCGCGAACGCGCGAACGCGCCTCGCTCGCCCCCCGCCCTCCGCACGCCCCTCACCTTCCGCGCTGCAGTAAGCAGCCTTTTTAAAGACCCCCCCCCCCCACACACACACACCACGCCCGAGCTGCTGGCGTGTGGGTTCAGGAGACGTGGCCTGAATCCACACACGGGGACTCACCCTCTCGCCTCCCTCTCGCCAGTCGACCTCCGAGAACCTCACCCTCGGCAACCGATACATCGACTCGGCCGCAAAGCACTCGCGCGACTTCCGGCTGCTCGTCCTCACCTTCCTGCTCGTCGCCTCGCTCTCCCTCATCTTTTTGGACTGGTACTACCCTTGACGAGTGTTGGGCTGCTGCTCGGCTGCGCGCTGCTGCAGCGGGACACGGTGCTCGACGTCGAGCTGTGCGGGCACGTGTGGAAGGTGCTCGTCGGGGCTCGCCCTTGAATGAATCCTTGAGTCATGAGTGTGTTGATTCACCCGAAATAAATAAAAAGAAGGCAATCGAGGGAGAAAGCAGAAATACACAAAGACAGGGACCTGTGACAGGACAGGGAGCAGGGTCCTGCTCCTCCCCACTCGACCCCAGCCCTCCCCACCTGCACGAAATAAATAAATAAATAAATAAAACGGACACCTCTGGTAGGAGATGGGTAAAACACCTGCGCCACGAGCAGGATCTTGGGCTCTAGATTTCTCCGGGACAATTCTTTTTTCTAGTGTTAGTGCCAGTGCGCGCCAGTCCCGTGCCCAGTAAGTTTTGTCCGTAAAATTCGTCCCGGAAAAATAAAAATAAAACAGACAGCACAAGGGAGGGATGGGAGGACGGCGCGCCGCAAAAACGGCTTCTGTGAGAAAACGCAGCGCTACCTAGATATGTGCCAGCACCCGAGGGTTTTACCAAGCTGCCACCCACTTCACGCACACTGCGCAAAAGGCCACACCAACCAACCAACTGTTTCCGGGCCCGAGTGCGCGAAGTGCGGGACCAGCCAACCAGCCACGCTGCTCGCAACATGCGAACAAACAAAGGGCTCCAGGCCCCAAATGACGTGTGAGTGTTAGAGTTGTTTGGTATTGCTAAAAATCTCTCTCTCAACATGCGTGTCGCGCACTCACTCATTCATGACCGGTCTCAATGCCCCACCCCCCTGCGCGCGGGCCTTCTAGGCCCGCGGGTAGTCTCCCCCCATTCCCAGGGCCTCCAGGGCTCGCACCTCAACCTCTCACAGACCAGCGCACAGCGCCTTGCGACGTATTTTCTTCTCAAACTAGGGCTGTGAAGCACGACGACATCCCTGAAGTGTCGCGCCAGCGAGCTAAAAGGCCGGGCACCATAACTCCTCCAACCATGGGCCAGCCACAAGCCCTCCTTGCGGCGAGCACGGTGTGGCTCTCTGGCTGGTCCCTGGGCCTCTTTGCAGCGGCGTTGTGGGAGGGCATCTGCGCGCACAGCGCCTACGACCTGCGGCGCTCAACGCCGGACTGCCTCCGCCATAAGGGGAGCGAGGTGTGTGCAGAGTTTTCTGTCGCGTGGTGCGCGGCGCCAGCGAGCATCCTGAGCCTCTCACCGCGCTGGCTCGGCGACGCGGCCGGCATGGGAGGCCCGCTGCTCACCTGGCTGCCGCTCCTGCTCGGCTCCTCCTCCGGGGGCGGCGGCGGCCGCAGCGAGGGAGAGGTGCGTGAGGCGCTGCGCCTGGCGCTGACGTGGTACCTCGCGCTGATTGGGCCGGTGCGGCACGCACACCGGCTGATGCCCGCCCGGTGGGACCCGTCGGGCCACATCTTTGTCTACGGCGCCCAACTCGCGCCGTACGCGCACGCGCCTCTAGCGCACCTCTCCCTTCCGGTGAGAGGATGGCTGGCCGGCTGGGCGGCGGTGCTCCTCTACCTCTCTGTCCAGACGGCGGCCTTCTTCCACACCCCTGGCGAGACCGCCGCGGGCTTCGCCCTCGTCGCCGCCCTGTGGCTTGCTTGCGCAGGCTGCGGCGCCAACGCCGCAGAGCCAGACACCGAGCCGGCAGCGGGGTTGCGCCTGCTCTCCCCGCACGGGCACGTCGCGAGAGAGTCGGCCCGGCTGGCCGTCGGGGCGCGCGCGCTCGCGACGACGGCCGTGGTCTGGGCAGGCTCGACCGCCGCCGCGTGGATGGGCAGCGCCGCACCCGAGGCTGGCACACTGCTCGGCCAGCTCGGCTACGACGGCGTCCTCTGGCTCGTCCTGCTCTCCCTGCCGAGCGCGACGCAGGCGGCGCCGTCGAGGCGCGAGATGGCGGCGGCGGCGGACGGTGCGGCGTTGACCGCAGCAGAGCCGTCCCTGCTTGCAGCAGCAGCAGCAGGAGGAGGTGGAGGCGCGCTGCGGAATCGGGTCGGGCCTCTGTCCTGCAGCGCCTCTTGAGCGGGCCTGGGGCCCCGCACTTGTGGTGGGCTTGTCTATTCAGTTGTCAAGCAGTGTCGGGAGGGACGTCGCGGGCGATTTGTGACGTGTTTGTGGGTGCGAATCTGTGTCTCAACTCATACATCTGTCCCTGTGAGCTGTGTGTAGGGTTGTCTAACGTTAATTTGGGGCCTAACAGTTGCGCTATTGTTGGCTGACATCCTCAACGTTGTTCAAGTGTTCACCCCAGCCCATGCTGTTACTGTTTGTTACTGTTGACGGCTTTAGTTACTGTTGTTCAGCGGCCAGCGCAAGCAGAAAATATGTGTGCACAATGATCAATGTGGCAAAAACCCCGGGTAAAACCCGAAAATAACCTGGGGGTTTCCGGGTATTTTCGGGTATTACCCGCACTGGACACTACTCACTAGAGATCGTCGTGGGTCACTGCCAGGCCTTCCTTATACTGTTGTTCAGTCGGCCTATATATAATATAATATAACGTTAGGGTTAGCCGCTCTGTTGTTGGGGGTGTATGTGGGTCAGTCACGAGTCAGTGTAGTGTGTACAGTGTGATCAGCTGATAACTGACAGTGTGTGCCTGCGTGCTGGCCGGCGAGTTTTGCTTTTGCGTTTTGGGGCCGGCGGCTCGGCGCAACGCCAACGGCGCACGGCGTCGAGGTGTACCGTGTAGTCTCTCTCTCAAGAGTAGTCCCTTTGAAAGCGTCGATCAAAGGGCGGGTATACGCGATCATCTCATCAGCCCGACTTGCTGCGCCGTGGCGCTGCGCCCCCGAGCCCCGTCGGCGTCGCGGCCCAAAGTGCGGCCCACAAGCTGTGCACACAACGCGCGGCGCCACACCACAGAGGTGACAGTTGCATTAGAGGACCTCTCTTGCCCCACGCCCCCCCTCAACAGAAACTGGCGGATCCTCACGGTGCGAGCGCCGGCGCGCACACTCTTCATGTAGCCGGGTCGCGGGCACGTCTCTCTCGTGGTCTCTCTCGTGGGCAGCTCCGGCGAGGGGGCGCGCGTGCGGTCTCTGCTCAATAGACATAGTTCTTCACAAAGAGCGACTCCTCGATGGAGGGCTGCGAGCCGGGGACGTACTTGCCGGCGGAGGCCTCGGCGTTGGCCTGCGCGCGCGCGAGCAGCTGGTCCTGCGCCTTTTGGTAGTTCTCCTCCTTGCCGCCCCAAATCTTGATGCAGGACGACTGCAGCGCGCGCGAGTAGGAGAAGGTGAGGGCGAAGGCGCCTGCTCGCAGCCGGAGGTGTGAAGAGACGGTGGTGGCAGGCCCCGAGGAGAGTGTGCGCGCGAGGGCGTGCCCTTGCGCTCGAGCTTGTTGATCTCGTTGAGGTAGATGGAGGAGTCCTCCTACACAGCCGAGAGATGGCCGAGGTAGAGCCGAGATAGAGCCGAGATGCAGTGTACGGACGAGTGCTCCTCGGAGATGCCGCCCGAGAGGAAGGTGACGCCGGGCATCGCCGACGGGAGGGAGCGGTCCAGCGTGCGCACGGTCATCTTTGCGATTGTGGCTGGGTCCGACTTGTCTGCAGGCGGGAGGGGAGGAGGGCGGTGGGCGGAGGGCAGAGTGGGGGGGAGGGGGGAGGGGGGGGGGGGGGGGGTCCGACACTCCCTCACGCAGAGGTGCTTCTGGTAGGGGGAGGGGTTGGGAGCGGGAGGGAGGAGGGGGGAGTGTGTGTGTGTGTGTGGGGGGGTCCTTCTCACCGGCGCAGTCGATCCCGGGCACCGTCATCGACGGCTTAAGGAGGGACCCCTCGAGCAGGACTCCGTTGTCCTGCAGCTTCATGTACACGGTGGAGAGGACGCGCTCCTGGACGCGCGCCGTCGTTGCGATGTCGTGGTCGCCTGCCGTGCGTGCGGCGGAGCGCCGCTCAAGGCTGCGGCCGGGTGGGGCCGAGGGGGGGGGGGAGGCCCGACATGACCGAAACGCTGCTGACGTGCCCCGAGGCGAGGCAGGGGGGAGAGAGGGAGAGGGGCGGGGAGAGCCCGCGGGGCGTGCGTGCGGCGCGCGGGGTGGCCGGGTGGGGCCGCCGTCTCATCTACTCAAGCCACCGTCGAGCAGGATCTCCGGCTCGACGATCGGCACGAGGCCGTTCTCCTGGCAGATGCGCGCGTAGCGGGCAAGGTCCTGCGCCGCGACGTCAATCGCCAGATCGGTGGGGCAGCCGGCCGCCACGTTGATGGTGAGGGCGGTGCGCCACTTGGCGAAACGCGCTCCCTGCTTGTAGTACCCCGCGCACCGCTCCGCGAGGTTGTCGAGGCCGCGGCACCACTTCTCTCCGTCGCCGCCGCCGCAGAGCGGGATGAGGCCCGTGTCAACCTTGATGCCCGGGATGATGCCGTTGCCCTTCAGCACGTCGACGAAGGGCTTGCCGGCCGGGTCGTCCTGGAAGAGCGTCTCCTGCGGTGGCAGAGCGGGGCGCGGCGCGTTCGCTTTGCCCTCTGGTGGGTGGGAGGGCCAGCCTTGAGCTCTCGCCTCGAAGAGAATCGCGCCCGAGATGTACTGCCCAATGCCCTTCGTGGTGAAGAGGAGGTTGCGCCACTTTTGGCGGTTGGCCTCGTTGTTCTCGAGGCCGATGCTCTCGAGCCGTGTGCCGACGGTGCCGGTGGACTCGTCGCAGGCAAGCAGACCCTTGCCCGGCGCCACCATCGCCGACGCCGTCTCGCGCAGCTCGGCGGCGTACTCGCCGTCGTAGATGGGCGCCGCGTTGGGCGTCGCCATGGCGATGGAGGCGTGCCGTCCGGCCGGCGCGATGCGGGTCGCCGGCGATTGGAAGGAATAAGCGCAGAGAGTGAGCATTGCTGAGATAGATGCTATGGCGAAGACCGTGGAGTCGGTGTCCCTAGGGTACCAGCGGAAAAAAAAACAAGAGCGCTAATAGTGGACATTGAAAGGCCGGATACGGGACCTTTAGGATTCCGTGAGGATTCCGGCGACCGAAGATCATGTCCTCTAGAAAGTGGAGAGCAACGTGCCCCAGTGACCACCCCAAACATCCACCCATAGTCACAAGGTGCCACACACAAGAGAAAATGACACCGGACGTCCCACGGAGTCAAGAGCAGCCACTGTCGGTCGTCCAAAAGATCTGTGATCGAGGAGCCGGCATAGTGGGTCTCCCTCCAGGAAAGGTAGAGCTGATGAACGTTGGGTAAGTGGAACTGTAACGTGAATGGTCTCCGGGAAACCATCTGTCGCGATTCTCGTGGAGCGGCAGTCCTTCAAATCTCGGATTGTGTCAGAGGGCTTGACAACTGCCGAGAAACGACTGCCCGATGCGGTTCGGAGCATGATCGTAACTTGTCCAGCCTCGATCACCGCTCGTTGAGCGGCCGCTGAAGCTGGGCTGGTCGCACCGCCTTCGACTGCTTCCTCCTGATGGCCAGAGAGCCCGTCCTCCAGCTCTACTGCTCGAGCTTGGCCGAACGGCAGTGAAGGCTCCCCCGCCAAGGCCACGGCGGCCAGCCCGGCCAGCGCGCTGCCGTCGCCCTCCCCTCGGGAGATACGTGGAGATAGAGAGCATGGCGAAGGCTGTGGAGAGTGGAGAGGTCAGAGGTGCTCTCGCTCCCACCGGCACCAACTGGACACCGAACATCGTTTTTATTTGCTACTTGCAGTGTTCGACGGACAAATGAAGGATGGGGAGGAGACGGGAGAGGGGCTGAGCAGGGTTCAACACGACAGGAGGATCCCAGAGTGCGGAGAGTCACGACGATCAAAGCGAGGGCGCAGATCCAGCGCAGATCGTTTTGCACGGCTGAACGATTGGACCACCCCTGGCCCGAAGAGGCCGCCCCACGAGGCGGGCATGGAGAAGCGCATCGACGGAACGTAGGTGTTCAACGTTTTCGAATCGCATAACATGGCAGCTCCGTGACAACCCTCAACCCACCTAAATGGGACTGCAGAAGCCCTTCGTCGTCGGCTGGTGGAGCTGCGAGTGCAGCGACCACTGCATTGAAGGGTCCTTGAGCGGTCGCGCGTGGAAGGCGAAGGTCCCCGCACCCCAACACCCAGGCCGCTCCGAGCAGGGCCAACGTGCACAGAATTGGCGGTTCCCACGGCTCGCGCCCACGTGGCGACGCAGTGTCTTCTGCGGTGTGCTCGCCATCACGGACATAAGCATATGACCATGCTCGTCGAGCGGCTGGCTGCACGTTAGCCCCGCCTTCGCCAGGCAAAAGTGAATCGCTATGTCGCTCGCGCCTTTGCCATTACCTGTGTGGTTGGGTGCATCACGCCACTGGTGGATGGGCTCGCATGCCGGCATACGTGGCTCGAGCCGCTGCAACCCGGCGGACGAGAAGAGATTGACGCCCGGACTACGCAAGCACGCGCACGCGCCAAAGAAGTGGGGCGCGGAGGCAGCGTGCGGCCGAAGGAATGCCCGCAGCTTGGGCATCACGATGTAGGAGTCGTCCTCGGCCAGCATTAGCCAGTCCATGCCTGTCATGTTGTGCCTGGCTGCGAACTGTATTGAGGCGCGCACGGGTAGCCAGACGTCGATCCGGCTGGTGTGGCTCTCGTGCGTGGCGGAGGCGCCAGCACAAGAGCTGTTGAGGCGGTGCACTGGCCGCCAAGAAGCGCCAAGCTGCACCCAGCTCACCCCGAGGACGATGCGGTCGCATCCAATGAGCCACGTGTGGAGAGCCACTGAGATGGGGCCGAGCAAAGGCCAGCGCGTCGGGACGACGCACAGCACGCTGACGTCGGCGAGCACGCTCCCGTAAGTGGCATTGCGCATGGATTCTGAGTTGCCGAGAAGACGTCGGCACTATCACTCTATCAGCCGAGGAAGGAACGTCCGCCCGCTACGAGTCTGAGCCGACCTTTACTAACTTACTAACGGCTAACCACCCCCCTTCTTCTTTTCAGTGTATGTGCTCTTATTTTTAAATAAATAAATAAATAAAAACGGACACCTCTACTAGGAGATGGGTAAAAAGGAACAGGTCCCCGCCCTTGCGATCTTTGTGCAGGGTTCTTTGTGGGTGTGGTCGGCGACTAGCCGGGGTCGTCCTCCCGATGGGGGACTAGCACTAGCCGTCTTCCACATGGTCCCTCGGGTCCGTGCTGCTCCTAATCTCTTCGTACATCCTCCTGCTGATCTCCGCAACGTCCTGCTCCCTCCCTCGTCTCGCCCTGCGCGTCTGCTCCGCCTCACCGTCTTCTGCCCTGCGTCGTCTGGTGACGGGTCCTCCATAGTCGGTCGAGGTCGCCGCCCTCCTCGTGCCTCTTCCCAACGTTCCCTCGGCGGCCGATGCCGTCCGCTCCGGCTCCCCAGTCCCCGGGTCTGCCCTGCTCTCGTCTGCGCTAGTTTCTGTTTCGTCATCACTGGCGTCTCTCCTCTTCCTTCTCCCCTTCTTGTATGCTTTGTACATCGCGTCGATACTCGATTCCCTTTCGCGTGAGCACCATCCTGAAGCCCGCCCAGCAGCTGAACCGCTCCCTAAGTCGAAGGAGCACATCGTCAGTCTCGCCCACTTCGCTCGCTGCCCACCGTCTCCGCTCCCTCCCGCTTGAGCCGCCGTTTTTTTTTTAGTTATAAGTTATATACTCTGTCTCTAGTTATGTGGATCGTCGATCGACACCGAGGACAAGACTCCGACACTACACTGCAGGCGGCTCCCACCGCCTCGGTCGCCCGTAGCCCTTTACGATCTCAAACCTGGCGACGCTAATTCGGAAGAGAGCAACCCCATCGGACGCGAGGAAGCGCCCCATGTTCGGATTCCGCTCCAGAAAGCGCGCCCTGCCCTCTTCCGGGCGGGCGGCAGCTGCCCGGCCGACGGCGGTGACGAGGACCCCGTCTCCGTGGTCCGCCAGCCTACCCGTGCGGTTGTCCCACAGCAGCGAGCAGCTGGGCCGCTCGAGCATCTGCTGCGCCTTGCGCGCCTGCAGTGGCGTGGCGACAAAGATCTCCCGCAGGCATGGCGACGTAGCGTACGCCATCAGGTATTGGCATGGAGCGAGGTCTGCATCGGTCGTCGCGAGGACACACTGCACCTGCGATGCAAGCAGTGCCTCCACTAGCTCAGCGGCAGGCGCCTCGTCGTCAGCCAAACTGTCCCTCGCGCCCGGCGTGCACTCGGGCTCGTGCGACGAGGCAGAGGGCCGTGCCAGGGCGACCAGCCGCTCCATACCCGACTCGAGCTGCGCGACTCGCCGTCGTAGCGTGCGGACGGTCTCGCCCATCGCGGAAGCGTCGCGCAGTGTGACGACGGCACCCTGGTCCGGAGCGCCCGCGTTCGCTGTGAGCTCCAGCACGGTAAACTCGGCGGTGAAGAGCGTGCCGTCCGCGCGACTTGCCGGCGCTCGACGCAGGTGGCGACGATCCAACTGAGGCTTCGGGTCGAGGGGACGGAGGTGCCGCACGTGCTCGGGAATCACAAGCTCGGTGAGGCTGCTGCCGAGAGCCTGATCTGCTGTGAAGCCGAAAGTCTCGAACGCACCGCGGTTCCACGTCTTGACTGTTCCGGCGGGGCAGACGTGCACGATTGCATCGGCGGCCGTCTCGAGCGCGTGTGCAGCGAGTGATGGCGGCATGCAGTGGCGAGCAATGGAGACGAGGCCTCGTTGGGACAGGCCGCGTCCGGGCACGAGCTTGATCGGAGGCATCGACACGTGCAAGAGGGTACCCGTCCGACCTTGAGCAGACCGAAGCTGAGTATCTCATAACCGCTCTTTTATTTGAGTATCTGATCACCGTACTCGTTTATTCACGAGGCGACCCCAGGGTCTAGGTTTCCTAGGGGCGTGCTGTGAATAAACAGCGAAGAAGACGCCTGGTATCTGATACTGACCTGTTCCCACCGTCATCACTTTGAACATGGTCGGATCATGGTCGGATCAGGGGCGGAACATGGTCTGGAAATTCCCTAGGTGCCGCCGCCGCTGACCGCTGTTCGAGCACGGTCGGGTTTCTCGGGGTTAGTGCACCAGTAACCGCCGCTGCGCCTTTCATGGGGTGAAAAAACACTATCCGGTGGCAGGTTCATAAAAGAAAACTGTGTCTTGATTTGCCTACAAAACACCTAAAAGAAAACTGCGGTAGCCAACTCGAAGACCACCGCAGGGGCACCACCACACGCTCTTGCTTTGCCAACAACAAACCTACAACCCCTTTTGCCAGAGACATGCCCGTGCTGGCGATGGTTCTTTATCTCGTTGCCTGGAATCCGACGCCTCCAAAGGTGCACGGCTTGCACCAACACACAAAGTGCTCCATGCTCGCCGCCGACGAGAGCGACGAGGCGGTCACGCCCTCGACGACGACCGATTGGCGCGTGGAGCGGGCTCGGCTGACTCGCCAGCACTCACAGGCTGTGCTTCGTCGGCCGCGTAGATTTCTGCCGTGCTCGGCAGCCAGCGAATGGGCTCAGCAGTTGGGATTGTCGACGCGGGAGGAGTGGGACGACTGGCTTGAGCTTGGGGAGGGATGGTCCAGCTACGTGCCGAGGGACCCCGAGTCGCACTACACAAAGCTTGGCCAGTGGCTCGGTGCGCATCGCCGCACTCTGCCTTCGCCTCGCCCTTTCTCATCCCACGTCGCTTGCGCCTTAGGCTGGCGCGCATGGCTAACGGGCGAGGCTTAGACCTTCGTGGCCGGGACCGTGTGCCGTTTTACCGGATCTCGCAAGATGTCGGACCTCCGCGTTAGCGCTGCACATAGCCATCCATGCGCCATGTACGCACAGGGTAGCTGGCGGTAGCTCCTTCACCACACACGCACGCGCGTGTCGCGCGATGCCGATGGCTTGGTTGGACGGTGTTATATAAGTGTTTAGTGTTCTATTCATGTTCATTTATTCGATAGATAGTTACAAGTTAGAGTCAACTCGCACAGACGATAGATACTGCATACACGGCTGCGGCTCCCTAGACCCTACAACCTACAACTCTGGCTCTTTTTTTAGTCTTGACTCTTGTGTTCTTCGTCTTGGAGAAAAAAAAAGAGACCCCAGTTTCGCAGTCCCTGTCCGCAGTCGGTCTGTCGGTGTGAGAGCGCTTCGGGAGCCACGTCGCACGTGAGCCGTCTGCGTGCGTGGCCCGCGAGACGCGGCTCGACCAGGACTCAGCTTCACACCTCGACGCCCAAGTGCTCGCGCACGATCGCGGCCAGCGCATCCTCGTTGCCTGGCACGCCCTCGAGCCGGTGCACCTCCCTCCCCTCGGCGAAGAAGAGCAGCGTCGGCAGGCCGGCGACGCGCAGCTCCGAGGACAGGTCGGGCTCCGCGTCTGAGTCGAGCTTGCAGACCCGCGCCTGGAGCAGACACGAGTGAAGCTGCCGCCCGATGCGTGCCGGCTCGTGAGCTTGCTGGACTATAGAGGGGCTTGTGGTTCAGCACGAGGACCCCGCGTCTTGGCGCCAGACGTGGACCAACGGCGGGGTTTGCAATCTCGTCGAATCTCGGCTAGACCCGCACCTCGCAGCCGAGGCGCTGAGCGATGCGGGAGAGCATCGGAGCGATGAGCTTACACGGCCCGCACCACGTCGCGTACACGTCGACCTAATCAACACTCATCTCCCATCGTCGGCTGGTGTATGGGCTTGCGCGACACCGAGGCCGCCGACGCGTATACCAGCAATGGCGAGCGGCCATCCGCCATCTCTTGCCGTAGTTGCTCTGCGGTCACCTCGCCCACCTGAAGGTATCAGATCGCAGTTTCGGACCTGTCCGGCAGTGGCTTCGATGCGGCGGCCGCGCCAACCTGGCCGGGAGAGAGGCCGCCCGACGCGCTGAAGCCCGCGCTGGCGGCCACCAGGCCCGCCAGCCTCGCCGCGAGCTCCTAGCAAGGTTCCGGGCAGGTTCGAGGACGGTGCCAGAGCGCCGCCAGCCGCGCCGCAGCCCGCTCCTAGACAAGAAAGGGTGCCGGTCAGAGAACAAGAGAAGAGGCGCGAGGTGGCTCCCCAGCCGAGCAGCTCCTGCTTCTCGAGGCAGTCCGCCCACCCCACGTTGCGGGCCGCCAGCGCGCCGCGCAGCTCCTTGACCTTCATCTGCATCGCCTCGGCCAGCGCAGCGGCATACGCCGCCTCGGCCAGCCCCTCCTCGTCTGCAGCGGCGGGCGGCGGCGGCGCGGGCGGCGCGGGCGGCGCGGGTGGGGAGGAGGTGCCGCCGCCTCCGGAGGGCGACTGCGCAGCGTCCGACGGCGCGCCCTCCGCCGGGCTAAAGTGCGGCTTGGAGAAGGCGCGAGCGTTGAGGAGCTCGCTCACGAGCTTGTCCTTGTCGCCGTCGGCAATCGCAGCGCTGTCGGCCCCAAACGCGTCTAGCTCCTGCCGGATCGCGTCGACGGACATGGCGCGCACCGCTGCCGCCTCCGCCTCCGCCTGGGCGACTGCGTCGCCAAAGCCAGCGGCAGGGCTCGAAGGAGCTGCCGGCGGCGCCGCTGGTGGTGGCGCCTCGCGTGCTTCGACAAGCGCTCGCTCCAGGTCCTCACGCTCGAAGCACACGCCCCGCCACAACACGCTGCGCTCGTCCAGCTCTGCCTTGATGGCTGCTAGCCGCATTTCGGCAGGTGTGGGTGTGCTGCCGTCAAGCCGGAAGCCAGCAGTCCGCACAGCGGCGGTGCCGGTACGCAAGGGGCCGATGGTGTACGCGAGGGGCGTGGCAGCGGCCAACTGCAACATCTGTCCGCGAGCTCGAAAAAGAATTTTTCCTCTCGCTCCTCGGCCTGGATGTGAGGCTAATGACTGCACTCCAAGTGCTCCAAGTACTCCCTCGCACAACACTGGGCCGCGAGGTGGCATGAAGGTTGCAGCGAGAATCGGCGAGAGACTGCGAAGAGAGATAGGAAGAGGCGGACGCCCAAGGGTGGGCGACGGCTAGCGCATCACACCCCTCTCCTTAAAATCCCTGTGTGGTGGCGGCGTGCCGTCCTCCCATCCCTCCCTTGGGCTGTCCGTTTTCTTTCTTTCCCCAGTGTGTTTTGGTTGCCTCCGTGCTTTCACACTTCGCCTTATCGTGTCCGTCCGCTGTGATTGCGTCCGCCCACGACTACGTCTCTCCCCTTCTGGTGTCGACCGCGCCCCTCCGCGGGGCCTCGGCCGAACGGGAACAAGAGATGTATGTAAATAAACATGAACTCCCAGAAAGTTGGTCATGCCACGTCACGACAGCCCACTCCAAATGCAACGACGCTGATGAACCCTGTCACCTGGCTGACGGTGGAAATGGGCAACAGCACGTTCAGACCATTCGTCACTTCCAACGTGTCCTACAAGTGGTGCACTGAGATGCAGATGGAGCTGTTTGAGATTCGAGTCATGGAGCAGGTATTGCGAGCGCGTGGTCGGCCAAGGAGCAAGGTGCCTTGCTGTCGATGTTGGGGTGAATGACGGCTTCTACACAATGCTTCTCGGGGCCGCCGGCTGCCACGTGCACGCCTTTCCCTTTGATGTGCAAGACGTGTGCAACGATATTGCACGCGAGACAGTCCCGACACCGCAACGCCGCCTTTGCTGCCAACATCGAAATTAAACGCTGGGTGCGGCGTGAGGGTCGGGAAGGGGCCGCCGGGAGTCGCGGCCACCAGCGGCGACACGACTGTTGGCTCACCGAAGCCGCCCACTTCGCGCTCGTCCGTCAGCGAGTCGACTGCGAGTCGACCAGCGCCGCGACGTTCAGCCCGTGCGAGTCGCCGTCTCCGAGCGAAGGGTTCGCCCACGACCACTCTCCGTCCTCCTCTGGCGTCTGATCATTTGCGACGGTGTATCAGTCGCCTTATGCCACCGTTGCATATCCCTGTGACGGCGGAGTTGGTCGTAGCGGCGTGGCTGAGGGCGGCGCGGAGAGCACTCCGCTCTCCTCGTGCAGCCTCGGGCTGTCCCGTCCATAGGCGTGCCGCAGGTAGAAGGTCGACAGCACCCCTATGCGGGCCGCCGTCTCCACCGAGTCGGCTCTGGGCCCCCGAGGACCCCTCGGCTTGCCCTTGTCGGAGCGTGGCTTCCTCTTGCTGGTGGCCTCGAGCTGCGCAGCCTCGGTCAGGATCCCCTTCTTCAGCAGATCGCCGTGACAGGACTCAATCCTACCCGCGCACAGGAGAACAAGATCCGTGCCGTCTCGAACCTTCTGTGCCAGTTCGCGAAGCGCCGCCGACCGTGTCCTCCAGAGTCGATCGGCCTTGTCGTCCAGGAACGCGTCGGCGGTCTCAAGGACGCGACCCTCGCTGGAGCGCATCTCCCTCGCCGGCAGGTTTTGCTATGGATGCCTTCTTATGGCGTGGGGATGCAACCCGCCTCCTGTCCAAAGCCCTACGGCAACTGACACAGAAGAGCTTGTGCACTCGCGCCCGGACTTGCAATAGCCTGAAGCCTCCAGAACCGGCGGGTTTTCGCTTTTCGGGTCAGTCGGCATGCGGGTCGGCAAGCTTGCAAGCGGGGCTCATGCAGGACTTGGCGGCCACACTGCAGCCGCCCTCGTAAGAACTGACGAATCGCTGATTAGCAGCTAGTTAGAGGCACCTCCTCGAAGGTCCAACCGCGAGTCTCCTCGAGGCGACTGCGCTGGTGCTGCCGGGGGCCGTTAGCACGGGAGACGGTCTCATTTTGGACGGTTGTGATGCAGCCGGCAGTGTGCCGGTGTGTCACTCGTGATAGGCCTACTGAAGAGCGGGCCGATACGGCGATAGACCGCGGTATTTGTGAGTGGAAGAGCCCGGGCGGCGGGGTGCGTACGGGTGTTCTCCTTGTGTGAATTGTGTGACCGCCCCCCCGCCGCCGGCGCCGCCCCCCCCCCCGCGGGGGGGGAGCTCTTGTGACGTGTGAGCTGTAGCCGTGTACACAGCCGGGGGCCGACACGCACACGGGGACCATGTATGTAGTAAGTACGAGGTCAAGCATACAGCATGTTGTGCGGCTCAAAACACAAAATAGAACACTTTATATCGTTTTCTCTCACGTTACCACCACTTCAGCCACTCTATCAGCCCCTCAATCTGCCGCCATGTTGCGTGCAGTGTGGATAGCGGCGGCGGCGGCGGCGGCGATGGAGGAGGTGGTGAGGGCGGCGGAGGTGGCGGCGGGGACGGCGGCGGCGGAGATGGCGGGGGCGGGGGTGGCGGGGATGGGGGCGGTGCAGACGGCGGCGGCGGAGACGGCGACGGCGAGGGCGGCGAGGGCGGAGGAAATGGTGGTGCGGCGGGTGGCATGCTGTGCAGTAGCGCGGCGAGAGGGTGGCCGCGCCGCTCTGAGGTGTCCGAGCCATCAAACGCCTGGTATAGCCCCGCAGCAGCCAGCGACCCGGCGCCGGTGGCGAGAAGTAGGATCAGTGCCGCCCGCCAAGATCTGGCCGGCGGCGGCGGCGAAGTCGGGAGCCCTCGGCCTCGTCGCGAGCCGACCGGGCTGTCCCCCTCCAACGCAGCGGCCTCGGCGAGGTTGAGCCAGTGCTGTTGCACCGCCACCGTCTCAGCGAGCGGGGCGTAGCCGCAGTAGCGATGCAACAACGCCATCAGGCGCCCCTGGATGCCTTTGGGGGGGGAGTCGGCGGCGCGAGGCACCGGCAGCACCAGCCGCGCCCGATCAGCCCTCGCCCTGGCGATCCGATCCTTTACGTCCGGGTCGGAAGGCAGGATTGCGGCGGTGGCCCTCCTGGCGCGGGCGACACGCGATGCAACGAGGACACCAGAGGAGCTCTCTTCCTTGGTGAGGAGCGGCGCCACTTGCGTCCTCGGTGTCAGCTGCTGCGTGTACGCCCGCGGAGAGGCGCTGGGAGCGTCAGCCACCCCGCTGCTCTCCACCTCGTCGTCCTCGTCGTCGATGCTCACACCGTACCGCGCGTGGCCGTGAGACTTGCGCGCGGGAGCAGCGGAGGTGCTGGCAGCAGCTGGGCGCCGTACTGGAGAGGTGCTGGCCCGGGCAGCAGCTGGGCGCCGGACTGGAGGCGCTGTGCCGCCCGACTCCTCGTCCTCTGAGCTGTCCTCTATCCGCGCATGCCGCGGGGACAGGAGCTTCTGCTGGATGCGGACGACCCTGCCCGGCATCACTCCGGCAAGGGGCGGCGGTGGGGCCGACAGAGGTGGGGACGGCGACGGCGGCGGCCACGAGGGCTGGCGGCCGCGAAAGCGCGGCGTGGGAGGTTGGTGCTCCTGCTGCTGCGCTGGCATTGCGCGAGCGCCAACGGAGAAGCGTGCTGCTGCTGCGCAAACACGCGAAGAGCCTTCCTTCCCCGCCTTGCCACGTTCACGACGGGCGTTTCATGACGGAAAATTCCTGACGCCCTGGATTGTTCTGTCGAGTGCTAGTCGGACTGTGTTTCGCCTTCCCATCAATCAATCAATCTACCCTTATAAGTCTCTCGTGTCGGCGCCGACGCTCTTTTAACGTAGAACGTCCCAGCTGAACACGAGAACACCGCCCGCCGACGATCGATCAGTCCACAATCGTCGGCCCGCAGCGACCCGCAGCGATGGATGCCGCCGCCCCCCCGGCCCCTGCGGCCGACGCGCCGATGCACGATCGGCCTCCGTCGGACGGCTCTCCAGCCTCTCCGGCCGCTGCCGCCCGCGCTGCTGCCGATCCAGTCCCTCTCACGCTCAGCGATACCCGCACAACCTACGACAACTTTGAGGTCGCCGGCTTTGGCCAGGTGCAGCCACCTGCTTGCCTCCATGTTCACGCTTCGCGCCCCTCCCCCCCCGCTGACGCCGCCGCATGACCTTAGGTGAGGGGCACGACTACCCGCCTGGAAGGCGCTCTCATCAGCAAGTCACCCAGGCACCAACTCCTGGGCGTTTACGCTTGACTGCGAAACCATGCAGTGGATGCAGCTCGATCAAAACGGCGACGCCAACAGCTGGCCCCTGGGCGAGTCCTTGCGCTCAGGATGAGGTGCGAGCCATGATGCTCGACTATCAGCGTGCACCAAGTCGCTCACATTCCGTGAGTTCGTCAACGGGCCGAACTCTCCAAGTCGACGGCGATCTCGAACTCCGACAACTGGACCGGTGCACCAGCCACGGAGGACGATGGCTCCCTCGACGACATCCCTTCATCGAAGGACGCCTTCACCGCCGCCGGCCCTGGGCCATCCAGCGCGGCCTCCGACGGCCTGCACGTGATCGAGGTACAGAAACGGTGGCTGCCGCAGCTCACACCCTAATCTATCTGCCTTAGGCACGGAGCCAACGGAGCCATCGCGCATGCCCGCATCGCGTGCGGCTCCGAGGTCTCCCGCCAAGACCGGCTCGGCGCGGCGCGTGGCCGCACGCCGCCGTTGAAAAGGCGATAGGAGAGGGGAGAGCGCCGGCCACATCGAGCGAGCGCTGACGTGTAAGGTGTCTGCGCTGCTCCGGTGTGTGTGGGATTATGCCTCCCCCCATCTGTGCGGCGAGGTGTTTGCGGTGGGTGCGATGGCCGATCGTGCGCGATAGCCTCCCATTGTGCGTGGTGTGTCGGTGTGTCGGTCGTCCGGAGCGTGTGGCGGCGCCGTTGCATGCAGCGACTCTGCTCACGTGCCACGACTGCTTTGACTGACTTATGAGTGCTGATGGATGATCTCCGACAACCCAAAACCAAAATGAAAATGCGGAGTGGCCCCACTTTGGCGTGCAGATCCTGCGTCTCTCACTGCCCGAACAACAGAGGCGGGTCCGCCGCAGGTCCCCCACTAGTCAGTGCTAAAAGGCTCTCCCAGATCTCTAATGGAAGTGGAAGTTCTGCCAGTCCAGACATAGACAGCTATGAAGCTGGCCAAACACACGAGCGCCGCTCGTCGGCCGGTGAGGGACTGATCTCGGCTGATCTCGGCGCGCAGTTTTTTTTTAAGGCGCCAAAATGCGGTGTGGTCTGTCTGCCCCCAGGACGAGGCTGGCGGCGGAGAAGCGGGCGGCGTCCGAAGCATCGGCGGCGGATCTGGCCCAGCAAGCGGAGGATGCAAAGATACGGGCGGAGCAGCAGGCGGCAGCCGCGGAGGCGGCGTCGGCCGAGCTTGCAGAGACGGCGAAGAAGCTGGCGGCGTCCGAGGCATTGGCGGCGGATCTGGCCAAGCAAGTGGACGACGCGAAGCGGGACAAGGCCGCGGCAGCAGCGGCGGCGGCCGAGGCGGCAGCAGCGGCGGCGGAGGCGGTGAACAAGTCGGCGGCGCCCGAGGCAGCGCCGGCGGATCTGGAAGCGAGGCAGCTCATCGACACCGACCTCGAAGCAGGCACTGTCGGACGCTCGATTGGACTGCCCACGTTCAAGAAGGTGCGAGCGGCAAGCGACGGCGGCGGGCCGTACCAGCAGCTGATCGATGGCGAACGCATCCGGATGACCAAGGGCTTCCTGGCGGCACTGCTGACGACAAACACTTGCTGCGCAGCCTTTTTGGGCATGGTCCTTGTTGTGCTGTACCAGCATTCGTACGCAAGCGGTGTCGGTGAGGTGCAGCCGCGCCCCCCGCCTCCCCCGATCAGCAGCTACGACTACAACTACGACGTAGCCCCACCTCCCCCAACCAGCAGCTGCGCGATTTACCATGCCGGTGCGGCCGTTCTCGAGGGCGTCATGCACACGATGACGGCCGATGGGCTCACAGAGGTGGAAACTGAAGAGCGCGAGATCGTAACGGAGGAGCGCATCGGTTTCAGCAGCCCCTTCTCCCCCACCTTCTTCGACTTCGAGTGCCTGCTTGCCAACGGCACGGGCGATCCGTGCGACGCGTACGTGGCCGAGGCCTTCACAGACCAGATGTTCGTTCCTCTGCGCACCGACTCACTGGTGGGGCTCTGGCTCTCCACGATCTTCCTCTACTCGCTGGCTCAGATTGGTGGCATCCCGCGGCCACGGTTTGTTGACCGCAGGATCGACTGGCCCGGGCTCGTCTTCTGGCTCTCTTGGATGTTGACGCAGCTGTGCCAGTTCTTCGTGGTCGGCTTTCCCTGGCTATGCAGGTTGTCGCCTTCTTCGGCGTGCACGAGCGCACCGGGCCTTGCATGGTCAGGGTCGACAATTTTACGCTGCTGGACGAGTACGCGACGGTCACGTTTGCGGCGCAGCCAGCGCTTCTTAGCAAGCTGCTGCTTCTCGTCGTGTACGGGTACCTGCTGTCGCTCGGCGCGCTCGTGTTCATTGGGCGCAACGTGAACGAGGTTGACTTTAAAGCTGAGGCCAGCAAGACCAACACGAGCCTCGTGCAGCCGATCCCGCTTGCGAGCGTGCTCTACTTCATCTCGCGGTGGGCGTTGTACGGCATCTGCCTGGGGACCGTCGGCGGGTGGCTTGGTGGGCCGGTCGCCTCGTGGGCGGCCGCGCTGGTTGCGGCAGCTGTGGGCTCGCTCACGGGAGGATTCAAGCGAGGGAGCGGCGGTTGCGCAATGTTCGCCAAGTGCACCCTTGGCGTTCTCCTCGGCCTGCCGATCCTGCCACTGGGCGGGCTGTTCCTTGTCTACCTACCACTGGGCGGGCTGTTCCTTGCGTTTGTCAAGCTAAGCTTTGCCGCCGGGCGGAGGTCACTCCATCTGATTGCCTCGACAGAAGAATTGAACTGGCCCCGCTGCCAACGGCTCGAGGCGCTGACCAAGACCGCAGCGGCTGCCACCAAGCCGGCCATCAGCTGGCTCGCCCCGCTCGGAAGCCTCGAGCTGTCCAGCGGCATGTCAATGGTGGTGCAGGGGCTGGCGTACACCGAGACGAGCCTCTCAACGCTGGCGGGCGCACTGGCTTGCGTGCTGGGCTGCCTCGCACTCTCCCCACTGGTTGCATACGGCACGTGGGCGGCGGAACAAGGACGGCTCGAGCCCGATTACGATGTCGAGGACAGCGCGGTGGAGGCGGTGCAGGCACGGCTGTGGATGCTGTGGCTCCTGGTGGCAATGCCCGTGCTGCTGTTTGCTGTCGATCTCTTCTTTATGCATGGCGAGCTCCTCCTCGACAGGGTGGATTCTCTCAGCATGTTCCTCACCGTATTTGTCGCCCCCTTCCTCCTCGCGCTCGGCTTCGTCATCCTCTTCACCTCGCAGGACGACTCGTACATCGAGCGCATCGTCTGGCACGCACAGGTTGTATACGGCGACTCCTTTGCGTTCCTCGCCACGTTGCAGCTCGACGTGTCGGGTCTGCAGCCCTTTTTCGACAGCGTGATGGCGGACATGGTCGCCTTCACAGGCGATCCTTTGGGAGCAGCGCAAAAGGTCGCCGATCGTCTGGCCGAGATCGCAGCGGATCCGCTGGCGCCCGTGAGGGAGGTGGTCGAGGTGGTTGCCAACATGTCGCGCTATCTGGAAATCGACCCTTCCTACTTTGTTGAACACTCGGCGGCGCTCGACGTTCTGAATGTATCTCTGGGGCTGCTCAAGCTGCTGGCCACCTACGGACGCAAGGCATTTGCGCTCTACGATGTGGTGCTGGGCCTATTTCGCGGAGAGAAGGGGGAGGGAGACGAGGAGGACGACGGGGTGGTGCAGGTGCACGAGTGCGTGGCGGATCCGAAGAAGGCGCAGCTAGAAGCAGACATCGAGCTGCTCTGCCAACGAGGTGAATACTCGGACGATAAGACTTCGTTGGACTTTAGTGAAACGCGCCTTGATGCTGGGGACGTGGCGACAATTGCTCTCTGGCTGAAGGACGACGCGGTGCTGACCACCCTCAACATCAGCAAGAATTACATCTCCGACGAGGGTGCCAAGGCGCTGGCCTCCGCTCTTCGCGTCAACGAGGTGCTGACCACCCTCAACCTCCGCTCCAACAGCATCGGCCCCAAGGGCGCTGCCGCCGTCGGCGAGGCCCTCAAGGTCAACGAGGTGCTGACCACCCTCAAACTCGGCAACAACAACATCCGCGCCGAGGGCGCCGCCGCAATCGCCGAGGCGCTGCGCGGCAACGGGGTGCTGACCAACCTGAACCTCTACTACAACAAGATCGGCGACGAGGGCGCCAAGGCGCTAGCAGCCGCTCTTGGCGTCAACGAGGTGCTGAAAAACATCGACCTCAGCTACAACAACTTGGGCGATGAGGGGGAGAAAGCGATTCACGATGCGGTGAGCGGGCGGGAAGGGTTCGAGCTCGAGATGTGAGGGGTGGGTTCTGAGAGTGGACGGCGCAGGGGAGCGTGCGGGTAGTGAGAAGGGGTTGTCTGCTATATTAGTCGGTGGAGGATTTCTTTCTTTTGGCTTGTGCGTTTTTCAGGCAGGGTGCTGACCTCCTTGAACATGGACGGCAACGAGATCGGCCCCACCAGCGCGACTGCGATCGCCGAGGCGCTGCGTGGCAACGGGGTGCTGAAAACACTTCGGCTCGGCGGCAACAAGATCTGATGCGACGAGGGCGCCGTCGCGATCGCCGACGCCCTTCGCGTCAGCGGGGTGCTGAAAACCCTCGACCTCACGTCGAACGAGATCGGCGACGAGGGCGCCACCGCGATCGCCGACGCCCTCAAGGGCAACGGGGTGCTGACCACCCTCAACCTCGCCAACAACCAGATCCGCGAGCAGGGCGCCGCTGCGATCGCGGAAGCGCTGCGCGGCAACGGGGTGCTGAAAACGCTCGACCTCTCCTTTATCTCTCACTCTAGCTAAGCCAGGGGAGGCTATTCTGGGCGTCCACACGGCTTGCACAGGTGACCCTCGCGACAAAGCGAGCGCGTCCGGCAGAGCGACTGAAGAATCGAGGACAGAGTCACAAATCCCGCTTGTTGTGCATGTTTTGAGGTCGGACAGTGCTGCTGTCTTCTCCACGCAGCAGCCGACGCCACCAGGCCTCGGTAGCTGAGCAGCAGGAGCCTCCTCGCTGCTGGCAGAGTTGCGCCTCTGTTTGCCGCCGCTAAGAGATCGTTGTTGCGGGAATCCAGGGAATCTAAAGGAATCTAGAATCTGTGGGTCCGAGATTCGATCTGGGACCTGAGCTGCTCGGGACCAGCTGCACGAGGCCCCCCATGCGTGCCGCAACGACCCACAGTGCTGGTACCACTCTGTTCACGTTCACAGCTCTAAAGTGGACCATAACTACGACACAGGGGGTACACCTCGGCCCACCCCCGGCTGACTCTCGGCTAACACGCCGCTGCGCATCACCAAGGCGGGCGAGCGGTGCGTGCGACGGCGCGCGCACCAGCTGCGCCGCGCCGCCGCCGGCAACACCGCGACGCCGCTCACCTTGCAGCGGGTGAGTAGGCGCGCGCAGATCTCGGTCGCCATGAACCGTCCCGGCGTGCACGTCGGAGCGTGCGGCGGAGGCGGCGGTGGATCAGGCGACCACACACCACCACCGAGACACTCTCCCGAGACGCCTCCGCCTACAGACTTCCTCGTGGCGGAGCAGGCGATGAGGCACTGCTTCGCCGACACGGCGCCCTTTGAGCGCGTGCCGTGAGCGTGGCGCCCTGGCGATGATGCGCCCATGCCTCACGGCACCGCGGCACACGCCACGCCGGTTCGTGGTGCCCCTCCTTGTGACTTTAGTTATTGCGAGAAGTACGTCTAGATGTAACCTCGCCAACATGGCGCGCTGTCTTTGAAAAGAAAGTGTACAAAACAAAAAGGAAAACAGAGGGTCCCCAGCACTTTGCGTTTCCGGAAATTTCCAGGGAAAACAGAGGGTGTTTGGTGCTCCATTCTGGAAACTCGCTGTTTTCCCTGAGTCTGAGAGCTGGTCTGGGGCAAAATCTAAGGCAAAATTGAGGAAATCGACAAAATACCCAGGCGGTCGCAGGGTAAATTCCAGGTATGCACGGGTTCTCCGCAAAATTCCCGGCATTTTTCCGATTTGGCCTAAAATTTGGCTGATTTTGGGCCCAAACCAGTCTCGACTCGGCTCAGAGCCCAAAATTTGACGATTTCCACGGAGTTTTCCCGGGAAAAGAGAGAGGAAAAGAGAGGGTGTTGTAGAGAAAAAAGGAAAGGAAAACAGACGGGGTGCGAGAGGAAAACCTTATACAGCCTAAACGCGAGGCCACAATAAGCATCCAAGCCCCTCACGCCGATCCATCCATCCATCCTCCCCCCACTCCGTGTGCGAGTGAGTTTGCATTCTTACTCGCCGCCCAATTATTAAACCCCTCATTTTGACCGCGCAAGATATATAAAGGGTGGCTAAGGGCTCTGCCCGCAAAAGGCGCCCGCGTCGCAGACGCGGTACCATTGACAAATCTGCAACATACCCCCACACGAACAAATAGCAAAATCCGAAAATACCGTGTGCACAAACTGCGTGATGTCGGCCGTGCAAGCCTTCAGCTGGTCCTGGTGTGCTGGTGCCAAGACATCCGTAAAATTGAAGCCAAGAACGTCCGCCAAATCCGTGCTTTCGGAGCAACTGAGGGGAAAGCCGCTGATCGAGCCCAGCGTGCCCGCGGCCGCCTCCCGGCTCCCGCGCAGCACCGCCGCGGGGACGACACGCTGCGGAAGCGGATCGAGCCCATGCACGGGCAAAGAAGGACGCTGCAGAAGCGGTTGGAGAGGCAGCCGGCGTCTGCCGTCACAACGAGTCCCAGCGCTGGTTGGACACGCCACGCCGCTTGCGGCGAATACCAGCTCCGAGAAAATCTTCGAGGCACGCGTTACTTCCTCTGCCTTCGTGAGAACACGCCGGTCTTCGATTTCGATGCTGCCCGGCCTTGCTCGTCCTTGCTTCGGGGCGGCGCCGCGGCAGTCGCTGCGGCGAGCGGCTCGTGCGACACGCCTCCTATCAGCCTCTCGCGATCGGCATCTCAGCGTGGCCGCGCCCGCCGACTTGGCGCACGTCGCTGCGGCCGCCACCACTTCGGCAGCGGCGTCGAGCTCGTTTGACATCGACCAGCTCGCGCGGCAGCCGATGACCTCGCTTTCGCTCAACGACCTCTACCGCGTCGCGAGCTCTCCGACCGACGAGCAGAACCTGCTCAACGCGCAGTTTGTGAGGCGCGAGCTGCCCATCCGGTATGCTCATCGGTGCGCGCAGCTGCGCAACCTGCCCTTCGGCCTCGCTGCGGACGAGCGGATCGAGCATGCGGCGCGCACGTACGAGCAGCAGGCGGAGGCGTTGTTCCTCCACCCCAAGCCAGTCGACGCCAGCAGCAAGCGGTCATTTGACTCGCTGCTCCGCTCGTCGCAGCCAAAGCTCCTCGAGGTGCCGGAGACCTTCCACGTGGCGTGCGGGACATGTCCGTGACACGTCCGTGACACCTACAGGTGCCGGAGCATATTGGCACGGCGCTGGCGGCGCGGCTCCACGCGGAGGGCGGCGAGGCCGACGCAGACGCAGACGGCGCGCACGCAGCGTCCATGACACGTCCGTGACACGGGCATGGTATGTCCAGGCCGACGCCGATGCCGACCGCACGCAGCAGCGAGTCATCGACACGCACCTGGACGAGTTCTTCCTCGCTCGAATCGGCCAGGTGCTCCTCCTCCTGGTTAAACGTCCAGACACGTCCGACGCCTCCCGGCCGCCTCCTCGGCATCTTCCCATCGTCCACTGGCGCGCCCCTCCCCTCCTCCCGCCGCCAGCGCTTCTTGATCGAGCACTACCTCGCATCGTCTGGCTCGAGCGGCGCGGAGCAGCGGCCCGGCTTCTCGGGCATCATCCAGTCGCGCTGCTCGCCGTTCGAGGTTGTCGAGCAGGCGGAGGCAGATCTGGGGGAGATATGGGGGGAGATATGGGTTCGAGGTTGTCGAGCAGGCGGAGGCCTCTCTCCGTAGTCTGCCTAGACTGACACGCCCCTCCTCCTTGCGAGAAGCCTACACTGAGGAGTGCGCTGTCTCATGCTCCGCCTCTGGCAGGCGGCGGCCGAGACTTTCCTTCTCTGCAGCGCGCGGCTGGGTGTCTGCCCGCAGATTGAGGTTCGGGGCGACCGCGATGCGTCGTTTACGTGCGCGCGCAGCCAGAGGAAACGCCTCGAGGCTGTCGAGCTCTTCACACCTCAAGCTGTGAACAGGTACGTGCCGAAGCACATCTTCTTCGTCGCGAGCGAGCTCCTCAAGAACGCGGCCGCGGCGACAGTCGACTTCCACGCCTCGCGCGGCGGCGGCGGCGGCTTACCCCCCGTCCGGATCGTCGTCGCGTGCGGCGAGAACGAGATGGCGATCAAGGTAGCGGATGAGGGCGGAGGCATCGCGCGCTCGCGGCTGGCCGAGGTGTGGTCGTACCGCGGGGCGCGGCTGGCGGGCGGGTTCGGGCTGGCGGCGAGGAGCGACGCGGACGAGCTGGTGCGCTCGCCCGAGGCGTCGGCCGGGCTCGGGCTTCCCCTGGCGCGGCTGCACTGCAAGTTCTTCGGCGGCTCGCTCCACCTCACGCCGATGGAGGGGTACGGCACCGACTCGTACGCCAAGCTCAACCGGCTCGGCGACGACAACTGCGAGGACCTGCCCCAGGCGGTGCGGGAGAGCTACGGCATGGAGGCTGCGGAGCCCTCGGCAGCTGTCAATCAGTGGTACGCGCGGCGCGGGCTGCAGGTGGGAGACTTGCTCTATGACGCGCAGGCGCGGCGCGGCTGAGGAGGAGGGCGGCGGCAGAAGGCGGGGGCGGAAGGCGGCGGAGGAGGCGGCGGAGAGAAGGCCGTGGTTTAGGAGTAGGGGGGGCGGGGGATGTGGGATGGACACACGCAATTCGAGGCCTTTCGCTTTCCTCCTGCATGCGTGAGTCTCGAGTCCGAGGGAGACGCTGAGAGAGAGTTGACGCGGCTGGAGAGACGCGTGTGCCGCGTGTGTGCGCGCTCTCTTTCTCTCCTGCTGTGAGACGCACCGTGCCATGTGTCGCGACACGCATGTGAGGCATGCTGATGAGTGATGACTTGATGTCATCACTAGCCGAGCCAAGGCCGGCGAGGGGTCGTTTAGCGTGACAGATAAGTCATACAAGTAGAACTTCAAGTTGCCAACTTCGTCGACCGTCGTCGTCACGTGTCACGTCGTCAAACGTGCACGTCGTGTGACTCGTCTCTCGTGTACGCACGGTACGCGAGACATTAAAACTAAGGGGCAGAGGCACTCCGCCACAGAGTAATGGAGAAGTCTGTCCGCGCCTAAGGATTCTGCCATTCCTATTCTGCTCTACTACACAAGGATTCTTGCTATTCTACCTCTCACTAGATTCCCCTTCCCAGGTTCCTCTTCTGCTCAGATATTCTGATTCTCTCCCCAGACTCTCCCATCTTGGCCCCGCTTTCAGCTTCCTGATTCTCCATTCTCGTTTCCTCCGCTTCCTTTCCGATTCTCTAGGGCAGCCAGAGCCAATTCCTGATTCTGCTCCCCCCTCCCGATTCTCCTGTCTCTCTTCCTATTCTTGATGCTCCATTTGATTCCTGATTCCTGATTCCTGATTTGTCGGATCGCCCACATTTTGACCGGGATTCTGATTCCTGATTCCTGATTCCTGATTCCTGATTCCAACATTTTGACCGGGATTCTGATTCCTGATTCCTGATTCCTGATTCCTGATTCCTCGGAGTTACGCATTTCGGCGGGATCCTATGTTGGCCTGACTCTCCGTACTCCTGAGAGCCGATATTGCGTGTGCGCGGGGCTTCACACAGCTCACTCAAACTTCGCCCGCGGCAGCATGCTCAGGCGCGGCGCGCGGGTCTCTCTGGCGCTCCAGCCTCACGTCAGCGCACTCAGCGCTTAGGCCTCGGTCCGGCGTCCGCAAAGGCGCAGTGTGTGGTGCGGGCTCTGCCCGCCCCCCCGAGGAGAGGGGGGGGGGGGGCGCTCCCGCGCGGGGGGGAGCCGAGCGAAGCTCGGCTCGGGTTCAAACTAACCCTCCCCCTTTTCCCTTTTTCTAAAACTGCTCGCCGCGAGCGGCTCGCTTCTAAAACGAGCTCGCCGCGGCTGTCGCCGCGTCTCGCCTGTCTAGGCGTCGTGATGCGTGTGTGCTTTCGAGCTGGGCGTATAAGAAGAAGAAATTGAAGCACTCCTCCCATTGACTTAGTACGAGCACCGAGACACGAGACAGCAGCCTACCCGTTCTACACCCACACCGCCGCGGAGCTGCCTAGCTGGCGGGTGCATTCACAGCGAGCCCGCGGGCTTGGAGACCCAATCAGACAGCACTCCCCACAGCAAAAGAGCAGACGTGCCGCTGTGAGCATCGCTGAGCAGCACCAACGACCGCTTGCGGGGTCGCTTCAGGCCGGCGCCAAGCTGCATCTGACGCCGGCATGCCGTTCAAACCCCGGCACCAAGCGCCCGCGGGAATGGGAGACCGCCTGCCCAGAATTAAGATCGGCCGCGCACTGCTCTGGCTCCACCATGCCACCGCCCATGAGATCTCTGACGCACGTGTGATGAGCCGCCGTTCAAAAGTGACTGTACTGTGCGGAGCGCGGAGCGCACTTCGATGGCAAAGTGGGTGGCGCGGAGGATACGGCGCGTACACATGAGCGTGATTGGTTGAGTGAGCATGCCCAGATGGCCGGCCGGCCGGGCTACCGCCCCTCGACGGGCAAAAACAGGAATCAGGAAACGAGAGTCCGGCCGGGTTGCCAAGAAATCGGCGGGCGGGCGGAAAATTCCCTTTCCGGCATCCGGAGGCAGAAACCGCAACCGCGCGACAGAATCTGATAAGGCGAGAATCGGACGGACAGAATCAAATATTTTAGGCAGAAACGGAAGCTGGGTGAGGAATCCTGCCCGGAGGCTGAGTGCGTGGAAAGGGGACGGGCAGAATCAGATCGAGTAGGCAGAACCGGAAAAGGAGAGTGAGAATCAGAAGAAACGGACACGAATCCCTCTCGAGCCTCCGCATACAGAATCCTGTCTTGGGTGGCAGAATCGCTAGTGCAGAATCCTCAGGCGTGGACAGGGTTCTCCAAGACTGCCGCCACATCACCACTACCCGCGCTCTAGAAGAGCGCAAGAGGCGGGCGGGGCGTGGGGGGGCGCGGGGTCCGCGCGGGAATCCGGGGGCGAAGTCGGGGGGGCGGGGGACAGACACGATACACGTACGACGTGTCGCGCCGACTCTTGGAACACACGGCACACAGACCGACCGCGTCTCACAGTCTACCGACAATCGACAATGTGTACAATCTTGACCCGCAGCCGCGCTTTGAGGCAGGGCGCAGGCTCACCGGGAGACCTGCTTAAGCCAAGTGCGGGGCGGTCTGAGCAGGCGTGAGGGCTTGGTGAGGGCAAGGCCTGAGCTCTCAACAGGATTGGGCCATACGACAGCTCCTGCCGGTGTTCAGTGGGCATGCCACAGAGCGCGAACACACTTCCCTACCATGCCCGCACCGCGGTGCAGCCACCGGCCAGCGACCTGGGCGGCGGCCTTCAAGGGTGGCTGCTCTGCGATGACCCTCCTGGACTCAGAGCCCTCCTCCGCGTACTCCTTGGCGAGAGCGAGCAGGGTGGCTTTGTGCTCGAAGCGCGCGGCCAGCACGAGCGGAGTATCACCCGCCGTTGTCCTCTGCGTGAGGTTAGCACCACCCCGCAGGAGCTGCGTGACGAGTTGAGAGTGGCCTCTCTCCGCAGCAACGTGCAGCGGCGAATGGCCAGTCCAAGAAGGGACGTCAATATCCGCGCCGTGCTCGATGAGGGTGGATAGGACGGCGCGCCCGTTGCTGCTCGCGGCGGCGTAGTGAACCGCCGTCCAACCATGCGTCAGCTCCTGGATATTGAGGTGTGACCGAGGGATCGCGTTGGCGATTGTCGCGGTGGTCCTGACATCGCCGAGCTCTGCGGCTCGCATCAGTGCCGTCTTTCCCACCCCGTCGTCGCACGAGGCCGGTGACGCGGCCGAGGAGAGCAACAGTGAGGATAGAAAGGTGGCCATTGGCGGAGGGTCGTTGAACAGCGGCGTCGACGAGCGAGTGGTGACTGGGGGAGACCGGTGACCGCTGAAAGGACGGATGCGACTGAAACGAGGCGACTCCACCCGAGACACGTGTTTACTTTAGGGCCCTTGCCCTGCGAATGCGCGCCCCCCCCCTAGTCTAGGGTACCATACTTCCGGGCCGGTGTGCGGGGAGCGAACCTTAACGACCGCCCAGAAGCTTTCTGAGCGAACCAATCGGGCCAGGATCATCAGCATATGTCCCCTCCACAACATCGTGGGCGTTTGAGCGGTATTTGAGGAGCACCGCGACTCTGAAGTTCGGCCGGGTGGTCTGCAGACCCCCCCCCCCGGAGCAGCAGAGGCTCCGTGGGGTCGAAAAGTCGACGCTGGGAGTCGCACTCGTCAAGCCATCGCAGCACCACGCGATCCGCACGTACCGCCCACATCCCCTCCACCGCTGAGAAGGCGCAGATCGACCGCCGGGCCGCGTAGTCGTCGTTAAGGAGCGGTTTTTGGAGCCGTACGAAGAGGTCCCAGACGGGCGAAGATGCGGTTTTTCGACGACCACACGCGATGTGGTATCTGGTTTTTGCTAAAAACGGGCCGCCTAGTGCAGCATCACTAGTACAACACGCAACCACTCTGAGAGCTCCACACTAGCCGGTATAGGCGAGCGCCGACGGCGTCACGGTCGCCGGAGTGGACGCACTGCACACACACTGTGACCGTGTCGTGGGTGTGACAGTGAGCTGACACAATCGTCGGCGCCGCGCTATCGCGGCGCCCCGCAGTCTACACACCTCAGGCGCGCCCCTGAACGCGCCATGAGCGCGCAGGCACATAGCAGCGCCGCGCCAAAAGGCCATTCCCTCGCCCGACCCGTGGCTCCACCGTGGCTGCAGCGGTCCGCTAAACCTGCACAGGGCAAAAACGTGTAGCTTAACAGACGACTTGTGATGATCAGTGCTGGCGGAGGCCTCATCGCAGCGGGATCTGACGTCGCGTTTGAGGTGTGCATTGGCGGAGGGGTCGCATGGCTGAGAGAGACAGAGGCAGCAGGCGGGTGGTGGGGCGGCACCTGTTGCTGCCATGGGCAGCGCCGAGCCGCGGCGGAGTCGCTCCGTAGGTCCATGCTGAGCCGCACGAGTGCGCCGACCCGTCGCGAGGTGCCTGCGCGGGGGTGATGTCGCGCCGATGGCTGAGTACGTGCGGCGTGAGCGGGCTTTGTGCGAAGGGGCGGCGCGAGAGGTGAGCCGGCGGGCGCGCCCCGCGCCGGCGGTCGAGTTACCGAACAATTCGACGTGGCGCAGCTCCGCGCCGGCGGGGACGACCGAGCACATGATGTCGGCGGCGGTCACGCGACGAGAGAGAGCCGCAGGGGCCCTCTGAGAGCCAGGCGCCGAAAAGCAGCGTGAGCGGCGGCCGCGATCAGCCACCTATGGGCGGTCATCGGGGTCGCGGTCAAGCGCTGCCAGGGTTGGATCCGGTGCGTCTCGTATCACTGGTGGGCAGGGTGTGCAGCAGCCGCGCTCAAAAAGAGGGAAAAAAAGCGGCTGGTACTTGGACTGTCGACTCTCTCGACGCACCGTGCTCGACCTCGCTGAAAAGCTGGCTGGTGGTCGCGCGCAGCGCGCCGGCGCGACTCCGACTGGTTGGGCACCTCGGCTGGGTCCATCGGCAAGAGGCCCGCGCCGTCGGGCGGCCCCGGGAGCGCATGATGCCCCTCCGAGAGGCGCTGACGCCCCGCCGAGATCGCGCTGGCTTCGCACGAAAATCACAAGGCGCCAAGGGGGGGGGGTCAAGTATGGTACCCTAGACTAGCTAGGGGTCAGGGCTCTCTAGCCCGTAGCCCGATCCCGATCATCCGGCCCGCTGGATGCGCTTCTCAGCTCACCGGCCCTGGATGTGAGGTTACCGACTGCACTCCAAGTGCTCCAAGTGCACCCCCCCCCCCCCCCAGTCTTTCCTTTTCCAGTGTAATGTAGCTCTTACGAACATACCCGAGGGTGAACTGCTGACAGGGTTTGCGATGAGAAGCGATCCGAACGTGGCATTCGGGTGATTAGCTTTTAAGACACAGAGCTCTCACAAAATCACTTGCTTGGGCTGTAGCAGGTTTGCCTCTCGCACCCCGTCTGTTTTCCTTTCCCTTTTTCTCTACACCCCCTCTCTTTTCCTCTCTATTTTCCCGGGAAAACTCCGTGGAAATCGTCAAATTTTGGGGCGCTGAGCCGAGTCTGACTGAGGCTGGTTTGGGCCCAAAATCAGCCAAATTTTAGGCCTGATCGGAAAAATGCCGGGAATTTTGCGGAGAACCCGTGTATACCTGGAATTTACCCTGGCCCTGCGACCGCCTGGGTATTTTGTCGATTTCCTCAATTTTGCCTCAGATTTTGCCCCAGACCAGCTCTCAGACTCAAGACTCACGGTACAGGGTCAGGGAAACTCGCGAGTTTCCAGAATGGAGCACCAAACACCCTCTGAGCTCTGTTTTCCCTCGAAATTTCCGGAAACGCAAAGTGCTGGGGACCCTCTGTTTTCCTTTTTGTTTGCCGGAAAACCTGCTACATCCCAAAAAATCACAGCGGGAGGATTTGTGTTCTGATTTGCCAACAACAAAACAAACACAGTGTTTAGGAGTTGTTGTTTGGTATTGCTAAAAATCTCTCTCCCAACAACATACCTAAAACAGCGGGAGGAGCAGTCGCCAATTCTCCAGGTTCTGGCGGGCCACCCTGTTCGATTTGAGCTGGTAAAGATTCTTTTTTGCCTAGTATAAAAGAAAGAAAGAAAACACACAACCCAAGGGAGGGATGGGAGAACGGCACGCCGCCACCACACAGGGATTTTAAGGAGAGGAGAGTGTGATGCGCTAGCCGTCGCCCACCCTGCCTAGTGTCGTGCGAGGGAGTTTTGTTGTAAAATTCTTTTTTTGGTTTTGTTTCGTCGCTGGCTGGTGGTGGCTGGGCTTAGTTGTTTGCCACACCCACGCAGCTTTGGGGTCACAGCCCCCCCCCCCCCCGCGCGATTTCTTTTCCTTGTTCTTTTCGGTTCTTGTTTTTAAAACTCCGCTTCTCTGTCTCTATGTTCTTTTTTCTTTGTCTGCCGACTGCCAGTTAGGTTAGGTGTGTGTGTGTGGGGGGGGGGGCTTATGCTCTGGCGAGACGTGAGGCGCATGCGCCCAGGACGCAGGAGGGGAGGGGGCATGTGTAACGACACTGCTAGAGATGCCTTTCGGGGCCCAGAGATAAAACTTCTGTGATGCCATGCGTGACCTAGTAGTGTCCCCAGCTATGGGCGTGTCCACGTTGGAGCCAGGTGTGGTGTGGGCGCGAGAATAGCTCCGCCGTTCATGGAGGCAACCGATGCGAGTCGACTGGTGTGTGTCGTCGTGGTTTCGTATCAAGAATACTCACTCACACACACACACGTTAGGTTAGGCCGAAAGGTGAAGAACAGCCAGGCTCGGACTGGACACCAACGCGGTATGGGTGGACGCTAGACAGATGATGACGGCACGCACGAGCGACACACAGACACAAACAGGCTCTGCCAGTGTGTGCGCACGAAGAAGAAAGGGGGCGTCAACCGCGGTCGATCACACCGCGGTCGATCAGCCTCGGCGCAGGAGCGGCAGCGATCGAGCACACAAGGCCGGCAAGGTCAGGAGTCTACGCCGCCGATGCCCAAGCGACCGCCTGCTGCGACCCCTGGCGCTCCAGGCGCCGCCAAGGTGCCGCGCTGGTCTAGTGCGAGTGTCGCATCGGCCATCGCGCTCGCGTACGCCGCCGGCCTCGGCAGCCGCGTCCTGCTCACGGCCGGCGGCGACCCGCCGCCGAGCACCGCGGATGCTTTCTCGCACACGACACACCCAGACATGGCGACCGACGGCTTCAACTGGACGCAGCTCTCGATGAGTCGCGCCAACAACTTCCCGTCCGGCACGATCAAGTACCTCGACGCCGCCACCATCAAGGAGCGCGGCGCGATGCACGCGTGGCACACGACGTTCGCTCGCTCCATCCCGGCGCTGGTGTCGGGACTCGGCGACGACGTGGCCGCCTCCTTCTCCGGGTGGCGGCGCGAGGACTACCGCCGGCACTGGGGCGAGAAGGACGTCGTCGTCGCCTTCTCTCCCGACAAGATGTTTCAGCGAGGCGTCCTCCGGTCCGGCCTGAGGAGGCTGCAGGCGAGGAGGCTAGTCTCGCACCGCACGGGAGGCCTGAGGAGGCGCCCCCGGCCCGAGGAGGCTGCAGGCGAGGGTCGGGCCTCATGACAGCAGCGGCACGCCTGCTCACAGCTCTCTCTTGTAGGATCTCACAGCCCTGTGTCACCGGCCGTGTGTCGCGGGACGAGGCGCAGAGCCAGACCCTTCCGTGTGTTTGTGTTTGCAGGCGCCGCACCGGCAGCGAATGCGCTTCGACGCCTTCCTGGACGCGCAGGCGGAGGAGGGGGTGGGCGAGCCATCGCCAGATCTCGCCTCTTCGGACCGTCCTCGGAACCGCCCCGCAGGCCGAGTCGGAGCGGGTCATCCCGCCGCTGGAGCACGTCGCTGTCCAGCAGTCCCCGTCGCGAGACCTGTCCGACTTCGGCCTCCCTCCGCCTCCTCCTCTGGCGGGGGAGTGCGCAGCCTTCCCGGAGCCTTCCCGGAGGTTTCGCATAGGCCTCCCTCCGCTGCCTCCCTTTGTCGAGGAGCTCGTCTCGCCTACGCTGCAGGCGCGTGCGCGGCGAGTGGGTGGCGGACCCGTCCTCGACCCTTCTCGGACCCTTCTCGGAGCCCTCTCGGAGCCTTCGACAGGCCCGCAACTTGTGGGTGGCGGCCCCTCCCAAGACGTCGGTTCTGCACTACGACTGGCAAGATTCGGTGCTGCTGCAGGCGGCAGCCACCGGGCGATTCTTGAGTGATGGGTGGCGGGTGATTGATTGGTCTGAATGGCCTCTGCTGCAGGTGCCGGAGCGAGCCCTTCTGGGTGACGTAGGACCCGGTGCTTCATCAATCGTGGTTGGACTCTCCTGCAGGTTTCGGGAACCAAGCGCTTCACTCTCATCGACCCGGCCAGGCCGCTTGCCGACCCACCCGCGGCGGTGCCGCTGACCCGCCCGCCTCCCCAGTGCTCTCACTCCCTGCCCACGTCTGCTCAGGCTGCACACAGCCTACCCCGCGGTGATGCTGATGGAGAACCTTGTCAGAACGGGCGCCGGCCCCACCTCGGAGGCGGCCGTCTCGGACCCTTCTCGGAACCTTCTCGGACACCTCTCGGACCCTTCCTGCAGGCGCGGGCCAGTTCGAGCCGCGGCTGACGAGCCGAGAGGTGGACAACTTCCCCCTCGCCAACATCACGCACCCCGACTACGACCGCCACCCGCTCCTCCGGGACGCGCACGTCATGACCGTCGAGGTTGGCCGAGACGAGCCGAGAGGAGCCGAGAGGGGTACCCCGTGATGTCCGTCGAGGGTCGCGTCTCTCCGCCCCAAACCTGCGCGCGCTCCCGCCTCGCCCCCTCCCAGCCAGCTCGCCACCACCCGGCCAGGTGCCGGCGGGCTCCGCGCTCTTCCTGCCCGCCTACTGGTTCCACCAGGACGAGAGATCGCCCGAGATGAGCCGAGAACACCCGTGATCAGCCGAGATGAGGTGCCCGCGCCTGCTGGCTGCACCAGGTGGAGAGCTTTGCCGCTCCCGGCGAGCTCAACGTCGCCGTCAACTATTGGTTCCAGGGCCACTCGCTCGCCACCCGCCTCTACCGCACGCCGCCCCAGATGCCAGACACCGACCGCCGCTCCTGCTGGATGCCGGAGTGTGCGAGATCCCGATCTGCTTTCTTAGCCCTCGTATTCCCGCGAGACCCGCAGGAGTGCGACGCGCGATGCTGCTTTCGCTTTCAGCCCGCGTCTCTTCATTTTTTTAGGAACGCTGCGCGAGAACGTCTTTGTCAACTGCACGCTGCCCGCGGCGCCGGGACAGCTGCACCCGTGCCGAAATTCGGTCTTGCCGGAGGACGAGGGATGAGAGGGACTTCCGGCGAGGCAGGCTGCCCGCCAGTCTCATCTCCCCGTCTCTCTAGATCTAATCACTTACGATTTGTTTTTTGCGATTCCCGTGCAGTAAAAAAAGAAAGAAAACACGGGCAAGGGTTCTTTTCTGCCAGAGTTTGGTTGTAAAATTCGGTGAAAATTCTTCTTTCTGATCGGGCGAGCCGCTCCGGTAGGCGCTCGCCGGGATGGGCTGCTTGTTTAGCAAGGGCGCGGAGGCGGCGCCGACGAAGGCGAGCCGTGCCTTTACCCCCGTGGAGTCGCTTGGCTCGTCTCCACAGAGCGACGCGGGCAGCGGCAGTGGCGCGGCCGAGAACGACCTGGCTCTCCAGATGCACGAGCTGATTGTGCGGCTGGAGAGCCTCGCGGGCGCTCCATATTCTGCGGAGCCGCCCACTGCGGGCGGACCGCCCGCGCCCGAGGACGTGCAGCGCTTTGCCTCGCTGCTTGAGCGGCTGGAAGCAGCTGCACCTGCCTAACCAGTGCTACTCGCGCGTCGCGGCTGGACTTCGTATAACCTCACAGTCCTCGGGACCTACTTAGGATCTAGCTCGCACTTTATTTATGTGTCTGCAAAGCAATGACGAGAACACTGTCCGGACGAGCTGAGCGCGCCACCACCACAACACCGTGTCAGCATTTCCCGCTGGACCACACCGTCTGGATCAGGCTGAGCGCGTGGCTCGCGATCTTGGCGTGCGTGGCGTGGCTCGGGTGGTGCGCATCGTGCCAAAAGGACAGTGCGCGACTGGCGCAGCCCGAGGGGTGCGGGGCGGCGGCGCCGCCGCTCCCCTGCGCCTCGGCTCCCTGCTCCCCGCCACTCCTCCAGAGCGCCGCGTTCTTCCGCATCCGCTGCGCGACGAGCCGCGGCACCCAGAGGAGCCCGCACGCGTCTGCGCCCTCCGCGGCGGAGAGGTCGTCCAGTAGCGCCGCCTCGTCGAGCACCAGAAGCCGCACCTGCGCCGCCATGAAGAGACAGCAGAGTCAGGTGCGGGCACGCGGGTCTGCGCAGTGTTTCAGAGGTAGCCCACGGGCTGCGAGTGCAGCGCCTACGGCTCAACACGTCTCCTCTCGAGTGCTGGTTCGAGTACACGGGTCAGTCTTCCGGCCATCTACGCTGCCGCACGGCGGGGGCCTCGGCGGCGAAGCCGGCGAGCGCCTGGTCGGAGTCGTGGGTGTGTCCAGTTTAGAGGAGGCGCCTCCTCGAGCCTTCCTTTTTTACTCCCTCGGATCTCGGCTCCTCTCCGCCGATCTCGGCTGATCTCGCCTCGTCGAGGGCGGCGCCGAAGAGGCGGAAGCAGGAGCGGAGGGTGGCGGTGACGTGTGCCGTCGGCGCGAGCCCGAAAGTCAGCAGGGTGACCAACGCGCGGGCGAGCGGGATGCAGGGGCTCAGCGGCAGCCGCTGCGGCGGGAGGAGGCTGGGAGGCGGTTCAGAGAGGGGGCGGGCGGAGCGACGGCGGTGCTGCCCGGGCAAGCCGCACACCGAGACGAGGACGAGACGGTACCCGCGCGACTCGGCCGCGCGGAGCAGGCGGCGCAGCTCCTGCGCGGAGCGGCGGGAGACGAGCCCGATGAAGGAGAGGTGCGCCTGCGCACGAGACCCGAGCAGTCGAGCTCTCTCCACCGAGTCACGGAGAGGCGAGGCCGGGAGGAGGAAGGAGAGGCGAGGCCGGGAGGAGGAGGGAGAGGCGCGCCGGCCGCGCGGGCGGCGACCACAGGCCTATGCACATGTCACGGACGCGTCGTGGACGCGTCGTGGACGTTCCGCGCCTCGACGGCGGCCGCAGGCCGGCGCTCGCGCCGCTGAGTGCGAGCACGTCGAGCCAGAGGAGGAGGGTGAGCGGCGGGAGGAGGAGCGCGAGCAGGAGGTCGTTCCCGCCGGTGTGGACCACGAGCAGCCGCTCGCCGACCGGGAACTGCTCCGTGGGCAGCCGCCGGTCCGCTCGCGCGAGCTGCTCCAGCGCCGCGGGAGTCCGCGAGCCTCCACGTGCGGTGTTCACCAGCGTGGCGGGCAGCGCGCGCGCCAGCTGCGACGGCCACGTCTCAAACCCCATGTCGACGTCGTCGGCGTACGAGTCGCCGATCACGACCAGCGCACGGCTGCCTCCGGCCTCGCAGGGCCGCCAGGTGAGGTGGTTCTTTGCGGATGGGAAGAGCCTGTGCTTCCGGTAGTCCACATGCGCGCCCGCCTCGTCGACGAGCCACGGGAGGCGTGCTGGCGGTGAGGTGGACGCGTACTCGAGCATTGGGTGCTGTCTGGCCCGCGGCTATCGGTCGGAGAGGTGTTTCGCGCAAGCTGCTGCTTCGCGCCAGAAAGAAGAAAATAGTGACGGCACCACACTCCTCTCCTTAAAATCCCAAAAGGTGGCGGCGTGCCGTCCTCCCATCCCTCCCTTGGGTTGTGGGTTTTATTTCTTTTTTTATCTTTGGGTTCGCGATTTTCTTTCTTTTTTTAGCGCTCCCAAATCCTGCTCGTGCAGGTGGGGACCCTGTTGTGTCCTCCTCCCCTCCCTCGTGTTGTTCCTGTTTTCTGTCTCAGCGCAAATACCAAATTAGTGGGCGGACCTCTCAGGAGGCGCGTGGCAGGCAATTGGTGGCTCACCCCCCTTGAAGCCCCATCCCCGGGTGCCTCTCGAGCCACTTCTCGGTGACGCTCCCCGGCTGGAGGCACGAGCGCGTCCACCCGCTCGGTGCCGCGCTGATCGTGTCGGGAAGGCCCTCGGCGGCGCGCAGCTTGACGACGCACTCGTACATGCGCGCGCGGAGCGCGTACTCTCGCGGGTCGTCCACAATGAAGAAGCCCATCCGATTCTCGACGTACGCGAATGCCAACCCGGAGGACGGGTCCACAAACGCGTTGTTGCCGCCCGCCCCGGGCGTCCCAAAGGCGCGCTCGTCCGATCCGAACGGCGAAAAATCGTTCGGCTTGAGGTAGCCCATGGACATCGCCGTGTCCGTCTGCAGCACCTGCAGCCCATGCGCAAAGGCAGATCGTTGTTTCTCTTTGCGCGCCCCTCCCCCCCCACCCCTCTTTCTCTCTCGATTTGAGCGGAGGACGCACCTCGTCGTGCCACCCCCCCTTCGTGGCCTTCACCGCCGGCGCCTGCAACGCCTCTAGCGTTGCCGCTCGCAAGCCAAGCACGTTGCTCGACCCCGCGACGGACCCACGGGCCACCATCTCGTTCCGGCTGATCGCCCGCTCCACCGCGCTGTAGCAGCTCGCCAGAGCGCGTGCTGTTGCGTGCCCGTTCGCCGCGGGCATCTCGAGCGCCCTCATCCGCCGCGAGTTGTAGTTCTCGAGGTTGCCCAGCTCCTTTGGATTCAAAAAGGAGCGTGCCGTGTACGACTTCGGGTGGAAGAGGAGCCGCTCCACAAACTTGCGAGGCATCGAGTCGAGGTGGAGCAATGTCTGGAATAGCGAGAAGACCTCGAGCGTCGCGAGGCGGTCGTCTGGGACAGTGGAGGGGAGGCCAACGTAGAGCTCGTTGGCGCAGCCCAGGGGGGCGCAGATCTCGTCCGCGATGAATCTGCCGATGCTGCGCCGGGACGGGTCCGTGTAGTGCACTAGCGCACTCTCGTACCAGCCCAGGGTCTGCGCCATGTACCCGTGGTGCTCGCCCGGCTCGGCCCACTCCATCCGCTGCCGCGCAATGCACCGGTACGTGCGGACGACGTCCTCCAGCATCTCAACGGTGATTGGCTCGTCGATGGCCGCCAGTCCGACCATGTGGGAGATGAGCTGGCGCACGGTGACCTTCTCCTTGCCATTGGCCGAAAAGTCCTCCCAGTAGCGGCTCACGGGCGCGTCCAGCTCGAGCAGGCCCCGCGAGTGCTGCAGGGCGGTGGCGAGGCTCGCGATTCCCTTGGTGGTTGAGAAGACGTTGACGAGCGTGTCTCTCTCCCACGGCGCCTGCGAGCGGCGATCGCGGTAGCCGCCCCAGAGGTCGACCACTTTCTTGCCGCGATAAAAGATGCAGACCGCGGCCCCGACCTCCCCTCGCCTGCGAAAGTTCTCTATAAACTCGTCTCGCACCGCCTCGAAGCCGGGACTGACGTCGCCGTGAATGAGGGTGCTCACCCAGTCCGGCTTTGACGTGACCTCGAGCGCTCTGTCTGCTCGCCTCCGGAGCCACCACCACACGAGCCCAGCGGCAGTCGCGGCGGCGAGGAGGGGGCGGGCGGTTGAGGGCATGGCGAAAGGCGAGGGATCAGAGAAGGCCGTCTGGGTCCGTCGGGCCCTGGGTGTGAGGTTTGGGGTTTGGCCGACTGCACTCCAAGTGCTCCAAGTGCTCCGTCGCCGCAGCGAGGGAGGGCGGACGGACGAGTATGAGCGAGTGACAAGAATTTTACAAGGAGCCAGTCCCGTGCCCAGTGTTGTGCGAGTGACAAGAAATTTCTTCGCTCCAAGTGCTTTGGCGTATGTGATCTGTGTGTGAGGGTCCGCCCGCAGGCGCATTTTGTATACCGAGGCGGTGTTTGGGGCGAGACCGGCGGGTATTTCTCGCACAGCGACTCTGTCTCTCGGGGTCCATCCATCGCGCAAGCACACACGAACAAAAATCCCCTTCCTTCGTGAGAAATTTCAAAAACCCTAAGGAAGCGAAGGCGAACACACAGCACCCGCTCCCCATCTACATGTACATGTATACCCCACCCCACCGGCAGGTCGCGACTGTGAACGACGGCTCTGCGACAGCAACGAATGCGGATTCTGGACGACTTTGACGATGCCCGCGCCACCGGCGCCGGCCACACACGCTGTCCCGACCAGGCGCCCGGGCCTCTCGCCGACGGCGGAGCAGCGGCTGCCGGTGTGCGCAGCCTCGTGGAGCGGCTGACGTCGGAGCTCAACAGCGCGCGGGAGGAGCGGGAGAAGGCGGAGAAGCGTGCTCGTTCCGCGCACTCGCTGGTCATGCAGATGAAGGCAGATCACAAGACGCAAGAGCTGAGCTGGAAGCGGCGCAAACAGACGTGGGACACGGAGCGCAAATCGCACAAGAGGCGCGCGGTTGAGAGGGCTTGCGCGCCTTGCCTGCCGCATTTGATCAAATATAGTGCCGACCCACTGATCCTGCGCTCGCCGCAGTAGTAGTAGTAGGCAAGCTTAATTCCAAGATCTGGCCCCTATCCTGCGCGCGCCGCAGGATCGCCGAGAAGTACGAGCGACTGCTGAACGCGGTCAAGACGGAGATTGCGCACCGGCGGGAGCAGCGCGCAATGGCGCCACCGCCCCCGCCGCCTCCACTGCCCGAGGCTGGTGCGGCGTCGGCGCAGGATGCCGAGGAGTCCGTCGAGTTCTCCCTCCCAAAGCTGCCCGCAAAGGTGGCAGCCGCGCCCGCCGCGCCCAATCCGAAGCCACCGCGGCGATCTCGACGCGGGCCGCCAGAAGCGAGCGCCTCGCTGCTGCCCGCCGCAGCCGACCGGGCCGCCCGGCGTCATTCGCCACGGGTCGGTGGGCTCGCGGTGAGCGAGGTGGTGCGCGGCCACGCGCGCACAAAGCTCCCTGCCCGGCCATCGGATGAGACGAAGGCTTTCTTCCAAGCCGTCGGACTTGAGGCCTCCGGCCACGACGCTTGCCGCGAACGACGACGCTTTGAGCGGGTGGAGACGCCGAGGGGTTTCTGGTCGATGGAGCAGTCAAACTTCTGAAGCCCAGTCTCCGTCGCCAGGACGGCGGCGAGCGCACAGCGAGATACGCGCGGCACACGCGACGGAGCGCAGAGAGCTCGGACATGTCGTCCTGCCGTTGGCGTTATCATGCACTTTGAGCGGCGTCCAGTTGCACCGCTGTATATTCGGCTCCGGCTCACCAGCCACACGGTGCCGAAGGGGCCGATCGAAATGAGCATTGGAGTCTGTTCACTGTTTGTTTGCGCAAAATGAGGAATGCAAGAGGTCCGGGTCGTCTGCGATGCTCGCGTTGCGGTACTTTGCGTTCAGCGCCTGGCCAGCGCGTTTCGAACTGAGGCCGTGTTGGGAGTGTGAACGCCCTACTCATGAATAGAGCGGAAGGCAACGGGCAGGTGGTTTGTCGTTTGAGTGGAGACTGACTGAACACACACAGACTACATGATATTAGGTCTCGGGGCGGGGTTGCTCGGGTCGGGGTGGGATGGGGTGGGGTGGGGATGTTGGGTTGGAGTGGGGTTTGCGCCGGAGTGGGAGACAGTCGTACGTCGGGTACGACTGCTTGTGCTTCTGTGGGGGCGACGGCTTTGATTCTGTGAGGGGAAGCTGTCGCCCGCGCCTTGTCGTGTACAAATCAAATTCCGCCGTGATTTCCTTCTGCCCGTGTTCTCCCGCCTTCTGTGGGTAGTCTCCCCCCATTCCCAGGGCCTCCAGGGCTCACACCTCAACCTCTCGTAGACACAGCGCGAAGCACCATAGTCCATACGATGTATATTTCTTCTGAGAACAACCAACCAACAAGGTCTGTGAATGGTTTAGAAAATTCTTTTTCCTTCTGCCTCTATTGCTGCACGCCGTCATGCTCGTCCTCGCTCTTCTCACGACGCCCTCGCACGCCGCCTCTCGCCCCCGTCCGCGGCGCGACGAGGTACTCATCGACACGCGCAACCGCACCGACTTCAGCATCAAGCTCGAGACCGACGCGCCGTGGGAGAAGAGAGGAAGGGGGGGAGAGAACGGCCGACACGTTGTATTTTCTTTTGCGCCAACTTCAGTCGATTCGAATTCTTTTGCCGTGGTGTACCTGTGTTAGTGCCAGTGCGCGCCAGTCATCTGCCTAGTAAAGAAAGACAATGAACACACGTAAAAAAGAAAGAAAGCAAGTGCTCCAAGAAAACAGACAACCCAAGGTGCAAGGAGGGATGAAGGGAGGACGGCACACCGCCACCACACAGGGATTTTAAGGAGAGGAGTGTGGTGCTAGCCGTCGCCCACCCTTGGAGCTTGGTTGGGCGTGTGCCCTCTTTCTATCTCTCTTCTCAAGTCCCCTCGCCGATTCTCGCTGCAACCTTCATGCCACCTCGCGCGTCCCACTCTCGTCGTTCTCTCTCCTGTCGCTTCAACCTCTGTCTCGTCGCTCTCTCCTCTGCCTCGCTCGTTCACGTTCTGCGACGCCGCCGCCGCCTGCCGTGCTGCCGATCCTCGCACTTGGAAGCACTTGCTTGGAGTGCAGTCATTAGCCGCACGCCCAGGACTGGGGAGCTACGAAGCGCACCCAGTTGGCCAGACGATTGGGATCGGGTTACGGGCTAGAGAGCCCTAGCCCTGGGGGGTGAAAAAGAAAGAAAACGGACCACCCAAGGGAGGGATGGATGGGTGGGAGGACGGCACGCCACCACACAGGGATTTTAAGCCCTGGGGGGTGCGCGGTCGCAGGCAGCTCGATGTTTGGATGGAAGGCCGTCATGCTGCCGGAGCTCCTGTGCCCTGCCGTCCGTGCAGATTCCTCGCAAGCCTATAGCGCGCGGGCCGCAGGCAGCTCTGTCGTGTACTCTACCACCCGGCTACGCATACGGCTTTATCATCATAGATCAACAGAAGTCCTCAGGTCTCACAAGCAAGAGTCAAGTCCGTGGCTCAGCATCATCTCGTAGACACTCTACAGATTCTAGACTAAAAAAACAACGAAGGCGCTCTCAAAAAAAAGAAGAAAACGAGCCGGCGACGACGAGGCGAGGCACTCGATGTCGCGTTGCTCGACGATCAACGTCACCACGCTCGCCGGCCGCAGCGAGGCGGTCGAGGTGGGCCCGTCGGCGAGCGTGGGCGACCTGAAGCGCAAGATCTCGCTGCTCGCGCCCGAGAACCAGCGCCTCTACTTCCGCGGCGCGCTCCTCGGCGACAATGCGGCGGAGCTGGCTGAGTGCGGGCTTTCGGACGGTGCACGCGTCAATCTGGTCGCGGCGATGCGCGGCGGCGGATTCTCTCCCGGCAAGGGGAAGGGCAAGGGTGACGGCGGCAAGGGCAAGGGCGGCAAGGGCGGCGGCAAGGGCAAGGGCGACGGCAAGGGCGGCAAGGGCAAGGGTGGCAAGGGCAAGGGCGGCAAGGGGAAGGGCAAGGGCAAGGGCAAGGGCGGCGCGAAGCAGGTGGTCGTCAAGCCCCACCGCCACGAGGGCGTCTACATCGCCTCGGGCAAGGAGGACGTGCTCGTGACCCGCAACCTAGCGGCGCGCGGCCCCGCCTCTGCAACGCGCCGCTGCCGCCCCGCTGCAGCCCCCAAGCCGGCACATGCGGCTGCCACCACGCGGCCGGCCCCGCCCCTGCGGGGACAGCGGCGCGCCGTCGCGCGGCCCGGCCAGTCCGGTGGTGGCGCGCTCTCACCGCCGCGCTCTCGCCGCCGCGCTCTCGCCGCCGCGCTCTCACCGCCGCGCTCTCACCGCCGCGCTCTCACCGCGCGTGGATGTGCGGCGTTGCAGGTGGGCGACTCGGTGTACGGCGAGAAGCGGATCGCGGTGGAGGAGGGCGAGGGCGAGGAGAAGACCAAGATCGAGTACCGCGTCTGGAACCCGTTCCGCTCCAAGCTCGCCGCCGCCATCCTCGGCGGGGTCGACTCCATCTGGATGAAGCCCGGCTCGAAGGTGCTCTACCTCGGCGCCGCGTCGGGCACGTCGGTCTCGCACGTCTCGGACCTCGTCGGCGAGACGGGCTGCGTCTACGCCGTCGAGTTCTCCCACCGCTCGGGCCGCGACCTGATCAACGTCGCGAAGAAGCGCACAAACATCATCCCGATCATCGAGGACGCGCGCCACCCGCAAAAGTACCGGATGCTCGTCGGCATGGTGTGGCCCGCGGCCCTCGCCGGACGCCCTTTGCCAGCCTTCCCTGCTCCTGACCAGCCGCCCCCGGCTTTGTCAGGTCGACTGCATCTTCGCCGACGTCGCGCAGCCCGACCAGGCGCGCATCGTCGCGCTCAACGCCGCGCTCTTCCTCAAGAACGAAGGCCACTCGGTCATCTCGATCAAGGCGAGATCCAGCCGAGATACACCCGAGAGCCAGCCGAGATCCAGCCGAGATGCACCCGAGATGCACCCGAGATGCACCCGAGATGCACCCGAGATGCACCCGAGATGCACCCGAGATGCACCCGAGATACACCCGAGGGCCACTCGGCCCTCTCAATCGAGGCGCCGACCCTTCCCGCGCGATGGCCCTCCCGCCCTCGACACCTCGCTGCCCCACCCGCTCGAGTCAGACACGCCTCCTGCACACACGCCGTCTCCCCCCCCCCCTCCCCCACCGCCACACACACACACACACACACACACACACACACACACACACACACACACACACACACACACACACACACACACACACACACACATCCCACTCACCCCCCCCCCTCCCCCTCCGGGCCGAGTATAGGGGCCAATAGTATTTTGATTCCCCCCCGCCCCCCGGCGGACAATTTTTTTTCCCAAGGGGGGGTAAAAAAGTGGAGGGGGGCCCATTTTTAAGCGCTTGGGAGGAGGGGGCCCCCCCCCTTTCCCCCTCCCCTTTTTTACCCCTAAAATTTATTTTTTTTGCACTTGGGCTTTGGCTTTTTTTTTTCCCCCATTGCAACCCCCTTCCCCGGTTGGAAGTTCCCCCCCCCCCCCCCCTCCTTTCCCAACAAGCCCCTCACGCCCCCCCCCCCCCTCCCTCCCCCCCCTCCCCCACTTCAGCTCACCCTCGAGCCGTACGAGCGCGACCACGCCGTCGTCGTCTCCTGCTACCGGCAAGACAAGTCCAAGAAGCAAAAGACGAGCTAAGGCAGCGCGCCGCCACTCTGCCCCGCCCAGAGACGGGTTGGCGGCTCGCGTGACGCATGGCGGTGATTCTACGTCGGAGGGGGGAGGGGGGGGGGAGAGAGGAGGCCGTCGGTGGGCGAGGTGGCACTTGGCGCACCAATCCCTGCCGTCGGGCACAGAGAGGCAGCGGCACCCAGGCGCGGGACCATCCCTGGGTGCCGCGGGGGGCCGCGGCGGCCGCGAGGCCGTTGCAAACGGGCCGCGGCGCTGCTCTTGCGCTAAGCGTGGGGGCGGTAACCGTGTCGCATTGTGGGGGCCTCTCCCTGTGCACGCTGCAATGGTGAGAGAGCGGCCGCGTTGCGCGTGCGCGTCGTCGTCATCTGATTGCCACGCTGGTGGACAGCGAAACAAGCATAAAAGTTTACAAAAAAGGCAAGCCGCGCGTGTTTCGAATTTCGAAACGTGGCGGTGGTGATCGCGAAGCGGGTTGCTGGCTGTTGAGCTGTTGCGGAACACTGTTGGCGTCGTGTACAGGACCCCTGTCCCCCGCTTCACCCCCCCCGGCCCCGCCGCGCGCCCTGGCGAGCGGCGTGACGCGTGTCGTGTGGAAGCCGTGAGTGGTGAGATCACACATATCAGAGTACTGCAGTCGCAGTGTGAACAGCCCGCGGCGGCCGACAAGCGACATTAATCGTGATGTCACCCCTAGCCCTACGCGCCGACCACTGCTCGACTCTCCTCGTCGAGCATCCGCGAGAGGGGAGAAGGAGAAGACAGAAGCGTCGCGGCCCCATCCCCGCCGAGCGTCCAGGCCGGGCCCGGCGGGTAAGTGGAACCGGATCGGCGCAACTATCCTGGAGGGTGCTTCAGGCCACAATTAACGCAGCGTCAGGGTGTGCTTTACCCAGTCCTCGTCCTTGTTAGTCGCGACCTAGCAGCACAACGGAGAGTGAACAGATAGCAACGAGTAGGGAAGGGGTGTCAATTGGCTACTACTCGTAGCTGTGGCGCATCTGGATATAACGAGCCCACAGGCCGCGCATCAGAAAGGCCACTAGGCCGACCGACAGGCCAAGGTAGAACGGGTACGACAAGTACGAGTGCGAATGGCCTTGTATTTGCCCGTCTCCGGTCCTCGAAGGTGGCGGCGGAAGAAGGGAAGGAGGAGACGTGGTCGGAAGCGAAGGCGGTGGCGTCGCACCAGGAGCCGGTGTCGGTGTAATGTCTACTGAGATGTAAGGTAGTACGACCTTAATCGGTGGAGAGGGCGGCGGGATCGAGGGAAGGGGCGGAGGCGGTGAGAGGGAAGGTGGCAGGGGAGACGGCGGCTGCAGCGGAGAGGATGGCGGCGGCTGGTGCGGTTGCTGAGGCGGCGCCGGTGGCGGAGGCAGCAGTGGTACGGGCGGTGGCGGGGGTGAAGGAGGCAGTGGTGGCAGCGAAGCGTTGGCCAAGACAAGCTGGGGCGGAGGCGGTGAGAGGGAAGGTGGCAGGGGAGACGGCGGCTGCAGCGGAGAGGATGGCGGCGGCTGGTGCGGTTGCTGAGGCGGCGCCGGTGGCGGAGGCTGCAGTGGTACGGGCGGTGGCAGAGGTGTTGGGAGGGGCGGCGGCGGAAGGGCAATCGGCGCAGGGCTGGGTGGCAACACTGAAGGCTGGATCAGTGGTGGGGGTGACGGAGGCAGAGGTGGCGGCGAAGCGTTGGCCAAGACAACCGTGGTCGGAGGCAACGGAGGACGAGGTGCTGCCGCGGGTGGAAGAGGGCCGAGTGATAGGGCCGCTGGGATGGGCCCGGGCATGCCGCTGGTCGCGGTGACACGAGGAGTGGCACGGACACACAAAGGAATCACCGGGCGGGCCGCGTCACACACTACACACTCACGGTTATTAGTTTTTCCGTTACGCTACGTTTCACATCCCACGATACGTCGCGCGAATACGTCGTGCACGCGGTCATGCTGCTCCTCGCAATGCTTGGGGGCGTTCGCGGCTTCGCCACATCCACGGGCGGCAAGAACCGCCGCGAACAAAGAATTAACGAACACAACTCTCGTGAACAAGAACAAACAAAGATGGTTTCAAAGATGGTTTCTTTTCTTTCTGTGCTTTCTGGTGTTACAAGGGAGGGCGACCCTCGCTCGCATCTCCACACCCGGACGGAAACCAGGCAGGAGCCCCACGGCATTCAAAGTGCAAGCATTGGCCCGGTCGGTGCACGTGCGTGGGTGAGTGAGCAGCCTGCCCCTCCCTCCCGAGCTCCCGACAAACCAACTCCCGCACATACACACAATCGACATGCTCTGGGTCACCACACACACACACTCACACACACGTCACCATCCGGGTGTGTACAGATCGCGCGCCTGGGTGAGGGAAGCACGAAAGTTGCGCGTGACATCGCGCCAACTCGCACGTACCGGGGACATCCCGCGCGCGCGCCGAGATGTTTTCGTCCTTCTCGCCGTCGGCCGAGGCGCACCGCCTGGGCATGCACCACCGTCTCAACCTCACCATCAGGCCCGTGGAGCACACGGCCTCCTCTCGTCGAATCGCCGACTGCTCCGCCGGCGTCGTGCACCCGACCCGCCAGGTCTGCTGCAGCGCTGCGTGCGGGCTGTGCGGCGGACACGGATGCTCCGGTCGCCCTGGCGGGCCACGCCAGTGCTGCATGCCCGCTATTTTGCGCACGGGTCGGGTCTGCGAATCAGGGGCTGACGTGGCCTGCATCATGCGCCTAGTTGCTGCCGCGTCAGCAGAGACGCACATGCCTCGGATTTCTGTGTGCATCGCCGGTTCGGCCCGAACCTTCGCGTCGAAGATGCGTATCGAAAACTGGAGGTCGCGATTCTTGAGCGCGTTCGACGGTTACAACCTTTCCGTCTTCGCGTTGCTGAAAACGGAGGACAGCGACAAGGTGGCGTTCGGAATGGGCGATCGCTTCCGCGCACACAAGCCGGCCGATGTTGACGCGTTGCGTAGCGCGCTCATGCAGACGCCTGCGCTGTCGAACGTTCTAAGAAAGGCCAGTATTGTGACTGGGAGCGATCTTCCGAGGGAGCCGTGGTCGGATGAGGTCGTCAGCGTGATCGGATCGCACTCCGAGTACGTCTTCGCGCCCGCATGCATGAACACGTCGTGGGGGAACACCACAAACGGCAAGATGGTGATGCGATGGGCGTCGGCACTGCAATGGTGCCATGACGCGATCGTCAGGTACGAGTTTGCACAACGGGTGCGCGTCGACGCGATCGCGTTCGTGCGACCTGACCTGTATTTGACACGCACCTCCGCCCCTGCGCAGCTGGTGGAACGGACGGTCGTCCCTCCACGACTGTTTCGTGAATCACAGAACTCCGATCTGCGACGACAAGGTGTGGGTGGCACCGCGTTTGGCAGCACTTCGTCTGTTAAACACTTACAACACACTGTTGTCATGTGACGTCCAATGCTCACCGCAGTCCTCGTGCTGGTCGCAACGCGGATCTTGTTGCAATCGTAACGAGTACGTGCTCGCGTATTCCGGGTACCCCTTGAGCGAGCGGGCGAATGTCACAAATGCGCTCAAGTCGATCGTCAGTATTGTACGGACCGAGCAGGACTTGATACGATACGCGCAACATCGAGAAACGAGTTCCCGCACGTGACCGGTGCATATTCAAGGACAGACGTTTTGCAGTTGAGAGCAGCGACAAGTAACAAGTATGAAGGTGCAACCTGGTTCTGCATATGCAAGGGTCGATTGCTGACTGTTCCAGGGTGTGCGCGTTGAATCACATGCTACGTATGGCGGTGTCTGTGCTGACTTTTTTTAAGGGCGGGTGGGGTGGCAAGCCTTACTTACGTTGCGCATTCACGATGCTTGTACAGTCTGGCACCCGGCGGGCGGCGCGTGGCGCGTGGGACGCCGTAAGTGCAGCAGCGAGACTCCTTCGTGTGTCCACACACGAGAGTGAGTGAGTGAGTGAGTGAGTATTCTTGATACGAAACCACGACGACACACACCAGTCACACACACACTCACACACGCGAGACTCCTTCCCGTTCTTGCCGCCCCGTTTTTTTGGGGGGCAAGGCGTCTATTCGGTGCTCTGCACGTTAGAGCGTTAGGCACCTCCCGGACATCAAATGGGGCCGCCTGGTGGCCTCCGAGCGCCAGCCGAAGCAACCCTCGTCGTGCCCCGACACCCCCCCGACTCATGCTGTGCCGCTCTTGCCTGTGTGGCTGCTGACGGCGGGCACCCCGTGCGCGGCTGAACTCGTCACTGGCGTCGTCACACCTGTCCACAGATGCGACGGGTGCCTGACCGACCGCGACAAACAGGCCTCGTGTTGCGGATCGCCAGCCCGCCCTTCGCCTCCGCAGACGCCTAGCCGGATCGTCGTTACCTTACGCAGACCGACTTCCGAGCGGGCGCGTTCTAGATGACGGTCACGCCCAACTCACCATCCTTGTGGCCTGAAACCGATTCTGAGCCCTGCCTCCGCCGAGCGGGTATGGCCGCCGCCCGGCGGCCCGCGGTACGATTCGGTCCCGCCACCTGGTGCATGAGGGCTGCGGGACGAGACATATCACGGTCGATGGCGCCGATAACGACCTCCGGAAAGCCCTCACAATCGCTCGGCAAGGGGTCCACCGGGACAATCTCGAGGCCTCTTCGTGGCATCACGAGCCGGTGTGAGCTTGGGGACCCGAGATAAGCGCGGCTCGGGACAGCTCGGGCGTGGTACCGATGGGCCTGGGCCAGGAGAGCGGCAGGGAAGGCGAGGTGGTGAGCTGGGAGGGAACCTTCCCTTGGCGTCATCGGGAACCTCTTGGCGTCATCGCCATGATACCTGAAGTGCGACAGGGACGCGTCCCAGTTCCCGCAGGTGAATTATTGCGATTTCGCCACTCTCCTTCGCCGCCCTCTCCGCCACGGGCCCCTCCACAGGGGGCGACCCCTCCGGGGAGGCCGGCCTTCCCCGTGCCGGTTCTCCCCAACCAACCCCGCCGACAGCGCGAGCTGCCGGCCATAGTGAGCGGTTCGGCCGCGTCGCGCACTCGTCCCAACCGGGGGCCGCACGCAGACTTGATCGGCGAGTCAACCAACCAACGGCTGTCTGTGTATCCACTGGTGACGCTGTGTTGCCCTTGACCGCTTGAGCTAGTCCTTCCCCGGTCGCCTAGCCTCCGCGCTGTCTGGCGAACGCCTGTATGCCATGCGCGCGGACCACGCTTGCGTGGATACGTGGCTGGCAGGCTGACCCGTGAGCCGTGTTGATGCGGGGTACTCGTCGAGGGTACTCGAGTAACCCGCGCACGGGGCCGAAGCTTCACGGGTTCGAGTCGTCAAACATTAAGCAGCGGAGGTGTGCCGAGGGGGGCCGGGAGGCGGTAAGCCGTCGTCTCGCCCGGCGCTGCTTGCAGCACCATGGCGATGGCGCTAAGAGGTTCCTCTTTTCCGCGACCCCCCCCCGCAAGGCGCGCAGATACCACACGGTTTTTTAACCCCCACCCACCACCCACCACCCACCACCACCACTACCTACCTACCTATTGGGGGCCCTCTGGGGCGGTCAAAACCGGACCTACCTACCTTATTGCGTGGCTCCAACGGGTAGATACAGACCCCCTAATCCGGCTAGGAGCCGGAACCCAGCCAGGTGTGGACGTGTGGTGGCGAGCCGACAAAGAGAAAAAGCCCTGCGCCTTCCCTTGACAAAAAGAGCCGGCTGAAGGAATGAATGACCCACGATGGTCAGGTACTGCGTAGCCCCCCCCCCCCCCCCCCTCCCCCCGCTCCCCTCCTCCACCGGGCCCGGGGCCGACACGGCGCACGGTATACCCTCGGCTGTCCCCTGCAGGTGAGGGAAAGGCACAATCCAGCGAACGATGGGCTTGCCCATTCCGGAGTGGTTCGATCCCACACAAACCCGAGACGGTGACGAGAAGCGTTCTGGTGATCTCAGGCCCAGTGAGGTAGTGCACTGGTCTAGCACTCGGATCCTGCTGAACAAGCTCTTCTTGTAGCTCGATCGGTCACATCGCCATCGCCGTCGGGGAGAGGGGGGACGACACTGCCTCTGCAGCGTGCACCTCGATCCTGTACCGTGTTTGTTATGACCCCGCCCCCAATGAACACACCACAGTGAGGGGAGGGCGAGACGATCGAGGGGTCCCGTACCATGCGGAATCGACCCTATCCAGTGCGCAAGTGCTCAAGCTCTTCCTTGTGGAGGCACGCGACGACTCCAGGAGGAGGACCCTAGTTAACGCTCCAATGTATCTTACGGACGGATGCTAGAAATGAAGCCCAGATAAAGTAGTAACTCCAACCGGCAGAAAAAGGGAAAGTTCTGACGCTTCTTCAAAAAAGCGAAAGTAACCTCCCTCCAGAAAGAAAGAAAGAAAGAAAACAGACAACCCAAGGGAGGGATGGGAGGACGGCACGCCGCCACCACACAGGGATTTTAAGGAGAGGAGTGTGATGCGCTAGCCTCCCTCCACGCTGCAGAAGCCTTTAACCCAGGTTTCTTCAAATCAGCGTTGCAATCCCGATGCCCTCCTTGAGAGCGTCTCGCCCCTGGCGTGGCTACCGTGTCCATGAAAAGTCATCTGCTCAACCACACTGCCGACTCGCCGGCGGCCGCGGCGCTGCTGGTGCTGTCCGGCACGGTTCCCGTCGCCATCATAGCCTCTGCAGCCGGGCTGGTTGGAGTTGTCATCGCCGTCGCGACCATTTCTTTTCGGATGCGCGGCCATCATCATGGTGGCCGCCGCTGCTCCATCGAGCCGAGCTCGCACTCGCACCGCGAGATGCTCTCCGTGTCGCTTGAGGACCAAAAGTCTCTGCAGCACCAGGGCCCGCCGCCGCCTGCAGCGATCAACCTTGTTGTGGAGCGACAGCAGACTCTCGAGATGCTGCATCGCCGCTTTGGCTCTAGCGACGCCCAGGACCGGATAAATCGTGTGTTTGCGAAGAGCTCTCCGCGCGGGTCGGACGGGTTTCCGTCTCCGAGGGATCCATATCCAGAGATGAGTGCTGACCTGACGAGGGCAGGCACTCCTCAAGCATCCGCTGACGGAGCTGGCGGCGGAGAGGACGCGAAGCGGTGGTTTTATGTGGCGTTGACTTCCGAGGGCGTGCCCGAGGAGCGAGGCCCCGTCAGCTGGTCGGCGTTGGGTGATTTGAGAAGGGCGGGCGAGCTCAGTGGGGCTACCCGCGTGTGGTGCGAGGGGCGAACGGGCTGGACCAGGTTTGACCAGGTTTGACCAGGAGTCTCGGAGGTTTGACTCGATTACGGAAGCTGACGCGAGTCGAGGACGGCCATGAACTTGGCCCGCTGGCGGTATGAGAGGAGAGCCAAGGAGCCGCTCGAGGCTTGAATGTTGGGGCCGCCTGACACGATGCACGTTGGATGACCGGCACCATGCGCCCAGACGCGACTGAAACGACACACTAATAACTAATATCGCGATGGGTGTGCACCTTTTTATCCAATGTGCGGGGGTGTGTGTTGTGTGCGTTGTCGGTGTGACGGTGTGAGCTTCCCCCACATATCACATAACGCCCTTTTCTGCCATATTTGTAAGACTTTCAGTATTTTCCGTCTCGAGGTCTCGTGTCTCGCTAGCGCTGGACACTCTCAGTCACAGCCACACAAGGCGCGCGTCACACGATCCCGCAACCGCCGCCCTCTCTTTTTCCGTTGACCAAGAAGTCGCGCAGGCCGTCGTGCAGCGCCGCGCCGTCGTCGCGCTCGCTCCACTCCGTGATGGCCGCCTCGACGCCGCCGCCGGCGCGGCACTTTCGCAGCAGCCCGTCGTGCGGCGGCTGGCGCGCGAACAGTGCGTCCCCGCGCCGCAAGCGCAGCGCGGGGCAAAAGTCGCCGCCGCCGTCGCCGACGTAGGCGCAGCGGCGCGCCCTCCCCTCGCCCTCGCCCTCGCGCAGCCAGCGCTCGAGCACGGCGCCCTTGCACAGGTTGGGCGGGCAGAGCCTGCAGCCGTGGGCTGCGTGTGGCGGCTGGTGTGGCGAGATGTGCAGCCGGCCAGCCGGGTCGACGGCAGCGCCGTTGGTCTCGATCACGCTGAAGGCATCAGCGATCCCGAGAGCGCGGAGGGTCCAGCGGATGTACAGCGCGTTTGCGTCGGAGAGGATCCGCTGCTCAGCGCCGTGGCTGCGCGCAGTTTCGACCGCGGCAAGGCTGCGGCCGAGCACCGGTATGCGGCGGAGCGCCGCCTCCATCGCCTCTGCGTCGTGTCCCGCCGCGCTGAGCTGCCCTGCCACCCAATCCATCAGCGCCGTCCACTGCATGCCTTCGCTGAGCTTGCGCTCGGCGGCAGCCAGGATCGAGCCGGTGGGATCGAGCGCCTTGACGATGAACGTGTCGGAGTTCTCGTTGACGAGCGACCAGTCAAAGTCCCACACCACTAGAGGAGGAGGGGAATAGGCGCTGCTGGACGCAGTCATGCTAGACTAATACCAACCTCACCAACTATGTGGAGCAACGTAAAAAAGAAACGCAAATTGGTGGATGTTTCAAAGATTTCAAAAGGGACGCAGTGACGCCAGCGGCTGGCAGCGGTGGTCGGGGAGATGTGAACTTCGTGGTTTTTCCCCCCTGCTTTCTTTTCTATTGTCCAACGGAAAGTTGTTGTTGTTGTTGCTGTTGTGTTCAGATGGCGGCAGAAATCGGGCAGACAGAGAGGTTGAGGAAGTGGGAAAAGAATTTCTGCCGGTGATTCTCATCCCGCCAAGACACAAAAAAGCAGTCCCCCTCCGGGAATGTACGTAAGAGCCATTCTCTCTCACACACACATCATCACATTGAGAGTACGTACACTGATTGAAAAATGGGCCAATCAGTATCAAAAAACCGTGTTGATTGGGTGTGGGGGCCGCCTCCCCTGCGTCTGTGCGGATGCTATCCGCTGCTCGACGAACCTTCAGACCAGGCCTCGCGCCCAGCCCGGTGGCCATTCGGCAAGCGTGCCGCAGGCCCGCAGCGGTCTGACCTCCTGCTCCCTCTCCTTCTCGTGCAAGCGTCGAATGGTGGCGTCCCCACCCTAAGCGACCTCCGGCTTCCTTGCCTAGTAGGCCAAGTGATTTCCAGTATTCAGAGCTGCCAGTGTACGCCCTCGTGCTCTCAAGCTCGTGCATCGCGTATGCGTGGCAAGTTGCCGGCATGTCTAACCAGAAGGCCTCCCAAGACGCTTCCCGCAACCCCTTTCTCCCGACCCCTTCGTTTATGCGGCAGCACTTCACCTACCAACCACTCCGCAAGCTGGAGGGAACACAGCCGTGGTACACGCCGGTGACCGCGAATGTGAGCCACGCCTCAATTCCGCACTACATCTTCAACATGGTTTCACTCGCCGCAATCGGGCTGCCGCTCGCGCGACGGCTCGGCGCCTTGCGGGTCTCGTGCCTGTTCTGGGTGAGTGCGCTCTCTGGCAAGCTGGTGCTCCTGCTAGAGACTAAGAGGCAGTACGACCGCAACGCCGGGCCTCCAAGTACCGAATTCGGCATCACTCGGCGCATCCGGCGGAATCTGGGGCCTCACCACTGTCTGAGGGAGGGTGTAGAGGATGTAGAGTGTAGAGCGCTGTAGAGCTGTAGAGATGTAGAGCGCTCTGGAGCGCTGTAGAGCTGTAGAGCTCTACATCGGGCGCGGGACGAACTGCGTGCGTTGTAGAGCGATGTAGAGCGCGATTTTGCTGTGAACGTAGAGTTTGTTGTACTTTTAGCTTACTGGGAGAAAAGAGAGAGGGGGTTGTGTTCTCTAGGCCCCTACCTAAGGGCCCTACGCGCGGCGTGAGAGCTCGGAAGCGAGCTTTGCGAGGCTCTACAACCAACCCGCCTGGAAGGCAGTGACTCAGGGTCCCTCGACGCGCCGAGCTGGCCCGTCCGCGGCGCGTCCCCGCAGGTGGGCTTCTCCGAGCGGCACGCCTGGTATACTACTACCCGCACATGCTGTCATGCGGCACGAGGAGGCGCTGCTCTTCTACACGTACGAGCTACGACGGCACTGCGCCACTCGAGGGGCCCCGCTTCGTCTTTCACACCGCACTCGGCGACACGGGCGGCGGCGGCGAGGCGGCCGCGCCGCCGAGCAGGAGCATCGAGTGCCGCTGCCTCGCGCTCTTCAGCTAGGCGGGCAGACGCCGAGACGCGTGGAGCCCGTGCACGATCGCCGGCTGTACTGTGCCGTTCCACGAGGCTGGTACACCGCCTCTGTATATAGTGCTCACCACGGCGGGCGCGCGGCGGCCGCATGCGCGCCAGTCGGGGTGTCGCCCAGTCGCCTTTTGTGGCCCCTCGCCCCCCCCCACATGCCACAACATGCACATGCACAGGTTGCGAGCCGGCCTGGGTGGCCGGTGAGGCGGCGTGCGTGCCGGTGTAAGGCGGCGTGTGGGCAGTAGAGAGAGGATAAGGGTCACTTTTTGCTTTTTGAGCCGATGTGTACTCGCTACTGTTGTACGTACTTATAGCTTACTGGGAGAAAAGAGAGAGGGGGTTGTGTTCTCTAGGCCCCCTCTCTGTTGTATTCTTGAGCCGTATGGTACACCGCTCGAAACACAATGTTTTTCACTCTCAGAGCGTCCGACCGGCCGCCTTTACGACCCCTGCTTCTTGGGCAGCAGCTGGTCCGACAGGTCATCTCCGTGGCCTAGGCAGCCGTGTTCGCCCTTGCCCCAGGTAAGCACGGCGCCGTCGGCGGTGATGGCGATGCTGTGGAATCCTCCAGCCGAGACGGCGACGACGCGCAGACCGACAAAGGCTTCGACCTTCTTGGGCTGCCGCTGGCCCTGCGTGTCGCCGTGGCCCAGCTTGCCTAAGTATCCGCCGCCCCAGCTCCACACAGCGCCGTCGGCGGTGAGGGCGAGGCTGTGACTGCCTCCAGCCGACACAGCGACGACGCGCTGCCCAGCCAAGGCCTCGATCTTCTTGGGCAGCGGCTGGTCCTGCGTGTCGCCGTGGCCCAACCGGCCAGAGGCTCTCCAGCCCCAGCTCCAGACGGAACCGTCAGCGGTGATGGCGAGGCTGTGGTATCCTCCAGCCGACACAGCGATCACGCGCCGCCCCGCCAAGGCCTCGATCTTCTTTGGCAGCAGCTGGTTCTGCGCGTCGCCGTGGCCCAGCCTGCCGTAGCCTCCGTCGCCCCAGCTCCAGACAGCGCCGTCGGCGGTGAGGGCGAGGCTGTGTTCGCCTCCAGCCGAGACGGCGACGACGCGCTGGCCCGCAAAGGCCTCGACCTTCTTCGGCAGCCACTGATGCTCTGGGTCGCCGTGGCCCAACCGGCCTCGCCCTCCACAGCCCCAGCTCCAGGCGCTGCCCTCGGCAGTGATGGCGAGGCTGTGACTATCTCCAGCCGAGACGGCGACGACGAGCTGGCCAGCCAAGGCATCGACTTTCTTCGGCTGCCAATGGTGTTGCCCGTCGTCGTGGCCCAGGCGGCCAGTGCTTCCATAGCCCCAGCTCCAGACGCCGTCGGCGGTCACGGCGAGGCTGTGGTACCATGCAGCCGACACACTCACGGCGCGCTCGCCGCCCATCGAAGAGGAGAGGCGGGTCGGCGTGTTGAGCCGCGTCACGCCCTCGCCGTGCCCGAGCAGCTCTGGGTCGTTGGACGAGCCGCACGACGAGAGCCGCCCCTCGCCGTCGATGAAGAGGCTGTGGGAGGAGCCTGCCGCCGCCCTCGCCGGCGGGTTGGACTCGTGCAACAACGCCGCATAGCACAGCCATCGCACGGCGCAGCCCTCGTCCTCTGGCAGCGCCGGCAGCTCGAAGCCGCGCCCTTGCGCCCACAAGCGGATGCCTTGCTCCGCGAGCGAGTGAAAGAGCAGCGAGACGGCCGCGACGCGAGCGATGTCGGCGGGGCTGTCGCAGCGAGAGAGGACGCGCTCGAGGAGCTCCCTGGGGAGGTCGAGCAAGCGGACGGGCGGCGGCGCGTCTGGCGAGGGAGCGGCGGTGGCGGTGGAGGCGAGGCGGCGCGAGCGGCGGCGCGGCGGTGGACATCGCGAAGAAAAGAAAAACGCCACGCGAATTATACGAAGGTCGTACTGACCGCCGACAGATTCCTCCAGACAGCAGACAGCGAGGCCGATGACGATCGGCCGTCGATCCCGAGGCACGAGGGTCGTCGGTTGAGCTAGGGAGCCTGGCGTTTGTTTTGTTTCCTGGCGATGGACGCCAAACACTCTCTCTCTCTCTCTGGACGCCACCGCGACGCCTCGTGGGTCGTGGCATCTCTCTCGCCGTCGGCGAGCTAGGGGCTCGCGAACGCCCGAATTAATACAGTGTGCCGTGAATGTGAACGAATAGTTTGACGTGCGTCCGTGTTCGGATCCTCCGACAAGGTAATAAATAAATAAATAGAGCAGACATCTCCAGGAGAGACAGGTAGAGGGCGGTGTGGCTAGTGAGCTGTTTCTTTTGCTTTGCAGCGCATCTTGCGAGAAGAGCATCGGCTCCGAGCCGAACACATTTCCAGAGCATGGGCAAGGCGCGTCGCCCCTGCCCGCCGCCGCCTCCTTCGCCGTCGCCGGCCACCCGGCGCCGCATCCGTCGCCTGCCAGTCGCCACACCTCCGCCTCTCCGCCCCACCCTCTCTCCTCCACCTCGCCGCGGCCGTCCCCGTGCCAGGGTGGATCTGCTAGCGGCACGACGGCGGTGGAGCGGCTGGGCCCGCTCGCCGCCACGATCCCGCTCGACGCGAAGGACGTGACCAAGCGCAGCATCCGCGAGAGCATCCCGCCGCACCTCTTCAAGCGCTCGTACGTCAAGTCGCTGGGCCACGTCGCGCTGGACCTCTGCTGGGTCGCGGGCACATGGGTGGCTGCGCTGATGGCGCTGCGGGTGCTCCCGGGGTTCTGCGCGCCGCTCGTCTGGTGCGCCTACTGGCTCTACCAGGGCATCAACTGCACCGCGCTCTGGGCGAGCTCTCCAGCCCTGAGCTGCACACGTCTCGTGAGCGCCCGCTCAGCTGCCGGCCGCCTGCTGCCCCTCTCGACCGCAGGTGCTGGCGCACGAGTGCGGACACGGCGGCTTCACGGACTCGAGGCTGGTGAACGACATCGTCGGCTGGCTCCTCCACTCCTCCCTCCTCACGCCCTACTTCTCGTGGGCGATCACGTGCGCCCCTCTCTGCCTCCCCGCCTCTCCGCCTCTCCCCGCCTCTCCGCCTCTCCGCCTCTCCGCCTCCCCGCCTCCCCGCCTCTCCGCCTCTCCGCCTCTCCGCCTCTCCGCGCCTCGCCCCGCGCCAGCCCCACCGCTCCAGCCCCGCACCCGGGCTCCCTCCGCCAACCCGCCCACCGCACACCCTCGCCGCACACCCTCGCCGCCCGTCACGGGCAGGCAGTGGCCTACCCCCCCCCCCCCTCTCCCTCCCCTCCTTTCCACTCGCCTCCCAGCCCCTCGCCCCTCGCCCCCTCGTCCCACCCTGCAACACTCCCTCTCCCCTCGCACCCTCCCTCTCCCCTCCCACCGCCGCCACCGCTTCCCCTCCCACCGCCGCCGCCGCCCCTCCCGCCGCCGCCACCGCTTGCCCTGCCGCCGCCGCCAGGCACGCCAAGCACCACCACTACACGAACCACATGACGAACGGAGAGACGTGGGTCCCGTCCACCGCCAGCCCCGACAAGGCCTCCGTCAAGTTCGCAAAGTCTGCCGCCGGGACGTGGCGCCGCATCGTCGTCGTCGCGCTGCTGGGCTGGCGCACCACACCCCCGCTGAGAGCACGCCACGACCCTCCCTTCGCCCACACGCTCTCCAACGCGCGCCTCGAGAGGACGCCGCGCCCCTCCGCCGTGTTCCTGCCCGCCTCCTCGCACAAGGCGCCTCTCGAGCGGCCACCACACCTTGCACTGACGTGCGTCGCGCCACGCAAGGTACACGTACCTGCTCACCAACGCGACGGGCGCCAAGCAAAACGCGGGCCAGTCGCACTTCTCTCCGAGTGCGCGCGCGCTCTTCAAGCCGAAGGACGCCAACCTCGTCCGCGCCTCCAACCTCGGCGCGCCGCCCCTCACATCCGCCCTTCAAACCAGCACTCGAGAGGACTCGAGAGGACACGCACTCCGCTGTCTTCCGCTGCGCGCGATGCTGCAAAGACACCGCCCGCGCCCTGACCGCGGCGTGTCCCTCGCGCAGGCATGCTGCTGATGGGCGGTGTGCTCGCTTGGTGCGTGAGCGTGTGGGGCGCCTCTGCGGTCTGCTTCAACTACCTCGTGCCGCAGGCGAGAGAGACGCTTCCGAGACGCCTCCGAGACACGTCCCCGGCACTCCGCGGAACCTCCCGGACGCTTCCCGACGCTTCCCGACGCTTCCCCGGCCCGTCCGTACCTTCTGCCGCACCGTGGCGGCCGGAGCTCCTCACGTACCGTCACCTGGGCTGCCCCCCCCCCCCCCCCGCGCCTACCATTAGTCTCGCTCCTCTCCTTTCCCCAGACCGTCTGCGACTTCTTCCTGTGCGCCATCACCTTCATGCAGCACACACACGAGGCCGTCCCCCACTTCGACGCGGAGAAGTGGACCTGGCTGCGCGGCGCGCTCTCCACCATCGACCGCTCGATGGGCCCGCACGTCGACTGGAGGCGAGCCCCACCAGAGAGGACCGAGAGGACCCAAGCCTCGAGGGGCCCCGCGCGCGTCCCGCCGGAGCGCGCCTCGGTCGCCCGCTCTCGCACCCCCCCCCCCCCCTCACGCCCTCGCAGGGTGCACCACATCGTCGACTCACACGTGGTGCACCACATCTTCTCCGAGATGCCCTTCTACGGCGCCAAGGAGGCCACCCCGTACGTGCGCAAGCACCTCGGCGTCTACTACAAGTCGCACTTCGGCACGGCCGTCGGCGGCTCCGAGTTTCTCGGCTACTGGAAGGACTTTTACGAGTGCATGCACAAGGCCGTCGTCGTCGGGCCCGGCGAGGACGGCTTCCTCTGGTTCCGCTGAGCCCCGCTCGCCCCCCGCTGTGCGGCGGCGGCGGCGGCGGCGGTGCGGAGGATGGCGCGGCGCGTTGAGCGCGCCACGCCACAGTGCTCCGTCCCACCCGCCCTGGCGGCGTTGGCGCGTACTGATGTAGTGCAGTCGGGAGAGAGAGAGAGCTAGAGAGAGAGAAGAGAGAGAGGGAGATGGAGCTCACGCACGCCGGCCGCTCGCTGTGAGTTCTCACTCTCGACACGCGCGCCTAACCCTCTATACTGTGTGTCCCCTGTCCGTTGGAGTCACCTGTGTTTGCCCACCTTCGGCATCGCTGGGAGTGGGGGCACCTCCCGGTCAAGGGAGACCTATATTCTGTTCGGTGTGTGATAAAAGTGATCGCGGATCCGCATGGGCGTAGGCGCGTAGCCGCTTCTCCCCACCACCGCGGCGCGCGGGGGTCCCCCCCCCCGCGCGCCGCGGGCACTTATCCGTATAAGGCTTATGTCGCGTTCCCGCGGGAGAGGAGCGAGGTGTGCGCGGCGGGGAGCCCGCCGCGGTGGACTTGGATCTTGGGGATTGGGTGTTGTTGGATCGGTTGCTGAAATATGTAAGAAAGACACGCTCCCCATGTAAAAACACACTCTCGACGTCTCTCTAAGTCTCCCCCCCCTCTCTGAGTCTCTCTCTCTCTCTCTCTCTCTCTCTCTCTCTCTCTCTCTCTCTCTCTCTCTCTCTCTCTCTCTCTCTCTCTCTCTCTCTGTATGTATGTATGTATGTATGTGTGTGTGTGTGTGTGTGTGTGTGTGTGTGTGTGTGTGTGTGTGTGTGTGTGTGTGTGTGTGTGTGTGTGTGTGTGTGTGTGTGTCCGTGTCCATGCCGGTAACACGCAAGAGAGTCAATGCGCACTGTATTGTTCAGCTAGCGCGAGGCCCGCCTTGACAGCCAGGCGCGGGAGGGGGGGGGGGGAGAAGAGGAGAGAAGGGTCATGCCCCGGCACGGCGCGACGCGCGGACGGCCGTCATCAGCTGCTGACCCTTGGCGAAGAGCCGCTGCGCCTCGTCCGCGGGGTCGGAGCTCGAGCCGCCTGCCGCGATCGGGTTGTAGTACTTCGCTGGATTGCCCCGCGGGTCGGTGCGGTTGCCGTACTTGATGGACGCGCGGACGGCCCGCTCCGTCTTCTCCTTGCCCGCAAGAAAGGCGTTCAAGTCGTCATAGTTGTCGCCGATCGAGCGGTTGAAGGTGGAGCCGAGCGCGTAGAGGAAGTTGTCGGGGTGGTCGGCGCCGCCGTTGGAGTTGGCGATGATGTGGAAGACGTCCTGGCCGTCGATCGCATCCTCGCCGAGCAGCGAGCGCAGGAGGCGTGCGTACGCCTTACGCGACATGCACTCCGACTCCGCGATCTCCTTGCGCGCCGCCTTCCGCCGCTCCATCGCCTCCTTCTTCGCCTTTGAGCCGGGGCCCTTGGGCGGCTCGCCCTCAACCTCTCGAAGCTTGGCCTCGAGCTTGGAGTTTGCGGCCAGGATCTCCGCCTCGTTGTCGGCGTACAGATTCTCGATCTCCTTGCGCGCAGCAATGGCCTCGGCGGACGCCGAATTCGCGGCCTCCGTGGCAGCGACATTGCCTGACGCCACTGCACCAACTGCGCTTAACGCCCCCGCCATCACCTGCTGCGACATTTGCATCTGCTGTTGCTGCTGCTGCTGCATGAACTGCTGCATCTGCTGCATCTGCTGCTGCTGCATCATCTAGGACGATCAGGGGGAAACGGTCCTGGCGAGCTCTCTTGGCTTTTAAAATTCTTCTCTTCGAGGCGCGCCAGAAGCGGCCAACAGTGTTAGTGCCAGTGCGCGCCAGTCCCGTGCCTAGTGTAAGGAAGAAAACAGACAGCCCAAGGGAGGGATGGGACGGCACGTGTGGTGCGCGCGTAAAGTTCTTTTCTCTTCGCGCGCGGCGCCGAGAAGCGGCCGAGGATCCCCGTGTCGCCCGGGTCGGGCGCAAGACAGTCGTTTGTTCTCTTGTCAACGTTGCGGAACGCGTCCACGCAATGCAGTCGCCAGCACCGGCCCCAGCACCTGGGGACCTTGCTTCACAGTCGCTGCTGTCCCGGCTGACGATGCGCCCGCTCAAGGCTCTCTGCGCAACGCACGGCGTCGATCACGGTCTAGCTGGCAAACGAAAGGACGTGCTCGTTGACCGCCTGCAAAAGATCCGGAAGGTGACGGTTGGCGAGTGTGAGGCGCTCCTCCCGACCGCCGCTGCGAACCGCCCGGCAGGCGGCGCGGGCAAGGGCGCCGGCAGGGCCAAGGCGGATGCAACAATGCGCACTCGGCTCGAGGCTTACTTTGCGTCGGGCGGAGACGAACTAAAGTGCTCCGCATGCCGGCGGCCGCTTAGCAGAGTGCAGGAGCTCCGGCCTCCGCACGGACACGGCGTCTTCCTGAACGTCTCGTGCGGCTTCTTCCCGCAGTGCAAGCGGACGCACAAGCTGCGCGAAATCTACCTCCTCTACAAGCGGCTGCTCTCTCCGAGGATCGTCTTCGAGGCGGTCAGCCTGCGCGGCATCCTCGGCGCGGAGCGCGACGCCTTCTCGGTGAGCGTGGACGCGAGCAATGCGCTCGGCGTCGCGCTGCTCGATGAGCTCGTCCAGCGAGCCGACCTCGCGCCGCTCGCGCAGCGGCCAGACACTGCCGACGAGGCGTCCCTCGTCTCCGGCACCTGCGGCAGGCGGGGGGTCCTCTTTCTGCTTTCGGACTACGCCGCGGTGCACGCGGCGGCCGTGGAGCTGCTGGTTGCGCGCAGGAGCGAGGCGGCGCCTGCGAGTGGCGGCGGCGGTGGCGGCGGCACCGAGGAGCCCTTCAAGCTCGTTGGCCTGCCTGAGAGCGACGGGCAGCTCTCTCTCTTCCTTCACGCGGCGGGCGTGAGCGACAGCGCTGCCTCGGGAGGGGCCGGGACCTCGGGAGGGGCCGGGACTTCGGGAGCCGGGACCTCCGACGAGGCTGCCTCGGCCAGCGAGCTCGCCGCTGGGTGGCGTGGGGAGGACGAGGCGCTCGCTCTCGCAGGCGAGCGGCGGCTGCGCGAGTGCGGCGTCTGGTGGCGACTCCGGTCGTACCAGCGCGAGGGCGTCCGGCGCAGCCTGCAGATGGGCGGCACGCTGCTGCTCTGTGACGAGATGGGGCTCGGCAAGACGCTGACCGCGCTAGCGACGGTGGTCGCACTCGACGCGTGGCCTTGCCTCGCCATCGTGCCAGCCGTCACGCGGCGGGGGTGGGCGTGCGAGGTCGAGCGATGGCTCACCGGCGTGTTGGGGCCATCCGACGTCCACATTGTCTACGACCAGTTCGACGCCTTGGACCCGAGCCGCCCCATCCCCAAGCTCGTCATCATCTCGCCAAAGATGGCGGACCGCACGCACCAGCACCGCAACTTGCTGGCGCGGGCGTGGGGCAGCGCCATCCTCGACGAGGCGGGACGGCGCTGGCAGTGCTGTCGGGGGAGAGAGAGAGGCGAGATGGTCGGGTTCTGATGATAGGCGCACGTCCTGGCGACGGCGGCGGTCCGCCAGGACGCCGAGCAGACCACCTCGCTCATGGCCCTGCTGCAGAGCGTCCCCCGGCGGCTGCTGCTCACCGGCACGCCCGCGACGAGCCGCCTCTTCGACTCTTTCAACCTATTCCAGGTGCTGCGGCCAGGCCTGCTCGCCGCGAATAAGTACGAGTACAAGGCGCGCTTCTTCGACGGCGCCTCGTCGTCGGCGGCGCTCAAGTACCCGAAGCAGCTTCCACTGCTCGTGCACAGATTCCTGATGGTGCGGCGCACGAAGAGGCAGGTGCTGCTCTCCACGCGGCCCGAGCAGGCGGTCGGCGCGGACACTCCCCTCACATCGACACTTCCGCAACAGGTGATGGACGACCTCCCGCACCGGCTCGATGAGCAAGTTGACTTGCCGCTCGCCCTCGGCCACGCAAGGGAGGCGATCCGCGCGTTTGGAGCGGCGCCCCTGCCGCCGGACGACTTGGCGCGCGCCGAGGGCGGCGACGCCGACGACAGCGCCCCCGACAGCCTGGAGGCTGCTGGCGTGAAGGCGAAGGCTCACCGCCTCGGCTTGCTCAAGGCCGTGGCCCTCTCCGAGCCGGAGTCTTGGCTGCACGCGCGGCTCCGCACCCTCGCCACGGCGGCGGCAGACGCGCGGCAGAGGGGCGAGCGGCCGCGCAAGCTCGTCGTCTTTGCGCACCACGAGAGGGTGATGGACCTTCTCGAGAAGACCATCGGCGAGCGACTCGCGGACGCCGCCACGCCGGCCAGCGGGGGTGGCGACGGCGAGTCGGCGCCGTGGCATGGCGTGCGCATCGATGGCAGCCATTCGGGCGTGGCGAAGAACGCGCTCCTGGACGCATTTCGCGACAACGACTCTTGCTTGGCGGCACTGCTCTCGATCAAGGCTTGCGGGACGGGCGTGGACGGGCTGCAGCACACGGCGGACCACGCCGTCTTCGTCGAGCTGCAAGAGACGTATGCCCTCGCCCACCAGGCAGCCGCTCGGCTGCACCGCTCGGGGCAGACGCAACGTGTGCTCCTCACGTGGCTGCTTGCCTGCGGACCGCCGCGCCGCGGCCGGCTACTGGCGGGCGCGGATGCCGGCGACAGCGGTGGCGACGAGGCGTCCGCCTTGCTACGCGAGTGCTCGAGTGCAGACGCACGGATGTGGGCGTCGCTGCAGCGCAACGCGGAGGAGATCGACGAGGCTAGCAGCTCTTTTGCTTGCCGCAGCCGCCGCTGCGCATTCGGCGTTTTGCACCAGAGCTGCTCTGACTGTCACCTGTAGGTATTCAGCGGCGCCGTGCAGCAGTCGGCGAGCGGCAGCTATACACAGACGGCGGCGGCGCGGGACGATCCGTCGGGAAACGGGCTGCCGCCACCGCCGCTCGCGCCGCCGAGCGCCGCCGAGCTGGAGGCGCTTCACTTCGGCGTCTCGCCGCACACGAGGTGCCGCGATACTTCCGAGACACTTCCTGTCGCCGCCCTTTCGTCCCTACCACTTTCTCCACCCGCCAATCGCACCCACACCGCCGTGCTGACGCGTCGTCGACGCGTCCGCAGGTACGTGCACGTCTTCGCCTCGTCGACGAGCGACGTGTCGATGGCGGCCTTCCCTCCGCACGAGCTGGCCCTCGACGGGGACAGCTGCGCGACGACCCGTCGCGAGGTGCTGCGCCGCGCTGCGTCCGCCTTTCTGCGGTCGTGGGAAGCGCAGCCGGCGCACTGTCGGCCCTTTGCGGAGCTGCCGTGCACTCTCGCCTCGCTCCCGCAGCAGTGTGAGGGGCTGCGGCAGGTAATCAACGAGGGCCGCGCACACAGCCGACAGCGCCACGCGCCGCGGTCTGCGCCGAGCGAGCGCGAGCAGGCGAGCCTGCCTGCCAGCGCCGTCTGGATACCGGCGGCGGTGCGCGAGTGCCGGACGGGCACCTTCGAGGTGCGTGTGCACTGGCAGCCGTTTGACCCGTCGTGCGGCAGCCTGCTCTGCGCCAACAGCGCGTGCTTCCGTCCGCTCGGTGGGGCGAGGCTCGCCGAGCGTGGGCGGACGCCACATCCGCTGCCCGACCCGCTGCCTGAGCGCGCCAGGCTGGAGTGGCGCACGGAGCACGAGAGCTCCCTCGGGCTCGTCTGCGGAGGGTCATGCCTCAAGGCGCACCAGCTCGCGCGGGACCCGGCGTCGGTGCGTCGGACCGTGCGGCGACGTAGATGCTCAGATCCCCATATCCTGGCCAACCGTATCGCATCTTCTCAGTACCCAGGTATATTCTCTGCCGCACACTGCCGCACAACTGCCCCTGCCCCTGCCTGCCCGATCCCCTACCTGCCCCGGGTGTGAAATCCACACTGCCCTACCCTGCCCTCACCACACTGCCGAGGTGTGAATAACCGGCCGCTCCCGAGGTCTCGGAGAAACTTCTCCCTGACGTATATGTCGCACTGCGTAGATCCCAGGTCTCTTCTCACTGCAGGTGCGGAGGGCTCACGTCAAGCTGAGCGGCTCGGTCTTCTGCCAGCACTGCGGGGTGGACTTGCTCGCCCTCGTAGCGCAGCTCAAGGGCCTGCCGAGCGAGGAGGCGCGCCGTGCTCTGCTTCTCGCGCGCCTGCCGCACCTCGCGCGCTGGCCGGGCAAGCTCGACCGCGCCGCGACGGAGCCGAGCGAGGGGCGCCTCTGGGAAGCGGACCACCGGAGGGAGGTGCGCGATGGCGGCGGGGAAGCCGCGAGCGAGGGCGCCTTCGACCCGCTCTGCGTCGGCTGCCACCAGCGAAAGACCAACGCGACGACGCGCGGGCGAGGCGACGACGAGGCGGTGCGGCTGCGCGGCTTCTCCTTTCGAGGGGCGGCCGAGGGCAGCGAGGCGGGCAATCGCAAAGGCGCGGCGAGCGGCGCACCTCGCAAGCGCAGGGCGTCTGTCTCGCCGTCGGGCGCGGCGGCTGGACCCGCGGCGGCCTCGGCGACGGCCGGTGAGGCGGGCGCGGTGCGCGGTGAGCCATCGGCAGCTGGGCAGCCATCGGCAGCTGGGCGTCCCAGCGCGGGGAGCGACAGCGAAGCGACCATAGCCGACGACAGCGACGCAACGATAGCCGACGAGAGCGACACGACTGTAGCCGGCTCGACGAGCATCGGGGAGCGCGGTGCGGCGCAGGCTGACTCGGACTCTGAGATGTCACTGTTGGAAGAGGCTTGCTCTCGGGCCGCACCGCCGCCGATGCCGGTGCCAGCGCCAGCAGTTGCGTTGGAGGCGCCGGCCGTCTGCTGGGAGGTGGAGCTCTCTGGACGGTTTCAGGCCTATGGATCCGAGCAGCAGTTTGCCCTCGAGACGGCACATCAGCGTGGCGACGACGTGGCATCCATCAGCGTGCGCGGGACGGTGTACGAGGTACGCTTGCGAGGCGAACAGCGGCAACGAGGCTTGGGCGCCGACGCTTGGCGCAGTCGAAGGGTGCGGCGCAGAGTGAGCTGAATGGGGGGCGGTTTTGCGTTTGGACCCTCTTCACGTCTCTCCTACCCCCAGGCTGCTGATTGCGTCTCGACAGTGTGTGTGTGTGTGTGTGTGTGTGTGTGTGTGTGTGTGTGTGTGTGTGTGTGTGTGTGTGTGTGTGTGTGTGTGTGTGTGTGTGTGTGTGTGTGTGTGTGTGTGTAAAAGAGTGAGGGCAAGAATTTCGTCAGGCTGTTGTCAGGCAGTCTGTGGGGGGGATCTCTCATCAACGGAACGACCGACGAATCGAAAAAAACGAATCGGAACCCGGAAAACGCATAAAGCACTCAAAATTAGTTCTAGGAAACGAGATGGATACATGTAGGCAACTGCTGCTGCGGCCCGGTCCTCGCCGCGCGCAGGTGCACTCAGCTCTCCTTCTTCTCCAAGTCCCTCACCCAGCTGCAGGCCTGCAGGCGGGGGAGAGGGTTGGCGTTCGCGGCTCGGCTCGGGTCCGGGTGTCTGGGCTTGCTGCGCGGCGGGCGGCCGCCCTGGCGCCTTTTGCAGCCCCAGGCGCGAGACGAGCCGGACCACAAAGTTTGGCACGAAGGGCGCGAGCACGACCGCCGCCACGAACCAGACGCGGATGTGCCCCGGCCGGCCTGGCAGCGGCTGCACGTGCCAGTACCCGGTCGAGTCGGACAGCACCTGCCCGCACGAGGGAACGGCGAGGATCGGGCGGCCCGCTGGCGAGAGGGCACCCGGCTAGCAGGGCGGCTGGCTGCACCCAGCTCGGCTGCTCCAGCGTCCACCTCGCGTACCGCTGCTCCTCGTCCACCGCGAAGCGCACGTCGAGCAGCAGCCCGAGCCGGCTGACGGTGAAGCGGTAGCAGCAGGTCCCCGGCACCACCCGCTCGGGTCGGTAGGCCTCCACCTTGCGCACGGTTCCGATGCGCCGCTTGTACCCAGCAAAGTCGCTCACGCAGTCCCACGCCGCATCCGGATCGGCACAGATGTCCTGCACCGCAAACCCCGTCCCGCTGCCGCTCCGCAGGTCCTGTCTCTGCACGCGCTTGCCCGCAGTGAGCCGGCGTAGCTCCGCGGGTCGCAGCTCAGGCAGCTCTGGGGAAGAACCCTGCGGCTGGCAGCGGCGTCGGCCGCTGCGGGCGGCCGGCGAGGGCGGCGGCGGCTCCAGCGAGAGGACGGAGTGCGCCACTCGCGACCATGCGGTCGCTCTGCACGATAGCGAGCTGTCGCTGGCGGCGAAGGCGTAAGCGACAGCGGCGGCGACGGCGTACATGCACAGACTGCCGCACACGCGCTCGCAGCCCGGACTCTCTGCGAGCTCACCGCCAGGCCGAAAGAATTCTTAAGATAAGCCTCTCTCACAGCACACTGGCACGACAAGGGCGCAGACTGGCGCGGACTGGCACACACACAGGCTCACCAACAGGCCGAAAGAAAGAGACTTCCGGGTGCATAGGGTCGCCTCGTCGATGTCTCGCCCTCCCTTGTGTACGCAGCTGGCTGTGTGTCTTGTGAGCCTGTTTGTGTCTGTGTGTCGCTCGTGCCTCGTGCGTGTCGTCATCATCTGTCCCGCGTCCACCCATATTACCGCGTTGGTGTCCAGTCCGAGCCTGGCTGTTCTTCACCTTCCTACCTAACCTAACCTCCCTTACTGGTGTGTTCAGGGGGGGGGGGGTATCATATCTCATAACCATGTCTCCATCAATCTCACTCCGGTCTGGGATCTCATGAGACGTCGGCGGTGGTGGCGCTGGCGGAGCCGGGAGGGTGTGACCGATCCACGAGCGCGCCTCTTATAGGTCTTATTCCCTGGATGTGAGGTTGCCGACCACACTCCGACAAGGGAGAGCCAATGCCCATCAGTCATCGAACCCCACTAGCTGTGTGCGGACCCACGTCACCGCCCCTCGCTCGCGCGCGTGCGCCGCTAGGGCACGGCCTAGTTGCGCCGGGTCGGCGAGGTCCTCTCGTGAGAGGCAGAGCGCTGCGGTGTCCGGCTGCACTGCTGCAGCGCGGCTTGTCGTCCCTGGGATGCGAGCGCTCTGCGAGAAGGAGTAGAGGGGCAACGCGGAAAGAGCCGAGTGCCGCCACATCGCGTGCGGCAGTATGAGCTCGTGGCCGTCCGCGTCTCGCGCCAGGAGGCAGACGGAGTGCTCGCCGACCGCATCCATCAAGGGCGCCGCCGGAGCCAGTGACAGGCCCGCGTTGGCAAAGGCCTGGCGCACGAGCGACGCCTTGTCGGCCTCGGGGTAGCTCCCTTCCGAGAGCCTCGCGTCGCGCAGCACTGCGACACTGAGCTCCTCCTCGCAGACCAGCGCGGCTATGTGCGCCTCCGCCTCGCCGCGGTCCCACTGATTGGGCAGGTAGTTTGCTGCCGCGGCGATGTCGAGCTGAGGGTAGATGGCGGCCCAGTCGCTCGGCCCGCCGTGCGCGCCCCGCTCAATGGCAGGGAGCCTGCCCTGCTCCGGCAGCCCCGGCGCGGCCTTGAACCCGAGCAGGGTCCCTGGGGCGAGCCGAATGAAGATCAGCGGTGCCGGTGCCACCGCCGGTGTGCAGCCCGCAAGCCCTCTCCGCGACGCACGGCCCCTTGCGTTTGCCTGAACGCAAGTGGCTGCATTGTCAAGCACCAGCATCTGCCTCATCTGCTGCTCTAGAGCGCAGGTTTGCTCAAACAGAGCTGTGCGGACGCTTCCGCCAACGAGGCCGTCGCCGCCGCCATAAGTGCGGAGGATGAGCTCGTCTTCATCGCCATCGGATGCGTCAAAATCGAGAGCTGCCTGACTCATTCCGACGCAAATACTGTCGTCGTGGCCGCTGCTTAGAGCGGCGGCTGCTGCTGCTGCGGCTGCGGTCGGTGCCACTGGCGAAGCAAGCGCGACCACTGTCTGCTATGCCGCAGCCGCTTCACAGCTGCTCCTGTGGGAAGAGACCCAGGGAGGAGCAGCGTGAGCGGTCCCGAGCCCCGCGGTTCACAGCGGGTCGGCTGGGGGGGGGGGGGGGGGGCGAACCACCCAGCGCGATTTCTTCTTCCATCCGCCAACAAAGATGAGAACTCCATGCCTACCTCATCATACAACAACAACAAAATGTACATGTGACCCCAGCGAAATAAACAAGAAATCATACGATTTGTAACGACACCAACCCGACAAATGGGAACCGCGCCTGGCGCTGGCGCCGCAGCGGTGCGTGAGCTCGAGGTTGGCGGGCTGACCTTTGACGCGGCGTTCGACTCGGGCAATTGCGCCCGCGTCGAACGCCTCGGGGAGCACGAGTTTGGCATCTGGACGGCGCCCGACTGCGTTGGCACGAGCTGCGAGACAAACAACCGCACGTGGTTCCACTTTTCAGTCAGCCACGCCACGGCCGGACGCGTGCTCACGTTTGTGGTGCACAACATGAACTCGCAAAACAGGCTCTTCAAGCACGGCATGCGGCCCGTATGGCGCGCGCTCCCCTCGCGCCCGCAGTGGGAGAGGGTCCTTCACCCTGTTGTCGCAGCCGGCACCAAGGCGGAGGACAACTTCACCATTCGGTTCCGACACACGATCGAGTCGAGCGAGACCCACTTCTTTGCCCTCTGCTACCCGCAGCCCTACGCCGAGACCTGCAGCCGGCTCGCACACCTCGATGCTCTCTTTGGCCTGCCGCCGGCTTCAGCCGAGATCATGCCTCCGTCGCGACTCGGTGGAGGCGACACGGCTGGCGAGTGCGACGCCTTGCCGCGCACGCCACAGAAGTGCGAGGGATTGGAGAAGGAGACGCGCAAAGGCGGAGGCGTAGGTGTTCTGACAGCAGCGGACGGGTTGGTGGAGGAGGCCAGCGTCCGCTGCGCCTCGCACGGGCTGCCTTGCCGCCGCCCGCCCGGCGTCTACTACATGCGCGAACTACTCGTCCGGTCGCTCGGCGGACGGCGCGTCGACCTGCTCACCCTGAGCGGGTCCGACGGCATGCTCGAGGAGGAGGAGGAGCGACTGGAGGGCCTCTTCCCAGAGGGACGGCCGCGGCCGAGGCTGTTTCGCGACAAGAAGGTTGCCTTCGTCTCGGCGCGTGTCCACCCTGGCGAGGTGCCTGCTTCGCACGTCTTCGACGGGGTGCTCTCCTTCCTGCTGCGCGAGGCGGACCCGCGTGCCCGGAGGCTGCGAGAGGCCTTCGTGTTCAAGCTCGTGCCTTGCCTCAATCCCGACGGCGTGGCGGACGGGCACTACCGCGCCGACACACGTGGTCTCAACCTCAACCGCGTCTACCTGGACAGCTCGCTCGAGGCGCACCCGTCCGTCCACGGCGTGGCGGAGGTGATCAAGCAGCTGCACGGCCGCGGAGAGCTGCATCTCTACGTCGATCTCCACGCGCACGCCAACAAGCGCGGCTGCTTCCTCTTCGGGAACGCGTTGCCGTCCGCACAGCAGGTGGAGAATGTGCTCTACGCAAAGCTCGTGGCGCTCAACAGCCGGTGGGTCGACTTCAACGGGTGCGACTTTTCGGCGCGGAACATGTCCCGCAAGGACCGCCGTGACGGCAAGTCCAAGGAGGGGTCGGGGCGGGTAGGTGTGTTCACCATGACGGGCCTCACTCACGTGTACACCCTCGAGTGCAGCTATAACGAGGGGAGGCTCGTCAACAAGCTCCAGCCAGTGCAGCTCCCTGCGTGCAAGCGGGACGCCGCGGCAATCTCGCCGCCGCCCTCGCCGCCGCGCGGTGCGGCGCTAAAGTATACGCCGGCCCACTGGCGCGACGTGGGCAAAGCCCTCGCGCTCGCAGCGCTCGACCTGCACGACATCAATCCCGCCTCGCGCCTGCCGGCGGTCGGCGGGCTCGAAAAGCAGCGTGGGATCGTCGCGGCGTGGGTGCGGACGCAGGCTCGCAAGGAGGCGGCGCGGGCCGCGGCTCGCGCCGCGAAAGCCGCAGCCAACGGCGAGGGCGAGGACGAGGACGAGGACGAGGAGGACGACGAGGACGACGAGGACGAGGACGGGTCACCCGGGCGGCGGGGCGCAGCCGCCACAGCGATAGCTCGGCCGCCGCGTCGCGGCGTCGGGAGGGGCTCAGCGAGGGGACGTGCCAGAGGCGATGGGAAGCGGGCTGCAGCGCAGCGGCCACCTAGGCGACCGGGCTGAGGCGTGAGGCGTGAGGGTAAGCTAACCCACGGTTGGGGCTTCCAGGGCTGAGCCTGAGTGCTGAGAGAGGCAGCTCCAGCACCAGACGCAGAGCAGTGAGCACAGAGCTGCCACAGAGTCAGAGAGGTGCTCTAGAGCCCGAGACTTGACGAGGGGTGAGGGTTACCCTCTAGAGCGGTAGGTAGAGTATATATGGGAAATCGACACGTTAGAGCGGTGTAGGCGCGTCCACGCGGCGCACGGGCCACGGCGCAGGCGCGCAGCGGCTCTCTCCCGCGACCCCGGCCCCTCTAGCCGCAGCCCCAACTCTTGCCGCTCTTCCGTGTCGGGTTGTGACGAGGGGTGAGGGGACACGGATTGAAGATCCCTCACACCAAGATCGTGCAGGGCGGGGACACATGTCCCTAAATCCCATCTCGTCTCAGAGTTTGACCGTCCGTTTTATTTTATTATTTAAAGCGGCGTACGTCGCACCACGTACGGCGCCGTAGTACGGGTGTCGTTGTACTGTAGAGGACATGCCGCGATCGCGAAAGAAACTCAGAGTATTCCGCGTACACACATACTCTGATCTCGACTCCATGCCCCTCATGGCTCATGCGACCTAAGCCCTCGCGCCCTCTCGAACCCCCGAAGCGATCAACAGACCACACAACAGACGGACTCTAAAGCGCGTCCAGCTCCTCGTCGTCGCTAATGAGGAGATCGTCCTCGCCCCCTTCGTCCACCGTCCCCGCCTCGACTGCGGCCTCCGCCGCCGCCTCTGCCGCGACCTCGGCCGCTGCCTCTGCCGCCGCCTCTGCGACCGCCTCTGCCTCTGCCGCCGCCTCGCTTCCCGCCCCTGCCGTGGCAGTCGCCGCTGCCTCCTCCGCCGCCGCCTCGGCCACCCTCGCCATCGTCGCCGCCTCCGCCTCCGCCTCCGCCTCCGCCTCCGCCGCCTCCAGCGCAGCGTCCGCATCGGGTGCCGTGCCCTCCTCGGCGAAGGGCTGCTCGGCCGCCTCTGCGGCGTCATCGCCGTTGGCTCCGCCCTCTCCGTTGTGAGGAGGCAGCTGCGCTGCACCAAGGCCCTCCTCCGCCTGCAGCCTGCGGTTCCGCTCCACTCGCTCCAGCACGGCATCGAGCCGCTCGTCCACATCATCGAAGCGCCGCTCGTCTGCGCGCCCCGCATCAGAAGGCACCGGAGGAGCAGCGACAGGCTCCTCCTCCGCCGCCGCCTCTACCGCCTCCTCCTCCGCCGCCGCCTCTACCGCCTCCTCCTCCGCCGCCGCCTCTACCGCCGCCTCCTCCGCCGCCGCCTCTACCGCCTCCTCCGCCGCCGCCTCTACCGTCGCCTCCTCCGCCGCCGCCTCCACCGCCTCCTCCGCCGCCTCCACTACCGCCTCCCCCGCCGCCTCCGCCTCCCCCGCCGTCTCCGCCTCCCCCGCCCCCCCCTCCGCCGCTAGCTCCTCCAGCTCCGCGTCCGGCTCGGCATGGCTGTCTTCGCCCGCCGCACCGTGCCGGCTCTCCACAGAGTGCGCCTAGAGACACACACGACGCCGGACGCCTCAGCAAGGCCACTCTCGCGCTGGCACTGACCCGCGCCACGGGAAGCCCGCGCCGCGTCGCTGGCTGTCGACCGCACGCGCCCAAAGACGTCGGCGGCGTCTGCGTCGTCCGCCGCGGCGCCGCCCCCGCGCCGCCGGCGGAGCATCTCCGCCAGCTCCTGGAACTCGGCCTCTTGCCGCCTCGCCTTGGTGCGCGCCGCGGATCCCTCGGGCGGGTCCGGCCCCTCGCCTGCAGAGAAGCTTCCGGGAAGGCTCAGGCAAGAAGGGCTCCCGCAGGCCGCGGGCGGCATCTGCTGGGCGCCAGCTCCGCCGCTCGCGCCGCTCGCCTGCCCCGCGCCAGCGGGGGGCACGCCCCTCGGAGGAGGAGTCGGCGGGGACGCCGCGTCGGCCGACGCCCCTCCCCCCTCCCCGCCTCCCTGCCTCCCGCCAACCAGCGGGCTGCCCCTCGCCCCGGGAGCGCTGCGCCGCCCCGCCACACCCACGCTTCGCGCGCCGGCGGCGGCGGGACCGCCCTTCGCGGCGTCGGCGGCGGGGCCGCGAGACGCGCCGCCGCCGACACCGCCGGCACCGCCCGCGCCGGCACCGCCCGCCACGCCGCCGCCGCCCGCGCCGCCGCGAGGCTCGTCGCCGTCTGTGATCTGAGAGCAGTCGATGCTGAACTCGAAGAGGTCGTAGGAGCCGGCGGGCTCGTGTCCACGCGAGATGCTGATGCCGGAGACGAAGGAGTCGGCGGGGCAGACCCGCTTGCGCACCTGCAGCGAGAGGCGCGCCGGGCCGGTGAAGCGGCAAGGTCGGGGCCGGCCACGAAATGCGGCCAGTTTGCGAGAGCCTCCTCGGGGGTGCCTTGCTGCTCGAGGACCTCGACCGAGGAGTGGCCGTCGCCGCAGAGCAGCCCGAAGTTGTAGTAGTCGTGCCCGCCCCCGAGCCACGAGCGCCATGCCGGCGCATCGGCACGCGAGCGCGTCACGATGAGCCCGCTGACCGACTGCGGCCGCGGGCAGGACTCGTCTGCAACGGTCGACGAGGACCACGCGAGGAGGGAAGGCCCGAGCTCCGACCACTCGGTCGACGCGACGCCGCACCGCAGCTTGAACTCGTAGGCGTCGCGAGTGCCGAGCGGCGCCGAGGCCCGGTGAACGCTCAGTCCCGTGACAAACGGGCGGCCCTTCACCGACGCACACGACAGGTGCTGCTCCGCCAGCGTCTCGGCGGGAAAGGCCAAGCCGAACGGCCCGAGCGTCGCGGCGAGGGAGAGGGCCGACTGTAATGGCGTGGACGCGAACGACATACGACGCGGCCGCTTTTTTTTTTTAGCTAGCAATACCAAACACCTCGAACACTCACACGGCCTGAGTGATGTGTACGCCCACTCAGGATGTGTGGCAGCCCGCTGGCTGTGTGTCTCGTGAGCTTGTTTGTGTCTGTGTGTCGCTCGTGCGTGTCGTCATCATCTGTCTTGCGTCCACCCATACCGCGTTGGTGTCCAGTCCGAGCCTGACTGTTCTTCACCTTCCTACATACATACATCACACGTCATTTGGGGCCTGCTTTCCATGAAATAAAACAAATGCAAGCCGGACATTGGGCATATCGCTCTCGGGCCCACAGACATCCCGCACACCCGCCGCCCCCCCGCGCGCCCCACCCCGGCCTGGAGAAAGCTGAAAGGGGAGTGACAGTTTTTCGGCGAAAATACATCGACACGTGAGGAAGAGGGCGGGTCTCAGCTCTCAGGCATCAATCAGCGCCTTCACGTGCGCTCGGACGCTCCGGTCGAGCCTCTCGACGTTGTAGCCTCCTTCGAGGACGCTGATGATTGGCAGCGCGCCGCGGCCGATCTTTGCGACCTCGGCCGTGATCCAGGCAAAGTCGGCGTCGCTCAGCCGGCAGCTCGAGAGCGGGTCCTCCGCGTGCGCGTCGAAGCCCGCGCTCACAAAGATGGCCTCGGGCTGGAAGGCGCGCACCGCAGGGAGGAGCTCGTCGCGCCACGCGCGCCGAAACTCGGCCGAGCCGGACGAGGAGCGCAGCGGCGCGGAGAGGATGGTGCGGTGGCGCCCCGTCGCCCCGCGCTCCTCGCCCGTGCCCGGGAAGTTTGGCACCTCGTGGGAGGCCCGGCGGGTCATCTCGCGCCATCTCGGGCCATCTCGGGCCATCTCGCGGCCATCTCGCGCCATCTCGCGGCCACCTCGTGGGAGGAGACGTACAGCCTGGTCGGGTCCGGCTCGGCGATGTCGGCGTCGCCGTTCCCGTGGTGGACGTCAAAGTCGAGGATGGCCACGCGCCTGAAGGAGGAGGGCTGACCAGCTTCCGGGAAGGTTCCAGGAGGCGGCAGAGCCGCGGATCGCCGCACACCCGACTCCGTGTACCGCCTGAGGTTGGGGCGGCGAAAGGTGATGAGCATGCCGGCTACTCGCCGCGTCTCCACGTCCTAAGACAGGCGCCCCACGGGATGTGTAGGTGGGGGAGCGGTGTGTGTGTGGTGCGCGCGCGTGCGCCTGCGCGTGCGCGACACCGACGAGGACGTTGTTCACAAAGCAGAAGCCCTGGGGCGAGCCCCGCTCCGCGTGGTGCCCCGGAGGACGGACCATCACGAACGCGCGGCGTGAGGCCGAGCCGTTGCCAGCAGCCTCCGCCCCAAGGAGGTCGTCGACTGCGCGCACCACGAGCCCGGCCGCTCGCAGCACTGCTGCTCTGGAGCCGGGGCTTGCAATGGTGTCGGAGTCGAGCTTCGCCTTGCGGAAGAGGCGGGCCCTCGCGAACGCGTCGTTCAAGCGGTTGAGGTGGGCGCGCGTGTGCACGCGCAGAAGCTGCTTCGCGGTCACGTCCACCTAACCCATGTCCACATGCGCATGTGCATGCGCATGTGCATGTACATGTACATGTTGTGCATGTCATGTTGTATGTGGTGGATGTGTGCGTGTGCGTGTGCGGGCGAACTGCATGCTGTGCATGTCGCCTCAGGCTCAAGCAGCCTCAATGAGGATCCAAACTCCTTGACCCAGCGTGTGCGTACCGCGGTGAGCAGCCGCTTCAGCCGAGCTGGCTGCTCTGGGTGAGTGTAGCCGGCAAGCGACGGCCGGCCAGGCTCGTGCAGCACGCAAACGTCGGAAGTGTAGACTGACACAGGCCGTGACGGGACGCCTCGCCAGAGGCTTGGCAGCAGCGCTTGCACGGGGATGCTGCCCAGAATCGGCAGCAACGCTTGCACGGGGACGAGCAAGGGGACGAGCAAGCGGTTGTGTTTCATTTATCGGTGTGCGACCAAAAGAGAAAACGCAGCCGGCAACGGACCTTCCTTCCCGTGAAATGTATCGCTGGCCGCGCCACCACGAGTTGAGGGTGACTGCGGCGCACTGGGCTCTGGGTGGGGTCTGGTCAGACCCTGCCGGACTTGCCGGCCCCGGTGCAGACCGTTTCACGGCGTCACACCGGCCGTCACCCGCTCTTGGGCACAGTCAGCTGTTACGTGCTCTTTGCCTTTACCCTCGCATAAGCTACGTTGGGGACGAATGCGGGGGTGGAGAAGGCTGAGGCGAGCGAGCAAAATTAATAGAAAAGCATTGAAAATCCGTCTTATCCTTTCGCCTGCGGAAACGACCAGCTTTCCCAAGATGTCCCCAGCCGGAAGCTCCGACGAGGTTGCACCTCTAGTGGGGGTCGGACCTGCGCATCTTCGCTATGCCAGAGAGCTTAGAGGGGGTCCGGTCTCCGGAGGCTGCGCTCCAGCTACTTGCGGACGCGCTCCGCGCGCGTCACAACTCTCCGCCGGGGAAACGCGCCGCGCCGACCAATGGCTGGACAGCCGCGGACGAGCTCGAGCTCATCATGCGACGCTGGCGCGCACTACTGGTCGGCAGCAAGATGGGCGAGATCACTGTCGGAAAACGCAAAGCCGACGCGTGCAAAAAGCACTCCCAACGACTCAACAAGTACCTGCACGAGAACATCCCGTCTCGAGTCGTCGAGGACATCTGGAATGTCACCGCCGCACAGCTCAGTCCCGACCCCGTGCGTGTTGCAGTGATGGATTGCACTGACCCCGACGAGAGCCAGCGCTCCGCGGCGCTGAAGGCGCGGATGGGGCGGCGCAGAGGCGACGACTCCCCGAGGCCCGAGCGTCGACCTCGAGCGCCTGTGCGTAGGCGAGCAACGGGCGTCCATACAGCCATGGGCTTCGCATTCTACTTGGCTGACGTGATGTCGATCCTAACTGCCGACAGTGAGCCAGGCGGCGAGAAGAGGTGCAGATACGTCCTCGATCGCAGCGACCACGTCGCGGCAGATATGGATTGGGTGCGGGCGTGGGCGGGCTTGCCTCCAGCGATGGGGGCTTTCCCGCATGCAAGCGCACGTCATGCCCCAGCTGAGTACCCTGGCGAGCGGCGCCTTTGGCCCGGCCGGAGCCGCCCCTCGGACAGATTCCTGCCCGCTGGCGCCAGACATCGCGAGCAGCGGCTCACGCCGTGCGAGCTGCAACCGCGGCAGTGATGCACTGTGGATGCCGCAAGCCGGAAAGGCGTGTGCGCCCGACGAAAGCAGGACCAGCGTCGCCCATACCATCGGCCTCCGATGGTGGACCACCGCCTCGGGTAGCACGGGAGCCGTTCTCCCTCCGCTGACAGAGAGCCGACGCATACACACCAGTCAGTCAATCCCACCTCAGACTCCGCCCTCCGGCGAGGCTCGCACGGTGCTCGCCGTCTTTCCTCTGCGCGGCGCGTCCTTGCCGCCGTCGCCCCACGAGCGCGCCGTCTGGCACTTCGCCCGCAGGAAGGCGTTGGCCTCGGCCTCGTCGCGGCAGATCTTGGTTGGCTGCGGCGGCTTGAGCGTTGAGCACAGAGAGCACAAAGCGGTTGGCCAGAGCTTGGTGTCGGCACCCAGGAGTTGAGTATGACGGTGATGCCCTGGATGTACTCCTCGAGCAGCTCCTTGTGCTCGCCCGCCCATTTTGAATTCGCGAAATATTTCAGACAACGCGGCGCGCGGTGAGCGCGACTAGGTGAGCTACAGCGAGGTTTGTTTTTAGCCTAGTGGGTCGCAACTGGCTCGGCTTCTACCTCTCTACGTGTGTGGGTGTTGCGAAGCCGAGTGGGTGCAAGAGCACACGCAAGTGGGCTCAGACGCACTGGTGTCCGCGGAGGACGGCAGGAGCTCACGCGGCGGTGACCTCAAGGCGTCGCAAGGGCAGCATCGATCGCTGATTGTGCACGGTGGGATAGTAGAGATGTTTCGACATGCACACCTGCCCTCCATGCTCAGCCAGCACGGGCTTTGGCGCGTAGCCTAGTTTAGTGTACAGCTTGAGGGCGGCAGCGTTCTTCTGGTTCACCATGAGCAGCATCTCGTCCACTCCTAGCCAGCGAGCCTTCCTCTCCGCCTCTGTGAGGAGCCTCTGTGCCACTCCCTGCCGTCGGTATTTGGGAGAGACGGTGAGCGTGCCGCTGAGAATGGCCCGAGGCCGGATGTACGGCCAGCGCTCGCCGCCACCGAGGAGTCCGTCAGGGCCACAGGAAAGGATCTCGAGGCCGCAGTGCCCGACATCCTGAGCAGACTCGTCGTCTATGGTTGCGGCGAGCCAGCTGTGCAGCCGGCCTCCTCCCGGACGCTCTGGCCAGGGCGAGGATTTCACGGTCACGCTGCGGCTGCGGGAGGGCGCAAGGGAGGTTGCAGAGAGCACAGCGAGCATCGACCTAGGAATCGGCCGTGAGCCCGACCAAGCTCGGTTGGAATCGGCCGTGAGCCCGACCAAGCTCGGTTGGAATCGGCCGTGAGCCCGACCAAGCTCGGTTCGGGGTTGCTGTTTGGACTGAACCCGGGAGAATGAAGAATTCGTGCGGATAAAGAATTGCAGCCCGCGGTGCAACGCGAGCCAAGCGAAAGCTCACCAAAACAAACAGAAAGTGGAATGCTCGACGACGAACAAAACCTACAAACCAAGATTCTCTCTCCAAAACCTGGGATGCGATCTCGTTACCTAGATAGCTTAACTCCGGTCGCAACACAGGCACGCGCACACGCACAGAAAGAAGACTGGAACCGGGTCCATGCATGGCGTGCGGAGAGAGAGAGCAGAGAGAGACTACCGAGAGGGAGAGAAAGAGGAGAGGAGGTGGTGGAGGTGGAGAGAGAGAGAGAGAGCGGAGAGAAAGAGGAGAGGAGGAGAGAGAGAGACCTCGCCGCTTCTTGTTGGGGAGAAATCGTTTGAACATGTTGGACCTTCGCAATTCGGATTCGCTCGCGCGAGATGACGGTGTAAAACGCGCCCCCCGGGGCCGCTTTACGGGCGCTCTGTCCGAACGCCAGGAGTGGACTAGAGTGGACAGCAAAGCAGCAGCTGTGTACACACTGGGGTACCACAAGAGTACTGGGTAGTGGGACCATGAGCAACATCCCCGCCGGCGTCGTGGCGCACGGGCGGCGCGTCTCGCTGAGCGTGCTCCCGGAGGACTACTCGGCGTACCAAGTCGCTCGCGCTTGGGTACGCAATAAACCGCGTGGCGACGATCGTCAGCCGTACATCCTTCCGATCTCGAGGCGCGCGGCGCTTTGCACGCACGTCCCGTCACACATCCTATCACTGTACATATGTGCCCGCCAGGCTCAACCTCCCGCCGCTGCCCCCTCGCACCGGCGACGGCGAGGATGCGCTTACAAAGCCGTCCAGCCTTGGGCTCGCGTGCAAGCTTCCGCCCCGCTCGGCGGCGCAGTCGGCGGGGGTTTTGCCCACCGACTCGTTCGCCGCTCCCCACGGCGCCGGGTTGCCGCGCACGGCGATTGGCGCCGGCCCGTCGCGCGCGCCAGCGGCCGAGCATGCCGCCGCCGGTGCTTTTGAGGCTGGCAGCGAGGCGGGGGAGGGGGAAGGCGAGGGGGAAGACGAGGTGGAGGGGGAGGGGGAGGGGGTGGAGGGGGAGAGCGTCGGCGGCGAGGGTGACCTCTCCGAGAGCGAGAGCGAGGTGGAGGCCGAGGTCGAGGAGGAGATGGAGGTGGACGGAGACGGGGCGGCGGAGGGAGGAGGAGGAGGCGAGGCGGAGGAGGCTCCTGCCGGGGCGCATCCCGACCCTCTCGGCGACGGGCCGAACGGCCGCGCTGCTGGACACGGCCGAGGGGCGGCGGGCCCTACAGCAGAGAGGGCGGCGAGCTCTGGCGCCGCCTCCTCCTCCTCGCACGCCGCCTCCTCCTCCTCGCACGCCGCCTCCTCCTCCTCGCACGCCGCCGCGTCGCACGCGCCGGCGGCGGCGTCCTCGTCGTCGTCGGCAGGCGGCGGCTGCTCGGCGGCGCACGAGGCGCCATCTCCCCAGTTTCCCTCTGGCGGGCAGCCTCTGGGCCAGATGCCTGCGGAGCTGCACCTCTCCTCCCTGACCGGGGAGGGAGGCGGGGAGGGAGGAGAGGGAGGAGCGGAGGGAGGAGAGGGAGGTCGAGAGGGAGAGGTGCCTGGAGGCGGGCCTCGGCGCGCCACGCCGGCGAGGCTCGGCGGGGGAGGCGCGCATCGGCGCAAGGGCGGCCGGCGGGGCGGGGGCGGCCGGGGCGCGTCGGCGCGCCGTTCGTTCGCCGGTCTTCCGCTCGAGGTGTTGGCTGGCTAGACATTTGGGGGACACCTCGCAGACACCTGCTAGACGCTTGCTACTCTCTTCCTAGACTCCTGCCTTGACAGACATCTCCGAGACACCTCCTAGACTCCTCCCAGGCGCCTCCGAGACACGCTCACCCTTCCGCTTGTTGCTTTCCTGTTTGCCCGAGCGTCGGCAGTGGTGATGAGCCCCCCCCCCCCCCCCCGCCCCCCCTCCCCCTCACAGGCGGAGCTGCTGCTCTCGCACCTCGAGCGCTTCCGGTACGTCCGCGCCTTCTCGCGCGCTCAGACCGCCGCCAAGCTGCGCTCGCGCCACGCGGTCCACGCCTCTCCAGCACCTCTCCCGCCGACAGGGCGTCTTCGCCTAAGCCCGTATCGCCACTCCCTCTAGGAGCGGCTCTCGGTCCTGCTCGGCCTCGCGCCGCCGCTCCCGCAACTGCCGCCCCTCACTCCCCGCGAGGCGAACCCGCCCCCGCCCCGCGTGCTAGCCGTGCCGACTCGACCGCCACAGGACGCGCCAGCCGCAGCCGCGGCGGAGGTACCGCTGGTGGCGCCAAAGGTGGAGTGGGCGGCGGCGCCGGCGTCGGAGCCGTGCGCCAGCCCGAGGGTGGGCCCGCAGCTGTACGCGCCGAACGCACAGCACGCGCCTCAGCAGGCGCAGCAGCAGGCGCAGCAGCAGGCGCAGCAGCAGGCGCAGCAGCTGGCGCAGCAGCAGGCGCAGCAGCAGGCGCAGGCCGCGGTGGTGCGGGGAAGCACGGCGCAGCAGGCGCAGCAGGCGCAGCAGCAAATGGCGGCGCAGCAGCAGGCGGCGCAGCAACAGATGGCCGCGCAGCAGCAGATGGCCGCACAGCAGCAGAGGGCGGCTCAGCAGCAGAGGGCGGCGGAGCAGCAGAGGGCGGCGGAGCAGCAACTTGCTGCTCCGCCGCCGAGGGCCGCGCAGCCCGGCGAGTGGGGGCAGCAGCAGCTGCTGAGGGCAGGCCTCCCGCCGGCGAGCGTGCTGCGGGGGGCGCAGATGCAGATGCAGCATCAACAGCAGCAACAGCAGCAGCGACACCGGCAGCAACAGCAGCAGCAGCAGCAACAACACCAGCAGCAGCAGAAGCAGCTCCAGCAGCTCCAGCAGCTCCAGCAGCAGCAGCTCAAGCAGCAGCAGCAGCAGCTTCAGCAGCAGCAGCAGCAGCAATATCACCGGATGGCCGAACGCGCGGCCTACGACCGGGCGGCCTACGACCGCGCGGGCTATGACCGGGCTGCTGCTGCGTCTGCGGCTGCTGCCGGGCCCCCGGGCTACGACCGGGCGGGCTACGGCGCGACGCCGGCGCGCCTGTACGACACGTACTTTCAGAACACGCGCGGGATGGAGGGCTACGGCATGGGCGGCGCGATGCCGCCCGCCGCCGTCCAGCCAGCCCGCGCCATCTACCCGACGCTGGCGGCCGCCCCGCCCGCTTTCGCGCCCGCGGCCCGCTTCGCCGGCGCGCGGCCAGGCTACGTCTTCAAGCTGGGCGACCTCGGGCTCGGCTACTACTCGGACCTCGTGCACGGGCCCGGAGCCGGGCACCTCCAGCCCATGTGCGTCAGCGGGGGCGGCTTGTGCAAGCCGAACCCCTACATGACAGCGTGCGGGGGCGCGAGGTAGGGCTGGAGGCGAGTTTTTCTTTTTTGTGCGAGGAGCTCGATGAAAAGAAAACGAAGCGGCGCCGCACCACATTTTTCGTCTTTCTCGGGTGCCGTGGTGTATACCTGTCTCCTGTGTGTTAGTGCCAGTGTGCGCACCCAGTGTTGCGCAACCGCAAGAGACCGTAACTACGTATAAAAAGCCGTAGTTGTCGTGTTGTCTCTGTTTGAACTGTTGTCTCGAGCGTGTTGTGAGAATCTTCGCGTCGTCGAAAAGGAAAAGAAAAACAACGCAGCGGACTAATAGTGCGGAAGCCGCGGGGCATGAGAGTGTACACGACATGATATTGACATGGAACAGCAATAACATGGGGATCAGTGAGAGTCTCTAAGCCGCGTGACATGCATCACCGATAACATGAAGGTCGTAGGGAGAGTCTTGTGGCACTTTCGATGGCCCGAGAACAGCGTGCTACTTGCAGCAAGGAGAAACTTGCGGCAGTCCGATCTTCGCATCGGCGGATGGACCAGATGGACGCGGCTCTCACTTCCGGAACTTGTGCGAGCGCCGGAGGGCCAGGTGGCGACGAGCGCGACGCTGCCGGTCGATGCAACACCCGTGAACGAAGGAACGACTCAGCGAGGCGGCCCAAGGCGTAGCAGAGTGGGACGCCGACCGACATCTAATTTCGCCATGGCGAACGTCTCGACGACGTCAGAGACGGCACTCGACGCGCGCATTGCCCGCACGACAGGGCGGCCCCAAAGCAAGTAGCCCGACCGCGCGACGCGGCCGTACTCGGAGGTGTCGAGCGCCTTGGTGAAGCGCTCGTCCGCTTGAAAGATGTGCTCGGGCATCCGGCCCTGCCGATGTAGCTCCGTGCAAATCACGGTCACAATGACGACTACCTCTGCAACATCCTCCAAACCATCCAGCGCCTCCGCCGCCTCCGCCGCATCCGCCGCATCCGACCCGTCCGCTGCGTCCGCCGCGTCCGCGCCGTCGCCGCCGTCGCCGTCACCGTCCCCCGTCTGCTCTGCCTCCGCCTCCTCTTCCTCCGCGGTGTTCTCCGCTTTCTCATCCTCCGAGAGCTCGGTAGTGTCAGGCGTGCATATCTTCGACGGCATCATCGACAACATCCTCCAGAGTACTGTCGATCTCCTCGACTCCTTCCGCGTCGGACTCAAAATCTACATCTAAATTCTTGTCGAGGGCGTCCTCGATGCTGTCGTCCGCTTCCTCGACATCGGGCTCGAACTTGCCAGGTAAGGGCCAAGCAATGAGGAGTCAGATTGGGGCCTTTAGGGGCGGGGCTTAGACGTTAGAGCGATTGGCGATACCCGAATCTTCGCCAATGGTGTCCGCATCCGCTTCGGTCTCCTCAGGCGTCTCCTCCTCCACCGCGTCCTCGTCCTCGTCCTCCTCCCCCTCTTGGGCTGTCGCAGGTTTGAGCCTCTCTCACCCCGTCTGTTTTCCTTTCCTTTTTTCTCTACACCCCCTCTCTTTTCCTCTCTATTTTCCCGGAAAACTCCGTGGAAATCGTCAAATTTGGGGGCGCTGAGCCGAGTCTGAGGCTGGTTTGGGCCCAAAATCAGCCAAATTTTAGCCCAATCGGCAATCGGCAAAATGCCGGGAATTTTGCGGAGAACCCGTGTATACCTGGAATTTACCCTGCGACCGCCTGGGTATTTTGTCGATTTCCTCAATTTTGCCTCAGATTTTGCCCCAGACCAGCTCTCAGACTCAGGGAAACTCGCGAGTTTCCGGAGAATGGAGCACCAAACACCCTCTGTTTTCCCTGGAAATTTCCGGAAACGCAAAGTGCTGGGGACCCTCTGTTTTCCTTTTTGAGAGCGCCTTCGTTGTTAATAGTACAAACCCAATGGTCCCTTGAGCGGTCCGTCGTTGCAGTCGCACACACTCACACGCCACGCCGCACCGCGCGCCCACCCGCTGCCCCGCCCAGGCGGGAAAGAGATGAGGAGATGGGACAGCGAAGGAGGAGCCTCAAACACGTATGGGAGGGTTCAGTTGTGCGCCACGCTGCCCGGCGTTTCTCACTTTCCGGGACAGCCCCGCCCTTTCGAGGCGGGAAAGTGACGGCTACCCCGTACGCCCTGCGGCTTCTACCCCGACGCCGACCGCCCATCCCCCCCTCCTCGTTCCCCCCTCGAATTCTCCGGACCCCGACAAGCCGCCCGACGTTGGGCCTCTGCCCCGCACGCCCCCGCCCCTCCTACCCCCTTTTTGTTTGCCGGAAAACTGTTTGCCGGAAAACCTGCGACAGCCCAATCCCCCTCCTCGCCCTCCTCCTCGCACTCCTCCTCCCTGCCCTTTGTTGCTGCTGCCGCCCTCCTGCAGCAGAACCTCGCCGCGCCCGGCGTCGTTTCGGCCGCGGCGCGTTCCAGCACCGCGCGGGCGTTCCAGCTCTCCCTCTCACGCGCTTCAAGTGCTGCTTGGCGTAAAAAAAAAGCCCGCAGCGGGGTCACTTGGAGCACTTGGAGCACTTGAAGGGCCTTAAAGTAAACACGGTTCTCCGAGGGTTGGTCTGCGCTTTGGGTTTCCCCGAGCTGCGGAGCAGCGTCTCACATCAGCTCGCTACCACTGCCGGTCCATCTCGGCAAGAACGCCGACTTCCTCCCAGCTGTGCATCAGCTCATGCTGACGACTGACACCTCCAAGCGCCGGCGGCCGGCGAGCCCGGGCGCCGCTCGGGGCCACACCGGCGAGCGGGCGGAGCCCCGGCAGCGCGTCGGCGCCCCACCACCGTCGGGCGCGGCATGCAACGACGACGAGCCCTCCTCCTGTGAGGGCGGGCCACCCAAACTCCGCTCCAGCATGGAACGCATGTGCTGGGGGGGGCTCATGCTCCACAATTTCTCCGGCTGCGTCGAGCAGCAAGACGCCGGTGCGCCCGCCCCCGGCCGCCCACCCCTCCCGCGGCGCGCCCGCGGCCCCCGCCGCCCGCCTCCCCTCGCCCCACCGCCGCCCTCGCCGGCCCCGCGCTCGCCGCCCCGCGTGCGCCCCCTCCCACCCGCGCGCCCGCACACCGTCCCACTCGCCTCGCCCGGCGTCGCCGCGTCCAGGCAACAAGTTCAAGGACCAGTTCTGCGACAAGTGCCGCCGCGACGGCATCTGCTTCCCGACCAGCCGGATCCGCTGCCTCAAGCCTGGCTACGACAAGCTGGAGAACGACCACACCCCGGGCGTGTGGAACCACAGCACCGGGCCCCTCCCCGCCTACCGCGTCGTCAACTGCACCTCCCGCTGCACCGGCCCAAAAGTCGTGCTCTTCGACCAGCAGCCGACCGACGCACAGCTCGCCGCGTACAGCGACGTCCAGTTCGAGGAGGTGCCGCGCGAGTACAAGTGGGACGGGGAGTGGGTGTACCTGCTCGTCTCCAAGGGCACGCTCGTCCTCTCCACCTCCATCTCCCACCCCCCCATGACGGTCGACGCCGGCTGCGCCATCCCGCACGCGCCGCCGCCGCACGCCGCCATGCTCCACCTGCCCGCCGGCCTCGTGCACCGGCAGAGCCCGGGGGTGGCAGAGCAGCTCCAGAGCCCGGGGGTCGACTCGCTGGAGCTGCTCGAGACGGCGCGGGCGGCGGGGAGCATCGAGATGCAGTACGGCCACCTCGCCGACCGCCTCAACCGCGAGATCGACTGGCTCGGCGAGAGAGAGCCGAGAGACAGCCGAGAGGGAGCCGAGAGGGAGCCGAGAGGGAGCAGAGAGGGAGCAGAGAGACAGCCAACCGCCGAGAGAGAGCCGAGAGAGAGCTGAGAGAGAGAGCCGAGAGAGCCGGGATGAGCCCGCGGCGCGGCCCGCTGGCGCGACGGCGGTGGGTAGCATCTCTTCACGCACAGGCTGCTGCACGTGAGCAGGCAACTTCGAGACCGCGGCCAAGGGGGACACCGCCGCCGCCGCCGCCGCGCGCCGCAGCTGCCTCTTCCAGCTGCTCGGAGCCCTCGACCTGAGCGTGCGCCCCGCGCCCCCCGTGGTGGCGGGCACCAGCCGTGAGCAGCGCCTCTCTACGTGTGCGGGTGTAAGCAGGTGCGTCGCGCCCTCGGGGCGCGCGGGGAGCCGCCCGAGCATCAGGGCCTCGCCGCGGTCCAGCGCCTCCTCAACGACGTCCGCTCAGAGCTCGATCGCGGCCCGAGCGACTCTAACCTCCTCCTCCCATCCCCGCCTCCGCGCCCGACGCCGCCCGTCCCGCCGCCGTCCGTCCCCTCGGGGCTGGCCGCCTCCGCCGCCGCGCCCGGGCAGCCCTTCAGCCAGCATGGGGCGCTCCACCCCCCCGGCCATGCCCCCGGCCCGCCTCCTCTGACCACGCCGCCACCCCTCCACCCGCAGCCCTCCCCGCCGGGGGCGGGCGGGGCGGGGTTGGGGGCAGTGACTGTCTGGCCATACCCTTCAGATGGCACCTTTATGAAGGGCGTGCGGGCGCAGCTGATGCAGCAGATGCAGATGCAGATGCAGATGCAGCAGCAGACGCAGACGCAGACGCAGCAGCAGACGCAGCAGCAGCAGCAGCAGCAGCAGCAGCAGCAGCAGCAGACGCAGACGCAGACGCAGCAGCAGCAGATGCAGCAGATGCAGATGCAGATGCAGCATAAGCAGCAGCAGCAACAACAGATGCAGCAGCAGATGCCGCAGCAGATGCCGCAGCAGATGCCGCAGCAGATGCAGCAGCAGCAGCCGCAGCAGCAGCAGCAGATGCCGCAGCAGATGCCGCAGCAGATGCCGCAGATGCAGCAGCAGCAGCCGCAGCAGCAGCAGCAGATGCCGCAGCAGATGCCGCAGCAGATGCCGCAGATGCCGCAGCAGATGCCGCAGCAGATGCCGCAGCAGATGCCGCAGCAGATGCCGCAGCAGATGCCGCAGATGCCGCAGCAGATGCCGCAGCAGCAGCAGCAGCAGATGCCGCAGCAGATGCCGCAGCAGATGCCGCAGCAGATGCAGCAGCTGCAGATGCAGCAGCTGATGCAGCAGCAGATGCCGCAGCAGATGCCGCAGCAGATGCCGCAGCTGCAGATGCAGCAGCTGATGCAGCAGCAGCAGGGCTGGCAGCAGCAGTTGCAGGGCTGGCAGCAGCAGCAGCAACTGATGCTATGGCAGCAGCACGTGGGCTTCACCGACCCGGTGCCGCCGCAGCAGCAGTTGATTCAGCAGCAGCAGCAGCAGCAGCAGCAGCAGCTCCAGCAGCAGCAGCAGCAACAGCAGCAACAGCGCCAGCTCCAGCAGCAGTACCAGCACCAGCAGCTGGTTCTGCAGCAGCAGCGGCGGCGGCAAGAGGCGGCTCGCCAGTTTGCGGCTCAGGCGGAGCCGCCCCTGCTGTACGACAGCAGCAGCTCGTCGTCCGCGGTGTCCTCCCAGTCTTCGGCCGCGGGGAGGGCGGCGGCGTCTCACGCGAGCGCGCGGCAGGAGATGGTCGCTGTGGCGGAGGCCGAGGAGCGGGCGGCGTCGATGCCTGATGCGGCGCGAGAGACGCGGCTGAAGGTGTCTCACGGGTCGGCCCTCTTCAGGATCGACAACGCGGGCATAGAGCTCGTGGGCGCGGACAGCGAGCCCGCCAAGCTGCACCGCCGGAGGCGGGTTATCTTCCCGGGCGGCGGAGAGCAGGCGCTCACGCTGCTCACTCTGCAGCCGCCGACCGCCGAGGTGTCGCTCGGAGAGCTGCTGCGCTCGCCGCTGCCGCCGCCGTTCGACCTCCTTCTCTCGGTGCCCGTCTACGTGCGCGCGTCGGGGGCGCTCCTCCCTCAGACGGGGGAGGAGCTCGAGGCGATCTTCGCGCGGCTGGCTCTGCGCGCCAAGCAGAAGAGAGCCGCGCCAAAGGCAGGCGTCGACCTCTCCGGCCCGTGCGTCGAGGCGGCGCCGGTGGCGTCGCGCGACCCGAACGACCCGCGCAGCAACCGCCCGTGGACGGTCGAGGGCGGGCACCTCCAAGACTCCAAGGGCGGGCACCTCGACCGGCTCGACCTGCTGGCCGAGGTGGCGGCCAAGCGCCCCGAGGGAGGGGCGCAGCAGCCCTCCCCCTTCAACTGGCTGCAGACCGCCATCACCTCGATGCAGCTGTAGAGAGCTGCGGGGCTGGCGGCACACGGCGCGCGCGTGTGCGGGAGAGAGGCGAACACGATCACTAGCTAGAATGCGAGGACCGCGCGCTCGCAAAAGGCGCCCATAGCATTGCGAAAGAAAGGAGAGGACTATGTCGGACCCTCTCGTCTGTTACAGCTTGAGCACTTGAGAGCACTTCCACTTGAGATAGGGATTAGGGTCGATTCCGCATGGTACGAGACCCCTCGCTGTTTATGATTATGTATGTAAAGAGTGAGTGCAGTCTCGAGTCTCGAGAGGACAGGGGAGGGACGCGTCCAAGGGGGGTCCGAGGGGGGAACGGAGGCTTGGGATTTTGCATCCATGGCCGGGGAAGGCGAATCGGTCCGTTCGGGAGGCGAATCGGTCCGTTCGGGAGGTCAGCGGATTGTCGCTGTGGTTACAGTTGTGTGCTTGTGTTCTCTGACTGTGACTCTGCCCCTCTGTGATTCTCGGTCTGCACACACCTAGTTTCTCTCTCTGCCACTCTGGCCGAGACTCTGGGACGTCAGGAAAGTGGCCCCTTCGATATATCGCGTCTGAGCGCGGTATATGTAGCGCTAGCGCGTAGCGGTCCCGGCGCTCCCGGTATGTACCCGGCTTTATCGCGAACCCCGCTACCATATCTCGTCCGGTGTTATGTATCGGTCCGGGGCGGTACATATCGGTCGGCGCGCTACATACCGCCTCCGGGAGCTCTGCCTCTCCGGGACTGGGTAGTGGGACTGGCCATTCTGGCGCGTACACCCAACTCGCTGTGTGGCTCTCAAGTGCGGGTAAAGCGCATTGTCCATTGATTGATTGATTGCCGGCCGGCCGTCCGTTCTTTTTAACCGAGTCGCTTAGCCTTAGGCGGCTCCGGTGGTGTGCCTGTGTTAGGTAGGACCAGCCAAGGGACCAGCAAGCACGCACGTGCCACAGTCAGTCCGCGCCTGCCTGTGTCGAGCAGCCTGTCTGTGCTGTGAGAGAGTCACTTTTGTTAAAATGTGAGGGGGGGTTAAAACATAAAAGAAACGACTCGCACAACACTAGGCAACCTCTCTCGCGCATTATAAAAAAGAACAGAAAAAGGAAGAAGCGGAGTTAACAACAAGAACCCAAAAGAACAAGGAAAAGAAATCGTGGGGAGGGTAGGGGGGTGGGGGGGTGGGGGGGTGGGGGGGTGGGGGGTGGGGCTGTGACCCCAAAGGGGCGTTGAGCAGAGGAACAAACTAAGCCCAGCCAAAAGAATTTTCCGGTCCGCCGCGCTTGAGTCGGAGACCCTTAAAATCCCTGTGTGGTGGTATGTATGTAGGAAGGTGAAGAACAGCCAGGCTCGGACTGGACACCAACGCGGTATGGGTGGACGCTGGACGGATGATGACGGTACGCACGAGCGACACACAGACACAAACGCCGTCCTCCCACCAGACGGGCTTCTTTCTTTCTTTCCGGCCTCGGAGCTCCTATAGCTGGCGAGTACAGACCACGCCTCACTGTTTCACAGGGGGGGGGGGATCCGTCTGGAAAAAGGATGCTTTTCGCTGCGCATGCTCGAGCCCCCGGCGAGGGCTTGTGCTGTGCGACGGCGGGCGGAGCTCGTTGCTGAGGGCGACGCGATTGGGGAGGAGGTGAAAGCCTCCGGGCTGGTCACAGCCTGGAGCGAGGCCTGTCCCGGCGAGCCTGGATACGCGGATGAGAACGGGGTGCTGGTGTACCGCGAGCCTGGCCCGCAACGCCACACGTACGTCGTGCTGGAGCTGCGGCGGCCCCGCGCAGGGCCAGGAATGGCCCTAGGGCCAGGCGCAACGCGCAGGCTGAGAGCGCGCTCCCGCTGTCGTCGGACGCCTCCCTCCAGCTGGCCGGGCGGCTCGCCGTGTGGAGGGGGTGGTGCGTCGCATGGAGGCGGACGCCCAGGAGGCGAAGGCGGAGGCGAAGGCTCGGCAGAGGGATGCGTCACCGCCATCCTCGCGCGCACGGACGCTGCGGGCGCGGGCGCGGGGGTGGAGGAGGCGCTCAATTGCTGGGAGGAGGGTGCGTATGAGGCGGAGATGATGGAGGCGCTCGCCGAGTTCGGCGATTGAGTGCCTCCCTCTCTCTCCGGCTGCGCGCCTGACCGGTGCGGCCCCGAGTCGGCGTCTAGCGCGCGCGATAAGGTTTTTGCTCGCCTTCCCTGGGACCCCGTGTTGCGTGACTGTCTCTGTGCGATTTCGGGCCCGGGGTTGTGCGTTTATGTGAACAGCTCTCGGTGGCGAAAGGCGGCTCAAACATCGGAGGGCACGCCGACGTCGCCGACGCGTGCTTCGTCCTGGCTTCGTCGCCGCCTTCCTCGCCGTCTGGCCATCACTACGTGACAGGCCAGCCTACCAGGGCCACGCCCTCGCTGGCGGCGACGAAGCACCGCCCCTCGCGCAACCGCCGCTGCTCGTCTACTTCAACAAGCACTACAACTCCATCCGCGACCGCTGCATCAAGCTCTGGGGCGTCTACCGCGCCCGTGCCAAGCATGTCGACTTTGGGATGGTCAACAACTACAACCTTGGGTACTACCGTCCGTCCGGCCTCCCGCTCGTTAGCAAGATGCCGCCCGTCTCCGACCTCTACTCTGAGCAGAGCACTTCTCCGGTCCCTAAACAGGGCACGCTCGCTCAGATTGCGTCGCACGAGCGGTGGCTTCGCTGCCTCGCCGCCTGCGAGCGGCTGGATGCTGAGATGGACGACCCGGAAGGCGTCAAACATCGGGAGGCGACACGCTTCATCGCCGTCTCTCAGTTCGCCTCGGGAGCGTGGCTCGACCTCTGCCCCGACGGCCGGCAGTCCTCCAAAATCACCTCGGAGATTTTTGCCACGGCGCTGCAGCGTCGCCACGGCTACTACATCTCCAGCGCCAAGTACGTGTACGACGCCAAGGAAGCGGCTGGTGAGACAGTCACCATCGGTATGCGGAAGGGCGACCAGCTTGCAAACGGATCGAAGGACATTCCGTGCGAGCACAACATTCGTCACAACGGCACCATGTATGCGGCGGCCAACATGGTCCGTGCACGAGCCTGCGGCAAGCTCGTGCTCGGTGACAAGGCGAACCCTCAGACGACTTTTCATCTCAACGAGGGGCACGTCACCGACATGTGCGAGATCGGCGGGGACCTGCAGTCCCAGCGCGATGTCCACTACGAAGTCAAGGTGCCTAGCGCCCTCACAAAGACGAGGCAGGCTGGGCAGGGCTCGGCGGCACACGGCGGATGCTGTGCGTCACTGGGCCACAAGTTTGGTTTCGGCAACACCCTCGACCAAACCTTGCTCAAGGTTCTTGGGTGCAAAGAGCGCGGCCACAAGTCACAGGGCCCGCTCGTCCATGCGACCGGTAAAGGCTGGGTCAAAGGGCACAAGGGACAGTACGACGCGCTCCATGTCAAGAACGGAATCGTCAAAATTTGTCTCGTCGAAAGCCAGGGCGGCATCGCGCCGCCGACCAAGAGAATCATCTTCAACTTCGCCAAAGAGGTCGGCAGCCCGAGCGCCGTCGACCGCACCGACTACGGCACAGCCTCCGGCAGCGCCCGGGCGGGGCTTTGTCCAGCACCACTCGCAACAGCTCTCGCGCGCCGCCGTCTGTGGCGACGCGCAAAACATCAACAACGCTGCTCGCAACATGCGTGTCGCGCACTCATTCATGACCGGTCTCAATGCCCCACCCCCCTGCGCGCGGGCCTTCTAGGCCCGCGGGTAGTCTCCCCCCATTCCCAGGGCCTCCAGGGCTCGCACCTCAACCTCTCACAGACCAGCGCACAGCGCCATAGGACGTATTTTCTTCTTAATAACAAGGCGCGTCACACCAACATCCTCGCTACCCAACGCGGCCAAAGGATATCCACCTCGAGAACCTCGAGAGGCTGTGAATAGCAGGCGTGGACTTGGTCTGTACTCGCCAGCTCCTCGGAGTGGTTTGGTTGCTGCCGAGAGCTCTCTTTAGGCCTTGTTGCCCGCCTGACATGCCGTCGGTCATCTTCCTCGACCTCGATGGGGTGCTCAATCGCACGCGGGATGCGCCTCACCTGCGGCTCGACGACGACCTCGTGGCGCGGCTCCGCTCGCTGGTGCGTGACACAGGTGCCGCCATCGTCCTCTCGACGTTTTGGCGAGCATTCGAGGAGTACGTGTCATACGTCCTTTCGCGTCACGGCATCCCGCACGGCACCGTCATTGGCCGCACACCGGGCCGCAACTCGTCCTTTGACTTTGTGACGGCCACCGCCAGCGAGCCCGCGTTTCGCTCTCGGGCGGAGGAGATCACCGTCTGGCTAGCGACGCATCCGGAGGTGGCCAGCTTCGTCATCCTCGATGACAGGCCTTCGGCGGCGAACGGCGACGGCACCGTGGGTGAGCCGCTCGCAAGCCGCTTCGTCCAGACCGAGACTAGCGTCGGGCTGTCGGATGCAAACGTGGCGCGTTGTCGCGAGGCGCTGGCCAGCAAGGTTTCTGACGCGGAGAAGTCGGTGTTTCTTCAAGCTGCTGGTCTGGCTCCTCCCAAGAGCCACGACCCTCGAGGCCTTGTCGACACCGCGCCGGGCAGCGTGAACGAGGAGGCCCAAGCCCTATCGCGGGAGCTGTCGGCAGGCAAGCTCACAGCGCTCACAGACCTCAACCTCAAAAAGGCGGGCCTCGCAGCGCTCCCGCCGCAGATCGGAGAGCTTGCGTCGCTCACGAAACTCGACATCTCGCTCAATACCCTCTCGACGCTGCCCGCGGAGACCAGCGGTCTCTCGTCGCTCCGAATCCTTTTTAGCCTCGGCAACCAGTTCGAGTCGATCCCGTCCGTGCTCCGCAGCCTCCCGCGGCTGTACATGCTCTCCTTCAAGTCCAACCGGCTGACGCACATCCCCGAGGACGCGCTGGCGCCAACCATCGAGTGGCTCATCCTGACGGACAACTTGCTCGAGGAACTGCCGGCCTCGATCGGCTGCCTCAAGACCCTCCGCAAGTGCATGCTCACCAACAACCGGCTGCTCGCGCTGCCCGACTCGCTGCTGCAGTGCCGCGAGCTCGAGCTCATCCGCCTCGCGGACAACCGGCTGAGCGACCTGCCACGCGGCTTCTGGCAGCTGCCTAAGCTCGCGTGGGCGGGCCTCGCCGGCAACCCGCTCGTTGCGCGCGCCGCGCCGCTGCCGCCGCCCCGCTGGGTGGCGCCGGCGGAGCTCGAGGTGGGGGAGCAGATCGGCGCGGGCGGAGGCGGCTTCGTGCACCGGGCGGTGTGGAGCGCGCAGCCCGACGAGCCGGTCGCCCTCAAGCTCTTTCGCGACGCGGGCACCGTCACCGACGGCGACCCCGCGCACGAGATCGACGTGGGCTCGGCGCTCACGCATCCCAACGTCATCCGCGTCCTTGGGGCGACGCCGCGGCCGCAGCTCGGGCTGGTGCTCGAACTGCTGCAGCTGAACAAGGCGTCGGCCGGCGGCGGCTGGGGCGAGCTGGGCAAGCCGCCCAACTTTGACACGTGCGCCCGCGACACGTACCCGGCGGGCACGACGTTTGGCGCGCCGTTTGTGCTCCGCGCGCTAAGCGGCGTCGCTGCCGCGTGCGCACACCTGCACGCGCAGCAGCTCTCGCACGGCGACCTGTACGCACACAACACGTTGGTGCGGCACGACGGCGAGCCAAAGGTGGGCGACTTTGGTGCCGCATACAACTATGCGCCGCTCGGCGCCGAGGCCGCGCCGCTGGTGGAGCGCGTCGAGGTGCGCGCCTTCGGCTGCCTTGCCGAGGAGCTGGCGACGCGCCTGGCGCCCGCCGCCGGGGACGAGAGCGAGGCGGCGCTACAGCGCAACCTTCTCGGGCTCGCGCGCGAAGCGTGGATGGGTGCGGCCGTGGGCGCGCGGCCCAGCTTCGCCGAGGCGTGCCAGCAGATCGAGGCGCTCGCACGTGCATATTTCGAGGCTCCTCCCCCTTTTCCGTGGTGAGCGAGGCTGACACCTCGCCGAGACGTGAGCGAGTGATCTCGGGCCCACACCACCGGGTGATGATCCGCGACATCGCCCCACTTTTGTGCTCTTAATAGCCCTCTCTAGCGTCCTCTCGCACACCACACACGTTTTGTCCTCCACCTTCTCATACGTTCTAGACAACCTCTGTGTGCAGCTAGAGTACGTCCAGAGACCAGAGTTGTGCACAGAGAGTTCCCACACCATCCCACGCACTGATCACTGTCGTCACAGAGTCAGAGAGCAATCATAGCTCGAGAGTCTCGAGTGTCGAGACCCCGAGGACGCCGACGCGGTGTACGGCGAGAGACGCAATCGCAAATAAAGTGTGAAGATTGCAGAGGAGATGGGGTTGGGGAGAAAAAGCAACAAAAAGCGATAAAAGTTAAAACGTTGCGCGCTCGTCCTCGTCCTTGCACCTTGATGCTTGAAGGCCCCAGGCCGCAGGCGTCATCCGCCAAAACACAAAAGCCTCGAGTCCACGAGTGTCGGAGATAGGTGTCGATTTGAACACGCACACGCACACACATGCGGACTCCGGAGAGGGCTGCGCGAGGCCCCGCGCCCGGGCCGCGAAAGGCGAGTCGCGACAAACCAAACACAAAGTCAAACGCGAACTTCTGAGCTTCTGTGCTCTGACAGTGACACTAGCACATAACTGGATACATAGCGTGAGCGCAGAGACAGGCGCACGTACATCAAGTGCGCGCAATACACCACACAGCGGAAGGGTGAGGAGCGGGGGCGGGAGGGTTTGCTTTTGCTCTAGGGGATCGGGGCGGAGAGAGCGGCGACGAAGCGGGGGGGAGAGCAGAAGCGAGCAGTGCCTCCGGAGCTGTCCCCTCGACTAAGCCTTGCCGGTCGCATGCACAAGGGCAGAACAGAGGGTCGGCACGCGCAAGCTCAACACTCACCAAAGAGTGCGAGCCGGCAAGAGCACGAGGCAGTGGCCGCTCGCGGCCACCGCCCCAGCGCGAGGCGGCGCTGCTGCCCCTCTAGGCGACAGAGGCCATCTTTGCGAGGATCGCGGCGCGAGCCGTCGACGCCTGCGATACAGCGCGACAGGTCCGGTTCCGGTGTGCCGGCACGAGCGGGAGATAGCAGCGCCGTCGGCACAGGAGAAGGCATCACCCCGGCGATTGGGACGCGAGCGCGTGGGCGTGCGTGGCATGGCGGTGGCGGGGTGTGGCGGTGGCGGGGTGTGGCAGTCGCCTGCGTCGCGTCGAAGCCGGGAGCCGGATTGAAGCTGGCGGGAGCCGCGGCCGCCGACCGGAGCGTCGCGGAGCAGTGCATCGACTTTGGAAAGCCGCAGACGCAGGCGCCAAAGGTGGCGGCGGCCATGTCGAGGCGGTACTCGCTGCACACGTCGCCGCCCGGCGCGGGGGGCGGTGGCGGAGGCGCCGCCGGCGCCACCGGCCCCTTCTTGGGCGGGCTGGAGGGGGCGGGCCTCGACGGCGCCATCGGCTTGGGCACGGCGGCGGCCTCGTGGCTCGGCGCGGCGGCGCCGTTGGCGGAGAGGGCGGAGAGGGCGGCCGCGTGCTGCGAGCTGCGGCGCGACTTGATGCCGAACGCCTGCGCGCGCGGCGAGGCTGCTCGCTGCGAGGCCCCACGCCGCGGGGACGGGCGTGGCAGCCGCGGCGAGGGAGAGGCAGCATAGGGATTGCTTCGAGGGAGTGCCGCTGTAGGGAGAGGCTGGCGGTGGGGCTGGCGGGGGGAGAGGCGCTGGGCTGGCGGGAGGCCTGCTTCTTGGGCACCACGCCCTGTGCGTTGAGGCGCTGCATCGCCTCCTGCCGCTGCGAGCTGGCGCCGCCCGCCTCCTTCTCGATGAAGGAGCGGCGCGTCTGCGCCGTGGGGTGCATCGGGTGGGGGGTGGTGGAAACGAGAGGGTGGCGAGAGCGGTGACAGCGAGAGTGGTGGTGGTGAGGGTGGAGGTGACAGTGGTGGTTGGGTCGGAGGTGATTGCGGTGGTTGTTGGGACGGCGGTGGCGGGGAGGGCGAGGGTTCGTGGGACACGCGCGGTCGAGGGGTGCGGTAAGCGGAGCAGCGGGGCGGCGCGGCGAGGCTGTGCGTGCTTTGCTACGCGGCGTCGGCGCCTTCATGACCAAATTGCCAGGCGAGTTTTCGCGATCCTCCTCGCCGAGGCTTTGCTTCTTGGGTGCCCCCTTGGTCGGGGTGAGCTTCTTGATGTAGTTGTTGTTCCTACGTGAGAGAGCGGCGCGAGGGGGTGAGGGAGAGAGGCCGCGGGAGGAGGCGCAACGGGCAGGGGGGATTTGAGGGGGCAGGGGGGATGGGCGGGCCCGCGCCAGTTCTCATAGAAGTCGGACTTGCGCGGCTTGTTCGCCGCCTTTGGCGACGGAGGCTGCGGCGGCGGGCTCGCGTCGGAGTCGGCGGAAGCGCGCCCGGAGCCCGCCTGATCGCGCTTCTGCCACCTGCCCAGCGCCGCCGGCCCCTTCACAAGCGGGGCCACGGGCGCCGGCTCTGCGGCGGTCTCTGCGGCGGTCTCTGCGGCGGTCTCTGCGGCGTGCTCGATGGCGGGCGGCGCGAGGGGGTCGATTTGCGACGAGTTGTCGGGCGACATGAGGTCGACGTCCTGGGCGGGGGAGGGGGCAGTCTGCTCAGCCTGCAGAGGCGCCGTGCAAGTGCGGGGGGGGGAGGGGAGGGAAGATTGGGGGGGGCGAGGGCGAGAGGCGCCTCCTCGAGCCGCTGCAGCTCCGGCGTCATGTCTGGCGCAGCGGAGGAGGGCGAAGTCATCGGCGAGAAGAAGCCTTGCTGCTCGAAGGTGCTGTCGCGCGCTCCGCCCAGGATCGGGCTGCGGAAGCCTGCGGGCGGCGGTGCGATCCCTCTTAGACGGGGGCTGGAGTCGCCGGCCACGTCGCAGTGCGCACCGGGTGACTGGAGCACCCCCTCCGGCGCCTGGGCGAGGGGAAGCTCGGCCACAGCCTCGCCGCCCTCCCCGGCGGCACGGGCGACGAGCGGGATCGCCTCCGCCTCCTCCGCCGCGGCCTCTTCCGTCGCCTCGGGCGCGGGCGGCTCCTCCACCGCCGGCTCCTCCACCGCCAGCTCTGGCTCCAGTGCCGCCGGCTCCGGTGGTGGTGCCGCCGGCTCCGGTGCCGCCGGCTCCGGTGCCGCCGGCTCCGGTGCTGCCGGCTCCTCCTCCACGGGCGCCGCCTCCACGGGCGCCGCCGGCTCGGGCGCCGCCGGCTCGGGCGTGAACGACCCGCCCGACCGGCGCAAGCGAACGCCAAACACAGAGGGCCCGCCCTCCTCCTCCCCCGCCGGCTCCTCCTCCGCCGGTCCCTGCTCCGCCAGCTCCTGCTCCGCCGGCGCCTCCGGCTTAGCCGGCGGCTCCGCCGAGGCCACGGGCTCGGGCTCGACCTCCTCCTTGGTCTCAAAGCTCACCTGCCTCGTGGGGAGGAAGGCGCGCAGCGAGCTCAGGGCGGAGGCGGCCGCGGTGTCGGACGGAGAATCGCAGCCCGCTTCGATGTCAGGGATCTCGGAGCTGTCGCCGCGGCGGGCCGCGTTGATCATCTCCAGCGCCTTGCTCTTGGCCGCAGCCTTCTCCTGCTCGGCCGCAGCCTGCTCGGCCGCAGCCTTCTCGTCCGCACTCTTCTTGGCCGCCGCCGCCGCCTCCATCTCCGCGGCGGCGGCGGCCGCGGCGGCGGCGGCCTCCTCGTCAACCCGCTTCGCGGCCTCGGCCGCGACGGACTGCTGGATCCACTTCTCCGCCTCGAACGCTTGCAGCGGCGGCTCGACCGCATCGACCGCGGGCGCGTCGGTCTTGGACTTGCTCTTGAAGCTCTTGGCCGTGGCCTTGAGCTTCTCCCCGACCTTGGAGGGCTTGAGCGACTTGAGCGACTTGAAGGTTGGCATTACGGCGAGGCCGGAGGGGGGCGACCGGGGCGACCTCGCTTTGAATGGTCGATGGCCGCGGAAAAAGTCGAGCTCGTTTTCTTTTCACACCCTCCCCAAAATGTAGGAGGACTCAGTCTGGAGGAGCGTGCCATGCGATCGCTAGACTGACTGTGACTGCATCCTCCGCATCAACATCGGCATCGCAGGCCAGGAGCTGCTGCTTGCTGCCTCTCCTGCCGCCAGAGCCGGCCGGTGTTTTGCTCAGCCCGGCCGATACTGCGGCTGGCTGAGGAGGACGCTCGTCGCAAAGAGCGACTGAGATTGCTAGAGGGGGAGCAGCCATGCCTGCTCTAGCCTCACACGTCGCGTGCCCTGTGCCTGTCGCCTGTCTCGCTGTCTGCGTTGTTGTTTGTGCTGCTGTTTGTGCCCTTGGCACCTTGAGTGCTGGAGGGGGCGACAGGGGGGGACGTGGCCCTGAGTGATCTGTGATCTGTGATCTGTGAGGGTCCGCCCGCAGGCGCATTTTGTATACCGAGCGAGGCGGTGCCCGGTGCGGCGGTGCCGAGCGAGTTAGGCTGTACGAGGTTTGCCTCTCGCACCCCGTCTGTTTTCCTTTCCTTTTTTCTCTACAGCACCCTCTCTTTTCCTCTCTATTTTCCGTGGAAATCGTCAAATTTTGGGGGGCTCTGAGCCGAGTCTGAGGCTGGTTTGGGCCCAAAATCAGCCAAATTTTAGGCCAAATCGTCAAAATGCCGGGGAATTTTGCGGAGTATCCCGTGTAGACCTGGAATTTACCCTGCGACCGCCTGGGTATTTTGTCGATTCCTCAATTTTGCCTCAGATTTTGCCCCAGACCAGCTCTCAGACTCAGGGAAACTCGCGAGTTTCCAGAATGGAGCACCAAACACCCTCTGTTTCCCCTGGAAATTTCCGGAAACGCAAAGTGCTGGGGACCCTCTTGGAGCACTTGGAGTGCGGTCATTAACCTCACATCCAGGGCCGGGGAGCTCAGAAGCGCACCCAGCGGGCCGGATGATCGGTGTCGGGTTACGGGCAAGAGAGCCCTAGCCCCGGGGGTGCGCGTTCGCAGGGAAAGGGCCGTAAAGTAAACACGGGTCTCCGAGAGGGCTCCGTGTACCGGGTTTCCCCTTAACTGCAGAACGCCCCCTCTACTCGGAGCTAGTGGACACGGACACCACTTCTGTTTTCCTTTTTGTTTGCCGGAAAACCTCGTACAGGCCAACGAGCGAGCGCAGGCGGTCGGTCGGTGCCCACAGGTCGGACCTTAAGACAGCATTGTAGGTCCGTGGGCGAGGGTGATAGCATGCGTGCAAGCTTCGGGCTTTGCGTCAAGTCCAGGCGAGCCACGATCTCTACCAACGCCGAGCCGAGCTGAATCGTGAATGCCCAATGCATACGTCACGGCGGCCCAATGCATACATCACGGTGGCAGCTGCCACCGCGCTCGTCGTCACGCTGATCTCGCTCGTGTACTCCTCGCACTTGCACCCAATGACCGTGTATAAGGTCCTCGCGAACCTTCTGTGGAAGAATGCGACCGTGCGTCCGCCCATCCTGCTCATTGCCATCGTTGCCGGTTGGGCGTGGGTGGTCGGCGTGTGCCGCCGACGACTCGGAGCCGATCTGGAGCACGTGCTGGGCGGGACGCTGCAGCACCACCTGTCCACCTTCCACGCTGCACTCATCCTCTTTTGCGTGCTGCTCTCGGCGCACCTGATGCACTTCATGGCGAGCAATGTGCCAGGCGTCACGTGGCGCCTCTGGCTCGTCGCAAACCTCGGGCTCAACGGAATCTTTTTCATACTCGGGCTGCTGCCGTGCTCGGGCCTCTTCTTTGGTCCGTCGCGCCTCTCGCTCCTTCGAGCCGTGTGGGAGTCGATCATCGCGCCGTTTGGGCCGGTCACCTTTTGGCACGTCATCGTGGCCGACTACATGACGTCGCTCGCAAACGCCTTCTCCGACTTGCAGCTGGTCGCGTGCATCTCGCCCCACATCTTCCGCTCGGGCCTGGGCTCCGATGGGATCTACGTGCGCTCGACGGAGCTCTGGCACGACTTCTATCTCACTTGCGCCGACTCGTACGCCAACGCGATTGGCCTCGCGCTGCCTTTCTGGATCCGCCTCATGCAGTGCCTCAAGGTATACTCGACGACCAGAGAGGGCAAGAACCTCTGGAACGCGCTCAAGTATTCGACCTTCTTCCCGCTCGTTTACGCGGGCTACCTGCGCCGCCACGAGCCGTCGCACTTCCACGACCAGTGCTTCGTCGCGGCGGCAGTTGTGCAGTCGACCTACTGCTTCATCTGGGACGTCCACATGGACTGGGGATTGTTCTGGCTGGCCGAGCTGCGCGGCGACTCGGCCGAGGGCTACGCGTGCTGCGGCGGCAAGCCCGTCGTTGCCAGGATACGCGAGCCGCTCCTCATCTCGCAGAGTGTTCTCGCGCATCTGGCCCTCTGCGCCTTCGACCTCGCTTTGCGCTTCATCTGGGCGCTGTCCGTCTTCGGAGGCGTGCCCGGCCGAGGCGCCGGCATGCTCTTCTTCGAGCTCGTCGAGATTCTGCGGCGCACGGTATGGGCCGTCTTCCGCATCGAGTGGGAGGTCATCGCCAAGGTTATCTACCCGTCGGGCACCCACAAGCCGGTCAACATGAACACGCGCCGAGGCGCCGGCGAGTGGCAGTCTTTAGACAGGCCACTGCAGCAGAGAGAGGCACCGCCACCCATTGGGCGGGTTCTCGAATAGGATAGTGGGCGGCACGAGGGCGGGTTCGGATCTCCTACTGGTGCGCCCGTCGGGTCCCTCACTCTTGAGGTGTGCTAGTCGCTTCTCTCCGACGGTTCCGACATGTCCGACGGGCAGTTCGGGCTCACGAGTGGGAGCCGCGGTCGCGGTCGCGGCCATTCGGAGTTACTGCGACACGCGCTCTTTGTTGCTCGCGCGCTCGTTGCTCGTGCTGGCGCACCCACCTACTGCTCTCCAGCTGTGCAGCTGTCGCGATGTCCGGCAAAGGCTATGGCGGCGGCAAGGGCGGCTATAAGGGCGGCGGCAAAGGCGGCGGCGGCAAGGCGGGAGCTCATGGAAATGTGACAGGGCGACACGGCCCCACACCGTGAGCACAAGCCCCAGCCTCCTGGAAATGTGAGGAGGAGTCAGAGAGAGCTGAGTGGAGGAGTGTCCCAAAAGAGAGTGGACGACCCTGCGCTCTACAAGTCTCAAGTCCCTTGTCAAGTGGTGTCAAAGTCTAAAGTCGCGTGAGGCGTGTCGTTGTGAAACATTGTCCGCTCACAGCTTTAGCGGGGTTTTTGCTTTACTTTTTGCTCACACAAATACAGCTCCATACTCCAGGCCAAAATTGCGCGCACGCCAGGCATCTCTCAGGACAAACCATCGGGGGAAAAGTTGTTAGTCCCTCCGTCGCGGCTACCTTCCCTTACCTGCTCCAACGCCGCAACCGCACATGGGTCAAGACGAGCGCTGTGCCTTCGGGCCGCTGGCGGCCGCACCTGTCCGACCGGCGCGCTCGCAAGGTGTGCGTGTGCGCACAAGGCAGAAGGCTGTCGTGCGCCCCCAGCTTCGCGGCCTGGCCCGCCGCTAGTACACCTCCGCGAGCGCGAGGAGCCCGAGCGAGGACCAGCCGTTGAAGGGGTGCGTGCGCTGCCCGCGGCCCGTGTCTGGGTCGTACTGCTCCCAAAAGTAGCCGGTCCGCTCCCACTCGGAGACCATGGTGCCGACGAGGGCCTCGCGGAGCTCGGCGTAGAGAGCGGCGGACCGCTCCTTCTGCGGGCCCGCCGCTTGCGCGTAGTGGCGGAGGGCGGCGAGGCAGAGGTAGTTGAGGTTGACCCAGATGGGGCCGCGCCAGTAGGGCGCGTCGCCCGGCGCGTTCTCGCGCCCGTACCACATCGCGTCCGCCTTGGAGAGGGAGCGCAGACCGTGCGGCGACCACAGGCGGTCCGGGTCGCGCAGTAGGTCGAGCACGTGCGGCAGCGAGGGCGAGTCGGGCGGCAAGAGCCGCAGCAGGAGCGGGAAGAGCGAGACGTAGCCGAGGTGCTCCACGTGCTGGTCCTTGAGGCCCCGTGGCTGCAGCTTTGCGCGCGTCAGCAGCCCGCCCTTCCCGTCGCCGAGCGGGAAGAGGAAGCGCGGGTGAGAGCGCGGGCAGTCGGGCCGCTCCGGGTCCGACACCGTGTGCTCGACCGCGCTGCCTCCGTCGGCGGTGCCACACTTGACGACGACCAGCTGCACGAAGCGGCCCGCGTTGGCGTGCCTGCCCCAGTCGCAGTAGGCGCGCAGGCCGGGGCTCCAGTGGTGCTGCTCCAGCGACGCGAGCTGCGCACGGTGCTCCTCTCGGTAGCGTGCCGCCTCGCCGCCGTCGCCGGTCCTCTCGGAGAGCTGCGCCAGGAAGCGAGAGAAGAAGGCGAGCCAGCAGAGCAGGTCGAGGTGGCGCTCCCCCTCGCCCGGAACCGTCGCGCGCGGGTAGTCGTCCAGCCCAGAGGCGAGCGTCATCGCGTTGAGCCGCCCGTCCGACTTGTCCCTGCCGCGCCAGCGGTAGGTGTGCGGCCTCGACCCCGCCTGCGTCGACGAGAGCCACTGGTACCAGTCCGCCAGCCGCGGAGCCAAATCGCCGAGCAGCGCGAGCCGCCTCCCCGCCTCGCTGCCGCCCCCACCCTCCCCTCCGCCGCCCTCGCCTCCGCCGCCGTCCGGCAGGCGGTCGAGCAGCCGCTGCAGCCGCAGCACCAGGGTGGGCGGGTTGGCGTGCAAGCGGCGCTGCGGCAGGAACTCGGCCGGCACGCGGGCGGCTGCCTCGGCGCCGAGGATCTGCTCGCGCGGGATCCACCCGTCCTCGTGCATCAGCCCGAGCCAGTGCGCGGCGATGTCGTCCGCGAGGGGGCCGTCCCACTCGCCCACCACGAGCGAGTGGAAGCCGTCGTCCCACAGGAAGCCGCGCGGGAAAAAGGGGCGGGACGGAACCACCGCAAAGAGCGGCGCCGCCTCCGTCTCCTGCGGCGGCGGAGGCGGCGAGAAGCTGCCCGGCGGGGGAGCGACCACCGTCTTGCCGTAAAAGAAGCCGAGCGAGCCGAGTTGCGCCGCGAGCGCCGCCGCGGCGAAGCCCTTCTCCCTCTCCCCGAGGGGCGACCCGCCGAGCCGAAGCGCGCCGCCCTCGCGCTGCTCGTCCAAGCCAAACGTGGAGGCGAGGCGGGCGTGGAACGCGTCTGTGCGCGAGCGGATCTCGGCCGAGAGCGCGCCGCCCGACCACCGTGCGAGGAGGGCGCCGCACTCTTCGTCCCCGACGGCGCCGCCCGCGCCGCAGCCGCCGCCGATCAGCGTCGCGTCGATCTCGAACGGCTCGCCCGAGGTGCGGAGCTGCAGCACGAGCAGCCGGCTGCGGCTCGGCACGAGGCCGTTCAGGTCGAGCCGCGAATCGTGCTGCTGCTGCTGCTGCTGCGGCTGCTGCGGCGGCAGCTGCTCGGCGACTAGCTCCGCCACGTTGAGGTGGGAGTGGTGCCGAGCTGCGGAGCCCCAGGCTCGCAGCGGGAGGGGGTCGCCGCCCTGCGTGCGCGCCGCAGCGAGGAGGGAGAAGCGGCCGACCTCCTCCACCTGCCCGCCCACGTGCACCCCCTCCTCCGGCTGGAACGAGAGCACCTCCAGCTTGCCGAGCGCCGCGCCGCGAGACAGCCGCGGCGCAAACTCGGTGTCGAGCGAGAGGTAGAGGAAGAGGTGCTGCTTGGGCGCGGCGCCCGCGATCGGCTCGCCCGAGATGCGGACCGCCCACCCTCCCGGCGAAGAGCCTCCTCCTCCGCCGCCTCCTCCTCCACCTCCGGCCGGCGTCGCCACAAACGTGGTGGTGAGGTGGACGCCGTTGGCGCGGTCGACGATGGGCTGGCTCCCGAAGCCGCGCCCGTCGTGGGCGGTGAAGCCGTATCGCTCGAGCCCGTCCTGCTCGCACTGGTGGCGCAGCGTCGTCGCGTCGACGCCTCCGTCTGGCCTCGCCCGCGTCCACATCAGCCCGGCGACGAGCGCCGTCGGCGCTGTGCGCGAGCGCATCCCAAAGTAGACGCCGGGCCGGTACGTGCCCCAGAGGAGGGAGGCGTTGTGCTCAGCCGTGAAGCGAGAGAGCGTGCCGCCCGCCAGCGCGATGGGGACCGGCGCCGTCGGCGGGCTGGCGCTCTGTGGCCGCTTTGGCGCGGAGGAGGACACGCGGTGAGAGCGGGGAGACAGGAAGGCCGAGCCGAGGAGAAAGGCGGCCACCAGCGCGGCGGCCGCGCCGATCAGCTTGAGGTCCTTCGCCCAGCGCTGCGCCTGCCGCGAGGCGGGAGGCCTGGAAGCGTGCTTTGGTGGCATCGGCTTGGTGGCCGGCGTGGCCAAAAGAACTGGACATGCACACTGGGCACGGGACTGGCTCGCACTGGCACTAACACAGGTACACCAAAAGAATTTTACAACTCAAGGCGCTCGCACGACACGATTCACGCGACAGGCGAATTTTACAACTCACCCTGCACGACACAGGCACGGGCCAATGAATGACTTTGAACGGCGCTTCACCACTTGTATTGCCGCGCGAACAACGCTGATGGATTCGGGACACGGGTTGGGTAGGGTTGGATGCCCCACTCTTGATCTCTATGTATCTACGTTATTTAACGAACAAGTGAACAGAAAATATGTCGCGTGGGCATGCTCAACACAAACACACGATTGAGCAGGCCACATCGCGACATCGGACAGCAGGGAAGGTCACTTGGCAATCGGCGACACGCTAGCACGGGCTCTGGCCCTGCGAGCAGAGCATCCCAGTAACCGCGCCTTGGCGGCCGCAGTGAAGGCCTCGAGGCCCGCAGGCCCGCCCACTGGGATCGAGTGCTCGACAATGCGCCCATTGCTCGCCCAGTCTGGGGCGATGTCCTCTACGGCGCGGTGCACCCAAAAGTGCACTTGCGCGCCGTCCGCGCTCAGGAGGAGGCCGTCAACGGGGTGGTCGTCCGTCCGCCCCTCGCGCCCCTGCGTGGAGATGAGCGGGTGGAGGCGCGCCCAGTTGACGCCGTCGCACGAGAGGCTGAGGCCAATGTACGACGCTCCGTCGCAGTTGCCACAGTCCTCTCGGCCTATTTTACACCCAAGCCCTGTGAAGAGGCTGGTCCGAAGCCTGTGCTTGAGTGCGGCTGTGGTCTCGCCTTCATTCACGGGGAAGAGGCCGAGCATCGCCTCCGCGTCTGTCGGGTGCCGGTCGACGGCAGCGAAATAAATGTTGCCTCTGCCCGCCGGGTACCCTTGAACCCGGATCTGCCGCAGCGGCCCAAACGGGCCGCGCTCGCCAGACGTTGACACCGCGACGTAGCGACCGCCTCGCGTTTTATGGTTCTGGCGCACAAAGACGTGCCATCTCCCCGTCGCGACGATGTGGACGGCACCAATCTTGCCGTCAAACTCGCAGCCGGCACCCTGTTTGTCGCTGCGTCGCTCCAAGCAGCCAGCATGGCTGCCGTCAAATACCCGGCTGCGGTTTCCATGTGGCAAGCGCGACCACCCACCGCCGAGTATCCTGTCAAAGCTGCGCGCCTCCGAGCCTCCGTCGAGAATGTAATGGCGCACGCCATCGCGCGGGTCGCGTGGCCCGCGAGGCCGCCAGTCCTGGCCGCCGAAGGCATGGTACGCGGTTCCAATAAGCTTCATCACGGCATTATGCGAGAAGGAGCTGTCACGAGAGACAATGACGGGAGGGCGGCCGTCGGTGCTCACAAGGGCCGTTGCATGCCGGAGGTCGATGCGGCGAGTAGGTATATGCATGCGAGAGAGAAACCACGTGCTCCGGTTGCGTGAGGATTGGCTACGCGGGAGAACGCAAAAGTAGCGGAGGCCCCGGCCGAGCAGGTGCAGCACGATCCGGCCTTGGCTGACATCAAGGTGCTGAGCTCGTGACACAGAGGCTGCTGCTTCTGGCCACCGTGCCGGCTGTGCGAGGGTAGAGCTCGCCATGATATGTGGCGATGACTGTGGGAGTCCGTCGAGGACGGACGACGCAACATCATGCACAGCCCGCATGCCTGACCTCGCGACGCCGGCGGCGAATTGCTCCTCGCACACTGCCGACTGCTCCGCTGCATCGCTGGTCGTTTCGCCGCCCAAGGTTGCGTTTGTGGTCGCCGGAGCGGCTCGCAGCTTCCTCCGTCCAGAGGTATGGGGATCTTACGTGGAGCACGTGCTGGTGCCGTTTGGCGCGGGCCGATCCGCCGTCTTCCTCTACCTGCGGGACGCATCACACTGCAAAGAGGCACTGCTACCGCTGCTGGCACAGCTGCGCGAGCGTGGGTGGTTTGGTGCAATGCAGTGTGAAGACACCCCGTCGGTGGCGCCTCCGCCGCTGCACGCGCGATGTGCGGGGCGTTGGGCGGCACGGCGCAAGTGGACGCAGGTTCGCGACTACGCCCCACGGGCGCATCGCTGGTGGAGTGCAATGGCAGCCTCGTGGCAGCTCGTTGAGCAATACGAGCGTGAGGAGCCTGGAGCGGGAGCGTTTGAGATGGTGGTCTTCTCGCGTCCCGACCTGTTCTATGTCCATCCGATGGGGAGATGGTGCGCGTACGCTCGCGACACGTGGCACTCTGGTGGTGCTCTGATGCCGGACATGTTTTGGATCATGCCTCGCGCCGTGGCGGCCAACGTCCTGAACAGGACCGACGCGACCTTCTTTGGCTGCGCGCCTCACCAGCCGTGCTGTCAAGACCTGGGCTACGTGGCGAGCCTACTCTCGTGGTGGCCAACCAGCTTTTGGACACGCCAGCTCGGCACGCGGCTACGTGACGACCTCCTCGGTAGCGCGCGCGTCGCCAGCCCGTCAAATGCACAGTGGGTGCAGGCTTTCCTCGGCTGCCGCCCGAGACGCGAGCGCGGTTGAGAATTGAGTATCGACGTATCGTTGTCGTCGTCTCGCTCGCGCGCTGGTGTCGTCCCCCCTCTAAAACGGTTTTATCGAGATTCAAATAAATATCCAACATACAAACCGGCCACAACGACACCGAATCACAGAGTTAGAGACGGAACTACTCGGAACGGCTCCACTGGCAATACGTTACTGAAGAACTCACGAGGCGCGGCGCGGCACATCTCGGAATGGGGTACGGAAGGAGACGCGCCGGCGGGGGCTAGCGGGTACCGGGTTTTGGGGAGGGGGGGGGGGGGGGGGAGGGGGAACCCTCCTCCTGGATCTTCCTCCTCACGGGGCCCGGTTCATGCAAAGGGGGGTGGGGGCGCGGGTGGCAAAGGGGGGGCGCGGGTGGCGGCGAGGGTGCGGCAGAGGAGGAAGGTCGGAGTCGCGAGTGGCGGAGGCGGAGCGCGGCGGGCCTCACAGCAGCACGTCGGCGAGGAAGTCCGACTCTGTCACGCGCAGAAAGTCGGCCGACGTCGGGCTCTGCACCGCCGCAGAGCAAGGCTCATACAGCGGCGCGCCCGGGACGCCTCCGCCGCCGCCCGCCGCCGCCAGGTAGCCCTGGAATTCTCCAAACGGGTCGCCGTCTGGCAGGAGGGGGGGCGGCAGCACGGCGGGCGGCCTGACGAGCCTGCCGGCCCCGTACGGCGCAGCCTCGAGTGCAGCGGCGGCGGCGGCGCCGCTCCCAAACGGCGGGGGGGGGGGCGCCCAGCGCGACCAACTCAGCAAAGGGTGCGGTGTGCTCGCGGTGTGCTGTGTGCTGGGAGGTGTGGGGGGGATATGGGATGGGGGGAGATATGGGGGAGATATGGGGGAGATGTAGATGTAGATGTAGATGTAGATGTAGATGTGGGTGAGATCGAAGATGCCCACCTGGCCAAAGTTGGCGGAGAGGCCGGTGCTGCGGTCGAGAGGCGGAGGCACCGCCAGGGCGACAGGGAGGCAGGCCTGCGGTGCGGGAGACGTCACTATGTCAGGGCTTGAGTACGCCATGTCTAGAGTGGGGGGGGGGGGGGGGCAGGCCTGCTGCACGGCCGCCATCCGCGCGCGCCCCATCCCTCCCTTGGGTTGTCTGTTTTCTTTCTTTCTTTCTTACACCGAGTCGCTAGACTGAGATGAGACCGCCAGTGGAGTTGGGATTCCACCGTGCACCGCGCTGCGAGCCTGTCGTGTCCCTTGTCAGGAGCAGGAGAGCCCACCTGTCCCTCTGATCGTCCTTCCAAAATCCTGCTCGTGCAGGTGGGGACCCTGTCCTCCTCCCCTGTCCCTCGTTTGGGTTGTCTGTTTTCTTTCTTTCTTTTTACCGGGTACGGACTGTTTTCTTTCTTTCTTTTACCGGGTACGGGACTGGCACTGCAGAGGCGACGGCTTCTAATAGAAGCCGTCGCCCTCACAGATAGATGCCGTCCTCCTCACAGAAGGCGTCGTCGGAATGGTAGTCAGGCGGATGGTCGAATCCGCGAAAACAAGAGAGCGCACAGAGAGCGTCCTGACAGATCGACCTGACGGAGTCCGCCGGCTTGTCCGCGCTGTGGCTGGCAGAGACCAGAGTCCGGAGACCGGACGGCCTATCTTGCAATCTTGGGGATTTTCACAGGAATATCGTCGCAGTATAACGACTCGAAAGCCGCAGAGGACTTGCGGAGAATGCAATCCATTTACCTATTACCTTGAGCACTTGTCTTGAGCACTGGATTTAGGAGTCGACCAAGGGGGCCCCAGGCGCCAGGGGGGGATTATTAGGGTAGATGTGTTACACGGTGCTCCCTCCGCCCTCGATCGTCCCGCTGGTGTTCATTGTGTGTGTGTCTGTGTGTGTGTGTGGGGGGGGTCATAACAAACACGGTACAGCTCCAGCTCAAAAAAAGTCTGGCGGTAAACGTACAACGGGGTCCCATATGGTGGCGGTGGCCTCCTAGAGAGAGATGGCAGCGGCAGACTGCCGCGAGCTCACAGCATGGCGGCCACAAGGGCCGACGCGTCGAGGAGTTGCACCTTGTCGCCGTGGCAGTGCTTCCGTTTCTTGTGCCTCGGCACGACCGTGTCCTCGCTGCCGTCCATGAGCCGGTGCCTCTTCGGCGTGAAGCTAAACTCTGAGCCGGGCTTCATCTGAAGTCCGATCGCCTCCTCCACCAGCTCCTTGACCACTGGGCAGCGCTTCATGAGCGCCTTGAGCGGCGGCTTCAGCTGCACAAGCGGCACGAGCGGCCAGCGCACGAGCGGCATGACCTTTGCGATGATCTCGTCGGTGCGCCCCGCGAGCTGCGCCCAGCTGATGGTGTTGTCCAGGATCGTCTTTTCGTTGAGGGCGTGAAGCTCGTCGCAGTTGAGCACTTCCGCGAGCTGCGCGCACGCAAGCGCAGCATGAGTGCGGCGCAGCGTGCGCATGCTAGTGGGTGGAGTTTGCAAGCGCGTGGAGGAAGCGGGTGGAGTATGCAACCGTGTGAGTGGCTTACCGAAGCGGCGTCAAGGTCCTTGACCTTGACCGCGCTGCCCTTGTAGTGCCGCGCGACCAGCTTGGCGAAGGCCTTGGTCGCCTTGGCTGCGGCACTGCCCTCCGGCACCTCAGCATACGCGGCGTCGCGCAGGCGGAGCTGCAAGCTGGTCTTGGCGCCGGAGGTCGAGAGGCCGCGCTGCTCCAGCATGGCCTGCAGCTCGGCGACCGAGGCGCCGTCGACGTCGCAGCCGGTCGCGCACCCGCGCAGGCAGAGCAGCGAATCGACCGGAGAGAGTGGGCTCGCCACGCGCTTCGACGCGAGGAGCCAGAGGTTGAAGAGCTCGTACTGACGCTGATACTTGGACACCTCCAAGTCGCCGCCGCAGAGGAACTTGCCGTCGGAGAGGACGTCCGGAAGGTTACGGCCCAGGACGACGCCCTGCGTGTCCGAGCCAAGCACGCGGTAGGAGCCGGATGCGCGCCTCTCGTTTGTTGGCCGCTGGGGATGCTTCACCCACGAGCTGACCTTCGCCAGCACCGCGCGGCCGCCCGTATTCTCTCCCGTCAGCATGACAGAACCGTTCCATCCGAGACGGGCCTTGACCTTCGCACCGGTCGCTCCGAGCAGCCAAGACAGGTCCTGATCCGTGGGCGACCCGTCCATGGCCTGGTGAGCCGTCCACCTCTCCGAGCTCGTGTCCACCTCCAAGGACGGCAGCCTGACCGTCGACGCCTTCACGTGCGTCATGGCTTCGCAAATGGCCGAGAGGTCGAGATCCGCGAAGGCCGAGACATCCAGCAGCTTGCGTCCGGCCTCGGCCACCCCTTGTGCGGACGCCTCGCGCAGGCGCTTCCACACCTCGCTGTGTGCGTCTGCTTCGGTGTGGCGCAGGGCAGCCACGAGCATCTCGCAGGCGGTCTTGGCGCTCGCCTTTGCGCTGGCGACGAGCATGGTCGACATGGACTCCAAGATTGAGTCAAACTCCCACAGCGTGGCCAGCTCGCAGATCTCGAGCAGCACGGCGCTCTCGGTGGACGTCTGCAGCTGCTGCCCGTACAGCAGGGCCATCAGGTGGCGAAGCGCAGCGGCCGAAGCGCCCACGCCGTCACCCGTCTTTGCAATCACCTCGCCCGCGCGGGCCTCGGCCGAGTCGTCGTGCTCCATCATGCGCTTGAAGAAGCGCGACTGCGCACAGAGGTCCTGCTTGCGTGCCGGGACCTTCGTGCCGTCACCGGCGACGAGCGCAAAGTCTGCATCGAAGGCGACGGCAGCCAGAGCGCCCGCCTGGTCCTTGAGGGACTGGAGGCGCTCCTCTAGCTGGCGCAGCCGGTCGTCGTACGCCGCTCGGTTGGCGGCAGCGGTCGAGCGCAGCTGCGTGCCGCGCAGCAGGGCAATGAGCTCCGCCATCCCCTCCAGCTGTGATCCTGTAATCCTGGAATCCTACGTACGGCAGTTATACCCCTGTATCGTAGTTATGGTCCACTTTAGAGCTGTGAACGTGAACAGAGTGGTACCAGTAGAGGGGTTTGGCACAATGGCAGGGATCTACATTTGTAGGGATCCCTTATAGAGATGTTAGAGGTGGGTTAAGAGGGCGGCACGCCGCAGGCGGGCAGGATGAGGCGGCAGCAGTGGAGGGTTGGGGCGCATTTGAAGGCGCTGGCCCCGACGCGCCATTAACTGGGTCGGGGTGGTTCCTCACCCCTCTGGTTTCAGTCAAGCGGGAAGAGTCTGTGCAAGGGGGGCGGATGGGGCTGGCTGCGTCACCTTGGAGCAAAGAGTGAATTGGAACTAGTGCTACTTGGATAGCACGCTTTCGGAGTACCGACGGCTAAGGCCGAGGCAGAAAAGGTTTCTGTTTTTCTCCGCTTTTCTTCACAGGATTTTCCTGTGAAGAGAGACGTAGAGAAACAGACATTTCAAACTCGGTGTCGAACCACCAGCTCGACGCTCACTACAAGTGATAGCCTTTAGCCCTTTTACCACGACGTCGCCGAATCCCGAAAACCACGACGGCGGAAAGCGGAATAACGGAACGTGCTCTACAGCTCTACCACGTGTACATGCAGTGCATCATGCAGCAACCCACCATGCAAACCACCACAAAATGCACCATGTGTGATCTCGCGCAAAAGCTCTAGTCGTGTGTGGCATGTGCATGTGCTTGGGTGGACGGGCAGTGAACCTGCCATGTCGATCGTACATCAGGGCAATGTACCAGTGCCAACTCTCTCTTTCTCCTAGGACGTCACCGCTCAAGCGATGAAGCGGCGGGCGTGCCGCTGAATGACTTGTGCTGCGCGCCTCAGCTGCTCTCGTCCATCGCCGGAGGCTCAAGTTCAAACGGCATTCGAGGGCCTGCAACACCGAAGCTGGAGCTCGACCGGCCGGAGAAGATGCGGCGCACCACCTGGTCGAACGACTCGTACTTGCCAAACCCAGCCTCCTGTCACGCCACCGGGGGGAGGGGGCGTCGGAGTAGCACGGCGCGCGTGGGCGAGGCTCGGGGTGGTGCGCTGCGGGCACGCACGATGCAACCGAGCAGCTTCTGCGTGTCCCGCTCCTGCGAGCAGCGCGCCCGCTGCACGCTGAACCGCCCGAGCTCGCGCTGCAGCGCTCTTGTCGCGTCCGCCGCCGCCTCGTCCGCCTCGTTGCTGGCCTCGACGACGGGCAGCACGGTCACGCGGTCGATGTCGCCTCCATTCTTGAGGAAGCAGAAGAGCTCGACCACGCACCACAACCTAGTCGACGAACGAGAGTAAGTGAAGCGGAGCACAACTCTTTCTCGCCGCCTCCGCGCGCGCCTGTGCGCGTAGGTCGGCCCCGCCAGGATGAGGAAGCGCTGGCAGCCGCTGACGAGGAGCGGCAGCAGGTCGAGCGCGCCCGCGTCCTCGGGGGCGACGCACGCTGCGTCCAGCCAGAGCAGCGGCGCCGTGCCCCGCTCTTCCGTGTCGCTCTTCGCCCACTGCTGGAGCGCCGCCCACTTGCCCTCGCGGCTGTCGTGCCAGGAGTGGCTCACAAAGACAGAAAACTCAGCTCCCAAGCTGGCGGCGACCGCCCGCTCTCGCAACGCGTGGCCCGCGCCGCCCGCCGTGCCCCCGCCCGGCAGCTCGGCCGCACCTGTCAGCTTGTCAAAAGGCAGCAGGCGGAAGGCCGCCTGCGCGCGCGCCAGCGCCTTCTCGCCGCCGCCGGAGAGAGCCGCCAGCGCCGCGAGCTGCGCGTCGTCGCTTCCGCCAGAGGCGCCGAGGCCGGCGAGGCGGGCTTGCAAGTAGCGGCGGGCGGAGGGGCGGAGAGCGATGGCGGTGAGGAGCATGGCGGCGCCACACAGATAGAATGGCCACAAGTCCGGCATGACCGCAGCCATGCTTATGAGGAGCACTCCAAACACTGGAGCCCACAGCCGCGCAACCAGCCACATGTGGCTCAAGCAGGCGGGGGCGGTCATCGCCCGGGGACCGACGCGGGTGGAGCGGCAGGGTAGCAAGCTAGCGAGAAAGGCGTCGCGCCAGGTAGGGAGCAAGGCAGCGGCCAATAGGGAGAAGTCCATAGAGATGAGGCTGCCGGCCCCTGAATCCGCCCAGAGGTTAGCCGTAGTCAACGGGCGCAGAGGCCGTTCCGCGAACCACCAGAAGACCCATCCGAAAGACAACAGCAGAGGCACAATGTAGACGGCAAACCCGCGGACAAGGTCCTCGTCCATGCTGCGCAAAGTGAGGAGGGAGGACAAGGAGCTCACGACGCCAGCTGCCATCATGACGCCGCCGATGGTATCATTCCAGCGTCCTTGAATCGCACTTCGGACGGCCCAGCCGGGGCCTGTAGTCAAAAAAATAGACCAGCCCGTGAAAAAGGTGGCGAGGCGGATGCGCCTCTGGCGCCTGTCCGCGGCGGCGCGCTGCTCCCGCATGCGCTGCCGAGCGCGCTCCATGAACACGACCGACGCGTAGAAGCCGACGTACATGTTCAGCACCTGCGGCGGCGGCGGCGGCGGCGGCGGCGGCGGTGAGGCGGGCGCCGACGGCTCACCGTGGTTCAATGGGCACCATCGCACGCGCCACCTTCTCCTCGTCGCCCTTGCCGGTGAAGGCGATGACCTGCTCCTCGCTCCCTTCCACCGTCTCCTCGAACTGAGCCTTGAACGCGTTGGGCGTGGGCGCGCTCGTGAGGGTCACAGGCTGCTTGTCCAGCACGTCTCGATCATCTTGGGCGCGTGCTCCGCGCTGCCCAGCCCGAGCTCGCTGCGCGTGCCGAGGATGATCTTCGCGAAGTTGCTCTCGGCGTGGCACCTGCGCGCCGCAAGTGGGGTCAGAAGGAGAGAGTCACAAGTGCCTGAAGGAGAGGCGGTAGTCGCGGCTGACGCACCAGCCCCGCCGCTCGTACGGCTGTGTGTTGTACAGCATGCCAATGCCCTTGCACAGCTGCTCCGCGCCCGCCGCCACAGCCGCAACCGCCGCTTCGCGCGTGGCGAAGCGAACGATCGCAGGAGCTGTGTGCAGCTCGCACGTCTCGATCTGCCCAAAGCTGCCAAGCGTCGCGAGGATCGCCTGCTCTTCGATGCCGTTCTTCAAGCCGATGAGGCAGACGGAGCGCTTGCCCCACTCTGGCGGCTCTGGGATGTTGGTCAGCCGCAGCACTGTCACGCAGCGGGGGCTCGCGTACAGCCCCGCCATCACCGCAAGCGACGCAGCAAAGATCTTGGCCTCCTCGGCGGTGCGCTTGCCAGCAGCATCCTTCTACGGACGCTGGCGACAAGGGCGTCACTCAACCGCCGCACCGCCCTCAGCGTTTGGGTGTGTGCGGAGGCATAGCTGGCACGGGGGAGGGGAGGGCGGCGGCGGGGAGGGCGGAGTGCGCGCGCGGGGGGAGGGAGTGGGTGGGGGGGGGCTCGACGGCGGGGGTGAGGCGGCGGGGAGGGCGGCGGCGGGCGGGGAGGGCGGCATGCCTGGACCAAGCTCGCTTGGTCCCAGAAGAGCGCGACGAAGTCATGCCCAGTGGGCGAGTTGAGAAAGGCCACGACGTGCTGCAGGTTCTCGCCGTGCGGGTCGGGGTGGTGTGGCGTGAGCCCTATCGTGCAGTATGCGAGAGGGCCTGGCTGAGACGCTCCGGCGGTGGGGGGGGGGGGGGGGGGCAGGGCGGGGCCCACAGCCGTACGTGAGGGCACACGCGCTTCGGGCCTGCCGAGAAAAAAGCGCGGCCCCCTCTGCAGGGGGAAGCAGCCCCTCTAATGGAAGGTCCTGCCGGCGCGGCAGCACGTAGCCGGGTGGGCGCGAGCGCAGCCAGCTGCAGCGGAGCAGCAGGACGTCGCGAGAAAGGAGCGAGGCGTGCACCCGCTGGTCGTGCGGCCCGAGCCCCGCGTCGCTCTGCACCATCTCTAGGCCCGCACCCGCAGACTGCTCGTCCTTTCGCCGCACGTCTCGGAAAAGGCAGACGAGCGCCCAGATCAGGCTGAGCCCGGACATGGCAGAGCAGAGAGTGAGAGCCATGTAGTGCAGGACGAGGGCCGCAGCGCGAAGGGACTTGTCCCGCTCGCGCTCCACCTCCACGAAGGCCATGTACTCTGGGGAGGGGTCGGCGCCAGACTTGCAGAGGCAGGGGAACTCCAGGTAGCAAGGGACGTCGAACCACAACCCACCGTTGCCGACAACGGCGCACTCCTCTGCGCCACGCCAATTGTTTGGCTCTGACGTGTCCCATTTGACAAAGTTTGCCGTCTCGCCGGATTGGCACACGTCCCAGCCGCCGCCGGGCTCCTCTCCGGCGGGGCGCTGGTAGACGCCGATCCAGAAACGGATCGCGCCCGCATCGGCGGCGAGGCGCGCCACGTACTCGTTTTCCTCCGAGCTTTGGACGCACGCGAGAGTCGCGTTTGCCCCACACAGGTCCGCGCAGCCCCAGTGCGTGGACGGCTCGGCGGTGATGCGGTACGAGCCACAGCAAAAGGCAGCGGTTAGTGCGCTGTATCTGGGGTTCGCCCGTGTCACCGATGCGCTGCGATTTCTTCTTTTTAGTCGCCCGCTACGCCTGCTACATGCTGAATCTTTCTTGGTCCGTGTCATAGAGAAGGAAGGGAGCAAAGTCGTGTGATTTCGAGGAAAGTGAGCTCGCGGGGCCCCGTTTTCGGGCTCCGGGGACGGGCGGGCGGGCGGGCCGGGCGGGCGGCGGTACTCTGGGCCGGCGGGAGAGAGAGAGATTTTTAAAGACCAACAAGAAATCACGACTCTCACAGTGATTTGGGCTCGGCAGCTTGTTAGCCCTCAGCCGAAGCTGGGGCCGGTCCCGTAGCCGAGAGAGCCCGCGCCGATGAGTTCGACGCGGTCGGGGTCACGGCCCACTCTCGGCCGCTACTGCGGCGCTAGACCTCCCGGCGCCGGATCTCGGTCTCCAGCCCGGCGAGCGCTGCACGCTCGCGTCGCGCTCTCTCTCTGAGCCCTTTAGGCGAGCACGAGATGCACCTCGACGTACCTCGAGCGCGAGTGGCGCGCGCACGTCGAGGCCTCGTCCCCCACCCTTCAGGGTGAATCTTCAGTCTGGTTCGGTCTCTTGCTCGCCTTTCGGGCGTCGCCCCACTGCCTCTGCAGTCGTTTTTGATGTCCCTTCTTCGGAGGCGGCCCCTCCGCCCCACCTCCGTCGGCTAGCCCCATTGGCCCCGAGGGAGCCGACAGCCCGGGTGGGCTCCCAGGGCGGGAGTGGCGGCATTGTGTCTCGTCGCCACCCCTCCCCGGGAGGTCGGGCCGGCCCTCCCTGGTCGGCGAATCGCGCCCGCATCCGCGGCCTCTCTCGAGAGATTTTTATGCTCGAGATGACAGATTGAGCAACGAGGGCGGAGGGGGCAGCGATTGCATGTCCACCAAGCCGCCGACTCGTATTCCTTCTGGCGGCCGGGTATTCACTCTGGCGATCAACTGGAGCGTCGATACGCCGATCCAGCACGCGCTCGTCCTCGCCATCCTCGCATACGACATCTTCGTCCTCTTCAATGTTTATGACTGGCATGTCCGGACGGCCAACGTGAGCGGGCACAAGGTTCTGTATCGTCCACAGTACTTTCTGCCCGACTACCTCACCGGCGGCATGCCGCGGCTCAACTTGAGAGGAGTTCATCTTGACGGCGGTCGCCGACGCTGCTCGAACGGCAGTTGTCGACCGCCGGCAGTTGACCGGCAAGATGAAGTCCACTGCGCTCGCAAAAAATACCATCGGAACCGTCTTGCCAAGGCGCACAATAGTCCTCAGTCTGGCGAAGGCCAGTTTCTTCATCCCGGGCCGCCATGAAATAAATGGCGACTGGCAGAGGCTTGTCAGAGCAACTGGATTTCACCAAAATCCAGGGCAAAGTGTGGGAGGAAGTCTCGAGAGCAAAAGTGTAAGTCCAAGTGTGGAACGCTGCAAACCCCCCCCAGTACCTGGGTGGGTACTCTTGCACGAGTCCGCAATGCTTGCTGGGACACCCATGCTGGCCACCATCGCTCCTCTCTCTCGCTGGCTCCCTCATCGACAGTGTCAGCTCCTCGTGGACCCCTGTTGCGCACACCTGGGTCGGGACTTGCGATTCGAGCGAGTCGGCGGGCTCTGAGGCGACGATCGTCACGGTGGCAGAACAGCCAACCTCTGTTGACCTCCTCCTCCCCCTCCTCCCCCTCCTCCCCCCCCCCCCCCTCCTCCTCCTCCCCTTCCTCCTCCTCATCGCGCAACTGCAGAAGGCGCACCGTTGCGCGATGATGAAGGACAAGGCGGCGGCAGAGGATGACAAGGCGGCGGCAGTGGCGGCGGCAGTCGAGGCGGCAGAAGCTCTGGCAGACGACCTGCCAGAGCTTCGCGGCACCGACCCGGTGACATCCCTCGACCTCGACGAGAGGGGCCTCGGCCCCGCCTCTGCCACCGTGATCGCGTCGCTGATTGCGGGCAATGGGGTGCTGCAAGAACTTTACATCGGCGACAACCACATCGGCGACAAGGGCGCCGCTGCAATTGCCGACGCGCTGCGCGGCAACGGGGTGCTGAAATCTTCTCTACCTCAACGGCAACGAGATCGGCGACGAGGCTCGAGGGCGCCAAGGCACTGGCTTCCGCTCTGCGCGTCAACGCGGTGCTCACCAACCTTAACCTTGGCGACAACGAGATCAGCGACGAGGGAGCCGCTTCGATCGAGGGAGCCACGCTGTGCGCCAACGGGGTGCTGAACAAGCTAGATGTCTCTCGGAACGAGATCGGCCCCACCGGCGCCGCCGCGATCGCCGACGCCCTTAAGGGCAACGCGGTGCTGACCACCCTCGAGCTCGCGCACAACAATAAGATCGGCGACGAGGGCGCGAAGGCGATCGGCGGCGCTCTTGCGGTCAACGGGGTGCTGAACAAACTCTGGCTTGGCGAGAACAACATCGGCATCGAGGGCGCGAAGGCGATCGGCGGCGCTCTCGCGGTCAACGCACAACGGGGGGGTGCTGAAATCTCTCGACCTCTCCTACAACGACCATCAACGACATCGACCTCTCTCCTACAACGACATCGTGAGGGCGGCGGGCGCGGGCGCCGAGAGGCTGGCCTCTGCTCTGTACCCCTGGGGGCGAGGGTTCAGGCATCCCGTGACTCGCCATGTTCTGGAACTCCTCCGGACCAGCCGGGGGCGAGGGTGGGGGTGAGGGTGGGGGTGAGGGAGGGGGTGAGGGTGGGGGCGAGGGCGGAGGCGAGGGCGGGGGTGTTGGCGGGGGCGACTTCTCGACTGTCTGTGCGCTTGTGCGTCCAGACCCGGAGGTCCGGGGCGATTGAAAAAGAGGCGCCTGACCACAAGGCGCGAGAAACGAATCTGCGAGGCGTGGCCGCGCATGCGGCCCGATGGGGAGGAGCGGGGCGGACTACGGGGATCGGCCTCTTACACGGCCCTTCCTTGCAGCGAGCCCACTCCAACCCACCCGCGCTAGGTCTCGGGGGACGCAGGGGTCAGTCAGCCCCGCGCGACCTCGGGAACTAGCCGGGGCAGTCGGAGAAGGGGCAACTCCGTGCACTGACGGTCGGCCGTCAGAAACCACGCCTGCGTGGATCGCGTCACACCAATCCTCGCTACCCAACGCGGCCAAGGATATACCTCGAGAACCTCGAAAAAGGTCCTGCCGCCACCGCGCCATCCTCGCTCCTTCCTGCCGCCGCCCTCTGCTCAGTCGTTTGACCCGCCGCCCAATGCTCCGCCGTTCGCTGCCGTGGTCTGCCGCCGTGCCGCCGCTCCTTACCGTGCCGCTCCTTCCGCGCCTCGCCGCCCTTGCCATTTATTCGCCGTCCCTCCTGCCGTGCGTTACCGCCGTGCCGCCGTACCGCCGCTCCTACTCGAGTACAGTGCCGCGCCGCCTCCCACACGCACACACCTTACCTCCTGCTCGACCGAGTTTGCGATGAGAAGTGACCCGAGCCGCCGGGTGCCCCGCAGCGGCCTCGCTGGACCAGAAGAACCGGTCCGCGAGTGCTCCGCAGCAGCCTCGCTGAGCCAGAACGTCGTAGTGTTCTTGCTCCCAGCGCTTGCGCTTCGGCGGTTAGTGGTGCACTAACCTCCGAGAAACCCTTCGGGTCGCTCCTCATCGCAAACCCTGTCAGCAGAGTCTCCTACGGGAATGTAAGAGCTACATACACTGAAAAAGAGAAAAAGCGCAATTCGTGAGAGAGAGTAACGCCGACATAGCCGACGCCCACACCGCCAACCCGACCTGCCCTGCGTCACAGAGAGAGTAACGCCGACCGGGGGCCGCACCGCCAACCCGACCTGCTCGTACTTTGGGTGCGTGCCCTCCGCCAATGTCCGCCGGGCGGGCGGGCGGCTGGCGGGGAGGCAACTGTGGCGCCTGGCGAGTGGCGGACCTTCGCGACGAGTGCGCCTTCAAGGGCCTCGACACGAGCGGCGGCAAGTCCGCCCTCATCGCCAGGCTTGACCAGCACGCCGCGCGAAGGACGGATGGGCTCGACGACTCTCCGTTCCGGCATCTGTCCGACGACGAGCACCGCGAGATCTGCGGGGTGCTGCTCGGCTTCCACGCGGCGGACGCCTTTTGCGGCAGGAGGCCCGGCTGCGTCTTCAAGACCGGCGGATGGGGCCTCGGCTACTATGTCGACGCGGCGCCCTGCGCGCGCGACCTCCTGATGTTCGGCTCCACCTGCCGCGACCTGCGCGCAATCATGATGCCGCCGCTGCAGCCGTACGTGGCAAACCAGCTCAAGCAGTTTCGCGACTTTGGCGACGCGCGGCAGCGGACCATCCGCGGCGAGGCGCACCGGTGCAGCGTCGACAGCAGTCTCGGCTCAGACCCGTTTCGCGGGATTCAGTGGGCGGGCATGCCTCGGAAGGTGGAGAAGAAGGAGCTGGCCGTGCTGCAGGCGCCGCGCCTTTCGAGGCGAGGCGAGGCGCTGGTGGACGGCGCCGCTTCACGGCTGACCGGGTGGGAACAGGTCGGCCTGCGCCTCGCAGCGCGGTGCGGGGTGTGCGAGAGGCACCGGCTCTCCCCCTGCCCCCCCCCCCCCCCCGCTGCCCGCCGCCCCATCGGAACATCACGCGTAGCTGATGACGGGTCAGGCACGGGCCGCTCTTCCGGCAGGTCGTCCGCATGCACAAGGAGCTGCGGCAGTTCATCGAGAGCGAGGCGCTCGCGCGCAAGCGGAGGCAGGCGCACGGGGACTACCCGCCCCCGTTCTGGAGCAAGGCCTTCCACAAGCGCTGCGTTATTGCGGCAGGGTGGTTTTTGCAGCCCGGGCTGCCATAGGTTGAAGCAGCCGCTCCACGACAAGAGGAGCGCACCGCTGTGGTTGGTAAATGGTATTATACCATTTACCAATCTAACCAATCCCACTGTGAATCCACAGGGCTTGCACCTCAAACCCTCTCCTCTCACAGACCAGCGCACAGCGCCATAGCCCTATAGCGCATAGGATGTATTTTCTTTTCTCAATAACAAGGCTGTGAAACGCGCGCGACACCGGCCCGGGCACGTATATCGCTTAGTTGAGCTGGGGCACGCTCACAGGCGTTCCCGCTTCCCGGCGATCCCGCCGGGCCCGGGTGCCGGGAGCGGCGGGGGGCGGCGGGATGGATCCGCGCGACAGAGACGACGCACGACCCGCACAAAAATATAATGGCTCGAGAGTCTCAGAGAGCCGGGCTAGTATCCCGCGAGGGAGGGAGAGCGAGGTCGGGATATTCTTGACCTCGTGTAGTTGCCGACGCCGAAAATGTTAAAAATTATGCAATTTCCGTCCCGCAACGTGCGTTCGCTGATCAGTCCATGCATGCTTTGCTCGCGGCTGGCCGCATACTACTGCTGCTCGTCGCCGCTCCAGCCTCAACCGAGGATGCAGTAGGAGACTTTGCAGCCGGCGAGTCCCGCGATTTGGGGTCTGGCGATGCGTCCTCTGGAAGCACCGGCGGCGCAGGCACCTACTCAGAGCGCGAGTTGGACTTCTTTGCAGGTGGAAGCCAAGACATTGATATCAGCCTCGCAGGCTGCAAGTCCTTGTTTGAGTGCTTGACGCTTTGCAAAGGCGAAGCGACTAGTGCAGCCCTCGCGCGGGTCGCAAGTCCTACGCAGGACAATGGTTGCAATGATGGGCTTCCGCTCTGGATGCTCGACCTTACCAGCCAGGTTGCGGCAGGGTGTTGCCAGGGGTGCTACTCTATGATACCCCTACCTCCATCGCCGCCGCTGCCCTCACCGCCGCTACCTCCGACAGAGTTGTCTCCGACGTCACCTCTGATCCCGCCGCCGCTGCCGCTGCCGCCGTCCAGCCGCGATCGCGGCTGCGACGGCGCGCCGTTTTGGTGGATGGTGCGCAACGCGAACGTGAGTGATTGCACGATGAGTTTTGGGCAACGTAATTCTTGGCTAAAATGAGAAATCAGACACCCGAGAGCGAAATTAAAAAATGCAGCGGTGCGAGTCGCGGGAGGACGACCCCGGCTAGTCGCCGACCACATAGCACATACGGGGTGTGGACCGTGAGTTGACCAGGGGTTGTGCGCCTGGCCCTCCTGCTCGGCTCCAGCCAGTAGACAAGTCTTGTCACTAACAGAGTAGAAGGATCTGACCTCGGGGCCGATGTGATCAAGCGCTGGTAGCGTGGTTTTACCTCACACCCATGGTCTCACAGTGTGCCGGCAGTCGCCGAGCAGTGTCGCTCACACAAGCCGCAGCACAAGTGACTGAGGGCCAGTGAGGGCGAGCCCATCGCTGTCACAGCTGTGGCAGCCGCACAGTAGGCTGTGTCAACTGTGCAGAGCGTGTGAGCAGCCGAGGAGCTGCTCTCCAGGCTTCTGACGCAAAGAGCTGCATGCCATCGAAGGCGCTGTCGAGGTTCGCCGAGCGCGGCGCAAGTTGGAGGACACCGTCACCGACGAGCGCGTTGGAGTATTCACTCCGGACAAAGACGGCTACACGCACACGAGCCGCGGTCGTGTAGCCGTCATAGCGGCGAGGCGCGGGACCGTCTGTGGCGAAGTGGGTCGCGTCCTCCCCGATTTCCTCAACTCACGGTCCGCTCCGTCTACCCACTTAAGCTCGAACCCGCACAAACTCAAACAAAAGATTGCACGGGCGGGGACCTGTTCCTTTTTACCCATCTCACAGTAGAGGTGTCCGTTTTTATTTGTTTATTTTACAGGGGTCGTTGTACACGCCCATTCGGATCTCGAGAAATAAAAAGCGGCAAGGTGGAGAGAGGTTATCAGGCGCGCGGTCCTCCGCCTGCACGATGCACGCGAGAGCGACGCGAGGCTAGCGACAAGGCCTCAGCGAGGCAGCGAAAGCCGCGCCGCCCCAATGCTGCAGTGGCCACGGCCGCGCCCGAGCTGCTCGTGCGCCAAGCACCAGCGGCGGCCTTGGCGGGCACGGCCGTGGGGGCGGGCGGGAGGCGGCCCGGCAGCAGCCTCCCGCGAGGCCCGAACGCGAGCTGCGCAAAGCGCTGCCCCATGAGCTCGTATCCGTCCGGGGAGGGGTGCAGCTGGTCCGGCGCCAGGCCGGCGGCAAAGTCGTCCGGCCCGAAGAGGTCGAGGCCGCTCGCGTAGGCGATCCGGTCGTCGCCGCGCCGCTGGAGCAGCCCCACCACCCGCTCGAGCTCGGCCCGCATCTGGCTCAGTGTTGGGTAGCGCGGGTCTACCGCCTCCCGGTCAGGCGCCACGATGAGAGCCGAGCAGGAGCCGTCCTCGCGCCAGCCGGAGCCGTGCACGGGGGAGAGGACGAGGAGAGGCACGGTCGGGTGGCCGTCGCGGACCGTGGCGAGGAAGCCGAGCGCGGCCTGCGCAAAGCTGCGCAGCGAGAGGGAGCCGTAGTTGTGCACGTTGATGCCTGCTCACAGGGGGGACCTCCTCTAGGTGTGAACAGCGCGGAGCATAGCTTTGCGATGCGATGCGATGCCGAGCTTGAGCGAGATTGCTGCGACGCCATCGAGGTCGCGAATGGTGCGCGCCACCGCCTGGTCCAGGTGGCACTGGCCGCTGTAGCCGAGGTTGAGCAGGTTGAGCCCCGCCTCGCGCGCCGCGACCGCCGGCCACGAGCGGCTGGGGCTGCGCGCAGAGCCGGCAGGGCAGCCGGGGCCGGAGAAGATGGCGTCGAACCCGGTGCCGTGCGAGATGCTCGAGCCGTGTGTCACCCAGAGCGGCCGAGGGTCCGGCGCAGGCGCGAGCGACGCCCCCTCGTCCAGCCAGAAGCCATTCACCACCTGCGGGCCGGCCGTCGACAGCCACAGCTCAAAGACGCGCTCCTCGCGCGACGCCGCCGGAGCAGCGTCCCCGAACGTGATCATTAGCTCGCTGCCTTCGTCTCCAGCACGCGCCATCGCCTCGGGGAAGCGCAAAGGTACCTCGGACAGTCCAGCGAGCGCGATGGGATGCTCCGGATCTTCGACGTGAGAGGCGACGAACGCGCCGTCGACGAACAGGTCGTAGTCGTATCGACAGTACGTGCGCAGGCGACGCACGCGCAGTCGCAGCGAGCCGGTGTCTGAGCGGAATCGGATCCGCACGCCCGAGGCACCACCCGCAGACCGGACCAGATCTGGATGGAAGAGCTCGACGTCTTTTACCGGCAGGCGCCACGGCTGCACGCCGTCGGGGTGCTGCTGAGTGGAGACGCAGCCGTCAAAGTGGAGGTCTTCGAGCGGGACGTCTCGCATTGTGCATTCTTCAGTCCGCGCCAGTCCGCGCCCTCGTCGTGCCAGTGTGCTGTGAGAGAGGCTAGTGTCCTAAGAATTTTACTATACAAGCCCCTCTCACAGCAGACTGGCTCGGACTGGCACTACAAATGGCACAGCAGGCGACGGCCCCTTACGGGTCGTCCTAAGAATTCTTCGTGGGGTTCGGACTTTTGCCGGGTGTGGTATGGTTGCTCGCGCAACCCACCTCGAGACCATACCCCCCCGCCTGCTGACAGACCCAGCCTCCCGGAGACCGGGGATGGGCGGTCAGGACCATACCCCCCCACCCTTTGGGCCGTGAGAGTACCATACCATACCCCGCAAAATCCAAAAAGTTGGAAGGCCTGGTCGCCCTGATAATTCTTTTGCGTTGGGAGTTGTGTTGTAAAATTCTTTTCTTGGGGGTGACCCTGCGCCTAACTCCAGACGATTCTTAGGCGCGCGTTCGGAGTTCAGAAGTTTGTCAAGGGGTCAAGGTTGAACACAGTATCGACACCGTAGAGTCACCCACAACACGCAAAAGTCACTGTCCCCACAGACTACGTCAAGAGCACTCGTTGCGCGCATTGTCCCGATGAGATCCCCCGTGTGTGCACGTTGGTGGAGCAGGGCGCATCTCTTGATGTGCGCGCGAGGCCACGCGGCCACGCCTTCCCTCACGGCGAGTCGCCACTCGCGGGCGTCGACGGCACATCTTCGAGGAATGGTGGCTGCGGGCGGGGCGCTCGCTTCTCCGCTTGGCGGCGGAGGTAGCCGCGGACGAGGCCGGCGGCGAGGGCGAAGGCGACGCAGCCGATGCCGGCGTACGCCCAGCCGACGACGGAGGCGCTCTTCGCGACGACGCACTCGTCGGGCGAGCTCTCCGTGTACGAGTCGCAGTCGAGCGGCGCGAAGCCGTTTGGCCGCCCGTCGCGTGCCGACGTGTCGTCGCGGCTGCAGATCGGGATGGCGGCGGCGAGGCAGGCGGGGCAGATCTGCGACTTGCAGCCAAACTCGGAGGCGTCCGCCTGGTTGGCGATGATGCCGCCGAGTGCCCAAGCGGCCACCTAATTTGTGGAGACCGGGAGGGTGGGGTGTCATGCATGTGCGGCACGCTGCAAGCTAGGCCCGCTGCACCGCCGCGTAGACGGGGTCCGAGTACTCAAAGGTGGCGGCGCACGCGACGGCGACCGCGACGACGAGCAGGCCGATTGCAAAGTCGGGCGAGGGGAGCCACCCCTCGTCGAGGAGGACAACCTGGATGCCGAGGCAAGAGGCGACTGTCACCCACGACGCGTTTGCAGAGAAGGCGGCGGCGGCGAGCTTCGAGGCGGCGGAGCGGCGCGACGAGAGCTGGTTGACGTCGAGTCGGCGGAGGACGACGAAGAGGAGCGCGTCGTAGACGAGGATCACGACCTGCGAGGCCCAGTAGACCTCGTACCCGAAGAGGAAGAGCCACGCCGAGTTGGCCGCAAAAAGGGCCAGCACCGGGCCTCGGATCTTGGCGTACGACGGCTCGCGCAGGCCGCCAAAGCGCTGGAAGGGCAGCGCCTGGTACACGACAAAGAGGCCCTCGAGCGTGTAGATGATGCCCCAGATGGCAAAGGCCCAGCCGATGGGAAGGCCGTAGACGGGGTGCGTGTGCGCAATCTGCAAGTGGACGGAGGGTTTGGTGGTCAGTCCGCGGTGGGGCGAGCGGCGTGGCAGCTCGAGCGTGGCAGCGGCAGCGGGTCGAGCGTGGCAGCGGCAGCGGGTCGAGCGTGGCAGCGGAAGCAGCAGGGCGCCTCTGTGTTTGTAAACTTGACGGCCCCGAGGTTGTTGTCGGTGACGAGGTAGTTGGCGACCGCCATGGCGACAAAGGCGAGAACGACGGCCGCGGCCGGTACAACGGGTGAGGGCGGCGGAGTCTTCATTTGGCACTTGGCACGGTGGTGGCGTCTCCGTCCGTGTACCGAGCGTCCTACGAAAGGCTTCGAAGAGACTAGGGAGACCCTCTTTTTTTCGAGCGGTCGGCGGGATCCGCAACTAGGGGGCGAACCCAACCGTGCGGAGAGAAAACCGTGCCCGCATCGAGGCACGAGCCCAGAAGACCACGCCTCGTGCACTCGGCTCGATGGCTGCGGTGGCGGGGCTGTAAGGACCACTCTCTGCGAGCGCGTCGGCTGTGTCACATCGTGCTGCAGGCCACGCAGAGGAGATCGCAACGCGCCCACTCGCCCACCGTTTACTTTCGGTGCACTGCCTCGTTTCACGTGTCTTTGATAGCGCGGCCCACACACTACAACCGGGCTTGACTAACCGGGGGCCAACACTCGCCGCGCCTCTCCTCGGAGCACACACGTCTCGCGCAAAAGAGAGACGGGGGGCGCGACTGGGGGCGCGCCGAGAGAGAGGGGGCGAGAGCGAGAGAGAGAGAGCTGGGCGGTCTACAGCCCCTACTCCTTCTTCTGCTTCTTAGCAGCGTCAGCGTCGAGGCGGCGCCGCGCGTCGAGGCGGCGCTGCGCTGCCTCGACCACGTCATAGTTGTCGCCGGGCGGGTCGGGTCTGACGGGCCTCGCCGCCCGCGGGTGCGCCTCGCCGCGGGCCATGTGCCCGCCACGCCGCTGGCTGAAGAGCGGACGGTAGCCGCAGCGTGCCAGGTCCACGGGGCGGGGCACGCCGCTGTGGTACACGAACGCCGCCTGCTGCTCGTCGGAGCGGGCGGTGGCCTCGGCGCGCGCGGCGCGCTCGGCCTCGACGGAGGCATGCTCCTCGAGCATCTGCCGCCACTCGCCTCGCGTCCAGCCGCGGCGCCGCGGGGCGGAGCTCGCGTCCGCGGCGGCCGGCAGCGGCATGGCCGTGAGCGACCCCGACGCCCCGTTGAGCGGATCGCGGCACATCGGGCAGGTTGCCTCGGGCTGCGTCTGCTCGATCCAGTCCTCGATGCACTCGCGGCAGAAGACGTGCAGGCAGGCGGTGGCGACCGGGGCAGAGTCGGCCTCGATCGGTTCGATGCAGATGGGGCAAGTCGCGGTCAGCTCGTCGTCGGCGGCGGGGGGGGCGTCGGCCTGGGCCGCGAGCTCCCGCGCGCGGCAGAGGGCGGCCTCCTCCGCGGTGGCGAAGTAGCCGAGGCTGATCTCGAGTCCGTCACGCGAATAAGAGGCGCGGAAGGGCAGCCGCCGTCCCGCTGGCATGGCATGCACGCCCAGGAAGCGCGTGCCCGAGGAGCTGGACGTGGGAAGCACCAGCCCCTCCGCCACCGCCGCCGCCTGCGCAGCATCAGCTGTCATCGGCGGCAGCGCCTCTGCGCGCTTGGCCTCCGCCGCCGCCCGGCCCTCGGGCGAGCGGGCGTAGCAGAGCGCGGCCGCCTCAGCTGACGCGAAGTAGCCGAGGCTCACGACCTTGTGGCCGCGCCGCACCTTAACCACCCAAGGCAGTCTGAAGGCCGGAGGCGTTTGGAAGACGCCCACAAAGCCCGAGCCGTTCGTATGCAGCTCCAGCTCCTCCTCGGTGGCCGTCGCTGTGGCCTCGGCGCTCGTCATTTCCGGCGCCTCCGCCTTGGCGATCTTGGCCGCGTCTTTCAGCCCCTCGGGCGAGGTTGCGTAGCAGTACGCTGCCTCCTCGGGCGTCGCAAAGCGGCCGAGACAAGTCTTGGCGCCAGCGCGATCCACATAGACAACGTAGCACCGCTCAGAGCCCTTGATGGGCGCGTAGCGGACGCACTTGTAGCCGGCCCCAGTGTTGGACCGGATGAGTTTGACGGAGGGCTGCGGCTTCAGCATGGTGTCACGCTGTGCGGCGAATCATTCTTTGTTTGCAACAAAATCTCAAAATTGCCGCGTAAATCCGCCATCATTTCTTTTTGGGGGGGTTTGGGGGCGCAAAAGCTCACTGGCCGCCAACGGGTCGGATTTAAGTGTGGTGTTGCCGCCCAAATTGATCATTTCTTTTGGGTCTAATGTGTGAGAGAGTTGTCTTTCTTTTGGGGCCGTACAGCAGCATGATGGTGCTTCGTTCGCCGGCGTGAGTCCCGGAGCGGTCCCGGTTGTGGGCGGTCCGGGGGAGAAAACTCAGGACAACGCCGACACCGCTCTGATTCGACTTTTTACTTCAAACAAAGACGGCGGCACGTGCCGCGCCGTGGCGCGTGCCGCGCGTGCATCGGAGAAGGGTAGTTCGTCGTGTTCACGCCGGGATCGTGTCCTGAGTAACCTGGGCAACCATTCAGGGCGACGAGTAGCTGTGACGGCAAACCCCGCGGCAAAGTGACCCGTTTTTACCCACCCACGCCCGTGCGCGCGTATCTTAGCTAAGGTACGCGGCCACACGCGCTGGCGCGCACGGCAACCGGGACTTACACGCGCGACACGAGGGACTGTGTATCCTTGGCTGCCTCGTGGGAGAATAGCCACCCTCACCCGCTGCCGCGCATCGAGCTCGGCGGGGCCTGATACGTGTCATTCTGTGCCGGCGCGTATGTTTTCGGCCTCTGAAGAGCAACCGTCGAGGCGTCGATGCTCGCCTCCACGCCCGCGCCAGACCTCCGCGATTGGGGCGCCTTGTCGACGGGATCAATTGTGATTCCGGGCGCATTTTTCTGGCATTTAACTCGCACGTCGGCGACTCTTAGTCGCTTCTCCGTGCTAGGAGGCCTCTGTTTTGTGTCCGTGAGGACTAGATCGAAACTAACATTTCGGCACATTTCAGTTAAATACCAGAAAAATGCGCGTTCACTCACAATTCATGTGTATATGAACGGTGCCGACGGGTTTGGCGAGCATCGAAGCCGTCCAGGCGCAGCAACGCGACGGTTTCGGAGGCCGACGGCTCCGAAAGAGCCTCCCGAGCGAGGCCGGCGCGGTCACGGTACCGTGGAGGCCACAGACGTCGCCGGAGCGGCACTCCCGGGGCGCCACCCCCTCACCCGGTCGGGGGGGGCCAACCACAGCCCGCCTCACCGTCCGTGGAGCTTCCGCGGTCCGCCGCTTCGGCTTCGATTTTCGACCCTCCCGAGGCTGCTAGAGCAGCCCCGCGGAGCCTCCCGGATGCACCGGCACACCGTCGTCCAGAACGCCGGCGCACGCGCTGCCCAGTGACTGGGCGGGTCGGCCCCGACTAGGGGCGGGCCCAGCCGCGCGGAGAAGGCCAGCGAGCTCGAAACACGTCGCCGCGGCCGGCCGTTTCGCAAGCCTGAGCGGGTCGCCAGACACCCGCGAGAGCCAGCAGCTAGAGCGCCGTCGTAGCCGCAGATCGAGTCGAGGAGCTTGATGTCCACGGTAGCAGTTGTGGAGAGCGGTGGCACGGTGCGTGTAGACGCGTCGATTGAGGGCTCCCTTTCGAAACGCGACGGGTACGGCATGACAACTGCCAGTACAGTGTTACGCCGGCCAGCGTGAGAGCACAACAGGGAGCCGGCGACCCGTACGCTTTGCGCGTGGCGACTGGTGGCTGTCTGGAGCTCGTGTGAGCTGGGCCGACGCGTGTCCGAGCCGAGAGGACCAGCGAGCGACCACGTTGGCGATGAAGCTTGGCGGCCGGCGCCTCGTCGCCAGACGTCACAGCGGCGTGGACGTAGGAGTGTGCGGCGACGGTTACCGGCAAATCCGGCCCAGTGTGGCCGGCAGCTGCCTAGCGCTGGCCTGTGGCCGGCGCCGCGGTGGCGGATAAGGCGTCTCGCCGCCGTGGCGGCGGTCGGCAGGTGCGAGCGTGATGCCATCTTGCGAGACGACACACCCGTCTCGCAAAACCCGGACTGCCACCTTAATGACTGCACTCCAAGTGCTCCAAGTTGTGTTCCGCCTTGGGCGGTGGGCGCCGGCGTCCTCCCGCCCACACTAAGAGCGGCCGAACCTTGATCCCGCGTGCTCAGGTTTTTTATTTTTCGTCCGACGGGCGTGGAGAAGAACGGAATCGCGCAAGGCGGCTAGCGGCCCCGCACGCCCCCCATTGCCGAGGGTCAGATGGATTCACCGCAGTTGAAGCTCGTGTCCGTCCTCGAACGTGAAATTGATCTGCTGATGGACGTGCGCATCAGGTGGCAGGGCCCTACACGGCCACCTGTGCCATCAGCGACGGAATGCAAGCACAGCTGCTGGCCATCGCGCTCGCCACTTGTCCGCAAAAAGTCTGGGCACTTGCCCGACGGCCGAATGCCCAACGCCCTCTCCCAGCGGAGAGAGTTTGACCAGCTCTGCGGACAGTTGTGTGAGGGGATGTCGCATCGGGCGGCTGTTGCCCGATTTGTCGCCCGGGTCGTGCCCTCTGACACGGAGGGAGTGGCTTACTTCATGGCGAGAGCTGTGAAAGAGATGGCCCTGATGTCGGCAGAGCCAGTCGCAGCACTGCCAGTATGGCAGCCTGCGTGGAGCAGCCAGCCACTCTTCAACCTTAGCGAAGCGCTTGATTCGCCGTGTGGGTTTGACTGGCACAGCGGCGCTTCATCGGGACTGCCGCACTGCAATATCACCTCGCCTGGCAGGGGGGCGGGGCGCGAGTGTACCGCCGTGCGGGCAAGTACCGAGGCGTGGCACAACGATGCGCGCTATGTCTATCCCGCGACAGCCCGGCGCGAAGCGAAGTACTGTTTGGGGCAGTGCAGGAGGTCGGACTGGGCTCACGCGATGGCCCCCGAGTTGCTGCCCGCGTGCATGCTGGGTGCGCTTTTCCAGCCAGCCCCAAGCTTGACGCCCCGATTCAACAGGTTAATGCGCACGCTCGCCGACGAGTCGGTCCTCGCCATCGGGATATACCTGCGCTCGGACCACGCGGAGGTCGCACACCGCCGTGATTCGCATGACGCGGCCGAGGCCGAAGCTGCTGCTCGCGCTCTCGATGCGATCGGCGCTCACGCCAACGACGCGCCGCAGGGCTCGGCCCCGCCGTGCTCGGCACGTACGGGCCGCTCGACGCTGCCGTCCGACTCGCTGCGCGACTCGGCGGCCGACTCCTCGCTCGCCTCGCCGCCTCCGGTGGCTGATGACGCGGCCGAGGCCGAAGCTGCTGCTCGCGCTCTCGATGCGATCGGCGCTCGCGCCAACGACACGCCGCAGGACTCGACCCCGCCGTGCTCGGCACGTACGGGCCGCTCGCCGCTGCCGTCCGACTCGCTGCGCGACTCGGCGGCCGACTCCTCGCTCGCCTCGCCGCCTCCGGTGGCTGATGACGCGGCCGAGGCCGAAGCTGCTGCTCGCGCTCTCGATGCGATCGGCGCTCACGCCAACGACGCGCCGCAGGGCTCGGCCCCGCCGTGCTCGGCACGTACGGGCCGCTCGACGCTGCCGTCCGACTCGCTGCGCGACTCGGCGGCCGACTCCTCGCTCGCCTCGCCGCCTCCGGTGGCTGATGACGCGGCCGAGGCCGAAGCTGCTGCTCGCGCTCTCGATGCGATCGGCGCTCACGCCAACGACGCGCCGCAGGGCTCGGCCCCGCCGTGCTCGGCACGTACGGGCCGCTCGCCGCTGCCGTCCGACTCGCTGCGCGACTCGACGGCCGACTCCTCGCTCGCCTCGCCGCCTCCGGTGGCTGATGACGCGGCCGAGGCCGAAGCTGCTGCTCGCGCTCTCGATGCGATCGGCGCTCGCGCCAACGACACGCCGCAGGGCTCGGCCCCGCCGTGCTCGGCACGTACGGGCCGCTCGCCGCTGCCGTCCGACTCGCTGCGCGACTCGGCGGCCGACTCCTCGCTCGCCTCGCCGCCTCCGGTGGCTGATGACGCGGCCGACGCACCCCTACTGGAGCGACGACAACGGCCAATGGACGCGCGGTTTGTTCAATGGACTTGGAGTATATTCCCGGTGTTTTGACGTGCCTGCGAGCCACTACCAGTACGCCCTGGGCTGGGCTTTAAATTGCATCCCTTCGCGTTGGCCAGTCACCACCGCGCCGTACGGGGACTCTTCGCGATGATTTGTCACCATCGTGTCGTACACGGACTGCTGCTGCTGGAGAGCCTTTGTCTGCGTGGCGGACATCGACTAAGTACGAGAAGCTGCGGAGCATTGTACCCATGAATACTACTTCTGCTGGAGAGCCTTTGTCTGCGTGGCGGACATCGACTAAGTACGAGAAGCTGCGGAGCATTGTACCCATGAATACTACTTCTGCTGGAGAGCCTTTGTCTGCGTGGCGGACATCGACTAAGTACGAGAAGCTGCGGAGCATTGTACCCATGAATACTACTTTAGCTGACGAGCCTTTGTCTGCGCGGCGGACACCGACTAAATACACAGGAGGGCTGCGGAGCCAATACCCATGAACTCTACTCGAGCTGACGAGCCTTTGTCTGCGTGGCGGACACCGACTAAATACACAGGAGGGCTGCGGAGCCAATACCCATGAACTCTACTCGAGCTGACGAGCCTTTGTCTGCGTGGCGGACACCGACTAAATACACAGGAGGGCTGCGGAGCCAATACCCATGAACTCTACATCGACTAAGTACGAGAAGCTGCGGAGCATTGTACCCATGAATACTACTTCTGCTGGAGAGCCTTTGTCTGCGTGGCGGACATCGACTAAGTACGAGAAGCTGCGGAGCATTGTACCCATGAATACTACTTTAGCTGACGAGCCTTTGTCTGCGCGGCGGACACCGACTAAATACACAGGAGGGCTGCGGAGCCAATACCCATGAACTCTACTCGAGCTGACGAGCCTTTGTCTGCGTGGCGGACACCGACTAAATACACAGGAGGGCTGCGGAGCCAATACCCATGAACTCTACTCGAGCTGACGAGCCTTTGTCTGCGTGGCGGACACCGACTAAATACACAGGAGGGCTGCGGAGCCAATACCCATGAACTCTACTCGAGCTGACGAGCCTTTGTCTGCGTGGCGGACACCGACTAAATACACAGGAGGGCTGCGGCCGCGCGGCCGAGCAATTAGCGCCTCCAAGCGCGGCCGCGTGCACCGCCGGTAGGAAGACCGACGGGCCGCTCTCCGGCGCGGCGGCCCCCGGTGGCGGCGGTCGGCCCGAAGCCGACCCCGCCGCGCGCCTTCCGCACCACTCGGGCTTCAATGCCATCCATCCGGTAACCCGCCCCGCGACAGCGGGCGTGCGCGCGCGTGCGCGGCGTGCGCGGGCGTGCGCGCGCGGCGTGCGCGGGCGTGCGCGCGCGTGCGCGGCGTGCGCGGGCAGGGCGCAGGCAAGTGCCTGAGGGTATGGGGGTGGGCGCCACCCTGGGGCTACCCATAGCATCGTCGGCTCAGTGATGGGTATCCCAGGCAGGCGCCGGGAGGACCAGAGAATCCACCTAGAGGCTAGAGTGGCTTCGTGAATGAATCGCACACACCGATCAGGTGGAACAACATCCTTGCCGCAGTCGAGCGCACTGAGGCTTACAAGCCGATCTTTCCATTCATCAGCGCACAGCGGCGCGCCCGACGGAGAGAGACGGCGGCCCACTTGCGCGACGTTGTGCTGCCAAAGCACTTTGCGAACCTGGAGCGGCTGCTGGCGTGATGAAGCCGGGCATCGTTGGAGGCGACTTTGGAGGCGAACGCGAAGATAACGTTCCTCCTTGCAAGTTGAAAGAAAAAAGAAAATCCCCGTCAAGATGGCGCCGCGATTTCGCCCTGTTCGACGGGAGTTCTCGCTGCGCTAGGCTCAGACGGGAGTTCGCGCTGCGCTAGGCTCAGACGGGAGTTCGCGCTGCGCTAGGCTCAGACGGGAGTTCGCGCTGCGCTAGTTCGCGCTGCGCCCCCCTGCCTGCGCTATCTAGGCTCAGTGTACACGCGAAAAATGCTCGCCGCCGCTGTGGTCACCGCGGCGTCGCCTGACCACCTCGTCGTGCTCCAGCACGGCCTCTACGGCGGCGCTTCCAACCTTGCCGTCCTGCGGCAGTGCCTCGTCGGCATAGGCGGGGACAACGTGCTGGTGCACCTCGCCTCCGCCAACGAGGGCATGACCCGCGACGGCGTCGCTGCCGGCGGCCGGCGCCTCGCCGCCGAGATCCGCTCCGTCGCCGCGTCCGCTCCGTCGCTCGAATCGCTCTCGCTGGTGGGAAACTCGCTCGGTGGGCTCTACGTGCGTGCGGCGGCGGCCGAGCTGTACGGCGGCGGGCAGCAGGAGCTCGGCCTCGCTCCCAACACATTGGTGACGACAGGGTGCCCGCACCTGGGCGTGCGCCGGTACACGTACCTGCCGCTCCCTCCCGCGCTGCACTCGCTCGGCGGCCTGGTCGCCGGCCGCACCGCGTCCGACCTGCTGCTGCGCCGGACCGACGCGGACCCGCGCCGTCCGCTCCTCGTCGAGATGGCGGACCCCGACTCGAGGTACGGCGTGGCGCTGCGCTCCTTCCAGCGGAGGCGGCTGTACGCCAACCTGCGGGGCGACTTCATGGTGCCGTTCGGCACCGCCGCCATCGAGACCGGCGGCTGGGCCGCGGGCGTGGGCGACGGGCGCCTCGTCGCGCGGTTTGCGGCGCGGCGTGACGTGGTCTTTCGTGATGTGGAGGTGTGCGGAGGCCGCGCCGACGGCATCGGCGTCGTGTGCGAGCAGCGGCAAGAAAGGGCGGAGGAGGGGGCGGAGGGGGCGGAGTGGGAGGAGGAGATGCGGGCCGGCCTGTCGGCGGTGGCGTGGGACAAGGTGGGGGTGAGCTTCCGCGCCGCCGGCACGCTGACACCGCTCGCGCACAACAAGCTGCCCGCGCTGCGGCGCGAGGGGTGGAGGCGCGCCTTCGAGTGGGTGGAGCAGGCGCAGGAGGGCGTGCCGGTGATGGAGGACGCCGCGCGGTTCGTGGTGGGCGGCCGGGGGCGAGGGGGCGAGGGTCGCGGTGGGGAGTCTTCCTCGTAAAAAGCAACGAAAAGGGAGACGAGAGGGAAGGGGGCGGTCGTGATTGCGCGAGCAGACAGGAGAAGGAGCAATTCCAAAATGCTGACCGGCGACGGGCGCTTCCTCCCCTTCCACCACAGGACATCCTCCGCCTCCTCAAGACCGGCGAGGCGATTCCAAAATGCTGACCGGGTTCGATTACCTGGTACGGTGTGGTAAAATGTCTCATTTGCCCCGAGATCCAGCTCCTCAGGTGGGCGCCCCGCACCTCTCATCGGCCCGCTGTGGCCGCCGCGCTGAGGCGCGCCGCCGGGAGGCGCACCGCAGGCTCACTCCGCGCCTCCCGCCCTGCCCCCCCGCCGCCGCAGACCCATGTTCTCTCTGCTGCTCGCCGCTGCGCCGGGGCTCAAGGGCCCGATGCCCCGCCTCGAGCGCATCACGACCATGGCCCCGGCCGAGCTGCTGCGCAAGATGCCGGCGGCAGCGGCCGCGGCGTCGGTCGCGCTCCACGCCGAGCTTGCCCACGCCAAGTCCATCCAGGGCATCAACGGCGCGCTGGACTTTGGTCCGCTTGCGGGGGATCAGCCGGGCGGCGAGGGCACTGGCAAGGCCCTGGGCATCAACGACGACTCGCTCTTCTTCGCCCTCGGCGCGGTGGTGCTCACGGTCGGCGTGCTTTTCGCGCAGTGGCAGGGATACCAGGTCCGCGGCGCCCCCTTTGCTGCACTGCGCTGGTTGCGCGCTGCCTCCGCCGGAGGAGCTGCTCGGAGCAGCACCCCCCCCCCCCCCCCCCCCCGCCTGGCGCGCCGCCTCCGTGTCGCCCCGGTCCAACACGCCGCCCTCCCCGCCGCCCCAGGACGACGACGATGACTTTTTCGACACGTACGACTCGCGCCGCGCTGACAAGGATCTCACCAACCGCAACCGTGTGTAGAGCTGCCCCTGGATCTTGCCGTCCACCCCGCGCCCCGCTGCCGGGGCGGCCGCGCTTCTCCCGCGCCTTCGTCCACATTGCCTGTGTGTGTTGGGCATGTGGGCGATTTGCCGGTTGGGGGGGGAGGGGCTCGGCGCGTGGGCACTGTGCTGCGGGAGGCGCTTGTGCTGTTGACCACCCGGCGCGGATCGCGTGTCGCCCCGTTGCATCTGCGCTTCATCTATCGGAAAAGTCTCCTGACACACCAGTTGTATTAGCGTGTACATACTCTTGCCCGCACCAGCGAGGTGAACACTCACAATCAACATGTCGACAGCGGCCAAAACCGGCGGACCGGCGCCGGGGACGACATCGCTGGCATCGCCATCCGCGGCGCGCGGGAGAGACACATACCACATACGTGCCGCAAGACCCCTCACCCCCTGGCGCCTGGGCCGTGGGCGCCTGGCACCCACGGCCTGGGCCCTGGCGCCCGGCATCAGCGAGGCCGAGGGCTCGGAGGCACCCGGGTGGCTCGCACGGAAGCGCCAGAGCCTGCGGCGTGAGCGAGGCACCTCTCGCGAGGAGCGACAGTCTGCGCAGACAGCCGACAGGACAGAGTGGCGGACGGAGGACACGAGACAAGAGGAGAGAGTACTAGGCAGAGGAGAAGGGGGGGGAGTGAGCAGTGACGGGAGTCAAGAGTCCGGCGCACAACAGGTGTTCAGGGGCGCCCCAGCTCAGCACTGTTCAAGTGCGGCCAGCCGCGCCCTCAGCAAATCGAGGCTCTCCTCGTCCTCCTCCTCCTCCTCCTCCTTCGCCGCCGCCTGCACCGCCTGCTTCGGCGCCGCCGCCATGCCTCCCGTCTGCTGCGTCGCTATCTCGGAGAGCACCTTGCTCACCTCCTCGTCGGCAGCCTCCTCGTCGTCCTCGTCCTCGAAGGTCTGGCGACGGCCGGGCGGAGGGGGGGGGGGGGGGTGAGGCGGGGGCGGGCCGGAGGCGGAACGAGGGGCGGCGGGGCGACGGGGCGACGGGGCGGGGGAGATGGAGCGAGGGAGAGGGGAGAGGGAGGAGGGAGGGGAGGGAGGGGAGGGAGCGGGAGGGAGCGGGAGGGAGCGGGAGAGGGGCTTGTTCCTCCATGGCGTCGTCCATCATCTCCTCGAGAAGGCCCGCCTTGGTCATCTCCTGCTCCATGTTGCGCATCGTCTCGGAGATGCCTTCCACCTGCGGAGGGCCAGCACCGACGGCTGGAGTGTGCAGAGCAAGGGCCAGAGGGGGAGGGCCAGAGGGGGCGGGCCAGAGCGCAAGGGCCAGAGGGGGAGGGCCGGAGGGGGAGGGCCAGAGGGGGAGGGCCGGCCCGCAAGCGCCTCCGCGGCGGGAGAGACGGCGGCGGGGAGTGGGGAGAGTGGCGCGCGAGGGGCTGCGGCGGGAGGGCGGCGTCGCCTTGACGAGCTTGTTCATCGCCTTCATGATGTCCGCGCTCTTGGTGAGAGTGCCCATGACCTTTGCCTGGCTCATCTGGTTCTGCATCTGCATCACCACCGAATTCATCTGCGCCTTGCTGGTGTGTAGCCGGGTGACCGCCTTCCGCGACCGCACAATCTCCTTCGCGTACGTTTTGCACGACGCCGTGTCCCCCCGCTTCGCCGCCTCCTTGACCGACCGCTTGATCTTCTCCTCCTCGCGCTGAATCTCTGCAGCGCGACGCGCGGGACGCAAGGAGTTCGGGCCTCGCCTTGGCGGCTGCGGGGGAGGGGCGGAGAGAGAGACGGGCAGGCTGCGGCAGGGGCGCGGTGGCGGCGCACTCAGGATCTGTCTGTCGAGCTTCCGAGACTCAGATCGCATCTCCTTCTTCCATTTGTTGACCTGGGCAGTGCGACGGCAGGTCCCGGGTGAGGTCCGAGTGCGTGCCGGCATCGCCGCCCGCCGATGGCAGAATGATGAATGGTGGGAGGGCCGGCCAGCCCAGCCGCTGAGCGTGCAGAGGGATGTGAGGGCGGACGACCTGCTCGCGAGGATCTGGCGGATGGAACATCGCAACCGGTCGATGCTGCACGTTCGGCCGCCTGAGGAGCACGGCGGGACCGACGGATGGTGGTGAGCCGGATACTCTCGGCACCGGGAGGAAACAGGAGTCTCGAAAGAGGTGCTGGCTGGGCGCAACGGCCGCTGCCAGCGCGCCTTTCGCCGCTTGCCTCGGCGAGAGCCGAAAGAAAAACTCCGGCTGGACGCCGCATCCCGATCGCGCGAGCTCGAGCCGGAGGATGCGGGGCTATATAAAGAAAAAAATTAAGGCTAGAAATCACTGTGGCGGCGTGATTTCTTGTTGGTTTTCAAAAATCTCTGAACCGCCCTTCTCAAGCTGCGCCGCTCGCGCGCAAAGTCGCGCGCGGCAGCGTTGACCGCACGGCCTACTCGCCCAAGTACTCGCTCTCTTTTATGTCCCACCACATGCAGAGGCCAGAGCGCATCTCTCTCTCTGTTGTGCGAGGCGTGAACCGCGCCATTCGCTCTCATCTGGCAACCCTGTCTGCACGTCTCGCGCGCGCGTGAACAGGGCCGACCGCCCAAAGCTGCCCCCCCCCCCCCCCCCCATTGGGCTCGGCAGCTTGTCTTCTATTCTCTTCTATTTTGTGGTAGGTGACGGGTGGGGCGCTGGTGGGGTTAATAGGCCTTGTCCTTGAAGTTCACTGCGTGTCCCTCACACACGGACTGAGGTACACTTTGAGATTAGGCATCAATAATGTTTTAAGACCCTTTTCTTGAGAAGAAAATATGCCATGGCCTGTGCGCTGGTCTATGAGAGAGAGGTTGAGGTGCGAGCCATGGAGGCCCTTCACACAAAAACACAACCCCGGACCCAAGACGCACAAGCAAGCACAGACAGTCGAGGCCCTTCACAGAAAATGGAGAGAAGAGTCGTGATTTCTTGTTTGGTTTTCTAAAATCTCTAAAAAAACAACACCGGACCCAAGACGCACAAACACAAAGAGTCCTCCTCCCCTATCCCTCGTTTGTGTCTGTGTTTTCTTTCTTTTTTAGAAAGCGTCGATGTTTTCTTTCTTTCTTTCTTTCTTTCTTTTACAAACAGTCGAGAAGGGAGAGACAGCAACGACAGTCAGAGTCAGACGCCCTCCTCACAGGCTAGCCGCTAGCCCTGAAAGAAAGAAAGAAAGAAAACAGACAACCCAAAAGGGAGGGATGGGAGGACGGCACGCCGCCACCACACAGGGATTTTAAGGAGAGGGGTGTGGTGCGCTAGCCGTCGCCCACCCTTGGGCGTCCGCCTCTTCCTATCTCTTCGCAGTCTCTCTCCGATTCTCGCTTCAACCCGCTAGCCCTGTATCAGCGTCGTTTCTCTTTTCGCACGAGTTGGGCGCGTTCACGACAAAAGGGTCGGCCGCGCGTGGGCCGCCCGATCAGACTTCTTGTTGACGCCGCGGCCGATGCCCGACCATCCGCTCGTCCTCTTCCTCAGTCGCGCCGCCTTCGTTAAGCACGCCTCCGACGCGGGTCTCATCGTCTCCGAGTTCTCGACGACCAGCTCGCATATTGCGCAGGCGGCGCACGCCGGGTCGCCGGGCCTCGGCTCAGGCGCCGACGAGGTCACGATGCTCTCGTTCGGGCTCTCCTTCTCGCACCTGTACTCCGGCCTACCCTTCGACTTCAGCTTGCAGCCAGGGCTGGTCCAGATGAAGAGCTCGGCCGCCTCCATCTCAGCTGCCGCCGCCGCCGCCTCCTCCGCCTCCGCCTCCAGCTCAGCTGCAAAGGTGGCCAGAAAGAGGCCGGTCGCCAAGCTAAGCGCGCAGAAGGCGGCGGCTCTGCTCGACACGGAGCACGCGCGTCGCATCATCCGGCCCCTCTCCGCCTCCGCCAGGCCGCTCCCGCCCGGGCGAGCGCCCGTCACCGCCCAGCCCGTCACCGCCCGACACGGCAACTCGAGCGACGGCGCTAGAGGAGGAGGCGGAGGCACAGGCGTGGCCTCCTCCGTCAGGGCGGTGCGGTCGCCCGTTGCGAGGGGCAAGTCGGCTATCGAGCCCCCGCGCAGGAAGGCGCCGGCAGTTCGCCTGCCGCCTCCTCCTCCCGCCGGCGAGCGGAGTGAGGCGCAGGAGGAGGAGGAGGCGCAGAGGCTGCGGCTGGCCGCGGGAGGGAGAGGCGCGGAGCAGCGCGCCGACCGCCACGCGGAGCACCACGCGGAGCACCACGCGGAGCACAGAGCAGGCCGCAAGCCGGATGGCAAGGGTGCCGCGGGGGCAGCGCCGCGCAAGCCGGACGGCAAGGGTTCCCTTGCGCAAGGGATGGCAAGGGACGGCAAGGGTCGGCGGCGGCTCGACCGGCACCAGCTGCTCGACTGGCAGGGAGGCGAGCGGAGCGATGGCATCGGCAGCCACGGGCTCGGTCTCGGCTGGATCGGGCGGCGGCTGCAAGAGGCGCTGCAGGAGGCGCTGCAGGAGGGGCTGCAGGAGGGGCTAAGCTTGCGCCTCGCGCCGCACGCCGAGCCTCGCGGCGGAGGAAGCGCCCACTCTCGAGGAGCCTTCCTGGCACCTTCCTCTCGAGGTGGCTTCTCGGCGCACGGCTGGCCGAGCGGCGCGGCGGGGAGGGCCGCGGGGGGGCGGGGCGGGGCGGGCAGGAGCGCCGGCAGGAGCGCGGCCAGTAGGAGAGACTGGCGGCGGCTGCGCGCCCGCAACGAGTCGGAGAGCGGCAGGTCGCAAGGAGGCTACGTCGCGTCGAGCCGGACAGATCAGATACGGTTCGACCGCGGGACACGCGTCGGCGGACGAGGGAGCGAGCGGGCGCACGGAGGAGGCGAAGTCGCGGGCAAGGGGCTTGGCAAGGGGGCGGGCAAGGGGAAGGAGTCATTGCCGGCCGGCGCGAGCGAGCTCCAGTTAATTAAGAGCGAATTAAGAGCGAATGAAGAGCGAATTGAGAGCTAATTGAGAGCTAATTAGGCGCGAGCGAGCTCACCGACGACCTCGCACTGGTGGAGGGCAACGGCGGCGACGACTTCACGCTCACCTTCCCTGCGGCCGACGCGATGTACCTCGTCTACGCCTTTGGCTCCCTGCTCCTCACACCGGCGACCGACGCGAGCCTTCGAGGGAGCGCCTCGGAGCCTGCTTTGTAGGCTTCGACCTCCTCGACAACACCGCGACCGACTCTGAGACGCTCACCCTCTACGGCGTCGACTCTGCGCGGCTCGGGTCCGTCTCGCTGCGCTCGGTGCGCGAGAGTCAGGCGCGGCATGCCGGCCGCGCAGGCGCGGGTCGCCGCTCGCGTGAGACGTTCCTCGGCATTCTCTCCCGCGGGGCGCCGATCGGCTTGGCCTCCCAGATGCTGCACACCGATCCGAGTGTTCCGACTAGCACTCGAGAGGACGCGCACCCGACTGTGTCTCGCTGGATGCCCTGTATTCGCAGCCCGCGTACTCCCGCGTTGCTCCGAGTGCGCTGCTCGACTCCGCTCCTCCTCCCCGACTCTGGTGCGCACACACGACGCAGGCTACCTCCCCAGATCTCCCCATTCCTCCCCGGATCTCCCCAGATCTCCCCATTCCTCCCCGGATCTCCCCAGATCTCCCCATTCCTCCCCGGATCTCCCCAGATCTCCCCAGGCCTCCCCATATCACGACGCAGGCTTCGCCTCCTTCGACGAGGCGCAAGACGCAGACGCGACCGGCATCGCGTCGATCGCGTTTGGGTACCGCACCTCCGACACGGCCTACAACTGGCCCGCTTGGGCGACCCTCGCCGCCGCGCTCGCGCTCGCCCTCGTCGCCGAGAGAGCCGCGCTGCTCGGCTACCGCCGCAGAGTCAGCCTGCCCACGGCGGCGGCGTGGGCGGCGGCGTGGCTCGGCTTCGCCCTCGCGGTCGGCGGAGTGCTCTGGCGGGCCCGGTCGTGGAGGCCGGCGCTGCTCTACTCGGTGTGCGCCTCGCTCAACGTCCTCCTTTCGGGCGTCAGCTCGCTCGTCCTCGGCTCCTCCCCGGCGCCTCCTCCGGCACCCCTCCCGGAGCCGCGCCCACAGGCGACAACCTGCTCGTCTTCCTGCTGCTCCTTCGGCAGCTCGGCCTGCACGAGGACTGGCACCTGACTGCAGTCTGCGCCGGCGTGCTCGCCTCGCTAGGCGCGGCTGCTAGTGCTGTCGGCGCAGGCCGAGCCGTCCGCGAGTCTGCTCCGGGCCTCGCTAGGCGTGCGGCTGCTCGTGCTGCTCTTCTGCGCGGCGCTGCTCGAGCGCTTCTGGTGGGTCATCATCCTTTTCGCGCTCTTTCTCCTCGTCTCCGCGCTGCGCATGCTCCTCTTCCCGGACGAGCCCGAGCCGCCCCCCCTCGCCCTCGCGGGCAGCTCCGACGGCACGGACGGCGCGGGCGGCGCGGAGGCGCACTGGGCGCTCCGCGCCTTGGGCACGTGCATGCCGTTGCGGTGGGAGCCGGAGCACGACGGCCGCTGCCTCGTGTGCGGCGGAGGCGGCGAGCCGCGCGACCGGCGGTGCGGCGGCGTCGGCGCGACGCGGCTTCTGGTCGCGGTGTGCGGCATCGTGGTTTGCGATTTGCTCTTCGCGATGGACTCTACGCCGGTGATGCTGTCGGTGACGCGCGCGCCGCTGCTGCTGGTTGCATCGCAGGCGACGTCGATGCTCTTCCTGCGGCCGCTCTATTTCATGCTCGCCGCCATCACCGAGTACCTCGACGCGATGCAGCAGACCCTCGCCGTGGTGCTCATCATCATCGCTTGCAAGATGCTCGCAGAGGCGGCGGGCTACGAGGTCTCCCTCCCCCTCTTCTTCGGCACGCTGCTCGTGTGGAGAGCGGGCGCCGCGGCGGCTGTGCTGCTGCGAAAGGTCGGCGCGTGATTTCAAATTCCATGTGCAGGATGTGGTTACCGAAATCTGGTGGGTTTAGAACAATTTTTCCGTCTCTCTCAAGTATATACCACGCCGGCTAGTCGCCGACCACACCCACAAAGAACCCTATGTGCACAAAAGATCGCAAAAGGCCAAGGAGGGCGGGGACCTGTTCTTTGTCACCCACCTCACAGTAGAGAGGTGTCCGTTTTTATTTATTTATTTACTTTATATGCCACGCACGAGTCGACGAGTGTGGAGAGTGGAGTGCGAGCACAGTGACTACGTCTGGTGTAGTGCGTGTGTCGGACTCTATTCTCTGAGACTACGTGTGCGCGGCGCCCGTGCGGCATAACGACCACATGGCTTAAATATACGCGCGCGTCAACGATGCAGAAGAGACCCGTCTCGCTGTGCACCCCTCACACCGTAGAAGCTTGCTAGCCCGACGGCAGGTGAATGAACGGAGTTTGTATCACAGATTCATCTGCACGCAGCGACGGAGGGGGAGGGTGTCAAAGCGCAGGCCCGCGGTACCAGGGAGAGGGGTGTGCGCCGCGCACCATTCACAAGCTATCTTGTAGTCGAAGCTGCTCAGGGCGATCCCGAACGCCTGGAGAGCGCAGAGCGGATGTTGGAAGTCCATCGTGAAGGCGTCCTTGCCCACGCGCCCAAACTGCATCAGCACCGCCTCCGGGTCCTTGGAGGGGTTGTAAAGCTGAAAGTTCTTTACGGACGCGCGCGTCACGCGCCCATTGAAGTTGAGGACGTACGCGCCGACCTGGTCGTTCCACTTGGGCGGCTTGTTCTTGAGCACCTGCACCTCGTCGTCGTCCTGCGCAGACTTGTAGCGCTCGAGCATGGACTCGTCCGCGGCCTGTGTACACGGATCGCGCGGTAAATATGCGGGGCGAGCGGGCGCACGGGCGGAGATGCGCTGAATGATTACCTGCGGTCGGAACGACACCCGCTCGCCGTCCTCGTCGACGTCAGGCACCATCACCTTCATCTTGCGTGGCCCGCGCGCACCAAGCACGTTCTGCTTGTAGAGCACGCACGCCATCTCCTGCCTCGCCATGACGAGGTCGGTGCCCTCGACCTTGTCGGGGTTCGAGCCCTTATCGTACAGCGTAAATTCGGTGCCTACGGCGTAGAGGGCCGCTCTCGCCCGTGAGGCTTGGCCGCTCGGGGCGAGTTGTGGGGCGGCGCGTGGCAGGTCTCGTGCTCCCCGAGTGTGCTGGTCTGGGGTGCGCGCCGATAAAGTTTGAGCGCAGCTTGCCGAAGAAGTTGCCCGAGTTGCGGGCGAGGTCGTCCTTGTCGAGCGAGATGAGGTAGTTGGACGACTTGTTTTTCTTGCGCTTGCGCGCCGCCATAAGGAACTTGTCGCCCTCCTTGAGGTAGAGCTCGTACGTCGGGAAGAGGCGCGCCATGCCAGTCTTCCGCCGCTGAATATAGCACTGCACCATCGCACCGCTCGGCCCCGGCCGCATGAGGAACGCGCGCAGGTCCGAAGTGTCGATTACCGCCGGCACGTATGAGGCGACAGGCCGCACCGCGAGTTGCGCCTTGCCCCCCTCCGCCTCTGACGTGGGCGCCACCGAGTCGTCCATCGCCTCGCGGCTGCTGCGCTGCGTCTTTCTCCCGGACAGTGAGGAGCTGCTAGTCTCCACACGGGATGGCTCCTCGTCCTCGTCCTCGTCCTCGTCCTCGTCCTCCTCCCCCTCCTCCTCCTCTGACTCCTCCTCCGACTCCTCTGCTGCCGCGGCCGCCTTGGCCCTTGGCGGCGGGCGGGCGGCCCGTACGCCCGTGTCCTCCTCGAAGCGATACTCCTGCCGCTGCTGCTTTGCTTTGGTTGCGGCCGCGAGCTCAGCCTAGGGAAGAGTCCCGTGTGTGAGTCCAGCCTGCCCACCGCCCACGTGTGTCTTGACTGCCGCTGCGGCGCACCTTGCGGCGTGCATCCTGGCTGAGCTGCTCCTCCTCGATCTCCATCTCCTCGATCTCCTGCTCGAGCGCCACAATGGGTGTCGCGGATGCGCCTCTGTGCACCGAGGATTTCTCCAACGAGTTGGCCGTGACCATGCCTGACCAGGGAAGGGGGGGTCAGCGACGGGGACGTCTGCCTGAAAGGCGCCCTGGGACTGCGCGCGGTGCAAGCGAGCGCGTGGCACGACATGCTGGGCGCAGGGTGTCTGACGGGCATTCGAGCCTGCAGTGGTTGTCTTGCGGAAGGACATGGCCTTCTGGCTGCGCGCGCGGTTCAGCCTCTCCTGGTACTGCGGCGAGCGTGACAAGTCTGGGCTGCTGTCGCGGGAGAGGATGTTCCTCCTGGGCGATGTGGCGCTGAAAGGGACCACTTGATCGTCGCTGATCGAGTCGACAGGGTCGCCGTTGTTGCCGTCCAGCTCCGAGCTCTTGAGAAACATTGGCCCTGCAGCCTTCGCCGCCGGACGTTGTTTTCGGTTACACGCCGCTTGCTGAGTTTGATTTCTTTCCCCCTGCGAATTGAAAAGAGAGGGGGAAGGAAGGGCGTGGACTGCCGCACACCAGCAACATATACAATCCAGTACAGCCCACAGCGGCTAAACTGAAAAGAAACAGCCTGGGCACAGGATTGTGAACGCCCCGCCGAGAGGCTCAACAAGCTCCATGGCCAAGGCCGATAATGGGCTCTCACACCCCTCTCGCACCTCTTCGTTTGATTCGATTTCATCGGATACTGCACCAATCATCATGCGTGCGCGTAGCGTCAGGTTGAGCAGGACGCATTTCGATGTTGCCATCGCGGTCTTTGCGATATTCTGCATGGCGGGCGTGGTCTTCGGTGTGTCGAGCCTCTACCCAATTCTCTACCAACAGGGGCTATTTCACAGCTCGTGCTCCGCCGTGGAAAGCTTTGGCCAACACCACTGCTCGGAAGATGCGCAGCGACGCACAAAGTGTTGCCCGAGTCAGTTTGTGATGTTCTCGCTCATCTCGTCTTCCGCCTTCTTCGCGATCGACGTCTCCGCCGCTTTCTGGTCCGCCTTGATCAGCCGAGATCAGCCGAGATCAAACGAGATCAAACGAGATCAGCCGCAGAAGGGGCTAAACACCTGCCTCCCTCACCTCAGGGGAGAGGTGGCCGACGCGTGGGGCCCTAGACTTTGCACCGCGTGCGCAGCAAGCCTCAGCTGCATCGGGTTCGTCGGCCTCGCCGCCGGCGCGTACCTGAAGCCCTACTTCTTCTTCCCCTCGGGGCAGTTACTAGGGCAGCAACCGCCAGCCGGCGGCGGCGGCGGTGCCTCCTCAGCAGAGTCACTCGACTCCATGTCCGATGCGATCACCTTTGGCGACCGACCGCCGCACCGCGCACGTACACGCTCGCTGGCAAATGCCCACCCCTGCCCCCTCCTGCTCCGCCAATCTCCTCAGGCGCGGTCATGCTTCTCGCGGCTGCGGGCCCCGGCGTCTTCAACGGCGCACTTGTCGGAGCTCACCAGCTGCTCGACGCCGCAGCTGACGGGGCCAGCCTCAAGTCGGCCCTCTCGTCCCTCACCGCCGCCGCCTTTGAGGCGTCCCACTCTCGCACCGCCTCCGCTCTCCCCGCTCGTCGCCTCCCTCACCACCTCACCACCTCAATACCTCACCAACTCGCCTCTTCGCCTCGCCCGCTCTCACCTCTTCTCCTCCCTCAGTCTCTCGCCTCTCCGCCGCCCCCTCCAGGGGTCCGCCCTCGTCTTCGTCCTGCTCGAGGCGTGCGCCACGCGGCTCTACGCCACCCACCGGGCGGCGGACGAGGCCCGTCAGCTCCGTGTCTCGCGCACCGCCATTGCGCCGAGGCGTGACATGATTGCGGTGTACTTGCAGGTGCATGGTCTAGTGGTGCCGAGCCTTGCGTGGGCGGTCCTCTGCGCTGCGGTGGGGACGGTGCTCTTCAGACAGCTCGAGCCCGCCAAGAGGCGCAGAGACAGCTCCACGCTGCCCCTTAACTCGCTCGCCTCCACCTCGCTCTCCTCGGCCTCGCTCGAAAGCCAAGACCAAGACCCTCCCGCCCCAGCTTCCGCCGCGATGCCTCCCGCGCATCCGCCGCCGAGGCTCCTTCTGGTGCTGCTGCAGCCCCACAACATCGGCGTGGTGCGCCAGCCGCCCTTGCGACGCGAGCGCACGGTGCCTCGTGTAGCAGCGCCCACGAGTGCCGTTACTTGCCGCCCCCCGCCCGCAGATGGCCTTCCAGTCGCTCTACCAGCTGCAGAGCAACTTCTACCTGCAGACAGTGCAAGACTCGTACGAGTCGCTCCTCGGCGTCGAGTCCGCTGCCGCCTTCGTCGCCACCTTCCACGTCGCCTTCCCCGTGCGCAGCGTCACCTCCCCCCCTCCCACCCCACCCCACCCACCCCACCCACCCCCCCGCGTGTGACACGATCGCCACAACGGGCTGTGACATGGTTGCTCGCGAGCAGGTGAGCGGGTTCATCGCAACCTTCCCCGTGACTGCCATCCTCGAGCGCACAGACAGCCGGCCGCACGTGTACTGGGGCGCCATCGCAGCGAGCATCCTCCTCCTCCACCTCCTCTGGCTCCTCCCGTCTGCCAGCGCGCAGAGCTCGCCCGCACCGCTGCTCTCCCGTGGAGCCAGTCCCCCGCAACAGCCGTCTCGGACATTTTCCTCTCAGGCGCGCAGCTCGCCGTCTCGTTGCTCTTCGGGCCCGTGCGCTGCTTCTGTTGGGCCGCGTACTTCCACTTCCTCGCGAGCGACGTCTTCTACCCGCAGGGCGCCCCTCCCTGTTCGCCTTTCAACCGAGCAAGCAGCAGCAGACCCCCCCCCCTCCCCCGCTTCCCGACAGGCTACCTCGCGAGGACGCTCGGGTATAACAACCTCGTCATCGGCGTGATCGGGGCCGTCGGCCCCTACTTGCTCTCGCAGCGCGTTGCCGCCGCCTCCTCGTCTGCCCTCGAGGGCGAGACGGACGCCTACCTCTCGCTCCGGCTCCACCTCCTCGTCGGCACTGCGCTCCTCCCCCTCCTCCCCCTCCACCTGTTCCTTCGCGGCCGGAGGAAGGACCAGGAAGCGAGGGTACGACTCTAGGTAACCGACTCCGGCGCATTGAGGCGATCGGCCATATTTTGTTGAGCTCCGTTGCCACTATACGTGTCGGAGACATCCGCGGAGAGCGCTCTGACCCGTACTGTCGTCTGTTTCGTCCGCTCTGTTTCTCTCTCCGCGTGTACAGGCAAGACAAGATTCAGGTTCCAGCACAGAGCGAGAGAGTCAGACGAGAGCACGTGAGTCGTGAGTGAGAGCGACTTCTGTCGTAACCGCTCTCGTCGCTCGTCGCGTAACACGTGTCGTGAATGGCCTTATAAGACGAAACCCGCTTACCCGGGGGGCGGCCACCGGCCTCTGTAACATTCTGCCCTCTCTCACCTCTCTCTGCCTCTGCCTCTCTCTCGCGCGCGGGGCCCGGAGCGGCGAAAGCGAGGTGCCGCCCCGACAAAACACGCTAAAACAAGTATACACGGATCACGTACTCACGTACACATTATGTGCGGCGCACACACCTCGCGACCTCCGTGGGTTCGCATGCTACAGGGGTGTCGGAGAGACTAGGGAGAGACGTCACATGGGAACCACGTGCACGTACTGGGACGTCTGGCTAAGAGCAGGCGATCACTCCACCACCGACCCCTGGGAGTGGGCGGAGGGGTAGGCACCACAGACTGGCACGCCGAACGGCGCAGCCACCACAGCCTGAGCTAGTGGTGGCCATGAGCGGTAGCGCTGTGCTTGCGCGCCGCCGCCAGACACGTGGCTCAGAGTCAGGTAACTGGCAGAACAAGCAGAGGGCAGAGGCATGGCGGCCGGAAGGAACCTGGAAGGAGCTGCCGGAAGCATAGCTCCTAGCTGTGCCACGCCGGGCATGGAGGCGCAAGGCGCGGCGGCGCGGGGTGCGGCGGCGCAAGGCGCGGCGGCGTGCGCAACGCAACCCACACGCGCCCCAGAGTACGCGCACGCGACCTGCAACCTCACCACTGCCCCCGGCGCCCCCGGCATCGCGACCGCCACCCCCGCCATCGCCGCAGGCATGCGCACCACCGCCGCCCGTGGCAGTGCGGGGCTCGCGCCCGGGGGGGCGACGCAAGGCACGGCAGAGCTTGGCATGGAGTCGCACGGCACGGCGGTGCCAAGCACGCCGGGCGTGTCGCACGGGCACGCTAATCCCGCGCACGGCACCGCGTTGCCTGCACAGGAGAGGGCAAGGGGGACAGCATGTCGGGCGTCTCGGGCTCTGGGGAGGGGAAGGGGAGGCGTCGGAGGCAACGGGGACAGCTGTGGAGGTTCTGGGCAGCGCGCGGCGAGACTCCGCCCCAGCGGCCACGCGGCACGCTGGTGTGTGCCGGTGTGCCTGTCGTAAGAGTCTCGGAAGCTTCACCTGGCACGGCATGGACCATCGTGCCCATCTGCATCCCGAGAGGCGACGTCACGGGCCGCAGCGTCTTTCCGACGCGGAAGGCGAACAAGCTGCCCGGCGCGGAGGGGAGGCTGACGAGGCCCGGTATCTCGGCCGCCGTCTCGTCGCGCAGGACCACCATCTTCGGCCCTGGCGACCCCACCGTTTGGTTGATGATCCGGTGCGCTGGCCATGACGAGGCGTTGCTCGACTCGTTCCACACGCCGCCCGCGTGGCGGTTCGCGGGCACCGTCGCGCCGACGACCTGCAGCCGGGGAGTCGCCGGGGTGAGCAAACCTCTGGCCGAGGTGCGACGCCCGCACCCGCCGGCGAGGGGAGGGTCTCTGCACGCGCTCTCTCCCCCGCAGCAGCAGCGGCGCTGGGTGTGCGCTGAGGATCGCCCAGAGTGGTGCGTGAGGGCGAGCAACGGCGCATGAGTGGGTGTGCGCACGCACCACTCTGATGCGTGTGGCGGCCACGAGGATCCCCCACTTTTGGCATCGTGCGCAAAAGTGCTGCCGAAAGGCAGGCGAGGTAGGCTCGACAAAGTCGCAGAGCTGGGAGCCACCGGAGAGCTCCTGGCCCCAGCAGGTGGAGGGCAGCTTGCGCTTGCGCGTGACGGCAAAGGCCTCCTCCCACTCCCTTGGGGAGTCCTCCCCACCCTGCCTGCTCAGTCCTCCGCTCAGTCCGCCGGCAGAGGAGTATATGGGTCGGGGCGGCGGGGGATGCGAGGGATCACGGTTTGAGTGCTGCGGGGGAGGTGGAGGTGGAGGCGGCGGCGGAGGAGGCGGCGGCGGCGGTGGCGACGGTGGCGGCGCATCGGATGCCCCCCGCTCGGCGGCCGATGCCTCTTTTGCGGTTACAACCGCAGGCACCGAGGAAAGCCCACAGCTCGCACTTCGCACATACGATCTGTCTTGAGGCAGTTTTAACATTTTCGAAGAAATTACGCTCGTTAAAATTGCTAAAATCTCATTACGGGAATGTTAAAACTGCCTCAAGACAGATCCTATGTGTTTGCAGCGAGAGCTCTCCCCTTTCTAATAAGAATTCTAATAAGCTGGGAGAGAATAGGTAGCGCGAATCCGCCAGGATTCTCGCCAGCTCTGCTGAGGGGTGGTGCTGGGCTTCGTGCGGCGCTCGCCCTGCAGGCCGTAGGCCGCTGTGCCACATCATCTACTTCACATCACGAGGCGTCGAAGCTAATGAGATTCAGTCCCAATTATTGGCAGACTTGCGCCCGTCGGCGCATTCGAGTGTCTGCCCTTCATCGCTCGCACGCCTCGCCATCACCTCTCAGTCGCCATGGCCCTCACCGTGAGCACGGATGCCATCATTGAGAAGCTGTCTGGCACGGCTGGAGCCGATTCGCAGGTGCACAGTATAACAAGCGGGCAGATCATCGTGTGCGTGGGTGGCAGAGTCGTCGATGGTGGGACAAAGCAGTTCACCGTCAAAGTGATGCACCCAGACGCGACGGCAGCGCAGGCCGCGGAGCTGGCACGGCCGATCATCAAAGGGCTGCTGGGGCAGGCGGTGACAGCGGGGGAGACCGCCGCCGCCCAGGAAGCCGAGAGGGAGCACTTGCAAGACACCAAGGTGTTCTCCGCTAATCAGCTGGGCAGGATCTTTACCGGTTGGGCCGGATGGCTGGATACCCTCCGGGCCAACAAGATGCTCGAGGCCGACGAAGAGCGCCGTGACGAGGTCGCCTCGGCGCAGGTCAAGATATCAGGTGCCAACGAGGCACTGAAAATGTTCCGTAAGCTGCCACAGTGCAAGGAGGCAGAGGAAGGCCACGTCGTCACGGCTGAAGTTCTCAAGGTGGCAGACGAGATGCCGGCGTTCGGTGCAGCATCGATCGCCACCAGCACGAGAATCCAAATGTTCTTTGGTGCGCTCAACGCCGTCATCCTCAGCGAACGGCACAGCGCGATGCTGGAAGAGATTGCCGGGAAGGATAGCGTTTCGGTGGATGAGATGCAAACCTTCCTCGCTCGGCTCGGCGAGTCATTCAAAGTACCTGTCACGCCAGAGCCACTGCCATCGACCGCATTCCAAGCGCTCATGCGGCGCGTCAGGCTCGGCGGCCAAGCTGACGACTTCCGCGCGAAGGCCGTCTGTCTGGTATGCGAGTCAGAGCAACAAAAGGTCGCCCTCGAGGACCATGACATATTCGAGGCGCTCCTCGCCGAATGGATGGCGTCAGGCCTCGAAAACTTCCAAGAAGCGTCGCTGGCCGCCCTGGCCGCCGGCCCTGCCATGTCAGCCACCGACGCAGCCTGCTTCATCGTCAGATGCAAGTCCGCGAAGCAGGCCGCACTGGCCCGCACAACACAAGCTGCTCAAGTGCCCACGCCCGCGGCGGCGAACCCGCCGATGAGCATCTTCATCCGTGCTCCCGTCGACGGAGCGAAAGAAGAGGGCACAGAGGATTCGGCAACGGCGGTCGCCGCAGCGGCGCAGCGGATTGCGGCCTCCCGCGAGCAGACCGGCGTCTTAAACGGCCTTGCTCGCATAGCCGAGTTGGACGCATCGCCAACGGGCCTAGCCTCGCTCACACGAGAGCTCGACTCGAGAGGTGCGCGCCTCCCAGACCTAGTCCGGCTAGTGAGCGCGGACGCTGCGAGTATCTCAAACCTGGCTAGCACCATGTCAGCCGACTCTCAATTCATTGCGAACGTGAGAGCGATCCGTGGCGCAAGAGAGTTTGTTTTGTTGACGTTACGTTAGGTAAACGTACTAAAGTATCTAAAGTACGACGTCTCAGTCAGCGAGAGAGAGAAAGGGGAAAGGGGTGTGTGTACAGAGATCGTCAGCATTGTGCTTGATGGTGAGTGTGTGTGTGTGTGTGTTCTCTCGAGGTTCTCGAGGTGGATATCCTTTGTTTGTGTGTGTGCGCGCGCGCGCTGTAGAGCTGTAGAGATGTAGAGCGCTCTGGAGCGCTGTCTGTAGAGCTGTAGAGCTCTACATTCGCCGCGGGACGATGTGAGTCGCCTGTAGAGCGATGTAGAGGCGCTCTACAACGTGAAATCTCTGCAACAAACTCTGCATGCACATGCACATGCACATGTGCACATGTGCATGCACATGCACATGTGCATGTGTGCATGCACATCGCAGGCGGCGAACGAGGCACGGTCGCTCTCCGACATGAGGCGCGTTGCACTTGTCAGTGAGTGCTGCCCTGGCCTTCTGTCTGCCCGCCCAATGGGTGGCAGGTGCCTCTGCTGCTGTGGCCTGCCTCACGGCTGCGACTGGCCGGCGCCTCGGCGCGTCAGCTCGGCTCGGCGTAGCGTCGAGGCGTAGCGACAGTGGCCAGCGCAACTCGCCTGGACTCAACGCTCAGCCAGGAGCTCCCGCACGCGCTGGCGCGAGACATGGCGCATGCAACGCGTCTGAATGCTCGCCTCGCCTCGCGCAAATGCGACCGTCCTCGCAGCCGACAGTCCACCGCCTGCTAAAGAGGCACTGCGATGAATGCGGCACCGGCGACGCATGGCAGGCTGGTCATGACGCAGTCATAGGGTGTCGTGTGCGTCAGAGTGACTCTCTGTGTGTCAGGGATAGTCAAGGCCGTCCATCAGAGCTCCAGTAAGCTCGGAGACACCCCATTAGCGCGGCTCGACCTCTTTGAGTCACTGCCTTCCCGGCGGTTTGGCTGTAGAGCCTCTACAACCAACTCTACAGCAAAATCGCGCTCTACATCGCTCTACAGGCGACTCACATCGTCCCGCGCCGGATGTAGAGCTCTACAGCTCTACAGCGCTCTCCGGCGCTCTCCAGCGCTCTACATCTCTACAGCTCTACACAGCGCTCTACACTCTACATCCTCTACATCCTCTACACCCTCCCTCAGGTACTCGAGTAGCGCCTTGCCGTACCTCGTGTGTATATGTCATCTGCGACGGGAAGAAGCATGCTTGGGAATTGTCTACAGAAAGAACTGAACCCCTCAAACGTGTGTTGCCGCCGCGTGCCACAAATCAGACTTTAGTCTGTCAGACACACAAGCGCCGGGATTGCGTGCCACAGATCTGGACGGACAAGCGCCGGGGTTGATCGACACTGTGGGTGCCGCGATGCGTTTGCCCACACACCCTCCCTGCAGGCCCAACCACTCCCCGCTCCTCGCCCCGGCCGCTCCTCCTCAGAGGCAGATTTGTATATTACCGAGTACCGAGGGCGGGCGGGGGGGGGGGGGCATGCTCTGGTTTTGCTGCGCGGAGCGCGGTGCCACACACGCGCGGGGGTGTGTACGGTGCGGGTAGAGCCGGCAGAACGGAAAGACGAGCTCTTTTACCTTTTTATGGCCGCTCTGCCCTCTGCGCGTGTCGCTTAAAACCGCGCGAAAAACACACGCACACACCACCACTCTCTCACACCGGCCCTCCTCCGCCTACGCTCGACTTGGACTATACACGAGTGGCCGCTCACCAGACCGTCTCTCTGTCTCACTGCCCCCCGGGTCGTAAAACACGTGGTTGCCTGCGCGCACCCCAGAGTAGCCCGTGGCGCCGGCAGAGAGCCTCGCGAGCAGCGAGGCCAGCCGGGAGAGGGCCAAGGGCGCGGCGAGGCAGAGCGCCCCGCCGGCCAGGAGCCATGGCCGCCACTCGCCGCACGCAGCCGCGGCGTCGGCCACGGGGGGCGAGAGGGCGAGGCTCGCCGCTGTCGGGGCGGAGGAGCCGTGGGAGGGCGAGACGCCGTCTAGCGCGTGGAAGTGGAGAGACTCGAGCTGCCACTGGTCCGGCTCGCGGCGGAGGGTGAGGAGGCCGAACCGGCGTCCGAAGCGCAGGCTGCCAGGGTTGATCACCGGAACGCGGCCGAGACTTGAGAGGCCGACACCGGCATGCGTGTGGCCGTGCACCACCGCCACGCACTGCCTCTGCAGCAGGCGCGAGTCCAGCAGCGCCGAGAGGTGGTGCGAGCCAGAGAGGATGGGGGCGCGCCGCATGCCCGGCGAGGAGGGGTTGTTTGGGTCGGCCGCGGTGACGACCGTCGTCCCGGCGCCTGCAGGACCGCAGTGGGGCAGCAGCAGCAGCGAGTCGCCTGGCCCCGGGCCGTCAAAGGAGGCCCCTGCCGACCCTCCGCCCCGCAGCGCCCGCTGCAGCTGCGCGTACCCCGCAGCGTTCTCGTCCTCGCTCAGCGGCCAGCCCGGCCAGACAGGGACGCCTTCCTCGGTGGCGGTGGCACTTCCGCCCCAGCCGGCAAGCCACAGCCCGGGCGCCAACGAGAGTGAGCGCGCGTGCGCGTTGCTGGTTGATGCCGAGCTGTTGCCGCCGCCGAAGCCGCTGAAGAAGCGCGGCGGGTCGTGGTTCCCGGGAGAGAAGACGAGCCGCGGCGCCAAGCTGCCGAGACCGTCGAGCACCCGCTGGGCCGCCGCCTCGTACCGCGCCTCTTCCTGCGCGTCGAGCGAGGCGGCCGGGGCGGTCGTCAGGTCCCCAGGGCAGAGCACGGCGTCGAGCTTGCCGAGGAGGTCGTGGCTGGAGAGCCAGGCTCGCAGCGCCTCGATGGCTGAGGTGTCGTCGTGCACATCCGAGGCGAGGAGGAGGCGGAGCATATACACACATGCACAAGCGCTGCGCGCGCGTTTTAGGGGTGCGGCGGCGCTGCGCGCCGCTTGGGTCGACCTCCTTCACAGCCTTGTTGTGTAGAGAAGAAGTACGCCGTGCGCTGGTCTGTGAGAGGTTGAGGTGCGAGCCCTGGAGGCCCTGGGAATGGGGGGAGACTACCCGCGGGCCTAGAAGGCCCGCGCGCAGGGGGGTGGGGCATTGAGACCGGTCATGAATGAGTGCGCGACACGCATGTTGCGAGCAGCGTTGTTGATGTTCTGCGCGTCGCCACAGACGGCGGCGCGCGAGAGCTGTTGCGAGTGGTGCTGGACGAAGCCCCGGGCGCTGCCGGAGGCTGTGCCGTAGTCGGTCGGTGCGGTCGACGGCGCTCGGGCTGCCGACCTCTTTGGCTAAGTTGTGGATGATTCTCTTGGTTGGCGGCGCGATGCCGCCCTGGCTTTCGACGAGACAAATTTTGACGATTCCGTTCTTGACATGGAGCGCGTCGTAGTACTGTCCCTTGTGCTCCATCGCGCTGGGACTGCAGGTCCCGCCGATCTCACACATGTCGGCGACATGCCCCTCGTTGAGATGGAAAGTCGTCTGAGGGTTCGCCTTGTCACCGAGCACGAGCTTGCCGCAGGCTCGTGCACGGACCATGTTGGCCGTCGCATACATGGTGCCGTTGTGACGAATGTTGTGCTCGCACGGAAATGTCCTTCGATCCGTTTGCAAGCTGGTCGCCCTTCCGCATACCGATGGTGACTGTCTCACCAGCCGCCTCCTTGGCGTCGTACACGTACTTGGCGCAGGAAATGTAGTAGCCGTGGCGACGCTGCAGCGCCGTGGCAAAAATCTCCGAGGTGATTTTGGAGGAGTGCCGGCCGTCGGGGCAGAGGTCGAGCCACGCTCCCGAGGCGAACTGAGAGACGGCGATGAAGCGTGTCGCCCCCCGATGTTTGACGCCGTCTGGGTCGTCCATCTCGGCATCCAGCCGCTCGCAGGCGGCGAGGCAGCGAAGCCACCGCTCGTGCGACGCAATCTGAGCGAGCGTGCCCTGTTCTGAGGGAGGGTGTAGAGGATGTAGAGTGTAGAGCGCTGTAGAGCTGTAGGGATAGCGCTCTGGAGCGCTGTAGAGCTGTAGAGCTCGACATCCGATCTGACAAGTTTCTTTTTTCGTCTTGAGACGCGGCTCGTTGCTCCAAACCTTCCATCCACTCATTGAACGACCCGCAAATGAAGCTGCGCCCGCCTGCCCCTGCCCCCCCTAAAAAGCGGGGTTGGACGCACCTCGACGCGGTGCTGCCCGCCGTGCGGCCCAAGCCGGGCGAGCGGGTACGCGCAAAATTTCAAGGCGACATCGGTGGCTTCAACTGTCCGCGCTCTGCCCCTCGCCCCTGGCCTAACCCTGCCCCGTCGGCCTGTCCCGTCCGCCTAGGTTCCGCCCCCCCCCTCGCGCAGGGTTCTCCGGGACGGTCACCGCGGTGCACGCCGACGGAAAGTGCGACATCTTTTACGAGGACGACGGCGAGTCCGAGAAGCGCGTCGCGCCCCGCTTCGTCAAGGTTCTGCTGAGCGACGAGGAGAAGGCGCGAGCCAACGACGCGCGCGCCGCGGGCCAGGAGATTCGACTCAAGCCCCAAGCGGGGAAGGCTGGAATCGAGCGAGGGCAACGCGTGCGCGCAAAATACCTGGGCGACATCGGCGGCGTCAATTGTCCGTGCCCCTCGCCCTCGCCCGCGCCCTCGCCCCATCCGCCGAACTCCGCCGACCCCCCCCCCCCCCCTCCCCAGGGTTCCCCGCGACGGTGACCGCGGTGCACGCCGACGGCAAGTGCGACGTTGCGTACGACGACGGCGACTCGGAGGAGCGCGTGGCGCCTCGCTTTGTCGTCCGTCTTCCCTCAGACCGCCCCGCCTGCGGTGCAAGACCTGAGTCTAAGCTTGGGGCCGCCCACGAGGACGGCGACTGCCTCGCGTGCCTCGGCAGGCACCGACCGCACACGTGCGGCAGGGTGCTCGGCCCGCGGAAAGCAGACGGCCGCCTGTGGCCTCAGAGGCGCCCGGAGGCCGACTCCGCCTCGCCTGCGCCCTCCCGCGGCGCCGACTCCACCTCGCTCGCGCCCTCGTCGGGCTCGCGGCTGGCAGCGGCGCAGCCACGGTTCGCGCCGGTCCCAAGAGTGCCCGCGGCGGCGGCGGCGGCGGCGGCGGCGGCACCAGCCCCGGAGCCGGAGTCGGAGTGTGCGCCCCGTCGTGGCAGAGGTAGGAGCGTGCGCGAGCGTGGCGCTGGAGGGTGGCGGGCGCATGACAGCGGCTCCCCGGCACCGGCACCGCAGTTGGCGCGAGAGAAGCGGCAGAGGACAGCGGGAAAGGGCGCGGCAGTGGTGGTGACGGAGGCGGCAGAGGCTGCGGCCCCGGCGGCGGTGGAGGCGGAGGCGGCAGGGGCTGCGGCTCCGGTGGCAGAGGCGGAGGGCTTGCGGCTGCACCTCTCGAGCAGCAGCAGCACCGGGTACAAGGGCGTGTACAAGGTCGAGAGGGGCAACTCCGGCCGCTTCCGAGCGCAGACCTATACGGGCGGGGAGACCTGTCACCTCGGCTTCTTCGACACGGCGGTGGAGGCGGCGGTGGCGTACGCGCGGGCGGTCGGGGTAGCGGCGGAGGCGGCGCCTGAGGCGGAGGAGGAGGAGGAGGAGGAGGAGGAGGAGGAGGAGGAGGCGGAGGAGGAGGAGGAGGAGGAGGAGGAGGAGGAGGAGGAGGAGGAGGAGGAAGGCGAGGAGGAGGAGGAGGAGGAAGCGCTGCTGGCGGAGGCGGAGGGGCTGAAGCTGCACTTGTCCAGCGGCAGCAGCACCGGCTACAAGGGGGTGCGCAAGCACACCCAGGCTGGCCGCTTCGTAGCGTGTCGCTACGCGGGGAGCAGGACCATCTACATCGGCGTCTTCGACTCGGCGGTTGAGGCGGCGGTGGCGTACGCGCGGGCGGTCGATGCGGCGGCGGACCCCCTGCATCTCTCGAGCAGCAACACCACCAGCTACAAGGGCGTGATAGCGGTGGAGGCGGCGGTGGAGGCGGCGGCGGCGGCGGTCGCCGAGCCTGCAGCGGCAGTGATGGCAGCGGCGGGAGCTGAGTCGGCGGACCCCGTCCCGGGAGGCAAGCGGAGCCTGGCGCGGGCGGGCATGGAGGAGGCGGCGGAGGCGGAGGGGGCGGGGGCGGCGGCGGAGCCGATGGCCGAGGATGCGCCCGGGCCCTCGACCCCGACTGCGATGGCGGAGGCGGCATCGCCAGCGGCGCCAGCAGCGGCGGCGCGAGCCGAGCCGGCGGACCCGGCCCAGAGCTCCTGGCGAAGCAAGCGGAGTCTGTCGCAGGCTGGCATGGAGGTGGCGGCGGCGGAGGCGGAAGAGGCTGCGGCCCCGGCGGTGGTGGAGGCGGAGGCGGCAGGGGCTGCGGCTCCGGTGGCAGAGGCGGAGGGCTTGCGGCTGCACCTCTCGAGCAGCAGCAGCACCGGCTACAAGGGCGTGTACAAGGGCGAGAGGGGCAACTCCGGCCGCTTCCGAGCGCAGACCTATACGGGCGGGGTGAACTGTCACCTCGGCTTCTTCGACACGGCGGTGGAGGCGGCGGTGGCGTACGCGCGGGCGGTCGATGTGGCGGCGGCTAAGGCGGCGGCTCGCGCGCAGCTGCGGCAGGAGCAGCGGGAGCAGCGGCCGAACTCCAGGAAGCCGAACGCGGCGGAGGCGGAGCTGCGGCGGCTCGCCAGCGATCTCCTCGCGCCTGCGCTCGGGCGGCGAGCGGCCGCCGCCTCGGGCTCTGCGGCCGGCGAGGCTGGCGAGGTCGTGGGTGGGCCGAGCAGGGCGCGCGCCGAGAAGCCGCCGATCGAGTTCTCACGGCTGAGCGCGACCGACCGTAAGCTCTGGTACGGCGCATCTGCGGCGGGCTGGCGCATTCGCGAGGCTTCTCCTGCGTCGGGCCTCGAGGGCCGCTGGACGTACCTCTCCCCGCAGGGCGAGGTCTTTCGCTCGCGCGCCGCCGCGGCGGCGGCGGCGGAGGCGGACGAGACCGCGGCGGCGGAGGCGGACGAGGCATCGGACGAGGCGGGCGCAGCGTCCGCCTTCCCGCGCGTGTCGGGTGCGCTCGAGTCGATCGGCATTTCACTCTCGAGGCAAGCCGCCGAGCTGAGCGACGTCGCGGGATCCGACCTCGCCTTCTTGGGCCACATGAGCCACGCGCAGCTCCGAGCCTTGGGCGAGGAGTGCATGGCGCTGCCCGAGAGCGCCCGTGTCGACTTCCTCCGCGAGCTAGTGTGGCGGCGCGGCCAGGAGAGAGGCGGCACATCGGCTGGCCAAGAGCCGAGAGCGTTTGGCGGGCCGCCGCCGCCGCCATCACATCAACCGGCGCCGCATTCGCTTCAGCCGCCGCCGCCGCCGCCGCCGCCGCCGCTGGGCGCCGTTCAGGTTGCCATCCCGCTGCCGTCGACGCTCGGGCCAGACGCATCGCTGGCGCTGCAGCGGTTCCAGCTACTCGGGGAGGGGAGACGCTTGGCGGTGGACGTTGGGGCCGCATTGGGCGGGCCGTACATGTTTACTGGCCGGCAGCAGCGACACTGGGATGCCCAACAGCTGCAGCAACTTCAGTACCATCTGCAGGCACAACAGGCCCATCTGCAGTGCCACCAGTTTGACAGCAGCACCACGCAATGGCGAAGAAACGAGTAGGTGGCGCTAGAATGCACTTTTTGAGTTGTGTAGTGTTGCGATGTTGTCGTCCTCGTCCTCGCGGTCGCGCGGCTTTATACATGAAATGTTACATGTTTGGCTTTCTCTTTAAAAAATTACCCGCCTCGGTAGACGCAAGACGGCAGTCGGCACCGACTCTCTCTCAGACCTCTCTGGTCTCTGAAATGTGAAAACGCCTCAAGACGCAAGTCTTCATTTACCGCTTCAAGAGCGACAAGACCCCGGCCTCCCCGCCGCCCCTCCCTCCCGCGGTCCCGCCGCCGCCGCCGCGCACCCAGATGGCAGAGATGCTGAGACACAGATGCTGAGATAAGCCTCTCGGGTGGCCCAGGAGGCCCGCACCGCCTCGCGCTCCCCTGCAGCCTCGCCCCGACCCCTCCCTGACCGCCCCCGAAAGCGAAGCCCGCGCCCTGCGCGGAGACGATTCTGAGTTTCTGACTCCGACCCCAGCGCAGGCCCTAGGCGGCCAGCCATGATATCTAGCTCCGTGTCGCGTGTGTGCTGGCGTCCGGAGACCGGACCCCCCTGGGTTTGCACGTGACAAGTACACACGTCGAGACAGTCACACACAACGCCCAACCGCCTGCAGTAATCTACCCAGAGAGCAAGCTATCCTTACTGTACTTACCGTACCAGATTTCAGTGAGGCAGTGCGCGCGGGCAACCCGGCTCCTGCTGAACAAGCTCCTCTTGTAGCTCGATCGGTCGCACCGCCACCACCGCCGACGTCTCCCAGGGAGACGATGGAGAGGGGGGACGACACTGCTTCAGCAGCGTGCACCTCGATCCTGAGTGAGACTGTCGGTTGGTTGTGTATGACCCCCCCCCAATCAATGAACACACCAGTGAGGGAGGGCGAGACGATCGAGGGGTCCCGTACCATGCGGAATCGACCCTATCCAGTGCTCAAGTACCAGAATCGAGAATAGAACGAGAATTTCGAGAAATGTCGAGTTTTGAGGTAAGTTGTGATGTGTATGTGTGCCTTTTGAGCGCGCGGGTTTTCACGCGGATGCACTCTATCGCACGCCTGGCGGAGGTTGGAGATCGTCGCGAGCGGGTTGGTGCGCTTCTTGGCCGGCTTGCCGGCGGAGGCGGACTGCTCGACGTCGACGTTGATGTCGTCGACGTCGGCGCGCGGGGTGGCCATCGTCGTGCCGGAGGTCATGCGTCGTGCGTCCTTTCGGGCTTGCGAGTTTGCGACTTGGTGGGCACGTTCTGATATTCCTTGGCGGCGTTCGGTCCCCCCCGTGCTCCCGTCTTTGGCGCCATCTCCGATGGCGACGCGACGCGGCTCGCGGCAGACTGCCCGCTCCGTCCCAGGCTATACTTGCTTGATTTGATACCCTCCCACCCAGTGAGTGAGTGTGCCGGCGGCGCGTCGAGGAAGGGAGGGGATGGCCTTGGACTTGGCCACCATCGCCGCGCCGCCCGCCCGCGACGAGACGCCCGCGAGGCCGGGGCCGGCGAAGGAGAGTGCAGCCGTGCTGGAGAGGGCGGCTAGCATCTCTTGGTTGTTGTTATGGGCTGCTGGCAATTTGGGCTTACAAACCATCGCCGTCGGGGAGAGGGGGGACGACACTGCTTTGGCAGCGTGCACCTCGATCCTGTACCGTGTTTGTTATGACCCCCCCCAATGAACACACCAGTGAGGGAGGGCGAGACGATCGAGGGGTCCCGTACCACGCGGAATCGACCCTATCCACTAGCTAGTGGTTCTTTGTGGGGGTGGTCGGCGACTACACTCTCTACGGCTCTCTGCCGGGGTCGCGTCCTCTCCACTAAAAGCCGTAACGCCAAGTGGCGATGAAGTAAAACGGGACTGGATAGCCGAAGCCGTCGGTCCGCACACCGCGCGGGGGATCTCGTCGGCCGTCCCTAGCCGGCTAGCGCCTAAAGCCGTATATGGTATAAGGGTCGTCCTTCTCTCTATAGGCGTCTAGCACGAGCGTCTAGGCGCAATCGTGGCCAATGCGAATCCCTGCACTGCGATTGACGAGAGCGCACACAACAAAACATACATACATGTTTGTTGGCAGAGCAGAAAAACGTAATGACCGAGAGAGGCGGCGGAGCGCGCGACGGACGATGGGTGAAGCGCACATACAACAACATGTACATGTGCATGCACATGCAACTCGATCTGAAGACCGACTCGTCAGTCCTCCCAGGGCTCGACAGAGCTTTGGGCCTCTGCCACGGGCGTGCCGGGCTTGGAGCTCTCCTTGAAGAAGGTTCCGGTCGCGGCGCCACCACCAATCTCGCCAAACAGCAGCCTCACCGCGACCGTGGCGCCAAGCGCTGGCGTCTTGGGCTCGCGCGTGCTGTAATCGGCAGCGGTCCCGGCGATCTCTGTGCGACAGAAGCCCGGCGAGCAAGCATTCACCCGCACGCGAACCCTCCGAGCCAGCAGCCGGGTGTAGGAGTTGACGCCCGCCTTGCTCAGAGCGTATATGGGCGTCTCACCGGCACCGTGCGGATGTGCGGCGGCCCGTACGCAGAGTTTTGCCAATGTGGAGCGCAACGAGGCGACATCACTGGCGCCGTCGAGGGCAGCCCGGTCAATAGCGCTCAGCGCGCGAGCCGCCCGCAGGCCGGCGCCGGAGGAGAGGTTGATGATTTGCGAGTCGGGGCCGCCCATGATCCGAAGGAACGCGCGCGTGATATCGACAAGGCCGTCAAAGTTGACCAGCAGAGTGGGCTCCACGATGTCGGCGAGGCGGCAGCCTCTCCTGCCGCGCGAGGACCCGGTGATGAGCACGACATATACGTTAGCGCGGTTTGCCCCAGTGAGATACAAGTGTATGACGCGAGGCGAGAAGAAGAAGAAAACAACCTGGCCTCCTTCCTAACTTTTTCCTTTTTCAGTGTATTTACGTACATTCCCGGAGGAGGACTGCTACGGGGTATTTTAGCCCTCGGGGGCGTCTCGCGTCTGGCACGCCCCCTCCCCGCGACCCCGCTCACAAATAAATAATAAATAAAACGGGCAAACTCTGAGACGAGATGGGATTTAGGGACATGTGTCCCCGCCCTGCACGATCTTGGTGTGAGGGATCTTCAATCCGTGTCCCCTCACCCCTCGTCACAACCCGACACGGAAGAGCGGCAAGAGTTGGGGCTGCGGCTACGGCTGCGGCTATGAGAGGGGCCGGGGTCGCGGGAGAGCCGCTGCGCCGCGTGGACGCGCCTACACCGCTCTTGCTCCGCTCGCCACCTCTCGCAAAGGTCCAAAGCCATAGCCACCACCTCCTCCGGCAAGTCCTTTCGCCGTATCTCGCCGTCCCTCCACGCCTGGAAGAGCTCGTCGTCATAGCCGTATTGCATCACAGCCTGCTGAACTGCGTCGTGTACCGGTGTACGCACCTAGGTGCTAGGCGATTCCTATTTATCTCTCGCGTCGCAGTCGTCGGCTCTCGCCCACTCTCGCAGCGACCTTCATGCCTCTCCACTCTCGCAGAGAGAGAGCAGAGACACGCCGTTTTATACACTGTCGTTGCATTTGGGAGAGATGGGTAGCTCCGTGGTGCGTGGACCAAGCGAGCCAAGACCAAGAGCAGCAGAAAACGTAAAACGAACTCGAGTCTCACGCGTCACTCTCACGCGTCACCCTCCGCTCACCGGAGGCAGCACCGCGAGCTCGTCGCCCTCTGCCATCGGCTCGGTGCCGGTGACGTAGTCTGCTCGGGCGGGGTGCGGGTCCGTGAGTCGCTGCGCAACACAGAGAGGCGCGGCCCGCGCGTGGCATGAGCTGGAGGGAGTGGGTGCGCGCACCGCCGTTGCGAGCGAGCGCACAGCCGGGAAGGAGATCCGCCAGGCCAGGGAAGCGATCGGCGAGCAGCCTCCGGAGGTCGTCTGTGGTGGCGCCGCTGTCTACGTCGAGGCGCTCCTCGCTCGTGCCCGCTGCGCAGCGGCGGGCGGAAGAGTGGCGCGCGAGTGTGTGGGTGTGGGGGGTTCGGGCGTCCGCACGGCGCCTCGCTCGCGAGCCGACGCGAAGAGGCAGACCTTGACCCGCATATCCACATACACACACATAGACACATTTCGTCGCACAAAAAAATGCAATTTTTCGCGAAGGGATGGAGATTGAAAAGCTACACGAGAGAGAGAGATAAAAGAAAAAAGAAACCTTCGGGGCACGCTTGCCGCGGCATTTGGCTTACACACAGCCGAGCAGCTATCACGAGGGATGCAGCTCCGGCACGCCCAGATACAAGGGAGCCTCCCAGATGCCAGCGAGCATCAGAGCCGCTGGGAGTGCGTCCCGCTCATCCTGCTGCTCGGCGCCGGCTCGCACGCCGCTGTCCAGTCCATCGGCGCCCTCGAGCCAGAGCTGCACTCACGTGGCGTGGCTCCGGTCGTCTTCTCTCTGATCGCGCTGGCGCCGCACGCCTTCTCGCTGCTGATGCCCACGGTGTGGGGCGATGCCTTCACGCGCTGCGAGCCCGCCGCCATCCTACTCGCGCCTGGCCTGCTCGTCGGCGGGCAGGCGACGATCCTGCTCGGGCTGCTGCAGCGGGGCCCTCTGAGCCTCGCGCTGCTCTGCCTCGGCTTCGCGGCCTTCTCCGCCTCGCGCGCCGGCATCGCCGTGGTGCAGTACGCGGTGCTCGCGCGCTGCCTCCACTTCTCCAAGCTCGTCTTCGGTCTCTGCGCCACCACCGTCACCACACATGCCATCGGCGCCGCCGTCCAGCTGCTCGTCCCGCAGCTGCTCAAGCGCGGCGGACTGCAGGCGGTGGAATTCGCGCTGCTGCTGCCCGCTCTCGCCGGCCTCATCTCCGGCGTCGCCCTATGCGTCCGCCTGCCGCCGCCGCCGCCACCGCCGCCGCCGCCGACCCCCGAGGAGCCTTCGTCACTCGGCAGCTGCTCTGCGCTGCCCCTCCACCCGGCTCCAGAGGGCGCCACGCGTCCACCGCCCGCCCTGCACGCGCACAGGCGTTTTCACGGTCCGGTGCACCGGCTGCGGCGCCCTCATCCCGCGCGGCTCCGCCTTCGCCGTCCAGTGCCTCGGCTGCGAGCGGGCAGCGCGTGCGAGGTGGAGGGCGAGGAGAGCCATCCTGCTGCTCGCCGTCTGGCGCCCTCCTCGCCTCCGCCCGCTGCCTCCCGCCCCTCGCCCGCCCCTCCGCCGCCTGCACGCTTCGCCCCCCCCCCGCCCTCGGTCAGCTCCGGAGCCGCTCCCTCCACCCGCCCCACCTGCCCCACCTGCCCCCTCCCTCCGACCCTCCGCCCCTCGCAGGCGATCCTTCACGCTCGGCCCGCTCCACTCCTTCGCCTCGCTCACGAACGGGCTGCTGCAGTCGCAAGGGCTCACGCCGCGCGACGCTGGCGCGCTCGTCGCCTTCAACAAGATGGCAGCCCTCCTCGTCCTCCCGCCCCTCGCCCTCGCCTGCGCCGCCGCCACAGAGCCCGCCGCCGCCGCGTCACGCGCGACGCTGATGCTCTGCGCCACCACGCTGCTGATGGCGACCTGCGGCGCGGTGCCGCTGCTGCTGCTCGAGGGCGGCGGCTCGTGGGCGGAGCTGCAGCCCGGGAGGGGGATCACTCTCGCTTGGTGGGTCTCGCGCGCCGCTACTCTCAGCCTCGCCGCCGGCGCCACCGCCGCGCCGCCGCTGCTACACGCGCTGGTGAGGCGGACACACACTCGCCCTACCGATCGCAAGCGCCGCCGCGATGCCCGCCCTCGTCTGCCCGCCCTCGTCCGCTCCCGCAGGTGCCCCTCATCGTCGGCGCACGCGCCGTCCCGCGCGTGTACGGCGTGCTCGAGTCGTGCTACATCGCAGGCCTCACTGTGTCCGGCCTGCTGATGGGCGCGGCGCGGCAGTGGGCAGGCGGGTACCGAGGCGCCCTCTGGCTGCTCGCGCTCGTCCTCCTCCTCTCTGTCGCCGTCTGCGCCGCGCTGCGCCGCATCGTCCGCCTGCAGCAAGCCGCCGCCGAGCGAGAAGGCGCGCGCCGCCACCCGCTCCGGCAAGGCGGCCGCGACCTCGAGTTGCCGGAGCGGACATCAGAGCGGACCGCCTCGCTCGACGACACGCGCCGCGCGCTCCACGTGGCCTTGCTGCCGCCGTCGCCGACGCGCGAGCTCTGGCAGTCTGCGGGCCGCCGCGCCTCCTCCCTCGACTCGCCCTCCCGCCGCGCAGCCTCGATGGAGGCGCGCGCTCTCATCGGCCGGTCGCAGTCCATGCTCGCCGCATAAGAGGTGTCCGCCGCACACACGCCCTCGCGTGTCGAGGGCCGTGGGCGAAGAGGCACGGCGCGATACTAGTACTACTCCCCCCCCCGTTCTCAGCAGTCCGCGTCACCCCGTCAGAGAGTACTACTCCCTCTCCAATACCAGTGCATGCCCATGTGCGATTACCCACTTGGTCCTTTCACTAGACTTGACACTTGTTCCTGGAAGTTTCTTGCAAACCTCGTCTCGCGAGGCGCTTAGAGACTTCCCTGCCTTCGGGCCCCGTCGCCTTCGGGCACCACGCACTCTCACACGCCAATACACGCGCGGCCGGCGCCCCTCATGCCCTTCCCCACGCACACCGCGTGAAAACTGCGCGTACGTCCCCGCGCGCACGCAAACACACGCCCAGCGCCCAGAAGCCTGTGTCATGTGCGTCTGCCCTGTGCTGGCACCCCATGGCTGCGCCAGCCGCCCGCACCAGCCACGCGCCTCTCGCACCATCAGAGCTAGCCGCACGACCACTCACGCCGCGACGCGCGCGCCGCAGTGAACCTCACTGACAGTCTACGCCCTTTGCCAGGCGCCTACACACTGTTTCAGGCATCATGCCCTACCAGAGCGCGCCGCGCCCGGCACGACGCAGCTCCAACGCGCGAGGCGCGCGCGGCGGCACGCCGCGCGCGGCGGCCGCCGCGCACGCGCCCCGCCATCCGACCAGATCTGCACAGCCTGCCAGCAGGCAATGCAGCAGACCTGCTGGACACTCAGCACACACGCACGCTCGCGCCGCCCACTCACTGCACGGCTGACTGCACCCCGCGACAGCTCCGTTCCACCAGGCGAGGCGCGCTGGCTCGCCGCGCGCGCGCGCGCGCTCCCAGGCGGCTCGGCCAAGAATGCTTCACCTCCCCACGCCTGTGGCTGTGCAGAGTGCCCTCTGACTCTATGCGACAATACGTCGAGGTCTGCGCCGCCCGCGGCGCGAGCAAGCAGGAGCATCCCCCCTTCCCCCCTAACCCACATGCCATACTCACAAACAGCCGAACCCCCCCTACCAACATTGTACCGAACCCTTGCCTCACCTCTCACCCCTCACCCCTCACCTCACCCTTCACCATCTCCCTCTCTCCTCATCCCCTCCCCCCTACCCCCTCACCCCTCACCCCTCACCTCCTCACCCCCCATCCCTCTCACCCCTCACCCCTCACCCCCTCACCCCTCAATCCTCACCCCTCACTCCTCACCCCTCACCCCCCACCCCCCACCCCCCACCCCTCACCCCTCACCCCTCACCCCCCGCCCCTCACCCCTCACCCCTCACTCCTCACCATTCACCCCTCACCCCCCCTTCTCACCCCTCACCCCTCACCTCTCACCCCTCACCCCTCACCCCTCCTCACCCCTTCCCACCTCAAAAAGAAAACCTCGCGAGTACGGGAAAGACCAACACTCCACTACACTCACACTCGGGAGATAGCCAGCACATGACCTGCACCTTCTTTTTCTTCCACAAAAAGAAAACCTGTTCGCTAACTCTGCTAAAAGAAAAACACCCTCGCTAGCCCATAGAAATTGTCAAAAAAGAACATCCTTGGAAACGTCACAAACGAAAAATGGCGTAGTGTGTGTAGCACCGCTGCCAATGACTGCCGGGGCGTCACACTGACAGCGAGAAGGAACTCACCAGTCCGATAAGGATCAACTGGAAAGCTGAACCCTGGGCTTAGACAGAACGGGCGTGGCAGGCTCCAGGGGAGACCACGCTCTACCCGGGGCGCTAAGGAGGGAAATCGAAGCTGTCGGGCGTCCAGCGAAAAAACTCGCGAGGACACACCGACAATCCCCCCTCCCCGAGGACCGAACCTAGGCACGTAGAGCACGGGTCATCTCGGAGAGAGAAAGGGGAGGGAAGAGGGGGGGGATAAGGGAGCCGAGATACGCGGGAGTACCCTGGGAGTGAGAGCTCTCATTCATGGTCGTGAGACCAGGGGAAGCCACCATGGGGAACGGGCACCCAAGGCACTAACTTCATCACTCATTCACCCCGCGCGATCTAGCAAACCCTGGTGCAGTCGGTCTTCGGATCAGCGGCCAGTTTCCCATTAGGGCAGGGAACCCCCGGCGACGCAAGTGTGGCCTACGGTAGCCACAGCTAGTACGCGATTCAGGGGCTGGGGGGAGTGGGGCGCCAGCGCCAAGGGGGAGAGAATGGAGGGGGGAGAATATGCGTGCTCGTTTTTCTTCTAAAGCAATTTTTTTGACACTTGTTCCTGTCCGGTCCTTTTTCCTGTAATGTGCAAAGCTGTAACTTACCCGGCGTAACTTCAAAGAGTTTCCTAGTTCGCGTTCGACCTTCGAGTCGTTGAGACCCCAGCTCTCGAGTCGACAGGGCGCCGTCCCGTTTTGATCTCTCGCGTCTCGGTGAGTGGGGGGCCGAGCCGCCTCGGGGTGGCGGGCGGGCGGGCGTTTTGAAAAACAGAAAACAGAAAACAAGCGGGGGCCTGGGGCCCCAGCGCAGGCCCCCCACCGGGAGTAGAAAATACGCCCAAGGGGGCCAAGGAGGCGGGCGCGGGGGGAAGCACAAGAGCAGCATCAGGTGAGAGCAGGAAGGATGGCGCTTAGTTAGGGTCAGCTTTGAACAAGGGTTTCCAGGTTTTAGATCAGTATTGGTGTCGGCACACATCCCCACATATGAGGTCAGCGGCGCGCAGTGCCTCTCTCGCAGGCTGATTTTGGCTGTTTTCGACCTTGTTTTTGTTTTCAGACTAGGGGGCCCGACCCCCTCAGAGGCGGCGGGCGGGCGCCCACTCACCGAGAGATCAAAACGGGACGGCCCAGCTCGAGCGGACCGGACGACCCGCGACCGCGACCCGGAGGGGGAGCGGGAGGCGGAGCCGGACGACCGGTTCACCCGCGGCCGCGCGCGAGACCGTGAACCGACCTCCGGTTTTGTGTGTTGTATCCGTGAGGAAGTTTTCGTTTTTCGAGCGCGCCGCTCCTGAATTGTGTATTTATTGTGTCTGTTCCTCGAGCTGAGTTTTCGAGCGTCGAGACCGCAGGGGGGAGGAGGGCTGGAGGGGGCCGCCAAGTTTCTCCGCCGCAACCCTCGCCACCGCCGCCCTCCCCCTCGCAGCCGCCCTTACCTCCTCCGCCGTCCCCACCGCTACCCTCGCGCCGCCGGGAGGCCGCCGCCGCCCTCGCCGCGAGAGGGAGGGAGACCTCGCCGAGGAGCTCCGAGTCCTCGAGGCCGCGTTGAGCACGTTCATGGCGATCGTCGTCGACTCGTAGTTGGAGATCCACGAGTCGGGGGAAAAGGTGAGGTAGTATTCTCTCCCAGTGCGGTTGTATTCGTGCATAAACAGATGCTCCACCTCTCCCGGGGTGACGCCTTGCGTGTAATAGGTCTTGAAGGTCGCCTCGAGTTTGTACGTGAACGGGTCCTGTTGGCGGAGGGCCCGGGGGTGACAGGACGAGATGCGAGGGAGGGAGGGAGCGCGCAAGCGTGAGTCAGGGCGGGAGGGAGAGCGCGCCATGATGGTGTAGACGAGAAAATAGCACTGGTACCAGAGCGCAGTCTGTATGCAAGTTTTCGTTTGGCCTTTCCCTTCCCGGGAGGAAGCCGGTGACGCCCGCGAAGGGCAGGCAGGCCAGCTTGTCAAACAATGGGTAACGCCAAGCGTAGAATTCATCGGTTCCCGGGGCCTGGCCCTGCCTCGTGGCCTCGTAGTGCTTGTAGATGGCGCTGCCACAGAGCCCACCAAATCGAGTCCAGCAAGTACTCGGGGTCGCAATGGTACGTCGACGACACGGCCAAAATGAGCCCACCGAGCCCCACGATGGCAAAGGTGGTGACGGGGAAGGAGATGAGCGCGTCAATGTCCGCCGTGGTCGTGCGCTGCAGGAACCCTCACGACGTGGCATCCCGGTCCGGTAGAACCGCCCTTGATCTCAGCCACCACATCAAAGGCGCCGCACTGATTGGCGACCCAGATGGTGAAGGCCAGGCAGCCGAGGACCATGATCTCGGTTTGGAAGCGCACCCAGATTTTCAGGTAGGTTTTGGCAGGGCGGAGAGCGTAGCTGGCTTTTTCTGTGTCGCGATGCACGTGCGCAGCGCGCTGCAAATAATGGGTCAGCTTGTGCAGAAGGAGGTCGTACACGATGCCCGTCGCGACAATAATCACGAAGGCCCAGTGAGACAGCGCAAAGCTGTCGGTCTGGTTGCCCCAGACGGGATCACTGCCCATGCTCTCGAATGCTCGCCTGGTTTGCAGATTTCGAAGCCGACTGGGCCGAGTGCACTTTCTTCTTTTTCCGTTTCGCACCCACAGGCCTCGCAGGCTCCCTCGGCCACCAACTGCCATGCCACCACCCGCCAAGTCGCCCGCCGCCGAAGCGCGTGCCGTCGTCGCCGCCTCCCTGTCGGCGACGAGTCAGCTCTCCGCGGCCGTGTCGAAGCTCGACGCGAAGGCCTGTAAGGCCTTCGTCTCCGACCCCTGCGGCCTCCGGCTCCTCACCGCTCAGCTTCACGCAGGCGGCAAGTCGCAGGCGGCAAGCGACGCTGCATGCGCCCTGTGGCACCTGCAAGACACGTGCGCAGAGCTCGATTACGACATCGGTGATGAGATCGCTGAGGTTGGCGCAATCGAGCCTCTCGTGCACATGCTGTCCGCCGCCTCCGACTCCGCCGCCGCCGAGAACGCGGGGGCTGTGCTCAACCGCCTGACCGTCTACCGGAGTGGCGAGGACGTCGGCACGCTGCGCGGCTGCGGTGCGCTCCAGGCGCTGCTCGGCCTGCTGCGCCGTGGCGTCCGGCTGCTCAAGCGAGGGTCCGAGGCGAGGGCGGTGACGGAGGCGGTTGGCACCCTCGCCAATCTGATCGAAACCTCATCCATGCGCGAGGCGGTCTCCGATCCGGAGGAGGGGGCGGTCACCGAAGCGGAGGCGACCGGATTCGTCAAAGACGTCGTCGACCTGCTTCGGCACGGCAGAAACTGGGCGGTCTTGCACTCGCTGAAAGCGCTCTACTACCTGACCACTTTCGACGCACGCTTCACCGACCGTACGCTGCGAGCGGTGGTGGAGGCCGGGGCGATCGACGCGATCCTCAACCTGTTGCGCAATTGGGATTCGGACAGTGAGGACTGGGGCGAGTTCTGGCAGCTGCACGTCTATGTCGAGCTCGCAGAAGATGCCGTGGGCGACGGTAAGTACGTCGATGCCGTCGACCTCGCCGTCAGTGTGCTGGACACGCTGAGCGACCCCGCAAACAATGACTGCACGGTCTCGGGGCGCCCCATCCCGCACCTTGTGCTGGCTACGCTCGGCGTGCCGTTGCGTGACCTCGTGCCGGTGTTCGAGTCGAGCGCCCGGGCTGCGAGGGTGTGGCTGAAACTCATCAGCCGCAGCTGCACCGTCCACGCGCAGGAGCTGGCCGACGCCGAGACAGCCGACGAGTTGCGGTCTGCGCTTGACCGCGGCCGTGGCGCAGGAGCGGATCTGCTCGCCCCAGAGCCGTACCGGCGCGGCCGGGAGCGGCTGGAGGCGCTGGAGAAGGCCGAGAAGCGGCGCGAGCGGTGCGAGACGCCCTGCCGCCTACTGCCGCACACTCTCTGCCTTCCTCTCCGAACCACCGCCGCCTCTCTCCTCCCACCCCCCCCACCTTGTTGCGCCGCCCCCCGAGGTGCGAGACGCTCGGCCTCCGCATATCTCCCCATATCTCCCCATATCTCCCCATATCTCCCCCGAGGTGCGAGACGCTCGGCCTCCGCGCCGTGCTCACCCCCGACGAGTTCCTCTGCCCGATCAGCAAGGGTGCGATGCACAGTCCTGCTTTGTAGCGGGGGGCGAGCGAGCTCCGAGATGGCGCGAGATGCCGCACGGCCGTAGGCGTGATGCGCGACCCCGTCGTCGCCTCGGACGGCCACACCTACGAGCGCGTCGAGATCTCGCGCGTCCTGCAGATATACCCGAGCAGGAGCCCGCTGACGCGAGAGCGGCTGGAGCCGCACCTGTACCCGAACCGCGCGCTCCTTGCGCGCATCGCCAACCACGAGGTCGGGGTGCGGCCGGCGGGCTCGGCTGGGGGGCGACATCTCGCCGCCATCTCGGCGAGCTGCGAGCTTTAGGCGGAGGTCATCGACGGGCTCGAGGAGGCGATGCAGCTGGGCGCCGCGTCGGCGCAGGCGGCCTCGCCGCCCTCGGAGCACGGCGCGGTCGCTCCGTCGGGCGGGCGCAAGCGGCGCACGGCGGCGTCGCCAGGCACGCGCAGTGCGCAGAAGAAGGGCTGCCGCCCGAAGAAGGCGGCTTCGCGGTCGGGGGAGTGAGGCCGCTCGCGGGACGGCCCGCCGCGGGACTGAGGCGCGCGGCCGACTGCGCGAAGAGGGCCCGGCGACGGATGCACTGGGGCCCACACCAGCTGGGCCCTCAGACGTACTGCATTCTGCGTCGTGGGCCACGTACAGTAACTCTGCACTACGTTCCTTCGCCATATGTACAGCGAGAGTACTCGCGCGGCGTCGCACGTCGCACGTGCGCCGAGCCCCCCCGCGAGGTCTGAATCCGTGATCGGCTGATCGCGTGCATCTTGTCGCGCGCGGCCCGGGCGCGTGCCCGACAACAACTTTTGTGATTGTGTGCCTCTCGATACGTGCGGTACCTGAAAGCTGAATCACTTGTGTGTTGTAACTTCGGTGCGGCGCTCCGAGCGAGCAGAAGATACATACAACACAACACCGGGCAACGATGGTCCGCTCCGCCGCAACGACGAACGAGTAAAATGTGAGCGCTCGGGCCACGAATCACAAACCGACGACCCACTCTCCGCGCACCCGCGGGGGAATGAAGCGGGACGATGTGTGAACGTCGAGCTATAAGAGCCGTCTCGCGGCAGCCTGCGCCACTCAACCCCCCCGACCCCCCACCCTCCTCCTCTCAAGCCCTCCTCCCCGCGCAACGCCTCTCGCTAGCCCGCCCTCCCTACCCTCTCTCCTCCCCTCCGCGCCCGCGCGACGTGGCCGCCCAGTCGCATCCCGCCGCAAGCCGCAAGCCCGAGACGGCGGCCTCGCCCTCGAGCGGCCCGCCAGCGGCGCAGCCCAATAAGCTGGCAGCGCCGTCGGCTGCCGCTGCCGCCGGCTGCCGAGACGCGACTCTCGCCCCGGCGCCTCGGCGAGCGAGCTGCCGGCGGCGTGTGCGGGGAAGGCGGCTCACGCTGCCGAGCCAGCGCTGCCGAGCTCACTGCTGCGCACACTGCACCCGCTGGCCGCCCGGGCCGCCCTCCTCGTCCTCCTCGTCGAAGGTCCTCTCGGGCAGGTTCTCGAGGTACGACGTCAGCGGGTCGATGTCCTTGAGAGTCACCTCGTCCACGTCGTCGTCGCCTACAGGAAGGTTCCAGGAAAGGTCTAGGAAAGGTCTAGGAGAGAGTCAGCTCGTCCACGTCGTCGTCGCCCGGCTTGGCGGTGACGGTGTGCTTCGGCGGCGGCAGCAGCTTTGCGAGCGACGCCTGCGTGGCGGCGTTCAGCGCGGTCGGGAACTCGATGTCGATGATGATGAAGAGGTTCCCTGCCCGGGGGGAAGGCGCGGAGCGGTGGGAAGGCGCGCGCAACCCCCGGGGGGGGGGGGGGGTGTCCCGGGAGGGGCAAACCGCGGCGGCACACAGGGAGTGGCCCAAGGGCGGCCCGGGGGGCGGCCCGGGGGGCGGCCCGTCGGGCGGCGCGGCGGGCGGTGCGGGGGCCGGGGCCCCGCGGGGGCCGGGCGGCGCGGTGTGGTGAGCGGACCGTGCTCAAACGGCGACTTGAGGCGCGGCATGCCCTCGCCCTCGACCGCCTTCATCAGGCGCTTTGCGGCGTCCTTGGCGGGGTCGGAGACGACGTACAGCTTCGAGCCGCGCGCGGGCGCCTTGGCCGCCATCGCCTCGTCGAACGTGCACTGCTTGAAGACCGTCTTGCCGCCTTTCTGCACAAAGGCGCCGATGCCCTTCCCCTTGAGCTGCCCCCCCTCGACCGCCTTCTTGCAGACCTTCAGGTCCTCCGTCTCCGCGACCGCCGCATTCTCGATCGAGGGGCAGTCGTGGTCGTCGTACAGCGTCCACGCCTGCAGACCACACCGCCGGGCGCGTCACGAGGCGGCCCCGCGGGCCGTGGCCGCCGCACGCACCGCCCGCGCCTGCGCAGCCTCCTCGCTGAAGGGGGTGTACGCGACGGGCCGAATCACCTCGCCCGGCGCGGAGGAGATGATGAGCGTCCGGCCGTCGAGGGCCTTGAGCTCCATCTTGAAGCCGCACAGCGCCTGGAGAGAGGGAGAGAGGGGGGGGTAATCAGGGGACAGGCGGAGGGGCAGGGCGCAGGGAGATGCAGCAGGGGCGTGTTGCAGGGGAGGAGAGGGGAGGAGAGGGGAGGGAGGGGCGAGGAGGGAGGGAGGGAGAGGGAGGGAGAGGGAGGGAGAGGGAGGGAGAGGGAGGGAGAGGGAGGGAGGGGCGAGGGGGCGAGGGGGCGAGGGGGCGGGCGCCTTTTCGGAGAAGTTGATCTTGTGCTGGTCGGGCGCCCCCTTGGGGATGTGGACGTCGAGCGTCTCCTGCTGCTTGGACTGGCGGAACGTCTGCCCCGTCCCTCCGCACACCTCGCACGTCTTTTGCACCTGTTGGATCATCGGACCCATCCGGATCGTCTGGATCCGCGCGCCCTGCCCGTGGCATGCGGAGCAAGTCTCGACGCCGCGCTGGCGGTCGATCACCTTCCGCGTCAGCCGCAGCGAGCGCGTCGCACCCTTGTACAGCTGCTCCAGCGTCACCTACCCGCAGGCTCCCCACAGCTGCGGCGACAGCCTCCGCGGCACTTGCCGCCGCCCAGCGCTGCGGCGAGCCTTGAGAGGGTGCACCATCGGCTCGCCCTTCTTGACGCGGCTCTGCTGCCGCCCGCCGCGGCCGCGGCCGGAGAGGACGTCGAAGATATCTCCCGGCCCTCCGCCGCCGCCGCCGCCCTCTTCGAGCCCCTCCTCGCCGTACCGGTCGTACAGCTCCCGCTTCCTCTCGTCGCCAAGCGCGTCGTGGGCCTGGCGCGGAGGAGACGAGGAGCGGGATCGGCGGGAGGCGCGTGCGCCGCTGCGGTGGGAGGCGCGCCGCTCCCGAGTGCCACCCGCCGTCTCCTCGGCCGCCGCCGCCAGGCGTACCCGCGCTGCGCGCCGCACACACGCTCACGCGGGATCGGCCGAGGGGGGGGCGCTCGCCTTCTGGATGTTCTTGAATACCTCCGGGTCGCCGCCCTTGTCCGGGTGGTTCTTGACAGCGGCCTTGCGGTATGCCTTCTTGATCTCATCCTGCGTCGCCGTCTTGGGCACGCCAAGCAGCTTGTAAAAGGACTCGTTGTCGACCGGCTTGCGGTTCCGCCGGCCGCCCATGCCGCCGGGCATGCCGCCCATGCCGGGCATGGCGTCCTCAAAGCCGGGCGGGAGCCCGCCGAAGAACATCTGTGCGGGGTGACGCGCAGTCGCGAGAGCGCAGTGGAAGGTGGAGCCTCGAGGCTCCTGTCTGTTCCTGGGGGCGTGGTTGGTGGAAGAATCCAGACTCAACAACCCTAAGCACACATGAGGGTGGGCGAAGGCTAGCACCACACTCCTCTCCTAAAAATCCCAGGGAAGGCAAGCAGAATTCACACAAAATTCTCGCTTTCTTTTTCTGTTGCGCCCGGCGCCGTCGCGAAGGGGCTCTCCAAATACCACTCTTTGCAACGATGGCGGGCTCCTCCTCCGCCATCACGCTGGTGCCGGCCTCGCAGCAGACGCCAGAGTCCCTCGACAGCGAGATGGCCGCCTTCCTCACCGAGGTGAAGACGATATTCGACGCCGAGAAGCTCTCGAGCTCGGACCAAATCGCGCGGCTCTTCCGGCCAGGCGCAAAGTACTTCAACATGAACCCGTTCGAGGTGCTGGGGCTGTCGCACACCGCGAGCGTCGACGACGTGCGGCGCGCGTACCGCCGCATGTCGGTGCAGGTCCACCCGGATAAGAACCCGGGCAACGACCTCGCGGCGCCCGCGTTCGAGATCATCAAGGAGGCGCACGACCGGCTGGACGACCCGGAGCGGTTCGCCTTCTGCGCGCGGATCTGCGCGGCGGCGCAGGACGCGGTGGAGCGCAAGGTCGCCAAGGAGAAGAAGCGGCTGCGCAAGGAAGGCGCCAGCGAGGTTGTGCCCGAGGATGACCCGGCGACGATGGAGCTGCAGATCAAGGTGATGATCTCACGCATGTTTGCAGAGTTCGAGCAGCGCAAGGCGCAGCTGGCGGAGCGCGATAAAGAGATGCAGAAGCGGGCCAAGCAGGAGCAGGCCGAGAAGGAGTTCATGGAGGCGCTGCAGAAGAAGGAGCAAAAGATGTGGGAAAAGTCGCGCCAGAAGCGCGTCAACGGCTGGCGCGCGTGGGCGGGCGGCAGCTCGAGCAAGACGATCTCCAAGATCCCGAACAAGGTCAAGGAGGAGCGGCGCAAGGACGGCACGTCCGGCTACAACGAGGCCCAGGACGAGCGCGGCGAGTCGTACAAAGAGGATTGGCCATGAGGGGGAATGACGGCGCCGCGCTGCTTGCCGAAGAAGGGGGGGGGGGGGGGGGGTCTACATCTGCGGAGCCGTGCGGGGAGTCCGCGCCACTCCCAGCCTGCCCTCGTCATCGCTCGAGGCGGCGCCCGCCTTGTCGGGCAGGAGCGTCTTCTCGTCGTCGGAGCACGGGTGTTGACGCGAGGCGCGCACGAACGCCACGGCGCCGAGGATGATGGCGGCGCACCCGAAGGAGACGAGGAGGGGCGAGGGGTCGGCTGCTGCCTTGGGGCGTGCCGCCACGTCGGCCATGTCAGCGCGCGCACCCGCCTTGAAGGTTGCGTCGGGGAGCGCCGGCGGATGCTCGGGGCACACCTTGTTGATTGCGTCCAGCGCCGCCTGCGCCTTGTAAGAGGCGCCGCTCGGGGAGGTCAGGTCGTGGCCCTGCTCGATGTGCATCTGGTAGACCTTCCGCAGCCGCGCGTTGGTCCGGTCACACTCGAGGCTGATGCCCTGGAAGTTCTCCTTGTCGCGCTGCACGGCCGACGCCCAAGCCCACGCACAGATGCACCAGTGGCCGCCCGACGAGACCACGCTGCTGAGGTCGTTGCCGTCGTTTTGGGCGGACGAGGCCAAGAAGGTGTCTGACATGGTGACGCAGACCTGGTGGTAGCCTGTCGCCGGGGGCGGCAGCGAGTGAGTGTCGCTGTGCTGGGGGCCGACGACGGCGTGGCGAATGCGGGCGGGCGCACCCGAGTCCATCGGGTCCCAGACGCACGAGCCCGAGCGTGTCCAGCCGGTCGTCGTGCCGTCGCTCGACTGGGTGCATGACTGCAGCGGGCCTCCCACCAGGGACTTGTCTCCCTCTCGCTGGCACATCCGGACCGCATGCACGTCGTCGAGGCGCGAGTCGAAGTCGGTCATGCGGTCCTCGCTGAGCGCGAAGCCGTCGCCCACGAACTTGCCGCCAAAGAAGACGAAGGAGTGGTGCTGCGAGCCGTGCACGCACTGCAAATACTTGTAGAGCGGCGCGTTATCCTCCGGCCAGACGGTCTCCACGAAGCACGCGCCAGCGCCCTCGAAGCGGCGGCGCGCAATGCCGGTGCACGGGCAGCGCATCCAGCCAAGCAGCGCGAGGGGTTCGCTCTTCATCTTGCGGAGGTTCTCGAGGTCCGCATCGGTCAGGCCGTCGATGCCGGTGCAATCCTTCTCGCACGTACGGCCTGCCTTCGCGTCCGCGAGCCGGGTGGTGAGCTCGCTCTCCGACATGGCGCCCGGCTGCAGCTTGAAGCCGTTCCCGACGAACTGGCCGCCGATGTAGACGTAGGAGTGCATCTGCATCGTGCCGACGGTCTCGTGCGGGTGGAGGCACTGCAGGTACGTCCAGAGCGGGTCGGCGGGGTCCGTCCACGAGATCGTGTGAAAGCACGCGTGTGCCCCCTCGAGCCGCGCCACGGCCGCGTCCGTGCAACGCATGTGCGGCATTCCCAGCAGCGTCACCGGCTGGGTGCGGATTGCCTCCTCCATCTCGGCGATCCGCGAAGGGTCCACCAGGGCCTTTTCGGCCGTGCAAGGCGGAGGCAGGGCCGCGCGTGTCGGAGCGACGGGCAGCAGCGGGTGGATCAGGGCGACCTTCCGGAAGATGACGCCCATTCCCGAGTTGAATCCTTGCGCCGCACGCTGGCGGCAAAATTCCTCCGCCTCTGTGGAGGACTGCGCGCTCTCTTCCTTTTTCCGCGCAGCGAGCATCCCCACGATGATCCCGTCGTGGTCGGAGCGGTGCGCTCCAGTCAGCTTTCCTGCGGAGCAAGTCAGCTCGGGCGCGGATGGCCTATCTCCTCCGGTCAAGGTCTCCGTGCCTTCTCCAAAGGGGGAGCGATAGGGCTCTCGCAGCTTCGTGGCGTTGAGGCACGGATCGCCGTAGACGAGAAAGTTAAATCGTCGTTCTCCCGCTGCGGTCGAGATGGTCTTGGTGTCGACCTTGAGGAAATCCTGCGCGGCATGGAGAGGCGGCGTGAAGGGAGGCGCGGAGAGAGCGGTGGCGGCGGTGGGGCGCCGGCCTGCGTGTCGCAGACGCATGGCGAGCAGCAGTGGTAGGTGACGCCGGTGACACGGTCTCCCGACAGGGTCGGAAGAGAGTACTCCCAACGGTTCGACTCGCTTGGAACGACTGGCGATCCACTGATCGGACAAAAGCCGCCAAAGAGCTCGACAATTTTGGACGGCTGCAGGTCCGCCGCCTTGTCGAGAATCCACGACGCCCAGAGGTGAGAGGCGGCGTTGCGGTTGCCCGTCTTGAAGATTGAGCTGTAGTTGGCGCGCATGTCCCTGATTGTCACTGCGGAGGCCACAGAGAGCATCAGAGCCAGCATGGTCGGCCTCATTGTGAAGCGTGAGAGCCAGGAACTGCCAGGAACTGCCAGAGAAATGGAGGGGAATTCGAGTGAACTCGGTGTTAGTTGTGCCCACTGCGCCTCACCTGGGCCACTTCCCGCAAAAGAATTTAAACAAAACAACTCGGACCTACAGCAGACAGGCTCGCGATGCGCTCCCCGCTCCCGTTCCCCTGTGTCCCTGATCGTCCTTACAAGATCCTGCTCGTGCAGGTGGGGACCCTGTCCTTCTCCCACCCCTCGTTTGGCGTGCCCGTTTTATTTATTTATAGCAGACAGGCTCGACACAGGTGCAAAAGAATTTTACAAGAAAACTCCCTCGCAAGACACTAGGCACGGGACTGGCGCGCACTGGCACTAACACAGGTACACCACGGGAGCCGCCTAAGCGACTCCCGCGAGGACGGCGAGGCACTTTGCTCCGCGGTTACTGGACCGTCACCAGTAGGAGCGCCGGTGTTGGCTGACTACTGTATGCACTATGCACTTAGGTTTGAAGAACTTCATTTTTTCCGTTGATATTTCTCTTGTGCAGCCAGAGGCCACACGTCACATCGATGACCTGTTATCCACCTGGTCCAGCTCTAGGATGGGCTACGGGCTACAGGCGTGTTCCTGCCGTGTGAGCGGGGACTGCCTGGAGTCGAGTCCGCTAGTAGGAGTAGGTGTGCGCGCGCCGTGTTGCCCTTCCCCGGGATAGTGCTCCCGGGCCGCTCCCTTCCTGCGACCGCGCACCCCCCCCCCCCCCAGCCAGGGTTAGAGGGCTATTGCCCGCAGCCCGCTCCCGAGCATCTGGCTGGCCCGCTGGGTGCTCTTCTTAGCTCCCCGGCCCTGGATGTGAGGCTAATGACTGCACTCCAAAAGTGAAGCCGAGCAGCTCGCTGTCTCACGTACCGATGCACAGCCGCTGGATGTTCGGTGATGGCGCAGGCCAAAAGAGCGCGGCGTGACGCATTTAGATCTAACAAGGCTGGCTGTGAACTGGTAGTCCCGCCCGACGGTGCTCGAGTCTGCCATTGGGCACGGGCTAGTCTAACTCCGCGGCACGTGGGTAGTGGTGTGTGTGCATGAAGTTCGGGAAAATATGGAAACAGGAGCAGTCGAACGGCATCCTGTGGGCGTACATTGACTACAAGGCACTCAAGAGGCTGATGAAGGCCCAGGGCGCTCAATCGGCTGACTTCCGCCAGGCGTTGTGGTCTGAGTTGGAGAGGGTGAACCAAGCTTTCGTGAGCGCCGAACGACGCTACCTAGCCGACCTGACGGTGCACCTGTCCGGCGAGCGGGAATCAAGCGGCTACTTCGGCGAGGTGGGCTTGACTCACCATACCGCCCTCTCCATACCGCCTCTCCTCACTGCCACCTCCCAGTGCTACCTTCATCGTCTTCGCCAGGTCGAGCTGCTCCACCGCGCCTGCGTGCTGAACTACGTTGCCGCGCTGAAAGCGGTCAAGAAGCACGACAAGGTGCAACATCGCCGCCATCGCCACCGACACCGCAGCCGCCGTCGCCGTCGGCCGTCGCCAGCCGCTGCCACAGCACCACCGCGGCTGATCCAGCCTACCCTCAATCGCCGCCCGTCGCAGGTGTTCGGCACGCCGCTCCGTCAGGAGCTGCTCGAGCACCTCTTCTCCCTCCCCTTTGTCCGCTCCCTCGACCACTCCTTCCTGTTCGAGGAGTGCTGGCGCTGCGTCTCGGAGGCGCCCAGCTCCGCCTCCGGCGCGCTCGACCACGCGCTCGCCGCCTCGATCCGGCAAGGCTTCGACGCGATGCGGCGCCTCAAGCCCGATTCCGTCACGGAGCGGGAGATTGAGCGCATGCTTGGCGCCGACGGCAATCCCGAGGCGTACTTTCCAAAGGCGCCGAGATACAGCCGAGATACAGCCAAGATACAGCCGAGATGCAGCCGAGATACAGCGGGAGGGAGGCTGAGGGAGAGAGGAGGGAGAGTGCAGCCGAGACTGACTGAATCGGCCACTAGTCGAGATACAGCCGAGATAGCGCGCTCGCCTCGCGAGATACAGCCGCTCGCCTTGAGGGCCTTCGGGTTGGCGGCGGTGCAATCGAGCTGTGGCCCCGTCCTCGACCTCCCCACCCCCCTCTCCCACTCGCCCCCTCTCTCGCGCACGGAGTGTCGCCCCCCTCCACCGCCAGGCGACGCGGCCCCCCGCGTGCTCCCCTGACGGGAGCCTCTCCTCGGTCCCCTCCTCGTGGAGTGAGGCGCCCACGCTGCCAGCCTCCCGCACCCGCGGGCCCGTGTCTGCCAACGGTTCGCCACTTGGCTCGGCGCCCATCCACATCGCTCGGCCGCGAGAGGGCGCGGAGGGCGACCTGCCGCTCTCGCATCCGGTCGGGCATGGGCTCACGGCGCCGCTCGACCGCGCGCGGACCCTCGGGAGGGTCCGCGGCAGGCTTCAGGCGCCGCGCGACCGGACCGAGCTGGGCAGTGGCGGCAGGATGAGCGGTGCGGAGCCCGAGCTGGACAACGCGTGTATCTTCGAGCTCACGTTCGAAGCGTAGAGGTGGGCGGCGGGCGGCGGGCGGCGGGCGGCGGGCGCGAGGGAGGCGGCAGACCAGGCCCAGGCTAGGGCGGGGGCGCTGGATCTCGAAGTCGGAGCCGGGACACGAACAGGCGACGAATGGGCATGCGTATGGTGTGGGGGTCATGGGCGAGGTACTTCCCGCTGAATCCGCAAGCCCCCTCGATCATGTTGCAGGCAGCGTGATTCGATGTGAGAGCGAGCGTGCTTCGGAAGCCCAGCCTCGCCAGTCGCCGCGCGAGCACATTCGACCGTTCGTGTGCCGACTTCCCCAGCGACAGCAGCAGCGCAATATCCCTTCCCGGCGCCGCCAAGGCGCGAACCTGCTCAATGCCATCAGGCGACGAGAGGTTGAATGAAGAGAGGGGCGGCCAGCCCTGTGGTCTTTGTGACCGACGCGGCAGCGCGGCGTCCTCGCTGAGCACCGCCGCGTTCATCGCGACGGACCAGGAGGGAGCAGGCCCCACGCCTGCCCGCAGCGCTAACTGTTGGTGGCAGCACGCACGTACGATGCCGGCGCGGCGCGCGGCCCCAGCAGGGAGGTAGCAGAGTGTCGAACCACCAGCCCGACGCTCACTACAAGTGAGGCAGCGCAGTGCGTGTCAGCTCGAAGTTCGTAAGTAAGTACCTCGAGGTAAGCTCGTAGGCACCTTACAGGACGTGCGAGTTCGTATCGCGCGACTTCGGCCAGGCTGCTACGCTTACCGCGATCCACGTACCAAATCTCGCCCCTGCTCCTTCATGTCGATCCCGTCCCCCCCGCCGCCGCCTCTTTCGCCGTCGTCTCCCCGCATGCCAATGCACGCCCTGAGAGATGGACATGGCCTCTTTGCGATCCATCTGTTCGGCAGCGGTGCGAGAGATGCGATACATGGACCCCAGTTGCTGCACCGAAATGTAGCGCCCACCCGGACTCTGCTATGACGCAGGCGCCCTGTTGTGGTTAATAATCGTGATGCTCATCCTCATCTGCGGCTCGGTGGGGACTGAGAGATCAATCCCATGAACCCCTCGCCATACACGTACACGCTGCTCACTGCACGCCGCGCGGCGCGCACATTGATGAACCGTCGCGCCCTCCCTGCGAGCAGAGCAAGATGCTTCGAAGCAGTCGCCAAGGCTCCACAGCGTGGTCGGACGCCTCTTCAGACAATCTGGGCGACCTCCCAAGGCCGAATCGGAGAGCCGGGTGAGGGGCGTGTGAACGAAGGGCGGGGGTTACTCAGGCGACGCAAAGGCAGCGTTTGGATGGTTGCGTTGAAAGCGGACGGAGCAGTCTCCCCCCTCTGGACTAGCTGCGCGAAGGGACGGCTACGGCCAGAGGTCCTCAGCGCTGAGGTCTCCGATGCGAGCCAGCATTGTCCGTCTGCAAGCGAGCAAGCTTCCGCGTAGAAGAGCACACAGATCAGGGCGCAGCGGAGGAGAGACGAGAGAGAAGACGTATAGCTCCAAGTGGAAGTAGCAAGTGCATGGCTGAAGAAGAGGCTTCAGGCTTCAGCTTCACATGGCTCAAATGACTCAAGTGTGGTGGTGTCCGTCTCGCGTCTGGGATATATCCTCCGCGGCGTTCGGCTTCGCGCATCGCGGCGTTTCGGCCGCGCGCGGCGCGACTTGCGGCAGAGGTCGTCTGTCTCCGCTCCCTCGAACACCCCCTCCCGTAGGGGTTTTCCTTGTTTTCCCTCTCTCGGCGCGCGCGTGTGTCCGTGTGCGGTCGGACTGTCACACAGTGTGTGTTGAGTGTTGCCCCAGAGATGCAGTGAGATCTGAGTTTGGGGCCCAAAGTTTCAAAGTTTGAAACTGAGTTTCGACTCTAACAACTAACCACAACCAGAGGCAGAGGCCAGAGCTCGAGCACCCGTCCGAGCAGCAGCACGGGGTAAGTTCGAGGAGGTAGGGGTGGCGTTGAGATTCGATCCTGGCGCAACGCGCGAGACTGCATACATGTAGTCTGAAGAAGACTCGGGAGTGCCCTCTGCGCAGAGGAAAAGGGGAAGCTGTGGAAGGCCGGCCCCAGTTTCTCAAGTACGGTCGCCCTCTGCTTCTTCCCTCCCCGCCTCCATCTCGGCAGCCCAACGGTCGTACTCGGCGCGGCTAGTAAAGGCCGACTCGACGAAAGTCAAGAACTCTGGCGGCGGCGAGGGGCGGCCCTCGCTCGCTGCAGCCGCCTATGTGGCACCGAAGAGGGTCGGCCGCGGCGCGGTCGCGGTGGCGACGCCCCACGGAGGGTTCGCGAGGGCTCGAGCGCCTGCTCTGCTCTGAGCTGCTCCATGACAGAGGCGGGCATGGCGTGCGCCGCGTCGATCGGTGGCACTCCGTCGGTGCCTGCGGGAGGGCGAGGTGGCGGGGGTGGGGACACGCTAACCTCTCCCCCTGGCCTCCTCAGCGCGCGGGCGGCCGGCGAGAGGAGAGAGAGAGAGAGGCGGACTACGACTAGCGCGGCGGCGGCGCCGAGAAGCGAGAGGCCGGCGATACCTGCGCGCAAGGGAGGGGGGGGGAGGGGGGCTGTCTCGCGGCGCGGAGGAGGGGGGCGGTGTGTGGGCTTGTGTGGGCTCGCCAAAGAAGGGTGTGGACCATGTATACTCTCTCCTCGCTCGCCGAAGAAGGTGTGGAAGACGTCAGGGAGGTCTCCAGGCTTGTCGGCGATGCCGCCCTCCTCCTCGTCCTGGCAGGAGAGGATGAAGCGGCGCAGCGCCTCGCCGTCGATCCACCCGTCCCTCCGCAGCAGGCACATCGCAGACAGCACCCACCACGAGTAGCACACGTCCGCGTCCTGGCGAGGGGGCGGTTAGGGTTAGGGTTAGGGTTAGGGTTAGGGTTAGGGTTAGGGTTAGGGTTAGTCCTGCCGAGCCCCCCCCCCCCCCTCGCCCCTCCTCCAAGCCCCCCCCCCTCCAGGGCCGCGGGGGTGGTGGTGCGTCGAGGCGAGGCTGCGCCTTCTGCGGCCGGACATCTCCCCGCATCTCCCCGCATCTCCCCGCATCTCCCCGTATCTCGCACACAGGCCGCGCCTTCTGCGGCCGGACATCTCCCCATATCTCCCCATATATCTCCCCGTATCTCGCACACAGGCCGCGCCTTCTGCGGCCGGACATCTCCCCATATCTCCCCATATATCTCCCCGTATCTCGCACACAGGTCGCGCCTTCTGCGGCCGGCCGTTGAGGCCGCCTCCGGGCGTCTGCCGCTCGCAGAGCCACCAGGCGAGCTCCTAGGGACGAGAGGGGCGTGGTCGGCCAAGTGAGCCGCCAGCGCAACCGGGCGGCGCGGAGCTGGGCAGAGGGGAGGGGAGGGGGAAGCGGCGCCGCCCCTCGCGTTGTGCGCACCTCGCTCCGCACGCTGCCGAGCTCGCCGCCGATGGCGAGGGCGCCCACGCAGGTGAAGACCTGTCCCGCATGGGACTCGCCGCCAGGCTCGCAGCCGTACCTGCGACACAAACAAATCTCTCTCTCTCTCTCCTGCGACGACCGACCGCGAGGCACGGGGCGTGAGGAGGGGCGCGAGGAGGGGCGCGAGACAACGCCTTGCGCGCATGTCATCGGGCGCGGCGCCACGGGGCGTGCTGGCGGTAAGGGCACGCGGGGAGGTTTGGAGGGGCGTTGCGCCGCTCACCCGCCGTCGAAGTTCTCGCACGCACGCACGTACCTCACTGCGGCGGCAACGTCGATGTCGCCGAGCTTTCCAAGGAGCGACGCGCAGCAGAGCGCGCAGTACGAGAAGCGGGTGTCCACCTCGCCCCACTCGTCTCCGGCGAAGGAGCCGTCCGGCCGCTGCAGCGAGGCGACGTACCGCATCACGCGCCCGGCGTCGACAGTGTGCAGCGCGCCGAAGAGCGCGAGCACCTGCACGGCGGAGAGCGTGTAGAGCATATGCGCGTCGTGGCCGAGGTTGCCGCCGAAGCCGCCGCAGCCGCGCTGGCAGGAGCGGACGAAGGAGACGACCTGCGCCGCGTCGAGCGACTGCAGCTCGCCGAGGAGGTGCAGAGCGCAGGCGCCCCAGTAGACGCCAGAGAGGCGGAGGTGCTCCGAGACCTGGAACTCGAAGGAATCGGTGTCGGAGCTCACGCGGAGGATGTAGGAGCGGTGCAGTGCGCGAGCGAGCGCCGGCTCGGACGCGACGGCCTTCATCGGCATGCTGGTGTGTGTGTGGCCTGGCCCTTTAGAAAAACAAAAGCTAATTCTTATATGGGAAATTTTGGTGAGTCGTCTCAGTCTCACGTGAATTCGTCCCTGTCTCACTCTCAGCGTCTCAGCGGTGTCTCAATAGATCCATCACTCCGTCTCACTTCCGTCTCACTTCCGTCTCTGACTGCCTTCTCGTCCGTCTCAGCGCGGCAGGCCCGAGAGTGCCGAGATTGCCCAAGATAACCCGTGCAACCTCATGAGGTGGTCGGGGCAGTGTGGCAGGCGCCCGAGAGTACCCGAGATCGCCCTCGTGATGTGGTCAAGCTCGACCAGGCGAGACGAACTGCATGCGTTCATCTGCCCGTCGCCACGCCCGCGCGAGCCCGCACTTGGCTCCCAGCCCGCCGCCTCGCGCACGGACGCTGCACCACCGCCAGCCTGGCTGCACCACCGCCAGTGGGAACTCAGTCCTCGCAGAGCCACACACGATGACGGACTTGTTGCCGAACGACATGTCGTATCCTCGCGATGCTGTTGCCCGCCGCATCGCGAAGGTGAGCGCCTCGTCCACCGCGTTGAGTGTGTCCGCCGTCAGCATCGACACTTCATCGATCACGAGCACGTCGAGCGTCGCGAGAAGCTGCAGGTGGCCCTTCCTGCGCGGCGAGTCGAGTGCTGCGCGCTGAAAGACGCCTTTGGGGGACAGGCCGAAGGCGCGGTGCACGGTTACGCCGCCGACGGAAGTGAGACGGAGTGTTGGATCTATTGAGACACCGCTGAGACGGCAGGAAGGAGAGACGGAAGTGAGACGGAAGTGAGACGGAGTGATGGATCTATTGAGACACCGCTGAGACGCTGAGAGTGAGACAGGGACGAATTCACGTGAGACTGAGACGACTCAACGCACGCCCAATTCTTTTGAGACGCCACCTCCGACATGCTCGTCGCGTGGCTCATCGTGCTCGTGCTCGGAGCCGTAGCGGCCGAGCGCGGCGCGGTCAGCGGCGGTGCGCCGCGTCGCGCCAAGCGGTCCAAGCAGTCGCCGTTCGTGACGGCCGTCGCGGTTACCGAGGTCGGGCTGTCGCTCGGCGACTACTCGTATGAGGACGCCGAGCCGCTGGCGGCCGACGCGGTGGAGGTGGAGATGCACGCGTGCGCGCTGACCGCCGGCGATGTGCAGCAGCTTCGCGGCGCGTGGGGAACCTGCATGCTTCCCTTGGTGCCGAGCCGCGAAGCGGTGGGCGTCGTTGTCCGCGCCGGCAAGTCGGTCAAGGCGGTGGCGCCGGGCGACCGCGTCGGCGTGCTCCTCGGCACCGGTATGGACTTTGAGGACGTCGACAACGGCGCCGACCGCAACAGGCTCGACTTCGCCACGACCGGCGCCGCCGCGCACCGCATACGCCTCCCTGCGCGCTGGGCGGTGCCACTGCCGCCAGGGGTGCCGACGCTGCACGCGGCGGGCGGGCTGGCAACCGGAGGCGCGCTGTGGGGCCAGCTGAAGCGGGCGCGGCTGGGCCGCGGCGCCAAGGTTGGCGTGGTGGGCGGCGGCACCGCCGGCGGCCTGGCGAAGCAGCTCGCCGCCGCGCTCGGCCACGAGGTCCACTCGGTTGTGGCGGAGCGGAGCGGCGGCGGCGGCGGCGGCGAGGGCGAGGGCGGCGGCGAGGGCGGCGGCGAGGCGGAGGAGGCGCTGTGCGCGTCGGACGCGGACGACCTGCGGCTGCACTCGGGCTCGTTCGACGCGCTGCTCTGCGCGGCCGCCGATGGCGACCTCTGCCTCACCCCGATGCTGCCGCTGCTCAAGCGAGGCGGCTCGGTGCTGCTCGCGGCGGCGACGGCGCCGAGCCTGAGCGTCTCTCCGCGGCTAATGGCGGAGCGGCAGCTGACGGTGGTGGGGGGAGGGATGCCGAGCCGGGCAGACCTCGTCGCCTTCCTCGCCGCCTGCGAGGCGAATCGCATCAAGCTCTCCCAGGCGAGAGAGCACACCTGCAGTGCCGCCGCCCCCCCCGCTGCAGCCTCTCCTCCCCGCTGCACCCTCTCACTGCCTCACTGCCCCTGACCCGCCGCGCTCGCCTCGCCGCGGCCGTCGCCGCCACTCCCCTCCTGGCCGCCCTCGCCTCCGCTTCCCTCACCCTCACCGCGCGCCGCTCTCCCGCGCAGACCGCGCTCGAGTTCTCAGCAGAGTCTGGCAGCGCGGCGCTGCAGGCACTGGCACAGAGGCCGGCCGAGCAGGTGCTGCTGCAGCGGTCGGCGCTGCGCTCAAAGTGGCAGCGCGCCAACCGCGGGCGCGCCGCCAAGTCGCGCTCCGCCGTCCGCGCGCCCGACCTCGGCGCCGCGAGCGGCCTGGTCGCCGGCGGCGTCTCCTCCATGTTTGGCGCGCTGTCAAAGGCGCCGCTCACGGGAGGGCGGCGGGGAGGCGAGGCGGAGGAGGGAGCGGGGGAGAGACGGGGCGGCACGGCTGTCCGTAGGCTGCGGACGAGGCGAAGCGCTCGGCGTCGGCGGTGCGCGAGGGCATCTCCGCGGGCGTGGCTGGGCTGGTGGAGCAGGTGGAGCGCGAGGTCGAGGAGGAGGAGGAGGCGAAGCACGGCACGCTCAAGCTGGGCTACAGCGGCAAGCAGAGCGCCAAGGCGGCGGGCGGCGAGGAGGACGAGGAGGACGAGGAGGACGAGGAGGACGAGGAGGACGAGGAGGACGAGGAGGACGATCCGGAGGAGGGCGACGAGGAGGACGAGGACCTCGATGAGGAGGAGGAGGAGGACGAGGCAGCTGCACTCTTAGCCTTTTTTGGCCCCCATGCCAGCCCACCTCATGCTGCCCCCGCGACACCACGCGCAGGAGGACGAGGACGACGACGACGAGGAGGACGAGGACGAGGACGAGGAGGACGACGAGGAGGACGAGGACGAGGAGGAGGAGGAGGAGGAGGAGGACGACGACGACGACGACGACGAGGACTGAGACGGACTCGAGGTCCTTGCCCCAGCTCTGCTCCCTGCCCTCGTCGGCCAATGCTGCCTGCTGTCGAGCTGAGGGCGAGAGTGGCAAGGGTCTCGTGGCGGACGAATGGGAGCCAGAGAGGCTTAGTACCACCGACATGCGTTACTGATGGGGACATGTCATGTCTGTTCAGCTCTGCTCCTCGACTAGCTCGTAGAAGTGTTCTCCGCGCTATTTCGCGCTGTCAGTCTCTTGCTCGGCTTGAGCCCCTCTCGGACCCGTGAGAGGGGTTTCCGGTCGAGCAGCACTTGGAGTGCAGTCGAAACCAGAGGACCTTTTTGTTTGCGCGCTTGCTCTCTGCACTCTGGGGACTATCGACTAATCCGCATCTGTGCATTCTGCGCTGCGTGCTGGTCTGCTGTTCTCTGTGCTTCTCTGGGAGTTCTCTCCGGACTCCGCGCTGGCGCGCTGCCGGGGGCCCGGGCTGCTCGCTGCTGCGGTGTGCAGACGCCCGCGATCTCGGTTGTAACTCGCCCCAGGGTCCAGGGTTGCAGGGACGCGCACACACACGTTGCGCGCGACGCGGCTCGCGGGGCTCGCGCGTCGCGGGGTCCCCGGGGGGTAAACTCGTATAAATAATGGCACCGACCGTCCGCGAGATGCAGCGAGATGGACCCTTTGGATGATGTGTGTGGATCCCGCACACGTCTCCCCGGATCTCGTTACACTTTCGTGCCCTGATCTGAACTTTATCGCGTCTGCGCTCGGCTCTGCACTGATGCATTCAGATTCACTCCCCGGCGCGACGCTCCCTCGTTTCTCAAAACTGTACTGGTTGGCGAGGTCGGGTTTAGTATGCGCAGCCTCCAGCGATAACAGGTGAGAAAGCCGACCAGCGCGCGCCGACGCGCTTCGCCTCGTCCCTCTCTCTCGTCGTAGTGGCACTCGAGCTGTCGGTGTAGCTCTCGCTGAAGATCTTGATCTCATCGCCGTTGCGCACCTCGGTGATGAGCTTGGAGTCAAACGCGGAGCAGCCCTTGGGCATGGCGGGCTTGGGCATGGCGGGCTTCGCCTTGCCGGCCACCGCCGTCGCGGGGGGAGCGGGCGATAACGCCCGCCCCCACGGTGGCGAGTCCAGGTGCGGCCGCCAGGCTCGGGCCTCTGGGCGCTATTCTGTACTCGTTATGGATTAACTGATACAAATGGTTGGGTGACACTAATGGTGGCGCCGTGTGGACGGCAGCATGGCGCGGGCAGCGACGCCCCCCCCCGATTGAGAGCAGCGGGGGGTGATCGAAAGCGGAATCCTGCCTGCACGCGCGAAGACAATATTAGCTCCGAGAGGTTTGGTCGGTGTGGAGCGGAGCCCGTATTGTACGAGTAGGCCTGTCGATCGCGACGGCCCTAATTCTCACCTCCCGGCCACCTGCAGCCCGCTCGCAGGTAGCCATCCGATAAGCCATTCACAGCGACAGCTGTGACGGCGCCTGAGGGGCTTTCATAACGATCGACGATCTCCTTGCCGCAGCGTTGCTCGCTCGCTCACAAAAGCACGATTCGCAGGTACTCCTGATGCTTCCGGTGCAGCGGCACGTCGGACGGTGGACCACGCCGCCAGTGAAGGTTCCAGGCACCAGGGACTGGCGGGGTGGTGGACGGCCTTAGGGTACCCCTAGGGTTCTGAGGGCCGGATTTTTTAAAGACCTTTTAAGAAATGAGGAGGTTTGGGGGCTCAAATTGTCATTTAAGAGATTGCAGGCACGGGGGGTCTCTCTTTTAAGACCGTTTAAGAAAATCGGCCTCACCGGCACGCGTCGCTGCGCGGAGGCTGCGTTCCGCGCCGTTTTCTCCAATACTGCCGTTATTAGGCACAAACCCGCCTCTGAAGACACATCTGTAAGTCTGGTGCACTGGCAGGAGCCATACTCGCATAGGGGACGCGTGCCAGCTGACTGTGCCAGCTTCCCCCGGCCTCCGGCGTCTACTGGGGAGCCTCCCGGACCATCGACCTCGGGAGCTCTCCCGCAGCGTTTAAGCGTTTAAGACCGTTTAAGGAATCGGCGGCCCAGCAGCTCTTAAAACCGGCCTAGGCCGGTTTTAAGCCGTTTAAGCCGCAGGCGCCCCAGGGCCCACCCTTTTAAGCCTAGGGGTACCCTAAGTGGACGGCCCGCTGATTGGGAACGGTGACCTAGGGGCCACCGCCGCCTCGCACAACGGCACGCTGCAGCTCTGGCTCGGGAAGAACGACTTCTGGGCAGACGCAGTCGATTACAGATGGGGCTAAGAGTGCGGGTGTAAGTGTTGTAAATTTTGGTCTCTCTCTAAACCCCCTGTCTGTGCCCTACCTATACGAGCGAGGCGTACACACACACACACACAGCAACACGAAGACCCAAGCAAGAGGCACACAGAGACACCAGACATTAATGGACGTCTGTCTCGCCTTCAGTGAACTCACGTCCGCGACGGGCTGTAATGAGGCTGTTGAGGAAAAGATGAAACATACGGGAATTTGCCCTCGTCCTCACCGGTAGCCAGGAGCGGGCCTTCTGTGGCGCCACCACGAGCGTAAGTCGATGAAGTTGGAATTCGAGAAGGTCGTACCAGGTGACGCGGACGAGGGTTTGGACGGCCGACACAGAAGCGCCGTCGCAGAGGTACTGCCGAGTGGGCTGTCCAGTAAGCTCTCGCGGACGTGCTCCTTCACTCGCAAGCTGAATTTCTTCAAAAAGACAGATCAACGCGCGGCCCAAAAGGGGTGCCCTACCGTGCAGGACGCGAACATCCACCTCGCGAGCCTGAAGAGCAAGGTGGCCGCCTTTGAGATGAGCGGGTGCGCCTATTGCGTTCGCCATCACCAAAGCCATACTTGCTCACTCCTCTCACCCCCGTCTCTCTCTTTCCCGGGGCGACAGATCTGGGACCCTGACACCTCGAAAGCTGACAGAATGGTCGACGACTCCCGCGGGGTACGAGAAGACAACGAGGGTGGTGTGGGAAGTCGACAAGGGGCAACGCCCTGGCCCGCCTCCCAAGCTCAGAATCTCTGACCTTCCCTGATGTTGGTGCCTCGGGCTGGGTCGACGGGCCGGGGTGTCCCCGAATCTGACTTACATATGTGCAGGATGCTCCTTTGTCCGGCCTCTCGATGCTTTTCGTTCGCCAGTTTCATTGGCAGGACTGGAGCGTGGAGGCCTCACACGACGAACACTGTTTAATTTGAGAGGGGGATATGTGTGCTACAATATGTGCGCATGGTGCAATGTCTCAGACTCTCACGATGTCTGCCCCATGACATATGTGTGTTGGTTGGGCTCGAGACATCGCTGATCATCGGACGGTGTGTCTCGCGCTGCGTCCACACGCCTGACGGTGTCACGGTGATCGGTGTCGCGTGTCCCTGACCCTGTGTCCAGCTCTCTCTGAGTCTGTATCGTTCCACATATAAAGTACTCATACACGATCCACTGTGGCGGGGTGTGGACAGGCCTCACACGACGAACACTGTTTAATTTGTGCGCGCGGGATATATGTGCTACGATTGGCCAAAGTACAGGTTTCGATCCGGGCCACCGCAAATTTTGATCAGCAAATTTCGAGGGGCGGCCGCAAATTTTGAGGTAGATTTTGATTGTCAAAACGTGTCCGTCTTGGCACAGGATAGAGAGCATATAGGCGGCGAACACCCAGGTGCGCAGACATCGCGACTCTGCCCGCTCGCTCGACCCTTTTGCCGCGAGAGGGCGCCGGCCGCGTGTAAGAGGTCGCTGGCGCCCTGAGGCGGCATTTGGTGGCGTGGGCAGTGCGGAACGCTACTGGCGGCGCGACAGGGCCTCTCTCGATTGCGTGTGCCGCCCATCGGCACGCGGGTGCGCAGATATTGTGCGACTCTCCCGCTCGCTCGACCCTTTTGCCGCGAGAGGGCGCCGGCCGCGTGTAAGAGGTAGCTGGCGCCCTGAGGCGGCATTTGGTGGCGTGGGCAGTGCGGAACGCTACTGGCGGCGTGACAGGGCCTCTCTTGGTTGTGTGTGCCGCCCATCGGCACGCGGGTGCGCAGACATCGCGACTCTGCCCGCTCGCTCGACCCTTTTGCCGCGAGAGGGCGCCGGCCGCGTGTAAGAGGTGGCTGGCGGCCTGGCGCCCTGAGGCGGCATTTGGTGGGGTCAGCGTGCGGTGCTGAGTCTTACTCGTCGGCGCTGCGGCCAGATCCCAGCGCAGAACTCTGCAACGCTGGCATACAAACACAAGAAGACTAACCCTAACCCTAACCCTAACCCTAACCCTAACCCTAACCCTAGGTCAGCGTGCGGGGCTGAGTCTTAGTCGTCGGCGCTGTGGGGCCAGATCCCAGCGCAGAACCCTGGAACGCTGGCATATACAGACACAACAAGACTAACCCTGACCCTAACCCTAACCCTAACCCTAACCCTAACCCTCGCTAAACGCTAACCCTAATAACCCTAACCTAACCCACCCCCCAACTCCACACCGCAAATGTGAAAGATCTTGATGAAAATCAGGCCCGACAGCAAATTTCTTCAAAATTTTCGCAGGCGCTCCGCGCCTGCAGATTTTGAAATAAATTCGACAAAATTGGTACCTGGCCCAATGCTACGATATGTGCGCATGGTGCAATGTCTCAGACCGTCTCACGATGTCTGCCCCATGACATATGTGTGTGTTGGTTGGGCTCGAGACATCGCTGATCATCGGACGGTGTGTCTCGCGCTGCGTCCACACGGTCCCCAGCTCTGCGTATCTAGTTGTCATCTCTAACTGTAACTCTATAACTACACACACATACGGCTCTATATAATAAAGTACTCATACACTGTGGCGGGGTGGCGCGTGCCCGGTGGCACGGGTGTCCGCCAGCCGCGGCGTGGAGCGGTCGAAAACCGGGTTTGTTTAGAGCCAAAGGAGACAATCGCAGGACCGAGAGTGGACACTACCCACCAACGACTAAAGATCGCCAGCGTATGCGCACGCAAAGGTTGGGGCGACAGACCGCGGCCACATTTGTCCGCGGCAGCGACACCGGCGCTCAGCATCTCTGAAGTCCGATGCTCACAGGATGCTAAGAGCGCCCTGCACGGACTGCATCGGCGGGACGAGGTCCTCGACGCCTGCGCGAAGGGTGCGCGAAGGGTGCGCGAAGGAGCGGTCGGGGGCTCGGGGTCGGGTCAGGGGTCGGGGTCGGGAGGCGCGGGCGCCGGCGTGCGGGCGGAGCATGGCGGGCGGGCGCGTCGGTACTGCTTGGCGGGAGGGGGAGCACCGTTGTACGTATACGGGAAGGGGCCCTGTGTCAGCGCGGCTTGCGTGACGATCCCGGAGAAGGCGAGCATGGCGAGGCGGCCGTTGGAGATCTCCTTCTCCTGCGGCGAGAGGGGGGAGGGGGGGGGGGGGGGGCGTCGGCAGTGGGAGGAGAGGCGGGAGGAGAGGCGGGAGGAGAGGCGGGTGCGTGTTTGGGGGGTGGGTGGGTGGGTGGGGCAACAGAGGCTGGCAGTGGCAACAGCTCTCCGCGAGGAGGGCGAGAGGGGGCGGCGGCGGTGGGGAGTGGGAGTAGGCAGCAGCAGCGCCTGCATCTCAGCAGCCCCGATGCCGAGGGGGGCTACACAGACCTCTCGGCAAACCTCTCGGCGAGCTCTCTGCGCTAGATCTCGCCTGCATCTCGGCGGAGGCCCCGATGCCGAGAGGGTCAAACTTGTAGTCTCCGCCGGGGGAGGCGTCGGGCTCGTTCATGATCTGGAAGCACTTCGGGATGCCGGCGAGCACCTGCCGGGCGGGCGGGGGTGCGGGGATGCGGGTAGTGGGGTTGAGCGCGAGAGGGCAGAGGCGAGTTGCGAGGTGCGAGGGTGCCTCGAGGTATGATCTCGACTGATCTCGGCTGGTGCTCGGTCCCCCCCCGCCCCCCCCCCTTTTGCCCCCCCCCCCCCCCCCCTTCTGGCACACCTCGACGAGCGCGATCGGGATCAGCAGGCCGAGGAAGACGCCCTTGTCGACAGCAGCGTCGTGCGCGGCGAGCGAGGACACTGCGCCGGGGGGGATGGGGGAGAGGGGTGACAGGGCGGCGCGACTGCGGCGCGCCGGTTCGTGCCGCTGCTGCGCCTTGCGGCGCGTACGGCACAGTGAAGCCCAGGTCGACAGTCACCCAGCCTGAGGGTGAGGGGGCGGTGCGGTGACGGCGGCTCAGGGGCGGCGAGGGTGAGGGCGGAGGCGAGGCGGTGCGAGACCGACGACAGCGAGCATGCAGATCCGCGCGTGCTTCAGCTCCGCCTCACGCGCCCACTGGATGGGCACCACGTTCGAGAGGAGCAGCGGGTCAAAGCCCTGCGCACGGGCGGAGCACGGCCGCCGCTCAGCGGGTCTGCACGGCGAGCTGGGAGGGCGCATGCATCTGGACGCAAACGCCACGCGGAGTGCCACTCCGCCCGCCCCGCAGCCGCAGCAAGCTTGAGATCAGAGCCCTCTCCCTCGTTCCAGGAGGACCGGTGAGGCATGGGCGCAGCGCGCCTTGTCTCCGGCCATGGTGCCATCGAGCGCCGGCGGCGCGTCGAGGAAGGGGATGGCCTTGGACTTGGCCACCATCGCCGCGCCGCCCGCCCGCGACGAGACGCCCGCGAGGCCGGGGCCGGCGAAGGAGAGCGCTGCCGTGCTGGAGAGGGCGAGCATCTCTTGGTTGTTCGGCTCTTGGGCTTCTGGCAATTTGGGGCTCAAAAAGAGAAAACTAGCTGGCCGGATCTTAACTTACCTGTGACGTCTCTTTAAGGTATTGTCGCAAGTGCTCGAACGTACCATCCTCCCACCCCTCTTCCCTGTGTTCTCGCGATAAAAAAATCTTTTCTTTCTGGGCACGCCCGGCGCAGCTTTGCGCGTGCGGTCAGCTGCGGTGGCACGTACGCTGCGCGCTCAAGTGGTGCACTCGATGGACGGACCACCTCGCCAGCCGCGTCTAGGCAACCTGACGGTCACCAAGCCGGTTCCGAACTTCCTCCGGCAGTTTCAGCCACAGGCGACAGGCCCCGCCCGAGTCGTCGACTTGCAAACCAAACAGAGTAAGAAAAGTTTCACCAAGCAGCGACACATATACGTACTTATACAACTTCCCCCGCCGGAACGCGGTAGATAGCAGTCAGCACCAATCAGCACCTTGCGTCATTTCATTCATGCGCGTGCCGAGGGATGTCGCGCAGCGAACAACAAAAACAAGCGGAGCATTCGAGCGAGCACGACCGATCCCAACCAACCGCCTGCCGACTCATCACATGGTAGGACTGGAGGACTCCTGCAGGCCGAGTCAGTGTGAACACCACCCGCTTAACGAAGAGCCGTCGCCGCGGGCCACGCTGTGAAGCGGTGCTGCCGTGTGGCCGCTGCGCGCCGGCTAGGAGAGCGCACCAAGGCGGCCGACGAGAGAAGTGGCCACCGCCGGCGTGAGCGCGCAGTGAGCGCGTGAGCCTGCAGCCTGGGGCGCGCGGCGGCCTAGGTGCGCGGCGGCCGGCGGGGGGGCCGGCGCGGCGCCCGGCGCGCCGCGCCGGCGGGGCGCGTGTGTATCCCGGGCGGCCCGCCACGTCGTCGACGACGACGACGACGTGCACACTGTGCCAAGCCGCAAGCAAAATATGTAATATAACACGGTACAAGCTCACTCGGTATTCGACATCTCACTCCTCCTCGTCGTTGAACGATAGAAGCCCTGGTTTTTTTATCGCCTTGGCGGCCGGGAGACCATCGCGGGCCGGCTTCCGCTTCTTCTCCTTCTTCGGTGCCGCTGCGCGGTAGACGTGCGCGCCGCTCGCCTCCTTCTCGACAGCCGAGTCGGCTGCCGCAGCCATTTGTGTCTCGTCATGCTCCGCTGCCGAGCGGTGAGCGGACGCCACAAACTTTGCGGCGGCACTCCGGTCGTCGCCCTTGAACCGCAGCGAGCCGCCGCGCTGCCCACTCGGTAGCGCGTCTGCCTCGTCCACCACGACAGGCGCCTCGTCCTCCGCCTCCGGCCTGTCCTCTTCTCTCTTCTCCTCGGCGCGGCGGCGGATGGCCTCCTCGATCGACGACTCGGGCGGCGCCTGAAACTGCCGGAGGAAGTTCGGAACCGGCTTGGTGACCGTCAGGTTGCCTAGACGCGGCTGGCGAGGTGGTCCGTCCATCGAGTGCACCACTTGAGCGCGCAGCGTACGTGCCACCGCAGCTGACCGCACACGCAAAGCTGCGCCGGGCGTGCCCAGAAAGAAAAGATTTTTTTATCGCGAGAACACAGGGAAGAGGGGTGGGAGGATGGTACGTTCGAGCACTTGCGACAATACCTTAAAGAGACGTCACAGGTAAGTTAAGATCCGGCCAGCTAGTTTTCTCTTTTTGAGCCCCAAATTGCCAGAAGCCCAAGAGCCGAACAACCAAGAGATGCTCGCCCTCTCCAGCACGGCAGCGCTCTCCTTCGCCGGCCCCGGCCTCGCGGGCGTCTCGTCGCGGGCGGGCGGCGCGGCGATGGTGGCCAAGTCCAAGGCCATCCCCTTCCTCGACGCGTACGACGCGCCGGCACTGACTCATACATTGGAGTGTCATCGCCTGTGAGTGCGAGAAGGGCTAGCCGCAGGCAGCTAGCCCATGAGGAGAGCGTCCATAGACACCTCACTAGACCCCACATACGGTCTCGTCCGTGCCTCGCAGGCCGGTGAGATTGCTAGAGGTGGAGCAAGCTGCTCTAGCCTCACATGTCACTTCCTGTTGTCTGTTGTTTGAGTTGTGCCCTTGTTTGTGCCCTTGGCACCGAGGAGTGCTGGGGGGGGCGACAGGGAGGATGTGGCCCTGAGTTATGTGTACGCCGACTCAGGGTGTGTGGCAGCCAGCTGGCTGTGTGTCTTGTGAGCCTGTTTGTGTCTGTGTGTCGCTCGTGCGTGTCGTCATCATCTGTCTAGCGTCCACCCATACCGCGTTGGTGTCCAGTCCGAGCCTGGCTGTTCTTCACCTTTCTACCTACCTACCTACTGACTGACTGGGTGGGTGGGTGGGAGGGGTATCAAATCAAGTATAGCCTGGGACGGAGCGGGCAGTCTGCCGCGAGCCGCGTCGCGTCGCCATCGGAGATGGCGCCAAAGACGGGAGCACGGGGGGGACCGAACGCCGCCAAGGAATATCAGAACGTGCCCACACCACCAAGTCGCAAACTCGCAAGCCCGAAAGGACGCACGACGCATGACCTCCGGCACGACGATGGCCACCCCGCGCGCCGACGTCGACGACATCAACGTCGACGTCGAGCAGTCCGCCTCCGCCGGCAAGCCGGCCAAGAAGCGCACCAACCCGCTCGCGACGATCTCCAACCTCCGCCACATCCTCAGCGTCCACAAGGCGGCGGGAGCCGTGGGCGGGGCCGTGGGCGGGGCTGTCGACACCGCCGGCGCCGCCTCGCGCGAGACGGCGCTGCTCGCGGGCCGCACGTTGCTGATGCTGCTCAACAACCCGATCACCGGCCCGGCCACCATGCGCATGCTGCGCGAGGGCCCCGACACCGCCACCGCGCTCCTCGACCTGCTGCTGGTGCCCGTGCTGCCGACGGTGCGCATGCTCGTGGGCAAAGAGCTGATCGAGATGTCCCAGCCTGGCGCGGCCGTCCCCGTCAACAGCGTCATCACCTTCGCCTTTGCGCGCCGCCTCAATGTCGAGCCCGGCGACCTGCGCGCGGGCAAGGTCGTCCCGGAGCTGAGCCTGCGCCTCTCGCCCCTCGCGGCGGGGCTCGGCGGGATGGTCAAGATGGTTGGACAGAGCGGCGCCGCCGTCGGCTCCACGGCCGCGTCCGCCGTGCCCGGCAAGAAGACGAGGAAGGCGAAGGCCGACGACGCGCAGGGCTCGGTGGCGGCGCTCAAGGAGCTGCGCGACGCGGGCATCATCTCGGGGCGAGAGTACGAGCGGAAGAAGGCCAAGGCGCTGGGGACGAACGCGGAGAAGGCGTACGAGGACGGCTTCGCCGCCGGGCGCGCGGCCGCTCGGGCGGAGCGCGGCCCCTTTGCCGCCTGCCTTCCCAAGGCGCAGACGGCGGCTGAGGCGGCCGAGGCCAAGGCGGCGGCGGAGGCCAAGGCGGCGGCGGAGGCCAAGGCCAGGGAGGAGTGGCCGGTGGAGTACCGCGACATCAAGGAGCAGATCATCAAGATGACGCCCACGCTCAAGTTCTCGCTCTCGCTCGGTCAGCTCGACGCCTATGTCGGCGCGACCGGCTGGCTCGGGTCGCTGCTCTCGGGCTCGACGCAGCCGTCCGAGGCGGCGCTCGCGCGGCTGCGGCTCGAGCGCGTGTCGGTCGAGGCGCGGGTGCGCATCTTCTGGCACCCGCGCGCGCAGAAGGCCAAGGTCGTGATGCTGAGCGAGCCGCCGCCCAAGGTGGTTGAGCTGTCGCACGAGCTGACAGTCTTGCGGTCGTGCGCGGTGCCGCCCGAGCTCAACCAGCGGCTGCTCGAGCTGGTGCTGCCAAAGCTGGCGGGCAAGTTCTTCGACATCGACCTGAAGCCGCCCCGCGGCGAGGACGCCGCGCCGGACAGCGGCGACGAGGCTGCGGGCAGGGCGGGCAAGAAGAAGACGAAGAAGAGCTCCTCCGGGATGGGGAAGAGGAGCCCGCGGGGGGAGGGGGAGTCCGAGGCCAAGGCGGACGACGAGGCCGCGGACGACGAGTGAGGCGGGGGCGCACCGCCGCGCACCGCTCCTCGCAGAGGCGTCTATTGAACCAGTGGCGCTGTCGCCGGCCGAGCCGCTCGCCGATGCCAAGATGCGACACTGACCTGACTGACCGTTCTTTGTTAGAACTTAGATCGTGTGACGGTCAGAATGTGAGACTGAGAGAGCCGTCAGAGAGTGTCGCCTCCTGGTCTTGTCTCGTACGTTGTCTACTAAAAATGGGATGCAAATTCTAATGTGAAGGGCGGACGAACTCTCTCTCTCCCTCTCTCCCCACCTTCACCCATCTCAGCGAGACACGGAGCACACACTCCTCCGTTTGAGAAAGCGGACGGACGCTCTCTGCTGAGCAGGCTCAAACGTGACCGTTGCGTCGCAAGAAGCGGCTGCAGTCGTCGAAGCCCTGCCGCACCAGCTCCTCGGCAGCCGCCGGCTCGCCGAGTCGGACGACGCGGTGGAGCTGCTTGACGGAGGCGACGTCGATCCAGACGCCCGGTGAGATGGGCACGCGCCACGGAGCCGTGCCAGCGTCCGAGCCGTCGGCTGAGGAGGTCGGGCTGATGTCGAAGTCGCCGCCGAACGGGCTGACGATGATCGTTCGGCTGCCGGGCTCCGAGCCGCGCGGAAAGTTGTCGAGGATGCCGCCTGACGCGGCGGTGGCGACGCGGGTCGGCCCTTGTGCCCTGTTCGTCGGGGGAGCGCCGGGCAGGCCCACCGTCGAGCAGTCTGGGAACCTTCCAGGGACCCTCTAGGACCTTCTAGGCCAGGCCCACCGTCGAGCAATCCGCTGAAGTGCGTGGGCGCCGGGTGGGCGCTGCTTGTGATGCCGGGCAAGTACGCGCTCGCCAGGCAGGCGTCGACCAGGTCCGAGCGCGACTCAAAGGTTGAGCGGCGCGTCGCCACCAGCCGCGGGAAGCTGCGCGAGTCAACGAGCGCGACCTCGACCCTGCCGCTGCACCGCTCGTGCGCGTCCTCGGGCAGCAGCGCCTCGAGCTCTGGCCGCACAAGCGAGAGGAGTTCGCAACCGAGCGCGCCTGCCCACTGCGAGAGAGGGATCAAAGACGGGCACTTTGCGGGATGCGCACCTCACGGGAACGGGGCGCCGCGCAGAGGCGACGCGTTGTGGACGGACTGCAGCAGCCGCGCGAACGTGTCAGCCGCATCCGCCTGCGAGACGCCGCTCGCACACGCTACCGCGACAAAGCTGCCTGCCGACGTGCCCACGAAGCGAGAGCGGGCGGGGCAGAAGAGAGCGGATGGGACGTCGCCAGCGACGAGCCGTTCCCACACCCCGACAAAGTAGCCGCCGAGCAGTCCAGCGCCCGAGAAGCTCCAGTGGACGGGGCGACTCATGCCGGCACCGGCACGCCGCCGGCTCGGCTGATGATCGCCCGCCGCTCTTTATTTCCGAGCTCTCGGGCCTGCTCCACCGGACCTTCTCGGAGGCCGCCGAGTCCGCACGATGGAACAGGCCGGCCTTAGCCCTAAACCGCTTGGGCCCCCCTTTTTTCAACGCCGGCCGCGACACCGTCCAAGCGTCGAGCAGTCTCCCAGCCCTCACGGGGTCCCCCCTTGCCCGGGGGGGCGAGGGAACCCGAGATGCTGGGGCGAGCCTTGGCGAGACTGCGTCAGCTGTTCCCACAGCAGGCTGGAAGTACCTCGCCAGGGCGAGCAGGGTTCGAGCAACGAGCGCCCTGGCGTGAGCCAAAGACACTCCGTCCGCGGTCTCAGACCTACTGCGGTCTCGGGCACCGTACCCATACTACTCAAAAGTATAATATACTACCACAAAGCACCACTAGCGATTTCGCGCGGAGGGCGTAGTGAAGCGCTGGGGCGCTCACTGTGTGTTATTCGGGTGGGGATCCATCAGTGGTAACCGACTTTAGTCACAGATCCAAGCTCAGACGCCACACCAACACCACAAACACGCTCACTTCGCCGCTGCTGTAGATGGGCCCCCGGGGGCCCATACTACGTCGAAGTATGGACCCGATCTCGGCACTCACGGGCTACCACGCGCCCGTGCGCGGCGCGGGCCGCACCGCCCATGCCCCCGGGTCACCGACCCCGCCTCTCGGCCCTCTCGGCCCTCAGGAGCGTGCGGGAGACCGGCGAGGGGCGCGCCGCGCGCCGCCTGCAGCGCCGCCAGAGGCATTGCCGCCTCCGCTGGCGGGGTTCCCGCGCGTCCGCCCGCGCGCGCGCCCGCGCCCGCCGCGCCCGCGGGCGTCGGATGCGCCGCCCTCCTTCTCCTTCTTCTCGATGGCAGACCGCGCGTGCTTGTCCGGGTCGGCGGCGTGGTCGAGGGGAAGGTCGCCGGCGGCCGCAACTCCGCCGCCGTCGCTCCGCCGGCTCTGATCGAGTATCTGGCGTTGAGGGCGGCGGCGCAACGCGGGTCTGACGCATCCATCACCACGAGCCTCGCGACCGCGGTCGTGGCACACCTGGCGGCGGCTCTCGGGGCCGTCTCTACGGCGCTCGACGCCGTGTGAGGTCGCTGGCGGCCGCAACTCCGCCGCCGTCGCTCCGCCGGCTCTGACCGAGTATCGGGCGTTGAGGGCGGCGGCGCAACGCGGGTCTGACGCATCCATCACCACGAGCCTCGCGACCGCGGTCGTGGCACACCTGGCGGCGGCTCTCGGGGCCGTCTCTACGGCGCTCGACGCCGTGTGAGGTCGCCGGCGGCCGCAACTCTGCCGCCGTCGCTCCGCCGGCTCAACCGAGTATCGGGCGTTGAGGGCGGCGGCGCAAAGTGGGTCTGGTGCGCCACCGGCCACAACCCTTGCCACCGCCCTTGCCGCCGCCCTTGCCACCCTTTGCCGCCTTGCCTACGCCGCGGGCGGCGGTGGGAGCGGCCTGCTGGGCTAGCATGTTGTCCTTGCTGGGGACGGGCACGTGGAACGCACGTTACATGTTTGAACGGCCTCCGGGATTCAAACAAAAAATAGCCAAGGCCCTCTCGCAACCCCTCCGACCCCCCGGGACCCGTGGGCGTCGAAGAGGCGGCCTCGGGGGGCCGTTCTGAGTTCATACTACCTCGAAGTATATCATACTGCGTCAAAGCACCGGTCCCGAGTCCGACTGTTATATGATAGTAATAGAGCAGTTTGGTCGGAGGGCGCCCGGGTCGCCCCGGAGCGGCCCCGCGCGGGGAGGTGGGTGGAGGGCGGGCGCCACGCCGTCGGGCAGGCCGCGCGGGGACGCAGCCGGGGCCAGCGCGCGGCGCTAGAGGGCCGGGCGCAAACTTGTTGCACCTGCACCTGCACCTGCACCTGGGTGCAGCGAGTTTTGGTGGTTCGAAATGCGGAGCGCGCAGTCCGTTGTGGTTCGAAACGCGATGCCTCCGTTGGGAGACACGGACGGCGCCGGCGGGAGCGACGCGGCCGGCGAGGCGCCGCACTCGGTCGCCGTCCTGACGGTGATCAGCGAGCCGGTCGAGCGTGACCAGTTGCATTCGAATCTGAGCACCACATTGAGGCCGTTGGTGGAGAGGGAGCGTCGCGAGCGAGGTGACGAGGATGGAGCTGTGGGTGTAGCCGGTCGAGGCACGGCCGCGTCGTCCACGACGAGTCGTCGGAGAAGGGCGAGACGTCGAAGCGCCGTGACGGTGATTCTCGGGCCGAGGCCGATGTCTCGTAGGGAGGAGCTGACTTGTCAGCGCCTTCGCAACGCGGTTCAATTGTGGACGACGGTGTACACGGAGATGGGATGGTGCGACGACATGCGGGACAAGCTGCGATTGCACATGCTTCTGCATGCTACGTGTTCGCACCGCGAGGTCGAACCGAGGTTTATACGGGTGTGGCTCCAGGGCCCGGTGCTCCAGGATGCAGCGGCTGCGAACCGGCGCAGGTGTGTCCGCAATGCGCTCACTAACGTGGCTGAGCAGGAGCATGAGGACGGCAACCACGCACGAATGTCTGTGCTGTACGCGCGAGCGATGCTGGCCTATCATTACACACTGGCTGCGATCGGGAAGCACATGCATAACCTACAAGACGGAGAGCAGAGTACGGATTCAGATCTTGATGAGGCGGGAGAGATCTTGGTTGCCGCCGAGGATCTGCTTTCCCAGCTGGAATCAGTGAAGCAGATGTGGTACAATGCCGGTTTTCAAGGCAACTTTGCGGAGAAGAGTGTGCGTGACGCCTTTGCGGATCGGACTAGTAGTGTGCTTGCCCAGCTGGCAGTGACGTCACTGCACACGTTGCAGAACCACTTGCGAAATACGACTGCCGGTGCGAGGTTTTCGGAGATTGCTGGTGATATGTCTGCAAGGACCAGCACGACAGAGCGGCAAGAGCGAGACAACAAGGAGGCGGGGGCGTCTTCGGCTGCTGAGGTTACGCAGACCGACTGCAGCAAGAGGCTTTGAGGGAGCTTACACACTGACGGCGTTGTCGAGCGTGTGTGTATTTGTGTGCGGGGTTGATGTGTGTGGGCTTGGTAACGTGTGGTTATAATCTGTTCACCATAGCCTCCGGGGAAAAGATACAACCATGGATGGCGCGTTCCATTTATTCCATAGCGCACAAGCTTGTGTGAGCGAGCGCTGGAAAGGCGTGGCTGGGTGACGCAGGGGAATGCAGGCAGGGGGATGGAGGGCTCGGTAGTGGCGGCAAGGGTAGTGGTGGTGAGTGACGGCTATCTTTTCCCCGGAGGCTATGGTGAACTCTCTCTCTCTCTCTTAGGTATGTTGTTGGCAAACCAAGAGACAGAGCTCACACAGGATCACAGCGGGAGGAAAGCGGCGAGTCGCAATTCCAGGGGTCGTTGTGGCGGGCCACCCTGTCCAGAAGGGCATGGATGCCGATCTTTCGACCGAGTCTGTCTGATTTCGCCTCGCCGCCTCCCGATGGTGGTAAGGCTGGAGAGCCAAACAAAGCGGCGGAGATGGCGGGGGAGGGCGGGGGATCGAGGAAAGCAAGACTCGCACCGACCCTTCACGAACCGAAAGGCAGATTCTATATTCCAGGATGGCATTCTTCGAAATAGAATGGGCGCCGCAGCGGCCAGGGAGTTGTTTTGCGTTCCGGCGGCGTCGCGTGGTCGTCGGAGTCGCCTCTGGCCGCCGCTCAGGTCCTCGGTCACCGCGGCCTGCGCGCGGGGCGGAGTATGGGGCTCTCAGCGGCGGCGCCGGCGGAGCGAGCAAACAAAGAGCGAGGCGGCGGAGGGGGCCGGGAGGGGCCGCCGCCCGGTCCAGGAGCGCCCGAGCCCGCCGGAGGTCGCCATTCGACCTCCCAGACAGATCCGCAAGCCTCAGAAGCGGGTATTGCCTCGAAGCGGGCGGGCGCGGGCGCGGGCGAGGATTCTGGAAGCGGGTATCGCCGCTTGGGTGCCGATTTATGGGCTGAAACAGCGCCAAAACGCTCCTACAAGCAAAAAAAATTTTTTGGAAAAAGGCCCCCTCAAAAATCCCTCGAAAAAATCCGGCGTTCCGTTTGCTCCGCACATCCACCGCCTTGTGCGCCTCCGTCGCCTTGGACGGCTCCTCCTCGTCGGTGGAGGACGGCTCCTCCTCGTCGCGTCGTCTCGTGGTCGCGTCGTCCATGCCTTGCTGCACAGGCAAAGGCCCACGCAGAGGGCTGTGCCCATCGGAACGGTCAGAGCCAGTTGTTACTGAAGGCACGGTGGTGCCGTCAGCGGTCGCAGTCGCAGCGCCGGCGTCGAGCTTGCACTCCTTTGCCGTCGCAACCGAGTCCAGCGCCGAGTCCGGAGGAGCTGCAATCTTTACCTTGGCTTTTGCCTGAGCGTCGGCAAACGCGTGCCACTCCTGCGGCCACAACAATCGATGGTGGGTCGGAAGATTGTCGTCGTCCACGACGAGGAGGTCCCCCTGACAGAAGGCCACCGCGCGATCGTCAGCCATCGCGTGCAGGCAATCCGGCCAGACAGAAGAGCACAGCAGGCAATGACAATCCGGATTGGCCAATGACGCCCGACAAGTTTCAGCGTAACGAGCGGGTAGCAACTGCCACCTCGGATTAGTAGTCGGTCTTTGGTTGGAGCGTGTGTGTCGCTGGGGCCAAACTACTGCAATCCTCGTTGAAGCACCAGTTCATGTGCACTTTCCCGCCTGTGCTTTCACAAACCATGGATCACGCTGAGCCTGACAGCTGGTTTCGATCCGGTCGGCAAGATGGTCAGCCACGGGTGCACGTGGCCCACGGGCTTGGCGTCGGCTCTCCGCAACCGCCAGTTGGGCGTGTTGTTGCAAACTTGAACGAATCAAAAAGCGCTCAAAAATCGACCGAACGCAACCTTCAACGCCGTTTTAAGTACGTCGAGGACCAGGCGAGCAACGGCTGGGCAAAATCTCTTCTCGGCACGCGCTCCGAAAATCGTATTCCGTGTAAACGCAGCGGTGTATCCAAATTGCAAATAAAAAACGTAAACGCTCTGGGGGGGCGCGGGGGCCCCCGGAGGCACCGTGCGCCGCGCAGCAGTGCGGAAACGGGGCTCCGGCTCCGTTAGTCTCCGTTAGCACCAACTTCCCGAATGAGTACGGTTGAGTAGAGGGCAGATTTGGAGAGATCTCGAGGAGTACACACAGATAGACCCTCTAACCAAAAGAAAACTCCGACCTGATCGGTCGTACTGACCGCCGACAGATCACTCCAGACAGCAGACAGGCCGACGTCTGCACACGGCCGGCCGGGCGAGAGGCTTGACACGATCCGACCCTGCGACCCTGACGCTGCTGCTCTACCTATCAGACATGCACTGCTGACTGCTGCCACAATATGCGACCGGTGCTGGCCCACTTGGCGGCCTTCCCCGGTCAGTGGTGAGGCGCAGTTTAGAGCTGTCGATGGCGCGATGCCGCACTGGTCCCACATTGGTAACACGAGACCACCACGTTTGCCGGTCCAAGAGAGAGGCACTGGTGCTGTCCTGAGAAGGTGCGTGGTCCCTCTTGACTGCCCATGCGCGCGAGGCTGTGTAGGCATAGCCTCGAGAGTGCCAGCAGCCAATCCGAGGCAGTTTGTGACGCGCATTGCGTCAGAAGCGTGCACGCAGCTGGAAGGACACCTTCCTACTGGCCGTACGATCAGGTCGTCACTGAATGGTGGATACTAAGGCCGCGAGCTATGCGGGTGATCAATTGTGCAGCATGGCACGGTCAGCAGCGCCGACAGGCTGTCGCAAGGCGTGATAGCATGGCCGCAAGTACGCCGAATTCCGAAAAAATCAAGCGAAAAATCGCGCAAAAAACGTCGAAAAATCGGCGCCTGCGGCGGGCAATGGGACCCCATCGCCCCCCCGCATGGATACCCTCTAGGGCCCCCGCGCCCCCCCAGAGCGTAAACGAGAACAGCGACCAGCTCGGAGACGGCAGACGCTCGCGCTTGCTCCCGCTCTCTCACCAACGACCCTCTTCCGAACACGTCCACGTGCGTCCACACTCTCTTTCCGCCTAACCCTCTTCGAAGACACATAAAGTTGGAGGGTCTGGGGCGCGGGAGGTCAAGGGCGCGGACTCGTCGCTCGACGCGGCAGACAGCGGCGCGAGTGCCCGTGCGACCTCCTCCCACGGCAGCCGGGCGCCGCCCACGCCACAAAGACCGTCAAGAGTTGTGGCAACGCCGGTCGTGGGGACAGCCTCGCGCTGGGCGGCTCGCAGATTCTGCGCCATCGCGGCGACCGCCTTCGCGAGCGCCTACAGCCCGGCGTCAGAGGGGTGGCCGCGTGATGCTTCGAGGCTAGGCGGCAACGCCGGGGAGAGGGGCTAAGGTGATGCCGAGTTGGAGACTGCAGATTGTGGTGTCTATTAGTGCTCGACAAGCGCCCGGGGCGGCGGCCCACCCGCGGCTGAGGCGGCTCGCCGGGCGCCAGCTGGGCGACGAGAAAGAAGAGGTGGCGACGGCGGCGCACAACTTGGAGGCAAATGCCTGTGGAAACGTCAGGCGGGCGCACCGTGGAGCAGAGGGTCTTGCGGGAGGGCGCCTGGCTGCCTCTCTAGGCCGGCGGCGAGCGCCAGGGCGATGGGCGGGGCTCACCGAGCTCGAACGAGCAGGCGGCGCCGGGAGAGGAGAGGCGTCCCCGCACCTCGTCCATGACTCCGAAGCACTGCTCCAGCCTCTGCGGGGGGCGGGGACGCCGTTGAGTTGGCTGTCGGGCGTGCGGTGCGGCGCGCGCTACCCTTGGCGTGGCCGAGGGGCGCGGGCCTGCAGTAGCGGCGTGGCGACCAAGCGCCAGTCGGAGAGGTGTTTCGGCACGATCACGCAGAAGGAAGTCGCAGCGTCGACGCCGCCAGCCAGGCTCCCCGGACGGCGCGACACGAGGAGGGACGGGCCGTGAGCCGCGCGCACGGCGCGCTTCGGGAGCGCACCTCGGGTGGCGGCGCCCTGGGCTGCCTCCGACCTCTCCTCGGCGGTCGGCTGGCGTAGAGTCGGCAAGGCGGGGGCGACTTCCGAGAGCGGCGAGAGGTGGCGGCGTCGCTCGCTCGACAGGGTCAGGGAAGGGCGCGCCCGGCCCTCCCCCTCACCCCCCTCCCCCTCGCCCTCGCCCTCCCCCTCGCCCTCGCCCATGGTCCCCCTCCCCCTCCCCCTCCCCCCCCTCCCCCCCTCCCTCCCCT